GTCGGGCATACCGGAGGTGATCATAATGATCCAGAGAATCTCAACAGGGGCCAGAGGGAACACAGACAGTCCGTTCTTGTCCTTGAAAGCCAGACCAATCAGAAGAGTACAAGCCTGGGCAATGTTCTCAGCCAGGACGTGGAGGATGAACTTCTGAATGTTATCAAACATGCGACGGCCTTCCTCAACAGCGTTGAGGATAGAAGCAAAGTTGTCATCGGTCAGGACAATGTCAGACGCTTCCTTGGCGACATCAGATCCAGCCAATCCCATAGCAATACCAACGTCGGAACGCTTCAGACTAGGAGAGTCATTGACACCATCACCGGTCATGGCAACAAAGGCCTTGCGACGATGAAGAGCCTCGATCATGCGAACCTTGGTCTGGGGAGCACAGCGAGCCACCACGAGTGGCAGAAGGGGAAGTTGATCAATCTCCTCATCCGACAGCTTGTCAAATTCGGAAGCAGCCATGACCATAGACTTGGCGACATCTTGGGGGATCTCAGCGATTCTGGATGGCAGGATACCAACTTCCAGGGCAATGGCTCGGGCAGTAGCAGGGTGGTCACCAGTAAGCATGTGAACGCTAACACCGGCTTCATGACACTTGGCGACAGAGGGGGCGGATTCGGGGCGAGGAGGATCATAGAGACCGATGAGTCCACGGAAAATCAGGTCGTTCTCAAACTTGGCGCGGTCAAGCTCAGCCTCGTTGTCGATGACATGCTCGATATCAGTTCGGCTGGCCAGGGCAAGCACTCGGAGACCAAGTCGGGCAAGAGACTCCATGTTGCTGATGATGTCGTCCTTGATGGCATCAGTGAGGGGTCTAGTCTCGTTTCCGATAGCATAGACGGGGCATGAGGTCAAGACACGCTCGACAGCACCTTTGGTGAAGACCCATTGCTTCTGAGATTCATTGTCGTTGAAAATGACCGACATCTTCTTGACATCCGAGTCGAAGGGGAATTCAGCAACCTCGTGCCAGCGAGCCTTCTCTCCACCAGATAGGCGGGCGCGGTTCCAGTTGAAACGACAAGCAAAGACTTGGATAGCGCACTCAGTGGGGTCACCTCGGGCATGCCATTCACCGTCGACCTGGTGGACTGTTGCAAGGTTGGCTAGTGAGGCAACGTTGAGGTACTCCTGGAGACCGACATCCTGAGAGACAAGGGCATGGGGATCAATCGGTGTTCCCTCGGCATCCTCGCTCTGGAAGTTGATGTCCTTGGGCTCAGCCTCGACCAGACCAAGCTGTCCCTGGGTAGGGTTGAAGGGCTCGTTGGTAGCTCCAACGGAGTAAGTACCACGACCAGGGATCCAAGCCTTCTTGACGATCATAGTACCCTGAGTCAGGGTACCAGTCTTGTCAGAGCAAATGTCTAAAGGGTTGGTCAGCGATAGTCTGCATATCAGGGGTGGGACCACATACTGGTAACAGCGCCAAGGGCCTCAAGAGACTTGAGGTTACGAACAATGACATGCCTCTGAACCATTCGCTTGGTTCCGGCAGCCATTGTGATAGTGAGAACGACAATGAGAGAAGCCGGGATCATAGAAAGACCAGTGGCAACAGCGTAAATGATGACCTCCTTCTTGGTGTTGAACTCGTTGGCTCCCAAGACGATAATGGCACAGACAATAGCTGTTCCGAGGAGAAGAATGGCCAGCTTGGAAAGCTTGCGCTGAAGAGGAGTACCAACGTTGACGCCCAGGAAGCGTCCAGCAGCATCAGAGAAGGTGAGAGTCCAAGCCTGCATCCAGCGACCAAAGTTGGTGTTGCCATCAGCATCACGCTTGGGCTGTCGACGCTTGGAAGTCTTGCCACGGAGAGCAGCAGCGATTTGACCAATCTCAGTGAACATTCCAGTGGCAAAAACAACACCGCGAGCACGACCCTTGGTGACAGTCGAGGAGCTGTAGGCAACGTTGAGGCGATCACCAGGGCCAGTGTCGTCAGGGAAGGTGGAGTTGACCTCCTTGCGAACAGGCAGGGACTCTCCCGTGAGGAGTGCTTCGTTGGTCTCAAAGTTGATGGCCTCAACAAGACGAATGTCGGCAGGAATGGTGTCTCCAGTCTTGAGCTCGACCATGTCTCCAGGCACAATCTCAGCAGTCACCACAACCTCATTGTTACCGTTTCGGACAGCATGAGCAGTGGGAGAGCTGAGAGAGCGCAGAGAGTCCATGGTCTTGGCAGCCTGAAACTCCTGCAGGAAGCCCACTACGATGTTGAGAATGATGACAGCGGCGACGACACCGCCCTCGATCCATGACTGGATGCCAAGTGAGGCAGCCATGGCGAGGATGAGAACCTAACCCCCAAACGGCAAATGAGCGACTTTACCATTTTCTCAAAAGCAATCCCAACCATCCTGGGGGGATAATCCAGGTCTGGGGGGATGCATGTTAATGGGGCAGCTCACTAGAGTCAAGGCATTGGCGATCTGCCCGATAAAGATCTTGAAGGGTTGGACGCCCTTTTCAGCGCCGAATTCGTTTCGTCCGTATTGTTCGAGACGGCCCTTGGCCTCTTCGTTGGTCAAACCATCTTCAAGGTTGGCATGAAGCTGCTCGGCCACTTGCTCATAGGTGAGGGCGTGGGCGGGAGCTGTCATGGGCGTGTTGGCCTGGCCCGAGACGTGGGCAGGCTCTTCGATCAGTTTCTGGCTCATGATGAGAGATCCAAATGCGATCGAGAGTGGTTGAAAGAGAAAAGAGTCCCGAGACAAGGCAGCAGAATGGAGAAGATCGCCTTTATAGCCAGCCTCAAAGCCATGGATCTATCTCTCTATCTCAGCCGGTCAACACCGACAGATGACGCCGGTGGATATCGGGGAGCTGAAGAAACCAATAACAGGCGACAATCCGACTCACGAGCAGGCAAAGAAGGAAGGAGCCATGATGCAAATCTTACAGACGCCAAGATGCCCAGACCGACCAACATTGAAAGGTGCAGGCGGAGTGGAGGAAGATGTTACACTAACCGTGCATGTTTGCCAGGAGAGGAATCTATATGGAGGAGAATTTTTCAGTGTGGAGCGGAATCGCAGTAGTCGCCATCAGGAGCGGAGGAAGGGGGGGGCGGAGCGGAGGGCACAAAGCCGAGATATGCCTACCTACGCATGCGAGAAAGATTGAGGAATTGACAGCCGGGCCGGTATGCTAGAGAGATGAAGTCAGGCCGTGACGGTGCGCGATGGTCTTCCAGAAGGAATTGAGGCGAAAGAGAACGAGTCCCGTCTCAATTGAGTTTAGGGAGCTAATGCTAATACTGCTGTAATGACTCTAACCCTGCCTCGGGTCTTTCTTTGATGGAGATAAACATTTAGCCCGACGTCATGCCGCCGCTTGGACGCTTCTCGGCTCGGCAAATGCGAGTCGCATTGGCCCAAGAGCAATGGCAATGCACAAGTACATCACCTAACCCCGGGTTACGCGACGCTCTTCATTTTGAGCTTATTGCTTGCTGCGTGGGGAGAGAGGAGCCAGTGGAGACAGGCCCTGGGACCCCCTGTGACCGCTCATGTCCTCCAGCTTCTTGGTGGGGCCGCCGGAGTCCCCCGCCCCGAGCGGTATTTTCGCAATCTCTCTCTCCAACCTGACGCTCCCAGGTCGGGCACGTGGGTATGCAAAATCCATGGCCTGAGATTGTGATGGTGTTGAGGCAAGGCTTGGCGTTTCTGGGCACTGTACTTGGCTTTGGTTTTCATGTGAAGTTGAGATTACGCCTGCACTGTGTAGTGGCGAAACGCTGTTCCGGCTTCACGATGGATGCGGCCAAACTCTTATCTCCTCGAGAACGCCAAGACTCTAGCAAGAATACTGGTTCCACTGCTAGAGCACTATCAGATACCCCGGCAAACTTGGTAGCATTGTGTTCTTATTCTATGACACATGCATTACACCAAACAAAGGACCTCCCATTATTGGCTTAGGCCCATGTCTGCCTGTATCGGCTGGATGGATGCTTTTTGTGCAACTGACAAGATAAGTCGAGTCCTCTTTATTCACTTCACATGGATATTCAACGTGCAGTGCAGTAATGTGAGGTGATTTGGCCATGGGACTCTGTGCAGTTATGCATGCCGTGATGTGTAGCCGTTACTGGTAGACGACCTAACCGGCAATAGTGACCGTCATGATATCCGCACGGCACTGCTACAACTCCATCATCAAACAACATGAGAAAGCATCCCATTGCAATCAGGAGCCTGAAATCAGGGTCTCTATTCTGTCGATAAGGTTGCATCAGTCCGTCTCCAAGCGGCTGTCATCTGCCATGACTTGGCCTGGACAAGCGCGATCCCCTCCCCTCACCAAGAAAACTCTCGGCGCCGCCCTCAGTGTCGTGCAACACTTGTCGAATCGTTGGCCAATGTCAGTCAACGCTTGTCAAGTCGTCGGCCAACATGGCTCCCGCCAAGTCCCGCCAAGAAAACATCGCTGCTTGCTCGTCATCCCCGCTAAAGCTTGATCTTTGCTTCACCTTGAGCTCTCGTTTGGTCAGTCACCGACACAGCCTCATGTTGCGTGATGCCACCCAAGAAATTCCCTTGCCAGAACCAGACACCGCGCAGTCAAAGTCAGGCAAAGCACCTGAGCATAGCGTTCTCGACCCTCGCTAGGTGGTCGTGTGTGTCGCCTGGGCATGCAAGCCACCGTCACTGCACCAAGGGTCTAGTGGTTCAATTCATCCTCGTTCGAGGCCTGGACACGCCGTTCCGTTGCCCATCATTGCCTCCGCGCGGCCGGTGCCACGGTTGTTATAACTGACCACTGCCACCATCTCTGTTGCGATAACAACGCAGCATGAAAACGCGTGAATTGTTGACTTTTCTCAACTTATCTCAAGTCGCCTCTTGCCAGACGGCACTGACTGTCGACGCTGTCTATCTATTGACCCCACGAAGCGGGGTGACGACACCAAGAATCATCGCACCACCCCCGACTCACTGATACTGATACCGAATCCGAATTCATTACCGAGCGACGAAATGGAACCCGTCGGCATAATTCTTCTCGTTCTTTTCTTATTCGTTCTGATAATCGGTCCTATGTACGTATCTACCGCATCCCTGTCTTGTGTACCTCGACTGAGTAACCGCCCAAACTACCAGAACATGCGTCAAGTTGGGATCTCGCAATGAAAGGGAAAAGGTTTACAATCCGCAACCCGATCAGTTGGATCGCGCGCGCCGGAAGCTTAGCACCGTGACAACCTGCTCATCGGCCGCTCAGCGATCTAATCCGTCTGAAGATGCCGATATTGAAGCCGTGCCTTCGGCGTCCGAGCTCGGCGAATGGTGAGTGCATCCCCGGGGCCGAAGGTCCGGCTGACCCGCTTCCCTGCGGCTCGGCCGGGGCTCCTCGGCGGCCGCCCTCCACTTGTCTACGGATCATGGCTGATATCATGCAGCCCTATTTGCATCGGTCCCTTGGTCGGTCCCTTGATGCCGGAACCCGCATATACCGTTGGAGGTGATCCGCCCCCGAATCTTGGTCATGCTTCAACGGTGGCTTCCAGGACCCAGTCACGGAGTGAGGGAGAGGATACGACCGCGCAGTCTAACACCAACTTGGAAATGGAAGACGATGACATCTTGACATTAAACACCTGCGGCCACTCATTCCATTCCAAGTGTCTCTCATCATGGTTCTTGATCGAGCGGCACGACTGCCCTGTGTGTAGGACGGCCTATTACAAAGGAGGTCCACGACGCGAGCGAACCTTGACAGTGCCGCCATTCTTTTGATCCCTGGCAAGATGAACAAAGACGACTGGCGTTGGGAGATGACCCAGACATCTCGGCCACGAGGGATGCGGCTATCCTTTCAGATCACTAATCACTAATTACACATTTCTGTTTCAGGAGCCAATATGATGCATCAGTCAATGGCTTGCAGCTTCTCACAACATGACCACACAGTGGCGGCCAATGATGGCACAGACAAGACGACAAACGGACACGGCTTTCGTGCGAGTCGTGTGCCAGGGCAACATCCGAAGCACTGGTTGATGTTGGATGCTTCTCCGGGTGCTGACCGAGACCTCTTTAACCAAACATGGAGACAAGCATGATGCCTGTGGACCAGGTACACGAGGAAGCTGATTAGCACATCAGCCAGCCGCGAGCCAGGACAACTTGCTAGCTACTCAATTGGGAGGTTTCTGATCTCATCTCGATGCAAAATGTCGGCGACATGTCTCGCACCTAGCTCGGAGTGGTGCAGCATTTCTTCCAACTCGATGGAACGGCCCCTAAGCTTGCGATTGGCTCACCCCAGCTCTCTGAGTGCTTTGCCAAGCTGTTTCCCAGAGCTTCAGACGTTTGTTTCCTCTTCGTTTCTTCACGGCGAAGATCTTTACCGCTTGGACCTGGCAAAAGGCGTCAGAGCGGAGCAAACGCCCTCGGGGTACGTACCCTTGGCCAGCCCGCGATCGGCGATCCGTGACCTCACACCAAAAGTCGAGATGACTTCATCGCCATCAAAGGGGTCTCGATCGAGAAAATTGGTCAACGATCGATTTCGCCCGCCCTTAACAGCACATCACAGAGCAGCACAGGCGCCGGGAACTGAAGCTCCGGGGGGGCAACTCAATACCCATCCACTGCTAATTGACACCTAACTAACCCCCAGCCGGCCCTGCAGCGGGCTCTTTGCCCCGGAAATGCCCAAACCGCGCTGCACCAAAAAAGACCCCCCAATCGCATCCTTGGGGCTCTCGTCGGATAGCCCTATGCCCTCCCATTATTACATCGTCACCCCAAAAGTCATGCATGACGCGACGTGCGTCATTGGCTCTTCGGGCCAGTTCCTCCGACTACAGCCTCATAGCTCGAGGTCATGAGAGATACAAGAGAGACATGCACGCATAACAAGGTACAGGGCAACTGCGCTCTTCACTACTCCTTCATCCTTCACCGTCGCCTCGACCTTCCACAACTACTTGAGGCCCTCAAGCCATTGCATCCATCTCAGACATTGTCCCTCCATGTCATCTTCACATTGAGACTGCGCTACTGTATGCGACCACGCCTCTTTGCCTCTGCTGCTGCGAGTATCTTTGCCCCTATACCAAAGCACCAGCACAGCAGAGGCCTCTCCAACATGACGCCGAAACGAAAGAGAGACGGCCCTCATCCTCCTCCTCCAGCGCCGCAACGACCTGATGCCCCTAGACGAAGTAGCCGAAGACTGAGGGATGCTGCCGCTGCAACTACAACGGATCATCTCGCATCTGACAAGATGGACATTGACAAGGATAGCAAGAAAATCAAGTGTGAACTCCCCAAAACACGCAACCACAAGGCAGTATGGGATACAGGGGAGGGCGTTGAGGAAGCCATGCGCGAGTTGAGCGAGATGGAACACAAACTACAGAACGCCGTGAGGAGACAACGACTGGCGGTTGAATCTTCAGATCTTCATGTCAAAGTAGAGTCGGTCATGGAACGAGATATTCGACCCAAGATGCGAACACCACCACCCAATGACATCATCCCTTCCACCTGCGGACGAAATGCGGAGAGCATTGACAAGGCCCCCATGGATGATTATCAGGCTGAGCCAGCGGCAGGTGATATTGTTGACGCCAAGGCCGACGATGAGGGTTTTGAGAGAGGCGCAAACAGACCTCCCCCCGTCAACAGCGACAGACTTCCCCTGCCGTGGTCGGGGCGGCTTGGTTATGTGAGCGCATCCCCGTGAGGCAAAATCTTGCCGCTCACTCCAGATGAGTGAGAGACACAACGATGACTGACTCGCATAGGCCTGCTTAAACACATATCTGCGCACTGCAAACCCTCCGGTCTTCTCCTCGAGAACCTGTCGGATCGCATCCGTCCTCGACCATCGACATCCCCTCCAACATCCTTCAGAGCCTGGACACCCGACAAAGAATCGACCCGACAAGAGTAAGCCAGCGGATCCCGAACGAGGGCTAAAGTATGTGCAAGAGCTGGGACTGGCCAACGCGAGAGATATTGTCAAGATGATTCGGTGGAACCAGAAGTACGGTATCAAGTTCATGAGGCTCAGCAGTGAAATGTTTCCCTTTGCAAGCCACGAGGAATATGGGTACAAGCTGGCGCCCTTTGCAGCTGATGTCCTAGCCGAAGCTGGCAAAGTTGCAGCAGAACTAGGACATCGCCTTACGACACATCCTGGCCAGTTTACCCAGATTGGAAGCCCACGGAAGGAAGTTGTTGCAGCTGCTATTCGCGATCTTGAGTATCACGATGAGATGCTCAGTTTGCTCAAGCTCCCTGAGCAAATGAACCGCGACGCAGTCATGATCTTGCACATGGGAGGTACCTATGGCGACAAGGAAGCAACTTTGAACCGGTTCCGCGAAAATTACGTCAAGCTGTCGGATGGCGTCAAACGGCGACTGGTGTTGGAGAATGACGACGTTGCGTGGAGCGTCCACGATCTACTCCCTATATGTGAGGAGCTTAATATTCCACTGGTACTGGATTATCACCACCACAACATCATCTTCGACTCGAGTATTCGAGAAGGCACTCAAGATATCATAGGTCTTTATGACCGCATCAAAAAGACATGGACAAGAAAGAGCATCACCCAAAAGATGCACTACAGCGAGCAGACTGCTGGCGCTGTTACCCCACGAGAGCGCCGCAAACATTCTGCGCGAGTCAAGACGCTGCCGCCCTGTGCCCACGATATGGACCTCATGATTGAAGCTAAGGACAAGGAGCAAGCCGTCTTCGAGCTGATGCGCACCTTTAAGCTGCCAGGATGGGATACCTTCAACAACGTTGTTCCCTACGATCGCGAAGACGAGTCACGAAAGGCCATCAAGAAGAAGCCCAAAAAGGGGAAGAAGAAGACCAACGGCGTCAACGGCGTCAATGGCGTCAACGGTGAGGTAGAAGATGAGATAGAGGTGCCTGAGAAGATCGTGAGCGCCGAAGACTTTGGCATGGGAGGGCCCAACAACAGAGTGTACTGGCCCGAGGGTATGGAGGAGTGGCTTAAGCCCAAGAAGAGAGAGATCAAGAAGGACAGGCCGAGTGATCAGTAATGAGTGTTTGCATATTTTTTTTTCGGTTGGATTATGGACAGAACAAACCAGCATAGGGAATAGCGTCATCATGTTTTGTATTGGTGTTGGACGTGGTCGCGTTGCGAGACTTGTACCAATAGCTGTGACTCTGAAAAGTCCTTAATGGCGGGTATATTACGAGTAATGAATTATGTTTGAGTTTATCAAGGCTATAGAAGTGCAATAATGAGGTTATTCACATGCAGTCTGCATCGATTCTGTTGGGTTTGTCGGTGTCGGCCTACCCTAGAAAGCACAGTGCAGATCAAGCGCGCGCTAACGAAAAAGTTTTATTTACACTGTCCTCAGACTTTACCTTCATACCTGCAATATCCTCTTCCAACCTCACACCGACAGATTTTTTTATGCCTCGCTACAAAACAAAGGCGCAATGGATTCCGAATCTTTCAATGCAGGTAGTGAAAAGTTTCTTCTCTGGTTTAAATCACTCCCAGGGGCCTCATTCTCAGACGCCATCAAGATTGTCGACCTTCGAGACCGCAATGCGGGCCGTGGTATAAGTACGTCGATATTCCTTGGTTCATACAGCCATACTGACTTTTATAGTTGCCCTACAGGATATTCCTGCTGAGACGACACTCTTTACCATCCCTAGAAAGGGCATCATCAATGTTGAAACGTCAGAGTTGCCCAAGAAGCTTCCCGACGTCTTTGACCTCGACAAGCCCATTGATGACGATGATGAGGCGCCGCGATTGGACTCATGGAGCTCTTTGATCCTTGTCTTGATGTACGAGTACCTGCAGGGTGAAAAGTCACAGTGGAAGCCCTACTTTGACGTGCTCCCCTCCTCGTTTGATACGCCCATGTTCTGGTCCGAGAGCGAACTAGACCAGCTACAGGCCAGTCACATGCGTCACAAAATCGGCAAGGCGGACGCGGAGAGCATGTTCCGCAAGACTCTTCTCCCCATCATTCGAAAAAACTCGAGCGTATTTGGCGGCGAGAACCGAAGTGATGATGATCTTGTCGAGATTGCGCACCGGATGGGCAGCACCATCATGGCGTATGCTTTTGATCTCGAGAACGATGAAGATGAGGAGGAGGAAGAGACGGATGGCTGGGTGGAGGATCGAGAAGGCAAATCCATGATGGGCATGGTTCCAATGGCCGACATTTTGAATGCCGACGCGGAATTCAATGTAGGTATCGGTGTATTGAGTGAGGGTGACACAGCTGACTTGGATATAGGCGCATGTGAACCACGAGGAAGAGAGCCTCACGGTGACCAGCTTGAGGCCAATCAAGGCTGGCGAGGAGATCTTTAACTACTACGGACCGCATCCCAATTCGGAACTGCTCCGGCGATACGGCTATGTGACTGAGAGGCATTCTCGTTATGACGTTGTTGAGATTCCCTGGGACGTTGTGGAGTCAGTCATGAGGCTCAACTTTGGCATTTCTGGCCAAGTACTGGAAAAACTGGTATGTCTTGAAAATGAACTCAACGGCAACTTGCTGACTTGGATCAGCGTCACGGTCTCGAAGAGGAGGAGGAGTTTGAAGACACATTTGTGCTGGAGCGTGAGACTGGAGAGGTGAACTCGGATGGCACATTTTCAGGCCCTGCTCGGTTCGAAAGCATGCCCGAGGATCTCCAGGAGCAGCTCAAGACGTTCCTCAAGGGGGTGAAGAAGGCTCAGCCTGAAGCCATTCCCGACAAGCGAAAACGGGACGAAATTCATCATGCTGTCCTGGCCAAGACATTGCAAGCTCTTGCATCGAAATACCCAACAAGTACCTCGGAGGACGGAATTCTGCTCCAGAGACAGGACCTCAGCCAGCGGACCCGCATGGCTATCGAGGTCAGACTGGGAGAGAAGAAGTTGCTCCAAGAAGCGATCGCGTCGACATCCTCGGTTGACGTTGAAATGACAGTTGATGATGAATCTGGACCATCGAAGCGGGCAAAACGGTCGGGTTGAGGATGAACCCGAGTTGACAAAGAACATAGGTCATCCTATTCCTCGACTTTAACCGTTTAAAACGGAACTACCGTCGATCGACGGGCAATTGGAGCATCCCGAGATTGTGATTGAGCCTCCCGGATCCATGGGATTGCAACCCATGCAAGAGGCGCAGAAGGCATCAAATACCAAAATGCGAACCATTTGCCCAACGCGACGAGGCAACAAGCACTAAATCAAATTACAATTCGACGCGACTGCATTTTTCTCCTATTTAAATGACCTTTTGCCCCAAAATTTCCTGTGTCTTTTGCACTTTAGACTCACGACTCTAACCACAGCAAGTGACCGCGACCGACAGCAGACCATGATGTATACGTCGTCGTTCGAAACAGGAACAAGTTGCGATTCATGCAGTACGACAAAAGATATCGAATGTGTACCAAAGTTCCTTCTTTTGAAATAACATAGGCTGCATTGGAACCCAACGGCTAGTACTAGTTGACATAGCTGTCAACAGGTACGCGGATAGTCTCCCGACACGAGCAAGGTCTCTTTTACAAAGCAGCATTGGGTGGATCTGTTTCTGCCCGAGATAGCTAGCAACACCTGACGGACCTTGATTCATCGCTTCCCGCGGCTCATCCTCTCAGGCAACCACGTCTTGCATATCAGCGTGGTCTGCATTGGCTCTGACCGGCGAGCACGAGTGTGCTGCCGATACCAATGGCTTATAGGATAAATGCAGCCTCGCTAACGTTGCCAGTTCAAGATGATTTGCCCGCTACGGATACCTGTAGTCTTGGAATCAACTGATCATCTATCTAACCGCTGCAACCTCTACCGTCGGGTGCCTCAAAGTGTCCGAGATTCTGGTCCATGGTGTGGATGCTGCCAACAGTCGTCATGGGCTGTGCCCTCCCTCTGAGAAGCCGGCTGCAACTGGGATACGAGGGATTCATGGCTGGCTTCGACACGGACTATCCCGAGGTAGGCTCGGGATGTTGCCTTTCGGCATGTCATTAGATACCCGCGCTTCGACGCAGGCTCAGAGCCTTGGGCTTGGGGGTTTGGTTGCTTTTTCGGCAAAAGGGTTGCCCGCTGAAAGTCCCTCACCAAGAGATTCTGGTCAGACTACTCCAGGACCCTGTTGTGCTTCAACCCCGGGGAAGATCTACCATGCCCCATGCATGCCCTTAGGACATGGGAGACTTCTGGCCTCAAACGCGACTCAGCTCCCATCTTGAACTGAAACCGCCACCATGACCGCAGAACCCAGCAGCAAGACAACCCATGGTGCCATCAACTGGGGAAGCAAGAGTGCTAGCGCCAACAATGGATCGACGGCCAAAGATCTGGAGGTCGGCTCCATTGGTCCGCGAGTAAAGCGCATCTGCATCTCGTTAAACCGGTCTAGCAAGGGATGGCATTACTTGGAGCCACACACCAGGTTATGGTGTCCTCTTCAGCTTGAGAGAAACCCCCCGACCACATTTGCCGAGCAGCAAAGAGAGACCGGTGTCAACAAAAGATCAAGTGAGAGGGTCCGGCCCGCAGCCGCTCTGCATGAACTGGGGTCTGGCTCTCGAGACCAAGGCCCCCCCCCCCCATCCCCCATCCCTCATCACGTACACATGCGGGACGCAGCACACCAGAGTCGGAGAGATAGCGTGGAGCAGGCGTGGCACCAATCCTCGGGGTCAAGTTGAGACGAAGACCAGGGCCCTGCTCGCCAATGGTACGGCAGGGCTGTCGACAGTTGCCGAATCGGTCCATGCTCCTTGGATGTCTGGCAGACAATGCACCCGGACACATGGCGTCGAAGCTGACAGTTGACCCTCGGGTCGACGTGGGGCAACGTCATAGTGATGCACCTCATTCGGCCGTTTTCTTTGCTGCCTCTGAAGCTGTATTTCTCATCGTCGTGGAGGTGGAGCAGATGGCCGGTCCCTGGGATGCCCTCTGGTCAAGGGTTACGGGCGGACACAGCATGGCGGCCCAAGTTTCGCCGGCCTCACGCGGACGTTTCTTGGGCAGCGAATTTTGCGGCTCTACCGCCGAGTTGTGAAGCGGATCCGGTCTCGAAAGGACATAAAGAGATGGAGGTTTACTCGGGGGTTGGACGAGGCTGAGGGGGAGAGAGCACGATACACCACCCTGACCACCTATCTTGAAACATCCGCAAGAGACACTTTCGACTTTGACCATGTCTAAATCAGTAGGTCTTGATCTTCAATATGTGGCAAGGCAATTGAGCTTACAGCGGGCAGCACAAGTCCAAGCACAGCGGCTCGAGCCGGGGCCGAGGAAGCTCGGGAAGCCAGCAGAGGGCCGGAATGAGCTTCCTGTTTATTGCCAACAAACTGAGAATCCAAGAGCCAGAGGTAGATGAATATCATCACTTTATTCCACCACGATCACCCGATAGCTACTTGGGTGAGCTTCCGAGCAAGGTGATGCGGTACTCTGATGGCGAAGTCTCAGAAGCTTGGGGATATCACTGGTATCGGGATGAACAAAACCCGGCTGGGCAGCTCATGCGCCTCGACCAAGGGGGCAGTTACATGCTGGACCCAGCCACGGGTTACTGCGTCTGCGCTGAAGGGTATAAGACCTTTGCCGTCGCTGCTTGTAACCCCCTACTCCCCATCATGGTGGCCGACCAAGACCCCCTCGTCTACTCAACGAGCTGGGAGCTTTTGCGCATCTTTCACCCCCCACACAGCCGCGGCCGCTCTCAGGTCGTCACACTCGAAAGCAACATGGGACCCGGGGGCGCTCCAGTCCGCTACGTCGCCGGCCGGTCACCCAGTTGGATGCCCGGCCTCCTGCCGAGGACATACCGTTCGCCTACCGCACATCCACCAGAGTCGGCGGGCCTGGGGGGAGAGTTGCCCATCGTACTGGGGCTGATGGCGCTGTGCGCTGAAAAGGGTCCAAATAGCAACGAGGCTATAAACCAGCTGTTTTTGGACCGGCGAACGTGGCGGCGGAATGAATGGAGGGGTGGCGACACACCACGGGGTTGTGAGTACTTGCTCGTCTCCTCTGCTCGGCTACGACTAATGACTTGGTGTGTTATAGATCCGGATACTGCCCAAGACGACCCATGCGCCTTTCTTGTCAAGGTGTTTCTCGATCCAGAGAACCCAGCGAGTACAGCAGAGTCCCTTGCGGGGTTTGAGTGGCACTCTGCTGTTGTCCGCGAGTCTTGATCGTCAAGCGGACCGCGGTGAAACTCATGCCCATGTCTGCATTTTGGCACTATGGATTTCTTGCAGTCTCCGGGTCTGGTAACTTTGTTACCCCTGCCTCTCGCTAATTCATTCATTGACTCTTAAATACGTTATGTGGTTATTTCAGCCATGATGGGAATCAGATTGACGACAACGGTGTGAAGATCGATCTTGTGGTTTCTATTATTCATTCCTCTCGCTGAGTTTTCGGTATAAAATGGTCCCGTCCCCTTTCCTACTCAGCTCTTGCAGCTAGCTCCCTTCAATTGTCCATCTCCTTCATCTCGATGCACCCTTGATAGCCTCGGACAAAGGGTCCTTGCGCTGTCGATGCAGGCCTTGAGCAATCGCATAAACATGTCGGTGACGTTGAGATGGGCATGCTTGAGAGGCACGGCTCGGTTGGATGGATTTGTTTATGTGTAAATAAATGGTTTGTCTCTGCCGTTCAAGACTGAAATCAGACGGCATCGGGAAGTCGCACAGCAATATCTCCAGATTGGGTGATGTATCGCACCCATGGGAGAGAGGGATATTGCAACTGCAGCAGTTAGTATGATGAATGTTTATGAGTATTGCGCTGCGTACCTTGGGCTCGGTAATCTTGAGATACCGCACTTGGATTCCACTGGTGGTGAAGTAAGGAATCTCAAACTTGACCTGGATAGGTCGCTTTGCACCCTTGCCTGGCCCTCCAACACCACCCATGCTTCCACCGAAACCACCCATCATGCCACCTCCCTGCTCGTCATCACCCCTCACGCTTGGCAGGCCCAGCTCAGCGCGCATGAGGAACTCCTTGCCACCACCGAACTGCTTGATCTTCCAGACAATGGCGCTCTGCTCGGGCGCATAGTGGACGGATCCAATGTTGGTGCGGAAACGGGGGCTATCGGCGTCGTCGGGCACGGGGACGACAATCTCGACGTTGTTGGCGGTACTGCGGCGCTTGAACTGGGCGCGAGCCTTGAGCATGTACTCGATACGGGAACCCGAGTGAGACTCGACCACACACTCCACCCAGATCAGGGGCTTAACCTGCGTGTTGAGGCGGTAGGACATGAGCTCGAATTCGCCGTCCGGAGGGATGAAGGAGATGGTTCGGTCATTCTCGAAACGCGACAGACGCACGCACTGGTGGAACTTGACATCCTCCATCTCGATAGCCTTGCCGCGGGTGGCTCGACCCGTTGTTTCAAACATGACCTTGTCGTTGAGGCCCAGACGTAGCTCAGGCATACCACTCAGGTAGCACTTCATCTTGATGGCGCCAAGAATCTCGGAACGGAGCACGTTGCCGTTTGCGGAAACGAGAAGGTTGAGGGACTCGACGACGTCGAGGAAGACCTCGTTCTTGCGGTAGCGAATGCCCTCGGAACGCCATGACACGGCGTTTGTGACGGCGATGGGCGGGCGAGCCTGGATCTCGAGCTTGTGGGACTCTTGGGTGATGTACTCCTGGAGAATCTTGGACTCTGTGGTCTGGGGGTAGCCAAAGTCCATCATCTCGTCGAGGAGCTCGTAGATGATGACAAAGTTGTCGCGGATCGACTCTTCTTCTAGAGCCTTGAAGTACTCGGTAAAGACCTCGACGATCTTGTGGAGGAATAGGAGGATCTCGGCGGCATTTGTGTTTCGTTTTGTGAGGGCGAGGAGGTAGAGGTTGTTGTGGCGGATGTAGAGGTACTGCATTGGGGAGCTGGTCAGCGAAGCTACAGCTGTAGCTCCAGGGGATGACGCACGTTGATGCCCTCATGGGAGAAGCATGGCGGGACGGCGGACGAGTCCTCCTCAGCTTCTGAGAGGAGGACGGGGAACTTTTCGACGGCCGACATGGGAATGTCACCTCTGTAGTTGCGGGCGAGAAGGGTCTGCGCAAGGCCAGATCAGCGTCATGTCGGCGATGGTATGGTTACGGCGGCGGCAGGGGATAAGCTGGACGCACCTTGCCCTTGAGGTCGAGGAAGAATAATGCGGACGCCATGATGAAGGGTTTATGGAAGAGGAGCGGTAGTCGTTATGTTGGAGAGACCAGTCAACTCGAGGTCGCAGGTCGGAGGGGTAGAAAGGAGGTCGTTATATCGTCGTCAATTGGTGATGCGACAGGAGAAGCGCGAGGATGAACAGCTCGAGCGGGAGGATCTAGAACTTGGGACGACGATACAGAGGGCGAAGCACGAGAAAAGAGAGAATGGAATAGAAGAATTAGGGGGTTATACAAGAGCACAGGCAGTCATGATTGTCCGCAGCGCAATATGGTATTGGTCAGTTTCAAGCCAGAGGTTCGCTGGCATCTTTTGAGAGCAGCCTGGCCGAGCGTTGACGGACAGGATGTTGGCGTGGATGAGGTCGGTAAAATGTCGGATGTGGTGGGGTAGCTCGATCCGTACAGTCACGTGATGAAGCTGTTTGCGGGAACAGTAGAAAAAAAAAACTTGCAGAGCTACCAGAGCTTTTCTTTTCTTTCTTCTCTATAACGCACCCTCTAGACAGTGCAGACCATCATCTAGCCCACAACCGGGTGGCATTCTGTCATACCAGCCGTGGAGCCGTTGATGAAACTGCGATTTCGTGGTGCGGAGAAGGAGACATTGTGGTTCCATTAAGAACTGCCCGAGTATTTACTTTTCCCGTTGCTTGGGCGGTGTCAGAGGAACCGGACATTTTTCAGTTCAACAGAACAGAATTTATCATGTGATGGAAGTTGTTGAGCTTCATGGATCATCTGGACAACTGCCGATTGGCATCCGGAGAGGGCATTATCAAGCCAGCTTATAGATGACCTCGGACAACGATGCCGGGATGCGATCCGAAGTGTCGACATGGGCTGCAAACTTTCATGAACCCCCTAACTGGTGGGTGGCGCTCGTTCATGTGGTAAAGGCACACGACCTTTAGCTCGCCATTGAAATCCTTTTGTTGGGGAATGGATCTCTCGGTGAGCGAGCGTCGACCGCTGGAATGAGCGCATAGTATCGTGAAAGATGCTCCCACGGCATCTACAGGGGCCCAGTCGACATCTCGCATGTTGCACTCCGTATCAGGCACTCTGCTCGCCAAACAGTGGATGGCGATACCGTCTCCTCGGCATCAGCTTCGACCCACTAAACCTAAACAAGAAGCTTACTCCAACAGCTGTCCAGAACTGAAGTCCGTGATGGTGTAGAGCTTCGGCCTCGGCTGGAGGGAACCAGAGTTTGCACGTTGAGCAATTGTCATGTCACAAAATTTCCTATTGCGACAGCGACAGCGACAGCGACAGCGACAGCGAGGTGTGTTGCGGCCACGACCTTGTTGGATGTGAGTTGCCACCGTTGGCACATGTCAGATGCCTCACATGTGTTTGGTGTGGTGTAGTCGGACTTGTACGATGTGAGCCCTCCACTCCAAGAGAAAAGACCGGCAGCCCGGGTACAGTACGGTATCTTGGCTGAGGGGGCATCAGGCACAAGGACGAGACTTGCCAAGCGGGCCGAATGCCGAATGGTTTGTCTGATTCTCAAGGGGATTGGACGTGGACCGTGACAGCGTCAAGACGGACAGAGCTCAGCCCGAGATGAGCAAGCCATGAGCAAGCAGAGTTGCTCGACTGGCATTGCGACAGGATTGGTGGCAGGATACCTAATGAACTCTAGCGCATTGATTGAACGAGGATGTGATCCTCCGCGGGATAACGAGTGTTGCGTACCATCAGCAAGTTGAGTTGCAACGGCGTCCAAGGAAACAAGATCCGGCAGGTTGATCCTGTTAGCGACTCTGACATGACTCGGGTGGGCGGCCTACCAACGTTTACCCGGCAGGCACGTACCTGCGGACGCAGATTTAATCTTTGCATGTGATGCAAACCGCAAATGATTTCCCGCTCCAACGCCGCCATCATCATCATTGCCCCGGGCTTTGACACGTGCTCGAGGTGGGAGACCCGCCCAGGTCCTCCTCTTCAGGTACAGCCCCAGTATTTTGCGCCAGGGGAGAAGAATGCGAGTTAAATCTTGTGATGGTCAGGAACGTTAATACTCCCACTGCCTTCTCTCTCCTTGCTTGGAGATCATCCTCAAACGTCGTCTGCAGAGTGAGTGTTGTCGCCCCGATAACCTGGTCGTCTACCCCTGCAGTACCTGCTGACTGAGACCGACACAGGTTCCCGTTATTGACGGACCGTCTCACAGGCTTCCAGGTTTCTAGCGAGGCTTCTTCCCCACTGAACTCGCAAGCAAAAACCCACTGCAAAAGAGTCACGGGCATCCCACTCTCCCGTCTGAAAAGCCTCTGAAGCCCTTCAAGCCCGGCCCGGTTTTTAGTGGGTTCGCGCCGTCGTCTCGCGCGCCTGTTCTCAGCCGGTCCCTGCAGCTGGAGCGACCCGTGGGCGCCTGACGTTTTCTGCTTCTCTCTCTGCTGTCTCCCCCCCACGATCGCTCCTTCCCCTTCCTGTTGCCGTCACCTCATCCACCACACGAGGCGCCCTTCCCATATTCCTTCCCCCCCCCAACCATTTTCTCCTCCGCTTCTTTCCTCTCCACCATAAGAGAACCGAATCGCCGGATCTTTTCGTTTCCTTCGTCTCGACGACCTTACGCTTGCGTATACGGCCTGTGGCCGCTCTGTTATTCGTATCCCGTTCCGATGTCCGATTGACGTAGCCGTCTTATCACCGACGCCCAGCGCCGCCATGGAGCGCAATCACATGCTTGCCCCAACGAGCGATCGCGAGACCTCCTCCTCTCGCGAAGCCATCCTCGGGCCACCGCCTGCTCGACCGCCGCCCTCTCTTATGGGATTTTCCCCTCCAGCTTATTCCAATTCCGCCCATGCGATAAAGCTCCCCGATGTTCCCAACACTGAGCTACCACCTCTGTCACATTTCGAGGCCGACAATGATATCAAGCTGCCGTCGCTCAGCTCGCTGACTAGCGAAATGGCCCTCGACCCTCCCAAGAACCATTGGCCTCCGATGAATCCCATTCACGCATACCATCCCATGGCACCGTTGGGGCCTCAAACGATGGATAGTCCGACTCGAATGGATCTTGATGCGAGCAGTAACAGCGTCGTCAGCGCTCCATCCCCTGATCGACTCCTTGATGCGAGGTCAAGCAGCGTCAGTCTCGATGATCCTGACGTGCGATTAGCCGCCGAGGCTCTCGGTGATTTGAGAGCGGGTTTGTGTTCCTCATGCATGCGATGTGCGATGCGTGGATGATCGACTGATAATTGTCATAGACTTTATATCATCACCCCCTCACAGAAACACATCGCTTCCTGTGAGCCCGCCGACCTCTCACGGTTTCCAGTCGTCGAATCCAACTCAACCACAATCTCCGCGACCGGAACCGTTATTATCTCTTCTTACAACGACACATCCCCTGTTGGCGAGCACCATTGAGGGTGCCACCTCGGCGTACGGAGGCGCCAAGAACTTTTCTCCACGTTTTCGATCAGGAGCTGAATACGTCGAAGGCTACCTGACGCCTATCGCCAATACTGTCGGCTCTGTTGGTAGAGTGACAGGTGTTGAAGGGGGTGTGCGATGGTTTTTGGGTGCCGGTCGGAGGCAGAATAGCTCGGCGTCAGATCTGGAGGCCGGTAACAGCAAGAAGCGACGAAAGGTGGACAACGAGGGTGAACCAGTCAGCAACAAACGCCTTGAGGGTGAAGGCATGAAGCATATCGCTGGCCTTCAGCAGCTTCCAGCCGACGCTGGAACACAAGAGCCCTTCTCGCCCCCTACCAGGGCATGCTCGCGTCGCATGTCAACAACAAGTACCATTGATACCCTCCCGGCTTATGATGAGCTGCGGTCCCCCGCCTACACGGAAACAGCTGATACACAAAGCTCATCACGACCAACCTCGCGGTCTAGTGGCGCTTGGCAATCTCGACTAATCATGTCGACGTCGGGGTTGAGCGTCGCCATGAGTGAGGAGAGTCTTCGCAGTTTGAAGTACTGTCTGCAATGGCTCAGGTGGGCGAATGGTCACATCGCCCGTGTAATCAGCGCCCTGAAGACCACTCTCGAGCAGTACGAGCAGGCAAACAACCCATCTGCCGCACAGCAGAATGGATCAGAGAAGCAGCTCTTGCAGGGTGAGGCTAATGAAGCGCCTGACAACTCGCAGCAACAATCTCGAAGCGCGCTCGCCGCTCGTATCTCTACGCTCAAAGGCGACGTCTTGAAGACTCTTCAGGATGCAATCCTGACTGTGTCAAAATATGCAGGTGGCGCTCTGCCCGAAAACGCACGAATTCTTGTGCGCCGTCATCTGACCAGCCTGCCCCAACGCTTCCGTGTCGCTACCCAGTCAGACAACAGTTCTCAGAATGGAGAACGAGACAGCGACTCGGCCCTTTCTGAGGGCGCGCAGAAGGTTCTTGTTCTGGCCAAGGAGGGTCTGGACATGGTGACTCAAGTGAGCGGTGTTGTCGACGGCACCATTGTCAGCGCCGAACAGTGGCTGGATCGCATGGGCAAGCGAAGGCAGAAGCAGGATGAAGAGAAGCCTGTGTTGCCCAAGACTGAGCCCGAGTATAATGGCGATGTCAAGATGGGTTAAGACCGCATTGTGGCGGACAATGCTCGCAGATGGAGTTATAGTGATGGAAACGGAAAAACAAAAACATAAGGGGATCGCAAACAAGCCTGGAGCTTCCAGGATGTGAATTCGAGGGCAAAAGAGGCGGCTGGCGAACATGGGCGGATGATTTGATACCAAACAGTCCCGCAAGAGGCGGAGAATGCGCGTTCCTTTACAATGGTTTCCCCTGGATGGATGGAAACGAACGATGAGCAGGGGGTTGCGATGGGGTTGACTATAACTGACTGTCTTACTGACACTTTTCTTTGGGTATTATCTGGTTGTCCTGGTGTCTAGGTAATAGGGCGTTACTGGTTGATTGATAACATGAAAGAGACAAGGAGTGTTGTGGAGATATTCAGGAGAGTGTTGATGGGTTTCTATTTGATTTGGATGTGGATGCAAAAACCAATGCCTTTAGTTTCGACTTGGGGAGCTGCTTCGTCTTGTCTTGTCTTGTCTTTGCAGTCTCGGGTTGTTTTTGATGGTCTTGAATGCTACACAATGGCTGACTGTTTCTGGCCCTGGCTGGAACAAGACAGTCGCAGAGGATGATAATCAACAAGGTTGATGCTTTGTCTTGGCAAGGAGGCCTCATGGCGATATTGTAGCGAGCTGTTTCTGAGCTTTATTAGCCAACATGATATTCCATGGCATTTCTTGTTGCCCACGTGGATGATCTCTCGTTAATTATTATCGTGATCAACGGCTAGGGGAGCTGCTATATCGATGCGGTTGGTTCGGCTTCTCTGAACTGAAGAGTGTCTCTCCACACCGAGGGATCGCCATGCATTGGGCCTTGAATCCAAGCAAGCCACATTGACTCTGGTTGGGTTTCTTACGTAGCATGCAGATCGAATCCCGCAGATTGGTTCTCGGGAGGCTTCTCCACCAAATGCCGTTGTACCGTGTTGCTCGCATTCATCGTACCTGACTTGGCCGTTTGAGTCTGCCTGGGAAGCGAGGGATACGGGCTGCGAAACGAAAATGCCCCACGTCATCTATCATTGATATTCTGCGCAAAGCCACTGACAATGGTGGATTGGCCAGTAAGAGCCTTGCAATTTTTCGAGACGGCTTCAAGACAGTAAGGCGGATGGCGGTTGCTAAGCCGGGACAAGGCTGAATCACTTGCGTGTCTGAAGTCCTCCGACTCTTGACGGTGGGCTATGCAATTGGAACTTGGACTTATAAGACTATTGTACTGGAAGCTTGAAAGTATATAAGTGATGGGCTCCTCCATGGGATTAGATAGAGAAGCAGGACAGTCAAGTCAACACCCTCACCATGAAGCCTCTTACAACTCTAACACCCCTTGTACTCCCAGTCTTAATCGGCGCCAAGGGAGAGCCGACTTATACATCCCATTCCCTTCCTACAGCTGCTCTCGATTCGGGACCTGTCATCGGTCAGACCACCACTCTTCCAGCAGCGATTGCACCCGTCAACAAGTTCCTGGGCATCCCCTATGCCGCAAAGCCAGAGAGGTTTGGTCGACCCAAGAAACCTGAGCCTTGGACGGAACCGTTGAATGCTTCCGAGTTTGGACCTTCGTGTCCGCAGTTGTTTGTTGACAATGGTGAGTGAACCACTATTCTAAGTGAAGATGGAGTCTGACTAGGTGACAGAACTCACTCCAGGGTTGGACATTCTCAAAGACTTTTTCGGCACTGGCTCTGAAGAGAGTGAAGATTGTCTCTTCATAAATGCATTTGCGCCAACGAGTCCTCAGCCACCAGAGGGTCGTCCTGTTGTGCTGTTCATCCACGGAGGTGGTTGGCAGCAGGGAAATGGGCAGATTGACCTGAGCGGATTCGCTGGGTATGAAGACATTGTTGCATTTGCCTTTAACTATCGCACAAATGGTGAGTTGAAACTTACTGTTTATTGGTCACTTTACTGATGGAGCGTTAGTCTTTGGGTTTCCTAATTCCCCTGATGTATCGACTGAAGACACCAACCTCGGCTTGTACGATCAGCAACTCGCTATCGAATGGGTTCAGGCCAATTCTCGTGCCTTTGGAGGTGATCCGAAAAAGGTCACTATCTGGGGCGAGTCAGCTGGTTCCATGTCGGTCGATATTCAAGTAAACGCCTACGGTTCCAAGTCGCCACCCCCTTTCCGCGGCGCAATGATGTTTTCTGGACAAATGTCAGTTGGACTCCTCGGAAGTACTGCTAATCCAGAAGATACAACCAACTGGGACTCTTTGGCTGCTGTGGTTGGGTGCAACGACACAGAGAATCAGTTACAGTGTATGCGAGATGTCCCGGAGAAGGACCTCGTCAAAGCCATGAGCACAGCGCAGGTGGCATTTCTCCCAGTGACCGACAACGTTACTCTTCCTAGTAGAAGAGCTGAGAGATGGCGAGAGGGAAAGAATTCCAAGGTCCCGGTGTTGATGGGTACGATTGCCGAGGAAGGACGGGCTTTGGTGAACCGGAACATCACCATGAAGACGTTTTTGGATGCGTATCTCGCGGAGCCATTGGTTACTAAGAAGCAGCAAGAGGCGATTCTCAAAGTATACGAAGCAGATCCCAAGCTGAAGAATGATTTTGATCTTGCTGCGGCGATATATACGGATTTCTTCTGGCAGTGTGTAAGTGCCACCATCCCGCCTCTTTGGACAGTCATTTCTAACATATGTGACAGCCTCAGGGGATCCTGGCCAACATTTCAGCCTCAATCGACAATCCAACATGGCGCTTCTACTTCAACACATCCATAACAAACCTCTTTGGTGAAAAATACTCCTGGATGGGGAAATTCCACGGCTCCGATGTGGCCCTCCTCTTCAGCACGCCTACCTTTGAAGGCGAAGCGGGCGGAATACCCTTTACCCCACAGCTGTACACGTTTGGAAATTTCCTCCGCGGAGTAGCTGGCCAGTTCATAAGAAACCCAGCAGCTGGACCGGGATGGCCGGGTGTCGGGTTCAAGTATGCGCCGTATGATGTTGTGAGCTTGGGGGGTGAGGGAGGACTAGCGGGGGCTACGGTTGTTGATGAGACGGTTTTGGATGAGCGGTGTAGGTTGTATGAGGAGATTTATCCCGTTATTGAGGAGTATGTCTTGTCAACCTAGGTATTCACATGTTACAGTTTACATACAGTTGTTCTGGACATGTCCCTTTTCACTCAGTTGTCACAACTCATTATGATGGCTCATTACTCTGCAAGATCCTTCTATGCATGCTGACAGAACAAAAAGATATGCAAACTCGAACTTGAACATTCTGACTTACGTCACTCTCGAACAGGGTAAAATTCCCCACAAGCTTCTAGTCGGCTTCTATATGCCGGCAACCACGCCATCTACCGAGCCGGTTTCCTAAATAAGCGTGCAAGCCAGGGGCTACTTATACGATATTGCCATGTGTCTTGAATACCGAGGTTTGAACTTGTTAAAGGCCATACACAACTGCTAATGAATAAACTCTCGATACTTTGGTGTCACATACATAGTACGCGGCCCCAGGGGGCTTCAATTTCCACTTAATCGCCTCGGCTCTCTGCTGCTACTACCGCGCGTTCCGCGGACAAAACCTTGACGCTATTGGGCCAGCTTGACGTCCCACGTATGCATTATCAGAAGTTGGGGATGCAGTTGTTGATTTGGAATTGTCCTCGGGGGCTCCGAAGTGATCAACAACTTCAATGTAACTCATTGATACTGGATCCGGCGACGAGTTCCACTGTGGCTCTTGACTCGGCAGTCGAACGAGACACGAGGTCTACATAATCTTCAAGCTCGAGGTTGACATGGATATCGTTGCATGGGTCTAAACTGAGGATCTCGTGGAAAACACATGGGAAAAGATTGATAGTCAAGATTACGAGGTGCTCACTCTGATGATGGCAATTTATGGGATGGGTATTCATCTTTATTTTATTCATTAACATGCTAATCTGTTCAGCTCATTTCTCATAAGATCTCGACATCTTAAATGCCTATCACACTGTTAGCAACTTATTCACAAGCAAACATGCCGCATCACTCACCAATGGCCTTGGCAAGAGCCTTGCCAACAGCATGGGCGGAAGCAGGGTTCTGTCCAGTAATGACCAGTCCATCAACAGCAAGCTTCTCACCCCAGTCCTCGCCCTTGACGTAGTTTCCACCGACACGCTTGATCTCATCCTCGAGAAGGGCAGGCATGGCGCTGGTCAGCTGCACAGCTTCCTCCTCAGAGTTGCTGAAGCCTGCGACAGTTCGGCCCTGCAGAAGAGGCTTTCCGTCGATGGTGACGTTGACAAAGACGATGGGGCCGTGGCAGACGGCGGAAACAGGCTTGCCGGCCTTGTAGAACTCCTCGATGAGCTTGATGGAAGTCTCATCCTTGACGAGGTCAAACATGGGGCCGTGACCACCAGGGTAGAAGATGGCATCGAACTCGGAAGCCTTGCCGAGGAACTCGCTCAGAGGTCGCGTGTTCTCCCAGATGGACTTCTTCTCGTTGAGGAACTTGACAGACTCGGGGTCGCTCTCAAACATCTTGATGGAAACCTCATCCAGGGGAGACTTGCCGCCAGCGGGAGAAGCAACGACAATCTCAACCTTGGGGTTGGACTCATCCTCGCCGACGAGGTCATAGTAGGGATGGGCAAACTCGGGCTAAGTGAAGTGTGAGCTTTTTGTGTGACGTATAAAGCGGGGTGAAAAACCACTTACCAGATACCAGCCGGTAGGATTGCCATTGTCCATCTTATCACGAGAGGTGAGAACGACGAGAACCTTCTTGGGAGCCATTTTGATTGAGATTTGAGCTTTTAGCTTTTTTTTCTGTAGATGTAATGAATTGAGATGAAAGAAGAGTTGTAGATGTCAATGATGTTGTTGATCTACGGACTGCCACACCTTTTTATATAACCCACCTGCATATACCTCCACCGCTTCATAAACTTTTTTCTCGTATCCATCCTTGCAGGACTCGGGACAACTCTTTCACCCGGGCATGACAAACCATCTTTTGATCTTCTAGAAAGCTGACGTCACACACGCGGGCGTAGCCGTCCCTTCTCGGCATGCAGCTCCGAGGGGAGGCTCCGCTTTGTAGCGCCGGCCATAAAGGGTCAGTTTTCGCCGGGTGGAGAACCTCGGCACGGCCGTGAGCGGGGCCGGATGAGTTTGAGCAGAGACCATGAAGGTTCTGGTAACGTTGAGGTAGTGATGGAGTTTCTAAGCGGTGAAGGGATTGAAGCCTTCTTGAGCTGAGATGAGACACTTGGCTGAGTTGTTGTTTCACATTGGCGGTGTTATAAAGCAAACATACGGGGCAAGGAGGAAACAAGGCTCTAGGACAAAGATATTAGGTTATTCTCCCTGAGAGTAGCCATGAGAATAATACAATACAAAGAAAAGTCTTAAACTAGGGTATCTTTTTAATGACCCTATGTGTTTTTTTTCTGTCTTTTTTTATAGATATTTATATAGACTTGATTTGCTATTCTGGACTTATATAGTCCCTGACTTCTCAACCTTCCTCAGAGCATCAAAACGCAACATACCCCCTACAGAATATCTACTCACGGTTGTTAATTGGCGATAAAATATAATTTTACCCTTAGTTATCGAGAGTAAGTCCCACTAGTGCTCTATCATGATTTTGTCTACCTGCGGTATCCATGCACAATGAAACGGCCTGCCTACCCTGTATCGGCACAAGACAAACTTGGGGACAAGGATGGTGAGATTCTTTCCTTCAACCAACAAACCTCCCCCGGTAAACGACAACCAAGGTGACTGCTAACCATTCACCTCCAACTCTTCCTGCTGCCCATCGAGATGTCCTCTATACCCCATCTCAGCACTCTCCCTCTAGAGCTTCTACACTATGTATTGTCCTTCTTACCCAAAGAGGCTCTGCTTCAAACGCGACTCGTCAACCGTCACTTGACCTTTCTGACTGCTCCCAGCGCATTTCGCTTCATCCGATTGGTAGCCTACGGCGAAAGCTCCAGAAAGTTCAGAGACCTGGCCGATTCACCGTTTCGTGTCCATGTTCAAGATGTCACCATCGACACCTGGCTCGGTCCCAACTTTAAATACCGAATGCACAATGTCTGGGAGCTGCCAGAAGATTTCGTCGATTGCTTCCCATTCTTGTCCTGCTTTCGAAACCTCAAAAGTCTACACCTCAGATTCCACGAGGACTGTGCAGAATTTGGACAAGGCGACGCTGATGAATCCAATGATGATCGACTCAGGATTCTCGTCAAGATACTCCGGTGCCTAGCAGGCAACTGGTCCGAAGAAAAGGAGAGAATCACAGCAGTGATTGGGGACATGGCGAATTTTCTCTTCTATCCCGAGGAGAAGCTGCCGCCAACCATAAACGGGCCTCCTATTCAGCTTTCCAGTCTGACCATCCGCAACTTGGGCGACCGTCACGACCCATGGGTTGCTTCTTCAGAAACCTTCAAGCTGGTCGTTGGCCCGGCGCTCCGTGATCTCCGACTTCACATCACGACTGAGACTGAGGGGGAAGAGAGAAACACCGAAAGCAATTCCATCGCAAAGTACACTTTATTTGAGAACCTACACACCACGTGGCTGGCCCCCGATGTCGTGGCAAACCTTCACACACTCTCCCTCTACTGTCGAGAGCCATGGGGTTTCAGCCCGAGGATGGACTTTCGCCGGCTTGGGAAAGGTAGAGGGTTGCCCAATCTCAAGGTTTTCGCCTTGGGAAAATACACCTTTAGTCACGAATGGCAGATTGATTGGTTTGGCTCGTTGAATCTGGAAAAGCTTTACCTGGATGACTGCGCTGTCCTGCATCAGTACCATTGTCGACCGTCGGAAATGGATCACGGTGAGACTGTAATAGGACAGGACGACTTTGGCAACAATATATCTATTTCTAACGAAGGATACTACAAGTCGATAAATGACGACGACGAGCCTAATGGTCCTCAAGGGAGGCCCGTCACGACCTCCACCACCCTTCGCTGGCACATGATACTCTCCCGCTGGCGAGAGACCATGACAAATCTACGAGTCTTTAAGATGGGCAGCGGCGACTGGTGGCGCCAAACAGCGTTCAGGACTTTTGACTGCCCCGAACTAGAGACCCCCGGGGAGGACATCTTTAGGTTTGGATGCGGTCTGTCCCAAGAAAGGCGCAACCAGCTGCTGTACATGTACCGCACTGACGAATGGTTGGGTTGGAGGGAGTGGGAGGAGGAGCGCCGTCAATATATTGCGGAGATGGAGCGGGAGGGAGAGGAGTGGGATACTGATGAGGAGGGGTTTGGTCTATGGAGGATGGAAGACGGTTTGAGGGCTAGGGATGAGAAGGCGCTGGATCTTTTTGTTTCGACGGTGGAAGAGAGGGCAAGGAAGATTGGATGAGGGATGTATCGTGTATCAGTATAGGGAGTTTTGTGCTTGAGAGTATTTTTGATGCGACCGTTAAAGAAGGCTTGGCGGAGCTGCTTTGAGGCTGTCATCTGGCAGATATTGGCAGTTTACTGTATCGACCATATAAAGAAGACGTCATGATATCAGTTCAACTTGATTAAATAGCCAAATATGTCGAGTGGAAGAGAGAAACTTGGCTCCTTGGGTATACGGATACTGTCCCCGACCACCCTACGTATTGGGGAACGCAACACGCCAAACTCAGCTCATGACACCTTGAACGAATTTCGATTCAAAGAAATTCAACGCAAAAACGAAACGAGTGTGATGACTGGGAGATATTCTTCACATGATTATCTTTGATGCGATTGTTGATAACTGCTGGGTAAGAAATTGCAGGGGCTGAACTTGGGCTGCGACTCTGCGAATCGGGGCAATATAGGTACTGTAAATACCACAGTAGAGATGGAAATGTTGGTGACTCGATGGCTAATATCTTTATTGTGAAAGAGGGTGGTCTCGTTCTTGTGTGCTGGGGCCCAAAGCAAGACAGGACATTCCACGTCTACGCCCACCATATTTGACGCAAGACGAGATACTATTCTGACCTCACAGCAACTGTAATGAATATCAAACCAAGGATACAAAAGCATCAAAATAAAACAGAAATTTGCAAATACTCCAAATGCATCTTTTCCACTTCCTTGCTAATCCCCTGTCATGAGCGCGTGCCTTTGGCTTCATTCCTAATTGGGTACCCAGGCGGCTCCGATAATATCACGGGAACCACTTTCAACCTCACCACATGACACCCTCGTCTCACAAAGACCATCTCCCTTGCGCTTCACCTCTTTCTTCCTTCTTATCAAGATACAAACATCTACGCATGTAAACGATTAGAATCAGCATCATGCCTTGGAAAGCACCCATTCACCACTTCTCCTATCGCTACCTCATCATTCCCCCAATCCTCCTCGCCCTAGCAACAATAATCGCCTTGTTCATCCACTCCGACGTCAACGCCGCACTCCTCTGGTCGCAATGTCACTCCCGCGCGCGTCTCCCAGGCCTAAGCCGCATTCCAGGAATTGGGACACCTCTGTGTTACGTCGTGAGCTTCTTTCGCGCCGCGATGCACTCGGTCCGCAGCTCGGCCGTCATGGCTGTTGTGCTCGCGTTTGTGGGCGGTTTGTTGACCGTCAGCTCTGTTGAGGCGGCGAGGATATGTAATGCGCCGAATGTGCTTATTGCATATCCTACGGGTCCGTGGCTTGTTTTTGATCTTGTGGGTGGTGCTGTTGTTTGGGAGCTTGTTATTATTCCGGCGTTTTTGCATCGCGCGAGGAGCGTCATTGTTGAGCAGGAGAGGCGAGATGAAGATGGCGAATCTCGCGATGTTACGAGTCGGCATCTTCCTGACAGTGAACTCGTGGCGATTCCCGTTAGTGTCGCACTCGGATACTTTCTACCGTCTCTCTTCATGTTCTTCTTCACATCCCCCGTCTCTATCGGCATCTGGCTCTTCTTCCCCATCTACGTATCCCTCATCCGCCAGGCCACGCGCAAGATCGTCAACCTCGTCAAGAGAGCCGACCCCACAACCATTCATCTCGCGTCAAGCCGACTCTCGCTAATCTTTGTCTACGCCCTCCCCGTCGTCTGCTCCATCCTGGCTCACATCCTCGTCATCTGGAGCCTCACTCTTCCCGATGACCGCAAGGAGATGACAAAGTCGACCATTGTGTTTATCGAGGTCGACACCCAGTTCATCTTTTGGACTGTTTTGTACTGGATGCTTGTCGAAGTTGGATGGAAGGTTCCTTTGACTACGCTCGTCACGGCCATTTTGGTTGGACCCGGTGCTGGAACTTGCATTGGTTGGATTTATCGAGAGAAACTCATTCATGATCACGAGGAGGCTTCTGAGGATGCTGAGCCTGCTGATGAAGAGACGCCTTTGTTGCAATAACGAGGCAAACCATAATACACTATACAACATAACCATAGAACGACATCTCACGTTAATGCATTCATCTCTTTTACAAGTCTTGTTCAGTCGAGACGGTCGTCACGCTTTGTACAGCTCCCAGGCCTATTTCCCCAAATGGTACAGTACAGATATATGATACAGATTAGTCCCGCTTCAACGCCATTCTTCAATCCTTTGGCAGCCTGGCCAATATCCGCTCCCTGACAACCTGTGACGCCACCACGGCCCCGTGCTGTAGCGTGATGGCCCCGATGATGGCCATGACGGCTCCGTTGAGCACCACCTCGAGACCCGAGGCCTTGAGTTTTCGCACCTGGAGTTGTTAGCGGGGTACATTTTATACAGACTTGTCCACCTACCAATCGAGGCTTCCACCGCACAACATCAATCAAGCCCACATGGGCCGCCAGGTGGTACAGCTTGTCCTTGCCGGCAACGTCCCTCGGTCCCTCCATGGTCAAGTTGTCTAGCGACTGTAGCTGGGGATGCTCAAACGGTGTGCGCTCGAACTCGTCGGGAACAATCGACCCGGGGATGGGGTCCTTGGCCACAATCGACTTGGTAGTCTCCATGATCAAGGTCATTCGGCCTAGCGGGGGTTAGCATGCCAATTGGTCTCTTCCTGCCTCAATTGAAACGTGTATGCCTACCCAGAAGCGCCAATCGGTCGTTGAACCCTCTCCTTCCTTGGTCGAAACTCTTGTGCGTGACGGCGAGCCACTTGAGCTCCTCGGGCAGAAGCTTACTACCGCCCTGTCCCAGCAGGCGCTCGTACACCTCGTCCAGCTTCCTGGGGTCATTGTTGACGGTCCAGATCTTGTTGTGGGGGTTCTTTGCAAAGTCGAGCTGCACTGGTGCCTTCATCCCGACGGGTGTCTGGCTCCATCTCGGGACTGGCTTCTGTGCTCCGGCGGCGGGCGTCTTGAACGATTCCGGGGTTGTGGATGTCGAGTCGGTGGCGTAGGTGCGAAGGCATGGCATGAGGGAGCGGGCGGCTTGTCTGCTCCGCACGAGGCCGGAGCGGCAGGGTTGGAGGGCCATGGCGGGGTGGGAATTGGGGGGTGGTCGTCGGATTTGCGCTGGATTCGAGGTTTACCATGCTTGAAGCTCATGGCGAACATTTTCTCAGGGTCACGTGTTGGGGCCGCTAACTTCCGTGTTCGGCGGCCCCACTCCGGCTTGGCTCCGCTGGGTAGGAGTCTTCAACACCAAAAACGGCTGGTGATGATGGTATTTTTGGCTTCACTTGGATGATGAATATTTTCTGTTCTTCTGATGAGGTTTATGTATTCAAATTGTGTGCTACTTTTCCATCAATTGATGACGTGTGTGTTGATGACCTAGTTATTGTAACAGCTCGCCCTTCTACCTTCCAGTTCCTCCATTGACACAGTCTCTCCTTCCTCGGGTTGGTGTTTCTATTCACCATGACTAGCACTTCTCCAGCTCATTTTCTTCTCTCTCGTATCACCTCCCACATCATCACCATTTACATCAACATCGCCTACGCCGCCTTCTTGGTAACACAACATGTCCATCACACAGCAGCCGATACCTCCAGAGGAAGAAGAGCCCCCGTTCTCTGCTGAATTCCTCTACTATCTCGATTTCACACCCGATGAAGCCCTCATGACCGATGAACAAATTAGACAGAGCTTCAGCGACCTCTCTCGGGCTGTTGCCCCCGAAAATGCTCGTGACGTCGACGAGTATCGCGGATCGACTCCTCTTCCGAAGGAGGATCTGATGCACTTCAAGGACCTCCACCAAGCTACGACCATCAAGGACCTCGCTGCTATAGTTGCCTCATCCTACGACGCACGCGACGTCTACGAGTTGCACAAACCGATCTTCATATGGAGAGTTCTCACCAGGTTCCTAGGCCCAAATGGCATCAACAATCTCCTGATGTGCGTCTATCTGGAAGCCGAGTGCAGTTTCTTCAGCCCTGCTAATACCAATGAGCTTGACTCTGCCATGCGGATGTGGAGAGCTGGAATTTTCGCTTCGCAAGAGGCCTACATCCCTGATGATCCTATCGTCGAGAGAATGCTGTCCCTCCTTTTTGACACGGCTGCTATCGTCAACCGATTCATGACTCAAATGTACTGTGAGAAATCACTTTGGGGACAAAATCATGAGAGTACGCTCTTCAACATATACCGACGGATAGGATTCCGGCCAATCTAGGAGAAAGATAACCGTGGCGACATTCGAGCGAAGCGACGCCTCTACCGCCTCTGCTTCCTCGCCTGGATCGTCTGCCAGGCCTGGGATCATCGGCACTCAACCATTTATCATCATGGCCCAGTATGGTTCAATTTGATATCTGACGACGACGCAATCGCTATCTGTCGGCTCCTCTATCAACTTGCGCATTGCCAAACTATGGCAAATGATGACGGGCTGATTGGGGAGATGGTCAGGATCTTTCGTCAGGGGCAAGGCGACGCCCAAGTTTCTGCGTATGGATCATCAAGGCCTGAAGTCACCATCCTGTACTGGATGAAACCGCATATGGCTTTGAAGGACATCTTTGCACCCGCCGACAGGTGGTACAAATCAACGACGGACAGCTAGGGCCAATATGAAGTTGACGGTCACGGGTATCCAGTTTCGTGCGAGTGCCCTTGGTGTGTATCATGCACATGCCTAACGTGCAAGAGTCTTGTTGAAGCTGAAAGGCAAATGGCACAATTCGTTTGGGTTTTGCTTGATGATGATCAGTAATGGAGTGTTGGGAGAAGTTGTGCAGTTTGAGCATGTGGCTGTTTTATCGGTCCTGTCAATAGAATTCATAAAGTTCCCACCAAATTCTGCACCTATGACCAACCCCTGTAATCTACTGGATCCCCAGGCGGGAACCCCTGAAGCTGGGCCGCTAAACCCCGCCCCGCGCTGCTGCCCCAGCGACGGTTACAGTGACCAACCACCTAAACAACTTTGGACCTGCATTTCATCTCAACTTCAAGCTCTTGAACCTGCGTCATCGTCAACTCCAACATGGCCTCTTTACAGCAAGTCGACGACGATCTTCAGAGTCGCCTGGCCTCTGTTCTCCCTTCAGGCTACGATTTTTCCATCTACCACATCTCGACACCTCCCACAAAGACCGATCCCCTTTACTCTCCTCCCCCGAACGAGCGCCCTGAACGAACCTACTGCGAGAATCACTTCCTCGCCGTGTCCATTGACGCACCCGCGCAAGCCTCCGAATCGAAAGAAGCTGAAGCTACGGATGAGCCCAAGAAGCAAGTTTTAGTTCTTGGCGTCGAGGTTTTTATCTACACGACTGCTCGATCGACGACCCTTTTCGTATCCAAAGCCGACTCTACGGGGTACCTCAACCTACTGGAGCTTCCCAAGGGAACTTCTAGCCCAATTAGGGAAATATGCGCTGCGTTTGTTGGGTTCTTGATTGAGAAGCGGAGGAGAAAGGATATTCAATTCGTCGTCAACTTGTTTGCTCGCGCGCAGGATCAATATCTCTTCCCTGGAAGTGTCGACTACAGCGGGAAGCATGTTCTGGACGATCGAGGTCTTATCAAGTGGTGGTGTCGCGTACTGGATCCTCTTCTCGGCACAAAGACATGGAAGAGCGCAAGGGGATACATTGTTGTCCCGGGCCTGGAGACCTACGAGACACGAGCCTTGACACCCCGGAGCGCCGACTCTCGCTGGGAGTTTACACACCCCCTGGAACGCATCTCGCACTACTCCAAGGAGTTTGACTGGGTTCCTCCGAGGTGTTTGATTCCTCACTTTCCGGATGATCCCAAGTCGAGGTTCTGGGATGAGCTTGAGGAGGAGGCTGCCAGCTCGCAGGCTATGAAGACAACGGGGAGCTGGAAGAGCGTCAAAACGTTGGATATGTTTTGGGAGATGATGGCTTATCGACAAGAGTGCTCGAGTGGACGCATGACGGGCTTTATCTGGCTTGTTTTTGGTGACAAGGAAGAAGTTCAACCTCCCAAGTCGAACGAGTCGTCCCAGTCGACGCTTCCAGCACCAGAAACACCAAAGAAGCAACGCATCGCCCAGATTACACCAAACACTACTCCGAGAAAGCTCTTCCCCTCAAAGACTGACGCCGAAGAAAAATCCAAGCCGAAGAAGAAGAAGGCCAAGAGAAAGACTCTCAAGGGTCCGGTTATTGCTCGACAACCTCGCATCAAGACCGAGAGACGGAACTATCTCCTCGACAAGCCTGCTACGACGGCGTATTATTCGTGGACACCTGAGGGCCGGGGTGAGAGGATTGTGGATGAGAATGAGTACAAGCGTATTGTGGAACTGCTGCTTCACCTGGACTTTGCGACCCTTAACAAGGCTGTGGGTAGCACCCGTCGCTGGGTCAGTGAGGTCGGCGGAAGAGCCAAATGGGGTATCATCGTCAAGGGCACACGAGAGCCTGCAAAGATTGAAGCCGCTGGTGACAAGCAGGTGAACAATCTATCCGGTCTAGTCAAGAGGAAGAGAACGGATTCGACCACTGACGAAGGACCTGGCAAGGTTAATGTCCTTGCAGCTGGGTTGGTCAAGAAGAAGCCAAAGGAGGATGCTGGTGTTAATGTTCTTTCTGCTGGACTTGTGAGGAAGAAGTCCAAGGAATGAAGGAGATGTATAGTATTGTATTGAATCTGGGCGTTGGACAGGATGGCACCAAGGGTATGGGCTGGGCTTGGAGTTTGGGCTGTATTGGCTAGGAAGCAAGAGCCTTGTTTAAGTGATATACATTATTTTACTTTACCAACATCCTTGGTTAATGTGTTGGCCAAGATCATAGTCAATTAGTGGCAAACGGCCGTCTCGAATGTCCCGCCATACGCTTCAATGAGGATCCCGAATAGCCGATTGAGACGTTTCCAGCTAGAAATCCGAGCTTACTTGACCAGAACGTCTTGAGGGAGGCCTGCCCACCCTGTCAACTCTGCCTGGCATTGATCGTGGCCACCACACCGTCTCTTGAGCTGAGTTAAAAATGCAGTGCAGGCTCTTGATGCGGGGGGAAGAGCCGGTCCACGGGGTCGAAAAAAAACTTGAGACACCAAAGCGCTCACACTCGGCCAAGCTCATAAAATACATCAACTTTACAGCTAACTTAAGAGTATTTTAATATGAAAAACCCTCTAAAAAAATCATATAGTTCTTTTCTTATCTTATTAAATTATATATTGTGTTTTTCTTATGTTTTTCGGAGCTGATTTTGGCTCCCTTTTGCTCTGATAATTAGAGAGGGTTGATTTGGTGTCTCAAGTTTTTTTTCGACCCCGTGCGGTCGGTGTTCGACCGTGCTAGTCAGAAGAGCAGCAAGGTATGGAGGCCACTAAGATAGTCTATCCTTCGCAGCTATTGGTGTATCCATCATACTAAAATCATCCCTCGAGTTGCAGTCCAATTGAATGGCACAGGTGTGCGATTTCTCGTTTGAGCCAGTCAGAAACGCAGCAAGGCAAGCCACGAACATATCCTTGCGAGCCCTTGGTCTGCTCAATATGATCAACCCGTCTCTTGCGGTGGGTTAAAAATGCAGTGTAAATTCTTCTCTCGAATGGATGGCAGGCAAGTTATATGATTGGACCGAGGCGGGAAGAGAGAAAAGAGGCGTCGAAAAGATAGTGCCTTCTCGTCTAACCTGAAAAGATTGCCATTGCCGTGGGCAAAGAGTTGTCTTTCAAGCAACATTCCAAGGTGGTCTCTTATAATAAGTCGATATCTATAGACCAGAAGGGCATTCAAGGCTGTATCTAACCGATACCGAAGCGTCGTCTTGGATAGCTCGCCACATGCTGCTTTGATATATTACTCGAGTAGGCAGTCAATGCATGCATACCAGGCAGCGTGCGATCATCAACTTGGACAGCATCGGGAAGAGTCTGCCTCCTCTGCCAGCCCCATCCTTTTAGCCGAATCTTTCCTTGAGGAGGGTTAAAACTGCAGTGAAGGGACTGATAATGCCGCACACCTAAAAGCATACTTTCGGGCCATTGGTCTCTTAATTATAACCGAATTATCCCTTGAGTTGGGTCAAAAACGTAGTGAAAGAGGCGAGATGTGTGTGTGGGTACGGAGTAAGCATGGACCTGCACACGAAAGAACAACTGACGCTTGTCGAGGCGGAAAGAGGCAGTGCCTGGATACCCAGTCTAGAGAGATTACCTTCATAGTAGGAAAAACAGTTTTTGAAGTAAGAGTTTTCTCATGTGGCCTTCTTTAACAAGTCGAAGCAGATTAAAGGATGCATTTGGTTCCTGTAAGTGCCCTCATAGGTGGCCCGCCACAGGCCTTAATAAAATATCCAATCTAGTAGTTACTATACGAATACATCTCAACCTGAGGGGCTTAACTCAACCCGTATCAGGGAGGCTCTACCTCCTTTGACAACCGCGGTTAACAATGCTAGCCACAGCCAGATCGGCCCTTGGGGTGGGTTAAAAGTGCAGTGAAGGCCACCCGGCCGAAATCTCACCCATGCAGCAACTCAACCGAGCAGCCGAGCTAGTGAGAGATACAACAAGGTAGGCCACGAATATATCCGTGCGAGCCATTGGTCTACTCGTTGTAGCCAAATCGTCTCTTGAGGTGGGCTAAAAATGCAGTGAACGAAAAGCCGGTAATAGCGGATGAAGAATAAGTCAACTCCCTTGTCGAGGCAGGAAGAGACAGTGTCCAGCTGCTCTGCCTGAAAATGCTACATTTTAATAGGCAACGATCAATCTCTCGGAGAAGAAGATCTCAAGGCGGCCTCATTTTGATAAGCCAGTGTCTAGATAAGCAGCGGGAGGCCAATCAGGGTAATGTCAATAATACTCCGTAGCAGCAGCTTCTATATTCATCTCCAAGTAGGCAGATAATGATGCTCATCTGGCAACCCGAGATCCATAACTTGGCCCGTATCAGAGAGGATCTGCCTCCTTTGCCAACCCCGATTGGTCGTGTTTATCACGGCCAACTCGGCCCTTGGGACGGGTTTAAATTGCAGTGAAAACCTGAGCCACTTCATAATTACTCGATTGAGTTAGTGAGAGATGCAGCAAGGTAAGCCACGAATGTGTCCTTGCGGGCCATTGGTCTCCTCATCATATTAACTTGAGTTGAAAATGCAGTGAAGGGAGCAACACGTTGACTTGCCCAATTTAGAAAGATGACCTTCAGAATGGGCAAATAACAGTCGTTGAAGTAAAAAAGAGTCTAAGGCGGCCTCCTTCAACAAACCCATAGCTCAATAAACCATGGGAAGCTGGTCAAACCCCCCATCTTACAACAGCTACACGCCGTCCTAGATACCTCGCCGCATTCCTAAAATTAATCTTCCAGCAGACAGCTATGATGCCTACCTGGCAACTTAACATCTCTGGCTAGAACCTTCTCGGGGAATCTGCCTCCTCTGCCGCTCCCCGTTGGTGTTGTTCATCACGGCCAAATCGTCCCTCGAGTTGGGTTAAAAATGCAGTGAAGAAAGATTCCTGCCTATTGTTTTTTCCTGAGGCGAACGATGCATACAACAGCTCAACTGAGCCAGTCAGGAACACGGAACGGTAAGCCATTCCAAGGATATCCTTGCAAACTATCTCTGTCTTGGTCCGTTCATCATACCTTAATAGTCCCTTTAGGTGGGTTAAAATGCAGTGAAGAAAGATTCCTGCCTATTGTTCTAGGACGAGGCGGACTCTGCATATGGGAGCCTGCCAGAAACACAGGTAGGTGAACCACCCCAAGATATTTCCCTGCGAGCTACATACCTACGTCTTGACTTGTTCATCGTAACCAATCATCGTCCTTTAAAGCAGGCCAAGAATTAGGCGAAGGGCCTCCATACACTTCTTCCTTGTCAAGGCAGAAAGAGGCAGTGTCCTGTCTGCCTAGCCAAGAAAGACTACCTTCATAGGTACTCCGTAGTAAAGAGTAGTCTGTCAAGCAAGAAGATTCCCAGGTGACCTCCTTCAACAAGCTGATATCTAGACAAGCAATGGACCCGATCAGAGGATTCATCTAACTAATAGACAAGTGACCTCTTACATATCCCATTAAACACCTTGATATGACCTCCTGGTCGGCAATTAATACATATCTGCCTAGCAATCTAAGACCATCGACTCAACCCCCATCAGGGAGAATCTGCTTCTGCCAACCCCGTCATCACGGCCAAGTCGTTCCTTGAGGGGGGTTAAAATTGCAGTGAAAGTTGGAGACCAGATCTCTGCCAACCCGGTATGTATCTAACAAGGATCGGGTCTGAACGAGGTCATGTCCCAGCCAAACGATTCTCGGCTGATTTTCAACCCCTACTAGACACATTCCTCCAGCCTGCAGCAGCTTACTATGCAATGGCTTACCCGAACCAGCCAGGAACGCAGCGAGGTAAGCCGTCGGGATCTGTTAAGAGTGCAGTGAGAGATGCAAGCTAAGTCATTAAATGCTAAAGGTAATTGGACCATGCAGGTGGAAGCGTCATCAGACGAATGACCTCGGAAGACATCCTTACGAACTACACGTTTGGTCTACCGAAGGCGCGATAAAGGTGACTGGGCTTACTTGGTATGATCCTCTAAGTGGGCTGGGTTAAACAGAGACAGAGGAATACTGATCTCTTGGTAAGTGTAAGATATCATTGTGAGCCACCTCTGTTCGTCATAACTAAAACGCCCCTTGAGTTGGGTTAAAAATGCAGTGAAGGGGGCCTCGGGGGGCGCAGCAGTTGTACAGCCTCTCTCCGAACTATCCCTGCCAGCTGAAACTTGACTTCTCAGGGGCGTGGCGAGACAAAGGGCCTGGGGTGGACTGGCGTGGTCTTCTGTGACCAAGCTTGAACTGACATGAAGGAATACCATCCTCGGGTTAAGGGCAAGGGCCTCAAAGAGGCAGTATATGGTTAGCTAGTCTCGAAATATTTCATCACAGCGGACAAAGAGTTGTCTCCTGAGGCCTTAAGCAAACTGTCTGCGAGTTGGCGTTGTTCAACAAGTCAATGTCGACAAACCAAGGGAAACAGCGCAAAGGTCATATCCAACTAAAAGCCAAGCGCCGTCTTAGATATCACATCACACACTTCAATATACTCCCTAAATTCAACTAATACGTGTTTTGACTGTGCCATGAGTTTCCCTACTTTGAGCCGCGTAACAAGGAGAGTCCATCTCGCTGCCAACTTGTCGCTTGAGGGGGGTTAAAAATGCGGTGAAGAAAGTTGTCCATGTGTAACAGCAGACAGGATTCTGCCGTCATTACCTATTCAATGCATAATCCAACCGAGCCAGTCAGAAATGCAGCAAGGTGACACACCACAGAAGAGATCCTTGCGAGGCATCCTTTTGCACCAAAGAGAGGTGACTTACGCAGCTAGGGCCTTCTGAGTGATTGGCCTTGAACGAGGTACATACATGGAAGAGTGCCAGTACCTTGCCAAGTCCACCAAAGAGGGCAAAGACTCCGGGTGGGCGGTGCTTGGCCGGGCAGTGTGGACAAGTTCGGAGGCAAGAGGATCGCAAGTTGACGATGTTCAACAAGTCGACATGCAGACAAACAAAAGGAATAGGTTCAAAGGATGTCTCGAACTAGTATAAGTTATATCATGAAAAGCCTATTATATACTATAACATAGCTCATAGACTATATTCCGGGTCTACACTATGAGTTTCCCAACTTGTACCCATGCATTTGAGAGTCTACGCCCGTTTGATATGACGTATCGCAACCAACTCGTCCCTTGAGGGGGGTTAAAATTGCAGTGAAGAGCTCCACAGCACATAGCACAATGTCAGTCGTTGTGGAGTTGATAATTTAGTTAAGCTAGTTAGGAATGCAGCAATAGGGGCGAGTTGCACTTTAGCCCCAGCAGACGTGTCGAGGGCGCTTAGGCATGGCGTTTTCTGTGATTGATCTTGAACGAGGCACATACCGGACCACCTCCCTCTCGTCAAGTCCATGCGGAACGCAAAGGCCTTAAACTGACCGTATTTAGTTAGCCAAGCTGAAGGGATATCGAGATGGTACTCAAGGAGAAGTCATTTCAGGTTTCAAGCAAGAGAGGTTGTAGGCTGGCGTTGTTCAGCAAGCCAATATACAGACAAGCAAATGGAAGCAAATATTTGGCACGCCCATCTGGCTACTGGTTTCATATATTCCCAAAAACTACTAGCCTAAGCAAAAACGCGGCATTGTGCTTCGTATTTCGTAGTTGAGTCGCAATATAATACGCAGTATGGGAAAGAGACCCAGTGTAATATATTGCTTAGAAGGGCCCTTTTAAGTCCCATTTCAATTCTTACACTGAGAACAAGTTCGAGTATTCGTCAAATAGGGGGCTAAGTTGTTCTTAGGCAAGTTAGTACAATGAGTTGATAGCTGCACTATGTTGGATTACAAACAGTCCATGACATACGTTCGCTTGATCCCCTTTCTCTTCCACTTGTAGGTAATATTTGAGCAAACACACATACATCATTTGTGCTAAGAAAGTTAGACTTCATATACAGTTATTCCTAGATTCTACCCTTGTACCTCTTTTCCCACCAACACACGACCCAAAACGCCAACCTCGAATCCAATTCCAATACCTCACTTCTTCAAAAACTGCAAATTCACAGGCGTAATAGCCTCACCTCCCGACAACACAGCCATGATGTTTCTCATACTCAGCTCCTCAAACCCCTTGTGCGTGTCCACAGTTCCGCCAGCATTGTGACACGTGAGCATCACCCTACCCTGACGAGCCAACTCCAAAAGACCGGTGTGCATCTTGGGTTCTGTGGCGTGCACGTCTAGAGCTGCGCTAGAGATTTGGTTGTCTTGTAGGGCTGTTGTTAGGGCGTCTTCGTCTACCAGACTACCACGGGCGATGTTGACGAAGCGGGAGCCGCGCTTGAACAAGGGCAGGGTTTTGGCGTTTATCAGGGTTCCGTCTCCGGCGGGTGTGCAGAGAACAGCACAGTCTACTCGAGCTAGGAGACTGGCGAGTGTCTCGTGGTGTGTGGCTCTCAGGGGAGCTACGACATGTGCTGGCTTGGGGAGTACGTCGTAGTAGTGAATGTCCATTCCGAAACCGTGAAATGCGCGGGCTGCAATCTGCTGACCAATGTTGCCGAAGCCGATTAGACCAAGAGCCTGGTCTCGTAGGTTATACGACTGCAGTGTTGCGTCGCGGTGGTTGATCTGAAAGGCTTCCTCGTCGCCCGACATGGCTGCTGAGATACACCAGGGAAGAACACGGAATGTAGAGATGATGGCGGCAATGGCAAAGTCGGCTACTGCTTCGGCGGCTGCAAGACCAGAGTTGCAGTAGATGATTCCTTACATCCCATCAGCCACTCATTCACATATGGCTCATGTATAACTCACCTCGCTCGCCTAGGAGCTTCGTGTCTGCCCAGTCAAACCCAGCGCCTGCACTCGCAAACACCTTGACACTCTCAGGCAAAAGATCAATCAGTTCAGCATCCCAATTCCCCATCTCACCCCCAGTACCCCAAAAGGGACGGAAAATAGCCTGAAAGTCTCCCCATCGGCGCTCCTTGAGGGCCTTGATGAATGCCGGGCGGTCCCGCTCCTCGGCAGATGGCCTCACGAGCTCACACTGGCCGATGAAGCGGATGTATGTGTCCGGGTTATACTTGATGGGGTCTCCAATGTGCAGGACACGAGGCCTTGAGGTGGAAGAAGACATGGTGAGCTTGGTTTGGTAGGGTGAGCCGGGGTGGGAGAAGACGGGGACGGGAGGTGCTGGTGATGTGGCTCGCGGTGTAGAAGCCGGTACCGGCGTGTTTGTTGGTTCCGCCATGATGGGAGATGAGTGAGTTATATAGTGAGTAAGCGTAAGATTGATGAGGCACAGTTATAGCAAAAAGTCGAGAGAGTTGAAAGATTCAACTCCAGTTGTGGAAGTCAGGACAAGAGCCGAGCCGCAAGACAAGGTGTCCAGCTCAGCGATGGGCCTCAAGTGGATCGATGCTGCACAAAGACTCTCCACCTTGGTTGGGCACTCGACTTGTTTCTCCAAACAAAAAGTGACAGTGACCCCCACGGCCCGGGCCCCGGGCGCCGGTCCCTTTCAGCTTTTGAGGCTTGTTTTAACGGCGGGACCCTTGTAGAGGGGGACCGGGATAAGCGCCGGGTTTTATAGATGAAGGTGTGTGTGTTTGTTTAGTTGAGACTAGACCAATTGTGTTGTCTGTCAACTAGCTTTATAGTAGAATTGATAGCCTCGAAATAGCATCAAAGAGTCAATACAAGCACAACCTCTCAAATATCCGCCATCATGCCAGCAACACAAAAGCGGGGAGCATCTTCCCCCCGCATGACCCGGCCCCGGACTTCTCTTAACCGGCCGCATCCATCGTCCGGGGACCCCAAACACTTTACGAACTGTATGCCATCGTACAATAATCTCGTGTGGGGGAGGCAAGGGGCCTTTCATCTGGGGGGAAGAAAAATTTCCTGTCGACGCCCGCTGCAGCTGACCGCTGACCGCTCCCGCCTGGTGGTGTGACGTTGGGGGCGAGCATATATCTCAAAGCTCATCCGATAGGCTAGGAGGTTGAGGCACAGGCTTGGGATATCTGCCGTTCCTGAGAGTGTCGGCTGGAAAGGCGAATCGGCCGGTTTCTACCCTTGTTTGGACATGTGCTTTCTCCAATGCTTGCCTGACGAGTTGGATAATGTCCGTGTCGCTTCCTTGAGGTCCAATGACGGAGACGCATACAGTCTGATACTCTGTTCTTCCACTAATACGGGACTCGTAAGGGACCTGGGTAACTACAAGCCTACATCAGTACCATTCCGGCAATATTGATCAAACTATAACTCACAAGGAACTGCCAGATGCGGCACCCCCAAGATGGAAGCCAGGATCTCAGGCCCGACTCCTTCATAGATGGTTGGTGGACTAAATCTCCCGTCAGCCAAGACCACTGCAAAACAAAAAAAAAGCAACTATACATACGCCACAGCTTCATCCCGATGCTCAACCCGAGACGACTTGCCACACGGGAGGACGAGGATAGCGTCGGCGTTGGGGGTCATGATGTTTTCGTGGAACCATTGCCGGTATATCTTGAGCCGTTTGAGGTCTTTTCGGTGTTCCGTCTCCGTTGTTGCTTTGCATTTATCCCTGGGTAGTGGTGAGTTGCGTTGAGTGTCAAAAGGGGATATGAACGGACCAGAAGAATTGCGGCGTGGATTCGGCGAAGGGTTCTTTTTGGGTCTTTTGCCGGTATTCGTGTCGAAACTTGTCGAAAGCGTGGAAATACTCATAACACCATGATCGAAAAGATGCCTAAAATGTTAGAAAGTTGATATACTCTGGGGTAAATACTCACATTTCTCATGTATGCCTGCATGCCCTCATCCGAGGCGTCGTCTGGAGGGTTCTCAGCCCAGGCTGCACCAATATCGATGTTTTGGACTGCGACCCCCAGGAGTTCCTCTAAGGCCGCCATAAAACTATTGATAGCTTCTTGTTGCGTTTCGTCGACTGATGCCAGATCAACAGGGTAAAGGATCCTCTTTAGAGACCTAGGCTGCTGTGTGTGTTGGTCAAGAGTCTTGGCCGCGAGATCGAGCAGATCCTCTAGGCTCCGGCCAACCAGCCTGGCATTGTCAAAGCTGCAACCGTCAGTTGTGTTGCGTAGTTTGAGGTGCCCATTTACCTGGAGGTGTTCCATATATCATCAATGGAAAGGCCACCTCGAGACGTGACAATCGAATAGATCCCACCATCGGGTACAATCATCCCGTCTACTATTGTCAGTCCCAGCTCTCTCAGGTATGAACAAACATACTGTCAACACCAATACTATGCTGCAACCATTCGTAACCAATCGAAGCAGCCGCAGCTCCAACAGAACCAGCTTTCAGCCTCTCATACCCATCACCTCGTGCACTCCATGGAGCCTGCTCATCAATCCACTCCGCTCCACTACCAAACTGAGACGTCTTGGTCTTCCCAACGAGAACAGCACCAAAATCCAGCAGCTTTCGTGCATACTCAGCTGTTGTATCTGAAGGATTCCTGTAGAGAGACTTCCATGCACGGCTAGAGAATGTAGTATGGGTGCCTTTGAGGGAAATCGTGTCGCTGATGGAGATGCGGATACCGGAGAGGGGTTTCCGGGGAGAAGGCCGAGGATGGTAGAGATGCGAGGGAACGGGTATTGCCTGCGAGTCGCCTTGAAGAGATGAAGACGTGAGAGGTTGGAATCTAGAAGATGTCAGCAAAATACAGACTCTATTGATACAACGTACTCATCAGGCTGGTATAGATCGTCAGGTATCACACCAAAAGTAAAAGCCCCAAACTCGTCATCATAAAGCCGCCATGCCTGATGGAGGTTGGGCCCGTGTAAAAAGTATGGCCCAGATGGGAGCTCTGCCATGTCTTCGAGTGCCGTTACCTGATCCAGATGATAGACCTGTCGGCCGGTGATGGTCGTATTGACAACATCGTTATCGCTACCTTCTGGCTTTTCCACTAGGATAGATCCAAATTCAGAGTTGAATACGTCGTCATAAGACTCAAAAAGCCGCAATATTCCTTCAAGGTCGCCAAAGACCTCATCGGTTGTGAGCAGAGTGATTGGGATGATGGCATCCGAGTTGATGGTTTCTTGGATGGATCCCTGACACATATCAGCATGGTTTTGAGGGACTGGGCGCCAAGTTGAGTCATGTATTTACCAGTTTCTGGGGGTGAATTAGATACTGGAGCCCAGCGACGAGACATATGGTGAAGGGCAACATTGTTACCACCTTTGTCTACCTAGGCAGCAAAAACGGTCAAGGGTAGGGCTCGGAGCTATCTCGAAAGGGCATTTTCATTATAGATTTCAGCAATCCACTTGTCAAGGTTAAAATAGTCGCGCAAATTTTTAGAACAGTAGTGAAAGCGGCGCAAATAGGTAGTGATGAGATGTGTTGTTGATGGAGGCAGGTTGTGAGACGTGAGTGGTAGCCCAGGAAACCATCAATACGGGCTATCCAGATAGTACCAAGGGTCAATACCGATGACATGAAATACATTCAGTAGCTGAAATTGAGTTATAATACACCATGATATTCATTCAAAATTTAGTTCAAAATTCTCTTTAAATCCTTACTTTGTTCAAGCGGTTGTCGCATGCACCCTCGGTGAGCTCGGTCAGTCTCGGTCAGCATTTCTTATCTTTGTGGGGTATCAAAATTTCCAATCCTCCACCCCCACCAAACCCGACAGTTACTGATTCAACATCACAACCTTTTCAAACTCCAAACCACAGTCAAAATGGCCAAGAAGAGAGGTACTTTACGCACTCTAACTCTAACGGAAGAAAACATGTGCTAACAGTTGCCAGCACCCTCTATTCACTCCCGCGCCGCCCGTCGCGCAACGTCCCCAAGCATCGACGCCGACAAGTCTCTAAAAGACGTCAAACCTCCTCCTCGCAGCGCTCCTCACCGCCCCTCCGTCCTCGCCGCCCAGCACTCTGCCGGCGTTTCGAAAAAGTCCAAGCGAAAGACGGCCATGTCGGCCAAGGCTCGTCGACGCCACGAAAAGGGTCTCGAGATGGCTGAGGCTGTGATTGAGCGCACAAAGAGCAAGGTTGAGAAGAGTAAAGGAAGGGGGAGGAATATTCATCTTAGGAGTAAGGCTTGGGAGGAGATTAACAAGGTTGCTGCTACTGAGGGAGAGGTTGAGGGGGATGAGGTCGAGAAGCGCAACGGGGGTGTTGAGTTGGATGAGGATATGGGTGGTGCTGATGAGGAGACTCTGACGGCGCCTGTGGTACCAGATGCTGCGCCGGCTGCAGTACCTCTCCCCGTGGACGACGACGACGAGATCCTATGAGGACAACGACATGCTATCACGACAGCTGGGACATGGGTTCTGGAGTTTAGGTGTGCAAAATTGGGTTCCTCAAATATGGTCCTAGAACGACCTCATGAACTGTCTTTTCTTTCTATTTTTCAAGCTTATAGACTTATCATCTGGTCAGAGATACCCAGATATAGATACTAGTGATACAATCAAACTTGCGAGTTTCACTCACAAATTCTTAAACCTCCCAATTCATACAGTTCAAGAACCTATTTGGCCTTGCCTTCAACAAACAATCGTAGTGTTTTTCCCACATCTCCGCTCTGAGCCTTGTACTCCCTCGCGCCAACCTCTTCAATCCCCTTCTTGATCTTGGCCAGCACGTCAGCTGCAGCCGCCTCGTCGACTCTCTTCTGCGACTTCTTCTTGTACCCGAGAATGACCTCGATCTTCATCCCCTTGCTGAGGAACTGCTCCAGCTGCCGCACCTTTGTCGACAGGTCGTGCTCTCCGATACCCCAGCTGAGCTCGAGCTCCTTGTTCTTTGGGGTTGTCTGCTTGGACACGCGTGCTCTCTCCTTCTTCTCGCGCATACGCTCGTACTCTTCCTTCTTGTTGACAACCTTGCATACGGCGTACTGCACGGGCTTGTTCTCCTTGCGGTCGGCGGGGACGTAGGGCTGAATCATGCGGAGGGACTCGGAGGGGTCGATGCGGCTCATGACGTTCCTTGTGAGCAGGGGACCGTCAAAGTTTCCATTGTCAAAGACCATGATCTTGGGGTCCGTAATCTCAAAGTCCTGCGGGAGACGGTCGCGGCCAGACTTGACAAAGTCCTGCTGGGTCATGTACCGACGGTCGAAGCCTCGCTCATCAGGGTCGACGAGTGTGGGCTCGGAGGCGCGCACAGCTTTCAATTGAGCAGGAGAAGCTGAGAAGAGACGGGTCTGACGAATTGGCGAGAGTGTCGCTCCAGCTGCTGGGAGGAGCTGGCGGGTGAGGGCTTCATGCGGGGAGACAAAGACCCGGTAGAGAGCTCTACGGGAGCTCTGAAGGCACGAGAAGCTGCTCATGATTACGGCAGCACTTGAACGTGCAAGGAGTGTGATTGCACAGTCGAAAAAGAGTGTGTATCTCTGGCAATGGCCTTGTTCAAGGGACCGATCACGGAGTGTACCAAGACTGACTGATGCTCGCCCTTGTCTTGGGATTGAAGATGCACTGGGCGGTTGGATTCGGCAGAAACGTCACTGCGGGGCACAGCAGACACCACTGCCAATCATTTGCGTAGAAGCTCACGAGACCCTTCAATCTGAGCTCTTAGACATGGTAAATCTCAACACCAACCGGTCGAGTCGCATACTCTCGCGACCCCGTGTAAATGGCTTCATAGCTAATACTCAAATTCATCACATAAAGGGCCCCCGTCGGGGTATCCTCCCCCCCAATGGCCTTTCACTTTGCGCGCCGTCCGGTGCGTGCGACGGTATCCTTTGTCAAGGCAGCCTGTCTCGTCCACCTCGGTATCACCTACGGCTACACCATCAGTCCAGCTCAAGGTCCTTCTATGCTTCCGACCTTTACCGTTGACGGCGATTGGATTCTATGTGACCATACCCGTCGCTATGGCCGTGGAGTCTCTGTCGGAGATCTTGTCGTCTACCGCATTCCCGTCTTTACCAACCAATGGGGTGTTAAACGAGTAACGGGCATGCCGGGTGATTACGTCTCCGTAGGGACACCGGGAGATCCAGGTGAAGAGTTGATGATCCAGGTACTTGCAACCTCCCCTCAAGCCTCTTCACTACTAACTTTCTAGGTCCCTGAAGGCCACTGCTGGATCACAGGGGATAACCTCCCTGCTTCTCGAGACTCGAGGCATTTCGGCCCCTTGCCTTTAGCTCTCGTCGCTGGTACCACCATAGCCAAGGTCCTACCATGGAACGAGCGAAAATGGATCATGAATGGGCTTGAAACCCCTCCAGAATTAGACTAAACCTCAAACTACTTCTCAATTTCTCCTTATCATCTAGAATCCATGTATAATAATGCAAGTCGTCTTCTTATCTGGGTATAGAAACTTCTCTCCCTGTCTAATTACAACTGCTCTCCCGTCTCTCGCTTCCACTTCGTCTTCCTCCCCAATCACTCATCCTGCGGAGCCATATCCGCCACATACGCGTCGTCAAAAGTACAAAGAGAATAAAAGCCCTAGCCCTCCTGCATCTGTCCCATCACCCTCCCACCCTTCCCTACATCGTGCCCGTCAAACACTGCGGTTGGACGTGTTAAAGAAACAGAATGATAAAACAAGCCCGGTAAATGGGTCATGCCAACCCTATAAAGAAACGATCCACCCCCGAGAACCAAACATCATTCTTGAAGGTACAAGACGCCGTACACCGTTCCGTCCCGCCGTGCCTTGCTGAACCCCCGTAAACGCTTTCGCTTTTGACATGAGAAAAGAAACATCTACCTCCACGACTACACATCAGCCCTCGATATGAGCCTTGGACATGCTCTGTCCCAAGAGCTCCAGACAGCGCTGAGCCAGGTTGACGACTTCGCCCTCGTCCTCATCCTCGAATTCGTCGCTGGGCTCGATCTGACGGTTTGCAATGTTTCGAATGTGCTCGATAATATCCTCGGCCTTACCGATGAGCCCAATCAAAGTCTTGTCCTCAGATTCGAACAGCTGGAGTAGAGTCCAGACAGCAATGTGCTGGAAAGTCGCGTCGCCAGACTGAAGGAACCGGCAGAGATATCCGTGAATTCCACCCTGAGGCTCCGTCCAGTTCTGCACAAAGATGGAGTAATCACCAACTACTATTGTTAGTCATCGTCAAAATGGCATCTTGTCTGTCACTAACCTTTAGAGGAGAGGTTGCCTAGCGCAGCAGCGCTGTTGCCTTGAACCTCGATGCTCGGCGAATGCGTCAGCGGGATCAAAACAGCGCACACTCCCAGGTTCAGCAGATGAGACTTGAGGTCATCACTAAGGGCAAGGACTGCAATAGCAGCCGTCATCTCAGACTGAACAGTAACCGGGACATCCAGAACCAGCTGTTTGCACTTTTGCACAGCACCAGCATCCAAAACGAGAGCCTTGTTGCGATCAGAGCTGGCAGCCAAGTTTCGGAGAGTTGAGATGGCGTGGCACTGAATCTCTTCGTTATCGGTTGATCCAAGAAGATCGACGAGGGGTTTAAGGAAGTTGGTTTCGATAATAGGAGACTCGTTCATAGGGTGGATCGAGATATTTCGTATACAGGCGACAGCGGACAGAATGAGCGGCAGATAAGATGACTGTAGGAGACGGAGAAGCGGGTGAAGACCGTTGGCTCGGACAATATCAAGCTGGTATTTTTCGTCCGAGGCAAGGTTTCGAAGAGCAAGGGCAGCCTGGCACTGGACCTTGGGGGATGTCGAATCCATGAGGTTAACCAATGACTGAACCAGCTTGGGCTCAGTCTGTGCCAGCTTCCGTCGGTTGCTTGCGTCGACAGCAATGTTGCTGAGAGCTGTGGTACAGTAGTACTGGACATCAACGTCGGGCGAGGAGAGAAGCTGAACCAACACTGGGATAGCTCCAGCGTTGACCAACTGTTGTCGGTTCTCGTCTATGTTCGTTAGCAACACCCCTTCACTCAGGCATTACAACATACCCGAATGTGTCATGTTGAGGAGAGCGCCTGTCGCGTTCCGCTGAACTCGCATATCCCGGGACTTGGCCAACCTCGTCAACGGACCCAGAGCACCGGAGCGGGCAATCTTGGCCTTGTTCTCCTCGTGGGTAGCCAGATTCGTGATACATCCCACAGCATTGCACTGGACCTCGACATTGGGAGACATCATCTGGCGAATCAACGGGGTCAAACCACCGCGTTGTACAATAAGAACCTTGTTCTCGGCTACAGCACATGTCAGTTGCTGAAAGGTCGGTCAGCTTAGAAACATACTGTCTACGGCCAGGTTCCCTAGGGCGGCGCTGGCTGCTCGTTGGACTTCGATATCGGGACTCTGGAGGAGGAAGAGAATTGGTTCGAGGGTATCGCGGTCGACCTCACGAACATCTAGAATGGCATCAGTATGCTGCACGTGGCACGTCGTGGCTGAGCATCAGTCTCGACAACCATCCACATACCTCGTTCGGTGATCTCGGCGAATGTCAAGCTAGCACTACGTTGAAGGTCGATGTTTTCAGAAAAGACCAAGGTGCTCAAGGCACGAAGGGGTTCGCCGGAGAAGAAGTCGGTCTCGCCGCGCTGGCATCTAGTCAGTATGACATCAGGAGAAGGACTGGTGGGTATTCACGTTTTCGAGGTACTGGAGCAGGTCGGCCACAGCCTCCCGCTCACTGTCGGCAAGGACGGGTTCGTACAGGCCATCGCGGGACCGTCCTAGGCAGCTGTCAGACAGGCATCGTCATGGGACGTGATGGAGCATACCTCCGCAGCAAGACGAGCTGCAGATACCCATGGCCTCTACAAAGGGCACAAAGCCTCTCGTATCGTCCCTCGGTAGGTCTCGATGTCGGCGAGGTCAACGGCGTCAGGTAGCTGTCGAAGCTTTAGAGAATCGCTGATGATGCAGTTGTTGACGAAGCGAGATGCCACTGTCGGAAATAACGTCACGGCAACGCGGACCGGACAAGATTCGAATACGACGATCGGGGGGCTCGGTTGGCGGGTTGAAGAAGGATCCGGAGGCAGAGGCCCCAAGTCGGAGAGGAGGAGTCAAAGGCGCGAAGGACGGTCAAGGCCAATTAACGGCGCGACGACAAGAGTCAAGGGAGGCCGAGTCGGGGATGGAGGAGGGAAATTTGGATGGCGGACACAGAAGTGAGAGATGAATTCGAGGGGAGTTGATCTGGGCCTTGCAGTTGGTTGGCGTTGGCGAGGGAAAGAATGGAGAATCAAGAGACGCGCGCCAGGAAGAAGCAAGGTGGGCAGGCAATGCAGACAGGATGGACAGGCGACTGGCCGGGCAGGGCCTGCTAGAGAGCTCCAGGCCCAAGTGAAAGCAAGCTGTTTGGGCAGGTGAGGCAAGTAAAGGTCCAGGAAGGTACCCTGAAAGTCCAGTGCACAGTCAGGCAGGTACGAGAACCCAAAGAGAGTTACTTGGTGGGTACAAGCTCAAGCTGTCCCGGCGCGTGCCCCATCAAGTAACTACAGGGATTTCCGAGGTCGTTGCAGTGACCTCACTAGAGGGTCATTCAAGATAGAGGGTCCACCGCAGGGACGCTATGGCGGTAGACGTGCGCTGTTGTTTTGCGTCTCTAGTGCCCTGGAGATGGCCGCCGTAGTGGACCACCGGGCAGGGGACGCAGGTTGCTGTCGAGGGGGTACCTAAAGAAGCACACATGCTGCTATGCGGTTGCAGGTACCTGTCGGACAGACGGTGCTTGTGTGGGTCGTCCAAAGAGCTGGGGCCATCCTGGAATCCCTCCTCTGACCCAATCTCTGTCATTCCAACGCCTCATTTTTCAGGATATTCGCATGCAGAGCGAGCGGTCCATGTTGAACACCTGTATCCTGACGGATCGTCGCTGTTGATACTTCAAAGAGCTTACAACACTTGCCAAGACCTCTATCACATCTATGTATGGGAATCCTGGGATGCCTTGGAGGCCAACCAACATGATCATCAACTGGCGGCAGATGCGTTTGAGGTTGAGTTGGCTCGGGTAATGCTGCCTCAAGAATAGTGCAGCTAATGGTGCTGGGGAAGTATCACAACCCAAACAAACAAAGCACGAACAAAGCACGGAGGGCATCCAATCTAATATGGTGCTCTTGCTTGCAAATGGATAGCTAAGCATGGATGCAGAATACATGGAAGAATGACCCAACACATTGACTACATATTATGAACCTACCCAACTCGATTTGTCATGGAGGTCATCAATATTGCTTTTGGATGCTGTGATGAATCCCCTGCGACGGTCTGCACCGCATTCAACTGAACTGCAGGAGCTGCCGATCTACCCTGCACCAACACGTTGACAGCTCGTGATGGTGGGTTGTGGTGCCGGACTCGGTCGATTGTCATGACTGACTCGCCTATCTCGGATTCCCATAGAATATGAGATGGATTAGAGTATCGGAGTATCAGCTCATGCCAGACAATGTCAAACCAATGTTGAGAGCTAGCCGCCATCCATCAACAACCCAACACAACTGGTTTAAAAACGTGGCAGCCCCAATGTCACCTTTGGAATGACATTTGAGACTTTTGCCTGTTGTCCAATTCGCCAGGAGGAAGAATTCGGAGAGCAACCAACAAAACACGACCTCAAAATGGCTGCAATGTCAGACATGAGGCGTCAAACTTGGCGATCCCTCCTTGGTAGAGCTCCTAGACCGACTCCCCTAGCGAGTCGAATGCAACAGACGTTGAGGGATTTTGGTGTCATGGTAATAAATGATAAAATAAACTCACTCGAGCCATGACGGACGATAATGGTACCGACGGTTGAGAAGAACCGTCTGCAGACGCCTTTAAACAGACCAAGTCGTGCGAGCCGGAATCGAAGTTGACCAATCCCTGGACGGAGAAATGAGCGGCAAAAGGACGTTTAAAGCACCAAGGGCATGCCAAGACGCAAGAGCTCATCGTCGATCCCTCCATGACGCCCTCGTCCGTACAGTATCCGCAGTTAGCATGTGGATGCCAGGGTCTGCTTAGCCGTAGAAAGCATGTTGGGCGAATTGTCTGTCGAGGTGGTTCTCTTATCAGAAATCATGAGCGAGGCCGACCCGAGTCCGGGGCGATTGCGATTGCTAATAAGAGGTGTATGGCAGAGGCAGCAGAGATCCATCCATCCATTGGAGCCCAGAGGGAGACGTCAGAGGCCAGCCGTTACGTTTGGGTTGGGCTTTGCCCTCGTACTTATTCCCTCCATGTTCCCAGTTCTTGTTGGACAGACTTTCTAACCCAACTTCTTAATAATATGGAAGTCTTGTAGGTAACTTGCACTTACGCCCCCCTTCCCATCTCATCCTCTAGCTGTGGTGGCACAAACTTGGCTACATCACCTCACTCTCCATACTAACCTCTGCCTCCTCAACCTCACTTGAGGCGGTGATGCGTCGCAACTTAGCGCACGTATTTGGCCCTTGACCAGAACACAGCAATCTCCCCCTTGCCATCACCTCCGAATTGACCACCACAGAGACAAAGGTGCGCGACGGCGACGGTTTACTGCGGCGACGTTGTGCAACACCAGGAAACAGGGGCTCTGCTTGGAATGGAGGGAAATATAGAAACCGAACCCGCGCGCGGGCATGATTCCCTCGAGGGAGGCGACAAATTGAACGATGCCCAGACGCGAGACCGGGTGCAGATCCAAATCGACGCGGTTGAAGACGACCCGGCCAAGGCCCATGTGCAGTCGTGGATCAAGGATCAGATCGAGACTCAGCCTCAGCAGCCTCCGCCCGAGCCTCAAATCATCGAACCCGCGGCCGATGAGGCCGAAGCCGACGGCGACGGAGAGGGTGACGATGAGGTGCCCCGCGCCGGCGCCAACCCCAATGATGGTGCTGCAGCGACAGACACGACAGGCACAGGCGCAGGCGCAGGCGCAGCAGCACCTACAGCTACAGAACCCCCCATCGCTGTGACTCCAACAGCTCCCGGGCGGACGCGGACTAGCCCCTCTACAGAAACCTCCACCTCCACCACCGCCGTTGGCCATGGCCTCGTCCCTCAGTTTGTCGCTCCGTCATCCTACCTCCGACCAAGGACTTCCAACCGGAGCGCAATGGCGCCCACCGAGCCCAAGCCCCCGAGTCCGCTGGACAGAGACCAGTTGCAGGGTCTGGTATGTGCCCGTATTCCTCGCTCGTGCCCTTGCCCAGATAAGGGAGGCTGTCTCGTGTCGTGGACCTGAGCCAAGTCTTTTTCCGTCTGCCCGTTCCGTTGCGCTCGCCGGGTGGCATCACCCACCGCGGGGCTGTCGCCGGAGCCTTCTCCGTCCTCACAGGTTAGGAGACTGATGCTTTGATAGAATGCTATTCGTGATTTCCTCAAGGTCCGCACTAGCTACGATGTCTTGCCTCTCTCGTTCCGCCTCATCGTCCTCGATACGGACCTACGCATCAAGAAGAGTATCGGCATCCTGACCCAGAACTGTGCGTCGCCCGATACCCAACGTGCGTGTCCATGCTGAACAGGTCAACAACAGCTATCGTATCAGCTCCCCTATGGGACTCCAAGATCTCCCGTTTCGCCGGTATCCTTACGAGCACCGATTTTATCAATCTGATTCAATACTACTGCCAGTTTCCCGACGAGATTAGCAAGCTCGATCAGTTCCGCTTGAGCAGTCTGCGAGGTCGGTCCGAACTCGCCCGTTCACATCGCGGGCCTAGATATGTACGGCGTCGCTAACATGAGTGTAGACATTGAAAAGGCCATCGGCGCAATCCCTATCGAGACCGTATCGGTCCATCCCTCGAAGCCACTGTTCGAAGCATGCCGTCGCATGCTCAAGACGCGCGCCCGGCGTATTCCCCTCATAGACGTCGACAGCGAGACGGGTAAGGAGATGGTTGTCTCGGTCATTACGCAGTACCGTATCCTCAAGTTCATTGCCGTCAACAACGAGCACAATACGGTCTTGCTGAAGAAGACGGTTCGCGATATCGGTCTGGGCACCTATGGAGGAAGCATTGTCACTGCCCGCATGAGCAGCTCTGTGCTCCAAGTTGTCCACCTTATGGTTGACCGCAACATCAGCTGCGTCCCCATTGTTGATGCGGAAAACCGGGTGCTCAACGTATTCGAGGCGGTTGATGTTATCCCTTGTGTCAAGGGCAGCAACTATGACGACCTGGACGGCTCAGTGGGCGAGGCGCTATGCAAGAGGTCGGACGACAGCCCTGGCATCTACACGTGCAACGAGCAGGACCGGCTAGACTCGATCTTTGACACGATCCGCAAGAGCAGAGTGCACCGTCTGATCGTGGTGGACGACGACAACAAGCTCAAGGGTATCATCTCTCTGTCGGACATTCTCAAGTATGTGTTGCTGTACGGGGTGGAGGACACGACCAACTGGCTCTGATTTGACGACCTGCATGAGCATGACATGTCTATGCTGAAGACGACGATCAAGCCAACGACTGCATGTTATCCACGACTGGGAGACGCCTGTTTGATGTGCGACGAAGTCGGGATAGGGAAGCATATAACGGCGCAAGGGGAACCATGTGGATGGAATGAATACCATGGATGGATGGTGCTGCATGGTGGATATGGATTTCTTACTACTTATCTACCTTACCTATAGACTTGCAGGCGACCACGATACGGCCTGATGCACGTGCCATGAGAGGCCGAGAGGTTAGGGTTGGTTCATGCGAGCTCAAGTGTGTCGCAATAATGGAACCTTGGCTTGGTTGGGGCCTCATGATGGATGGAGGATGCCATCTGAGGGGTACAGGACTGGTCAGGTGGTGGGATTGAGCTGGAGCTGAGTGAGCGAGTGACGGACGGTACCTAACGGGCCGTCGATAGATCTGTCTTCGGGTGGCTGCATTTTGACGACCTACGCCTCTTCTTTTTATATCTCGAACCTAACATCGTCATGACTGATCTGACCTGATTTATCAGCTTCCAGAAGCCATCAAGAGAAGCCCAAATCATCATCAACTCGCAACCGTTCAGTTCGTGCACGTCAGTGTCTTGTACCTCGCCTGCCGCTCATCGTCTGTGGCTCGTCTCTCGCCTTGTGCTCCCTCCAATCCCCCATCGTCGTCTGCCGGTATTTCTTGGTTTTTTATCGCTGACGTCGTCTGCCCTTTTTTTACACTCTTTACTGCTCGCAACTGCTGGCAATAGACTGTCAAGCCACTGGCAGCAGCTGCACCCATATTTGAAGCTATTGCTATTGTTCTTTCGCTATTGTCGGCGCCTTCCCAATTCTATTCGCAATGAAGCTGCCATTACTTCGAGCTCCGCATCGCCGCTGTGACACATGAGCCTGCCTCTTTCGTCCGTCCCTCAACACCAACTGACCTGTCCCTGTCCCTGTTTCTCTGCGCGCATCGAGACGCGATATCTTAATACAGCTACGCCCAATCTTCAGCTTTAGCCGCATATTACTTGTGTTGGATCCCTTATCTTGGCCACCCATGGATCAGCCTTCCCCAGATTCTCGGGGCTGTGACTCTCCTCCAGATGCTCCCCGGACGCTATTGATGCCGTCAAGGAGTGTTCGGTCTCTTCAAGGTCCCATATCCCGGACGGATCGAGGGCCGACATTACATACCAGCAGGACTTGGACGACGAGCAGTGGCGATCATGGTATCATGAGTGATACAGACGAATGGGAAGACCGCGCATCGTTTGTCCAAGAGTACAATCGCCTCGCGACCAAGGTGAGGAGCTTTTCTATATGGGGCTATCAACATGCCTGACGACCATAGCACGGAGTAAGGATCTTGGTCATTGAGGACTTTGACTTTCGGAATCCTGTAAGTCTTGATCCCCTGATTGCTCCTCAGGACTGACAACAATTCAGACAAACCAGCCTACAAGTCCTCGCAAACCATCATGGCTCAGGCGCATCCTACGGTCCGTCTCTAGCCAGCCTACGTCGATGAAGGCACCGGTACATCAACTTCCCCGTCACAAGCGAAGCGTCTCGGATTTTGCCCACAGTTTGCTACACCGCAACGAGTCCCCCAAAAGGCTTGACCTCCAGACAATGGTGCGAATCTGCGGCAAGAGTACGCTCTATCTCCCGTCCGAGTACGCCCCGTCTGCTCTCATCCTACCGACTAGCATCCGTGCTACTGCGCATTACCTCTCTCAAAATGTTCCGACGCGGGGAATCTTTCGCATTCCGGGATCCGTTCGGGTTGTCAATACCCTATACGACTATTACTGTTGCATAGAACATGGCAATGCTGGCATCACGGGCACTGTCCGATGCCCTACCCTGCCAACGCATGTTCATGCCTCTGTCAACGATGTCGCTTCAACCTTTAAGCGTCTTCTCTCGGTCATACCTGGCGGCATCCTTGGGTCACTGTCTCTCTTTGATGCCTTTGTTGCTGTCAATTCCCAACTCCAAGGAGATCCTGAGCTCACTCGCACGAAACAGTCCAGGGTACGGGCACGACTCATTGCCCTGGCCGTCGCAACAGTTGAGTCGCAGTTTCGAAGAGAGCTCATCTGTGCTGTATTTGGGTTACTCAGCTTGGTTGGACGACACGCCGAGACTACGCCAAGGGAGGATGAATCAGGACGCCCACTCCCGACTACAGACTTGATGGGATACAATGCGCTTGGCATCGTCTTTGGGCCATTGTTATTGGGAGATATGTTGGAACACTACACCATGAAACTGGCCGCCCCGAAATCAGGACTATTGGTGCTTCCCCTGAGATCCCCGAAACTTCACAAAGACCGTCGCAGGGGGAGGACGTCCGAGACCAAGGACTTTCGCCCTCCTACGGTAGACAAGATCCACATTGCAAATACCATTGCAGAGATGCTCATCTCCAACTGGCGGGATGTGGTGCGGCAGATGAAGTCTCTGGACATTCATCGACAAGAAGACTTGCCAAACCCTGGTCGGCAACACGAGTCTTTGCCATCATCTCAGTCCAACTTTGTCCTCGCCAAACCTCAAGGCTGGGACCAGACCTGGAGCAGCGGACATGAAGAGATACCTAGAGAGGGAAGTCCAAGTTTGGCAACGCCGACGCCCGGAGTATCAAGACAACGGTCGAGGAGCCACAGCAGTCCAAGATCGACGAGACTTGTTACGCGACCCAGTGTGGGTATACTCAGTCCAACTGTCGAAGAGACCAGCCCAGACGATGGCAATTCTCGAGATGCACAGAGCCTGACCAGGCGCCCTGTCTCTGGTAAGGGGAAAGATGGCACGCCTTGCCGTCGACCTGGACAAGTCAACACCTCGCCGAGACCAGAATCCATGCCACCTCTTATGCAGAGAGCCGGCTCTACTAGATCTAGAGAGACTGGGGAGACCCTAGCAGATGTTCTGAGTGGCAAGCTGGAGGAGTCGACACTGCTGGGCTTCTCAAGAAGGTCTAGCTTGCCTTCTCGCCTGCAATCGAAGCAAAGACCAGATCCAACGAATGCCTCCAAATCCAAGCCACCCAAAGCAACCAAGGACGTTCCCATCGAGCGAAAGAACGCGATACGAAGGAAGAAGAACCCAGCAAAAGATAAACATCGAAAGAAGTCTGGCTATCAACCAGTTGCTGTCGAGTGGCCAGACACAACTACCGAATCATCAACAGCGACAGACTTTCGCGACTCTCAATCTATTCATCTAGAGATCTCAGAACAAGAGGCCCTAGAGGCAGCGATTAAGGCTCATGCCGAGGAGATGAAGCAGTTGGAGGCATTGGATGCAGCAGAGCATCAAAGAAACCCTGTTAGCGGCCACCACACCGAGAGGCAAGGACTTCCGGACATCAAGATGGAAGAGCCCATTCAGAACGGCGAGAACAATTATTTTGCTTCAAATGTGGTTACACAACGAGACAGCAAAGCACCTGCGGATCATGCTTCCCTTGTACCAACGCCAAGGGAGTTTTACTCGCCGATGCAAACACCTCTCAGTCTAACCGAAGAGAATGTTTCGTGTCACGGGGTGTCTTCTCCCGAGGTTCTTAGAGCGGCCTAGAGTGCCTTTCCAGGAACACCGGGGGGAGGATTGCCCAAGATTCACGAATCAAGCATCTCCACCCAGGCCCAGGACACTGGTGAGTTGGATGAAGGTATTCGAGATGTTCAACACCAAGCAGACTATTCTGGCAAACCACCAGAGGAAATACCTCTGCCGGACTCTCCTTCATGGGTTTCTCTTATCCCCAAGAGACAGCCTCTGACGTCCCTGCGACGGTGTGCATCTGAAGCGGCCAACAAACCACGGAACGTCAAAGCCATAGCTGCTAGGTTTGAAGGTGGCACATGCTCTACTGATTCATCGCCACCGAGAACAAAGTCTGAAGGCATGGCACACAGCTTTATACCTCGCTTTTCACAACAATCTCCTGCCAAGGCCCTGCGCCATTCAAGCTCAGGTTCAACATTGGGACGGCACAGTCTGCCTAATATCTCGACACCAAACAACTCCCAACACCCGTCTGAAAGCCCCAGCATTCGCGACTACGAGTTGAGAGCCTCCATTGGTGAAAAGGCAGCCCTCAGGGCACTCCAACTTCAACAGTCTGAACATTCTGCAATGTTGGCGAACCGTCAGACAATTCCACCCAGGAAGCCTGTGCCGGGAGACAACGCACCCGAGATTTCCCTGCAGAACCCGCCAAGTTTGGGGACCATGATCCCACACCCTGAGCAACCCCCTATTGCTCACCATCTCAACCTTGTCCGGCCTTCATCATCGTCATCTAACCTCCAAGATGGCCAATCCACCTCCAGGAGCACTCATGATAGTTCAACCCTCATCTCACGACCCGGAAGTGCAACAACTCTGCTTGCACAGATCCGAACCCTTCAACGCCAGTTGCACCAAAAGACAGAAGAGACACTTCACCTAAGAAGACAACTCGAGGTTCAAGAAGATGCTGACGTGGGAACACTAAGTCAACAACTGAGAGAGGCGAAAAGGGAGGCACAGATGTGGAAGGAGAGGGCAGAAGCTGCAGAACGAAGGATCAAGGTGTTTGAACGATTCACAGCTCGACTTAGGGGTATTCAGGAGGCGGCCACTGTAATAGAGCCACACGACTTGAGTGACGACGCGATCGACACGGATCACGAGGATGAATCGAGAGAGGGACAGACATTGGGAAGAAGAACTACGAGGTACGAAAGTGACGGTTCTAGGAGAACAGAGGATGCTGGCGTTGTCACGGCCCGAATTCGCAAGTGTTTGCATGGTCCGGGAAAGACGGATGGCGCTCCGGACAGTCCTCCGTTGTCTGAGGCTAGACAGGCCCAGAACGTTTCTAACAGAGCGGCAAAGGATATCAACCAAAGTGCCGTTGAGATTTGGATGGCGGCACAGGAACTATTGCATTTCGAAGAGGAACAAGGGCAACGTTTGACACAGGATGGGAGGCAGCCAATCGAGGGAGATATCTTATTGGAGGGAGTTTAAGGCGCAGGAAGGGTCTAGATCCATTGAGTTGGTCATGAGCCCCTGGTGGCGACGGCTATAGCAAGCACATTTTGATTATTCACATTAGTCTAGAGCTTCAAGGTTAGGAGGTGGCGAGGTGTATGGATATCAAGACTTGGGACCAAGTATCGCGATCGGGCAAATTGATAATCTTTTTCATTCATCATAATGCAGGGCCTGCAATGGTTGTCGTCTGTTCGGGCACTCGTACATGTAGAAGCCGACCCTCACTGTGTATATACATGGAGACGTCTTTGTGACAGGCCCCTTGTGGGTATTTGAAATCTCGATCCCCTTTCTGCATTTACCGGTCCCAAATGCCATGCCAAAGAATCGACTTTGATAACCCATTTGTTGATTCCAAACTGGACCCTTAATTCTTCAGTGCGCATGACCGGCAATGATTGGTTTTCGAGTGTCGATCCCTCCTAGAATCGTTTTTGCCTCGACGCGGGGTCCTGTCAAATTCGAGAGACAAGAGAGAACAGTGCATACTGTGTCGTGTTTACTGATAAAATCTTCCCGATCCCCAGTATACCAGGTGGCAAATGGGACTGAGACGGGGAGCATGCTATGATCTCATGTCAGGCGGTCTCTTAATTCGCCACCTCCCTGCATCGTCTCTGCCCATTGTCACATGAATTCGCCCGATTCCTTCGACAACGGAGTCGAGCAGCGCAGAGTCTGGGTCGTCGAGATTCGGAGTTGTCGTCGAGGGGCCGGCGGGGAACCGGTGGGCAGCCGGACGGGGGTGGCGTCGCGGGGAGAGAAGTGGAATTGCGGGGACTGGCGCCGGGTAAGAGGTCCGGAAAGGGTCGTCTCGTGGCTGTGTCATGGGCGGGGAGGGGAGGAGGCTTGGAGATGACATTGACTGAGGGGATAGAGGAGCCACGGGGGTGTAGGGCTGAGCGGAGGGTATAGACTGAGAGCTTTGGTGGGAGTTTTGCTGGTAACTTTGTTGTGAGGTTTGTTGACTCTGATTCGACTGCGTAGTAAAGGCGGATGTCTGCGATCTGTCTGTCGAATACGATGGATAGCCGTCATCTTCTGGAGGGGAGGGGAGGGACTGTAAGAGGGGTTGTGGCGGCGTTGGAGTTGGTGTTCGAGATATGTATGATGGAGAGGGGCTAGGAGATCGAGATTCAAGGCTGCGGCCAAGAATCCTGTCGGAGCTCGAAGTTGTAAAGGACATTGATGTGGATGGTCTGCTGTATCCATTCGTCGTCCGCTGCAATCTCTGGGCAGCGGCATACGCCTCACGGGCAGGTCTAGAAGATCTGATAGTAGAGGTTGAGGGGGAGCCAGGGGAGATGGTGTTTGAATTTGCGTTTTGTTCATCGTAAGAAGCTTCTTGTTGGTGGGAGGGGGAGGAGAGAGTCCTAGACTCTTCAGGGGAGGTCCAGACCATGGCTACACGGGGGGTGTAAGCCTGTGACTGGGCAGGGCCATGATCTGGTTGCCCAAGTCAATTCCCAACAAATATGGAAGAATGTCGATGTGTAGCCTCGACGACTGAGGAGTAAAGGCCAAAGTCTACAGTATGCCAGTTAGTTACAAGAGCTTTCATATAGAATGTCACACTGAGGCATGAAGGAAGGTGTCAAGGTACACATGCGTTAAGCGCAGCTGAGAAGCGCGCAACGGTCATGGTGACGACAGATGATGGTACTTACCCACACTATTCCCCAGATCCCGGGACGTCAAAACTTTGATCGTCAGGTCCGGGTTGACCTTTCCAATGACCTGAACAGAGTTTCCATTGGCGAGATGCGCATCCTGGAGTGTTTGTAAGCTTTCCATGTCGAGGTTACATTGCTGCCGGGAGGCTGATAACGGATTGCTCAACGTACCCTGTTCAGCAACACAGTGACCGTGCCGTCCGAGTCCAGAGTCGCCTGGTCACCCCGGAGCTGCGTGACTTTGCCAACGAGCATGATAACTCGACCGACAAAGTTGTCGAGGTATGGTGCGGTGATGCGCGGGGTGGACATTTGTTCAGCCATGTTTGCGTTTGGTTTTCGCCTGCGAAGAACGGATATGAAGAGAAAAGTAACAAGAGCGCGAGAAGAGCCCGAGGGAGTGGCTCTACACGTTTGGCCGAGAAGAAGACGAGAGAGGCGGGCGATGAAGTGCGCGGGCGTCAAGGAAAGTGATGAGGCTGCTGGCGATAACCGCGGGCGGGGCAGAGCGCGTTTGAGGATATCGCGAGGTCACGTGGCGTGAAAGCATGAGAGAGTGCTATCAGGTGACTGTGCACGTGCTGCTGCTGTACCTCCTGGAGCATCCTGATGCTCCAACACAGACAGCTCCATTCAACACATGATCTTCAAGCATCAAGCATCACTTCAACCTCCAGATCTGATCTGTACGAATCTCGCAAATATGAGCCTGCCATGGATGACCTGGTACTTGCCTGTTGCGGCATGAGCATCTCACCGGAGCGCCGACCGTCTCCCCCGAAGGCCGGCTCGAGCTAATTCCCCGATAATCCCGCTAGCCAAGCCATGTCAGCCGCTGGATAAACCTGTTTTTCCTGTGTTCCCTGTTTTCTTTGCAGACTTTTCCATTGTGTCTTTCCAGCATTACCTTCCTGGCGTCGCTTCAACTGGACCCGCACCAGGTGCAGAGAGTCCCCGGAGCAAACACTCCGGATCAAAACCTCCGGGGCCTGATTGAGCGCGATCAACCATTTTCCACGACAAACAATTGGAAATTTTCTTGCTGAAAAGCTGGAGCATCTATAACGATGCAACAAGAGGCGTGTGTGTACGAAATTGCCCGCGAACAGGTGGCTCTGATTGCCCCCCTGGTTCCATTAGCCACAGATGAGAAACGGTCAGGGACAGCAAACCCGGCTCACTCAAGGGTGCCACCACCCTAGGAGGAAGTTGGATGGACCCTGAAAACGGTTTTTTTTTTGCATCTGTCTGAGAAGCATCTGATGACCCTCTTGCAGTTCAGTGGTCAGTCTGCATGAAAGGCTGCCCCGGGCGATCGTTACTCGTTGCGTCTGTTGGAAACCTGCCAATTGAAGATCGACCGCTCATATTTCTCAGTCGGCGAGAAAACTATCGCACCGCGGTAACACAAGGAGAATTTTCTCATGGGTATGACGGCAGGCAGAATTCTTTTCGGAAACCCACCTCTCAGATGGCAAAGATTTATCGCCCAGCTGTCAACTTTTTTCTGGAGAATCACATCATTGTGCATACTATGGAATTCTTGGCGACCGTGTCCAAGAGTTGGAATCGCACATGAAACTGCGCCGCAAAAGGACCCTGAATGCGCTTGATCGCCTTGATGCCGAGCCCTCGACTCCTCACTTGATTCGAGCTTGTGCCTGGATGGAAGAATTTCAGCACAAGTCAAAAACACACTGTCCGAGTTACCCAGGACCTCCCTGCCTGGGAATATGTACCCCTCATCAGGATAACCATCCGGGACGCCGGACAGGAGGACATCTTGAACCGAAGCGCCGTTTAAGACGGGGCCGAACATGTTGAACGCCACAGCTGAAGGGCCGTATCCCGAGGATGTAACCACACCCTCAACTCTGAGCCGCGTATGGGCGGCGAGTCTGAGAGCCCAGTCTCTCCCGCACTGTCCAAAGGCTTTTTGCTCCGGCTAACCATTGGTCGGCCTCCAGGAACCAACACCTCCACGGAGGAGGTCCGTTCTGAGTTACTGGCTAGAAATGCAGACGCAGTGCATTTGGTGAAGATACCGCCAGAGATGAATTGCTACACTACAGTAAACATTCAGCTGCGGTTGTCTTTCTTCGGCCGGCCAAGCTTTAGCGTCGACACCTTTCCGTCATGAGCACCAAGCTCGCCATCATCTAGCTAGACCATCACCTCGTTTCCACTTCTCCTCTGCAGACAGAGACGGGATGACATTCCCTTAGCGTACCGCCACTCTCGAAGCTGACATCTTCAGCCAACTCTACTTGGCGTATCGCGGCTTGTTCCTCGCCGTACTGTACAGTGCAGTGATTGCTGCGCTCCGCTTGCCATTCGCCGACAAAGAAGTCAACAAAGCGGGGCATCCGGCCTTCAAAGTCACTTGCAACGTTCCACATTCAACTCCCACTGTCGTTTATAGAGTACATCCACCACACCCTGGATCATTTCCAGAAGCTCTCCCCATCAATTGCGAATGATAGTCCCTGGAAATATCCCGTTTGCAGACCTCACTGGTTGACTCGACTGTACATCCTGCTCTACTGTGCCTTGGACCGCCACCCCCTCACCTTTACTCCTTCGACCCCGGGTTGTTACTGTAAAGAGTCAACCGATACATCCTTACAGTCCGCCCACTGATCTCCAAGACTAGAGACCAGTGACGCAAGCACCCGTTACTAATGGTCGCATTCCGCGTGAACATCATATAACCGTCGACTTGTTACATCAGTCCCAGCTTGTGGATCAATTATACTCGCCTCTACCCAGCAACATCGATCGAGAACAGATCCTCTTTCCGAGTTCGTGGCTTAGCCGTGTGGCTTCAGTTAATCATATCTTTAAGTCTATCTTTCCAATAAATCTTCAGTTGTTGGCGATTGGCTGTGTGGCGGACGTCTACGGCCTCTCCGGACGAATAATCGAACAGAAGCAACAAGTACGAAACGAGGCAAATTCGCCTCCAACTGACTGAACACTTGACCGTTCTATTCAAGGCGCCTGTGCCTGGAATCGACTATTTCGTCGGTCATCGGAGGTGTCTCCTTGAGCCGGATCGGTTTCTCCGCTGGCGCTGGCCCTGGTTCAGCCTGGTTGGCTTCTGTGGCCTTCCTCCACCCTCTCAAGTTGCGACACAACCCTTCCTCTTCATTCTTTTCTCTTGGCCTTTCAGCAACGGGTTCTAGGCCCAAACTCGGCCAATATCTCGGGGAATAAATCGACAATATCGCCCCTCTTAGGTTGACAACTTTGCCACCCGTTCCTGGATTCTACCCTTCTAAGCTGGTCGCTCAGCCAGTATCGAAACCCGCCACACGCCCCTCCCTATCCGTCTCTTGTGTCCTCGACCCAAACCGGCACCGCGAAGCTCGATCGAGAACTGTATCTGTGCCTGAGACAACATCAGCTTGACATCGTTTAAGAGATCTGCCGCGATAGTCTCGCGCCCTCTGAACGTAGAAAGTCAAACCTCGGCCCTTGGGGTCTAGGCTACCACACCAGGAACAGTACGTTGAACGGGCCTTTCAGACGAGTCCCAGGACAGTCAACATGAACAGCAGCAACAGCTTTGCAGACGAGTCCACCCAGTTCGGCAACAACTACATGTTGGCTGCCACGGGCGACGCGAACATCGACCCCATGCTCAACGCGTGCACGACCGAGGACCCGATCCCACCCTCCAGGCCCATGGGTACTCAATTCATGATGAATCCTGCCATGTGGAATCCAGCTCTGAATAACCCAGTTGGCTTCTTCCCCCCTGAGCTGTCGACGGTGGTACCGACGACCTCCACGGGTAGCCCGAGACCCCCGACCGAGGCGCAGTCATCGCCTGGAACCATATCAAGCGAACCAGTTTTCGAGACATCACGTACCTCGAGCAAGTCTTCTATACCATCTATCAACTCGATAGCGAGCGAGACGAATACCAAGACTCGAAAGAGCACGAGGAGCACCAACTCGCACCGTCGACGAGCATCAGCCGCATCTCCGCCACGTCGACCAGCTGCAAAAGAACCAGTTGTCGAAGAAGAGGAAGAGGAGGAAGATATGGACGACCACCAGTCGTCGAAAAGGAGCAAGTTTTTGAAGCGCAACAGGATAGCAGCGTCCAAGTGCCGACAGAAGAAAAAGGAGTGGGTGAACAACTTGGAGGAGACGAGATCTGAACTGGAGCATCAACACTCGACCCTCCAGACAGAATACAACGATCTTCTTGGAGAAGTGAGCAAGATGAAGAACCAACTGATGCAGCATGCTGGTTGCAACGACTCCAACATCAACCAGTGGATAGAGAATGAGGCAAGAAAGTTTGTTCAACGGACGGCAGCCGAGTACCACACGGGCCAGGCGCACTGTAGTGGTATTAACTACTGCCACCATCACAGTCGTCGGAGTTCTAGTGGCGAGTCATGACCTTTCCAGACTTGGAGGACAATGCTAACTGTGTTCCAGTCATGACGACTATACCGAAATCGACAGAGTCGGAGATCAACTACGACCACATGCCCGACGATATGTTGGATTAAGAGCCATGGACAACACGAGTCGACGATGTAATATGAAAAATGCTGCGCACTTGCTTCAAGCTCGACAATCAAGCAGCCAGGGGTTGAGGTGGAACAAGACAACTATCTTGGTTACTTGACTCTGCCCCACCAGATACGATCAACATGTCGATCACGAGTTGAGCATCTATGTTTCTTTGATTTTCCCAAGCAGCGCCTGATGCCAGGGCAAATCAATGGGAGCAGAAGCAGAAGATGAGCACATGTCCTTCTAAACGGGCCACGAACGACGATACTATAGAGGATACTGGACAAGAGGGGGACAAGACGGAATACCCTGTCAAAACGGAGTTGGGCAGCGGACAGATTTCTGAATGAAATTCTGCCTAGGGAATTTCTGCTGCATGGCGTTTTATACCCTTGGCGACTTCGCTGGAAGATGATTGTCAAGCACGAGTATGAAAGGATGAGCATGAAGATTGGGAAAGGGGGTAAGGTGTGTTTGTGATGGATTATGACTTGATGCTTTCACGAATTTTTGAGTTTGATTTGACATGATTTGCGTGGGGGTGCTATCTGCCACGACAGGTGGCCAACGGGCCTCATATGGAGCTTATTTCTTGACATGACTGAGTTGAAGGGGGAATCAGGGCTACACTGAAGAGAGGCAAGGAGACTGGGGAAGAGTCTCGTCTTTGAATCAATACTCCAAGGCATAGGGCAGATGTGTAGTATGTGGCGAGTGTACAAACAGTCTCGAATATTCAACAAAGGAAAAAGCTCCAACTTTGGAATAGGTCTAACCTTGCCATGCATTGTCATGATCCAGACGGTTGGAGGATATTCTCCGGTTTGTTATCACCGAGACTACTGTAACCTGTGATGGACATCAGCACTGAACACGGAGACAAGCACAACTTGCCACCAGATAACTGAAGCCGAACAGAACTGCCGGTTCTAGGGGCAGAGAATGATGTCCACGTGAGGATGAAGTTCAGAGTCTAGACCCCGGGGATATAGGATTTATCAAAGATTTGAGTTTACCCATGTTGGGTGGCGAAATAGGGGTTTTCGCCACAAACTTGGGACCCCTCGTTGGGCTTCAATGGATCCCGAGTTTTCAAGATGAAATAGGATATTGATCGACCCTTTTCGGGATTTTCTGACCGGGTTTTGTTTTGACAGGTGAGGTTGTGGCTATGCGGTTTGCCACGGAGGAGTTCTATTAAAAGGGAAAGCTTCCGTGATATGAAACGGCAAAATCAGCGGTTGAGACTTGTTTGATTGGGGGGAGAATGAGATTCAGAGATGATTACTGGTTGGCATGCTTGAGGTTTAAACTCTAAATATGATATGTTTTTGGTCTTTGATATTGGTAACTATCCCTTTGTTGAGCAACAATCACCAACTAGATACATCACTGTGAATTCACAGATAATACCATTCTTCCTGGCACGAGCCCATTCATCGTAGCACATGAGTTGCATATTTCTTTGTCTTGTAGTCCTACATTGACTCCATCTAAATGTACAGTGATATGATACATACAAACCCCTAGCTCTACCTCCTCTTGATCCAACCCCTCGAGTTGGAAATACCCCTGATGTTCTTGGTGTACTTCCAAAGGTGGCGGTACTTTGGTCCTTGGCGCTTGGCCTCCCATCCGCGAGGCTTGACGGGTGGCTTCATGCTGTGCACGCGCGTGGGTCGGAACTCGACGTCGCCGCCCTCGATGTTGTGACGCTTCATGACCGAGGCAGTGTTTTCGTCCCATACGGATCGGAAGAGGTTGAAGCCGAAGGGGGTGAGGCTGAACTTGTCGCGGAGGGACTTGAGGGAGAAGCCTTCGCGCTTGGAGTAGAGCTGCTTGAGCTTGGCTACGTCGACACGCTCGCCGGGCTTTTGCTCGAGGAGGTAGATGCCCAGACGGTGGTAGGGGGCTCCCTTCTGGGAAAAGGCAGGCAGCCAGGGCACGGCAAGCTGGTCCTCGGCCTTTATCCTGCTCAGGGGCAGAGAAGTGTCTGCGGGACTGAGAGGAATGTTGGCAGCCAGGTAGTGGCAGCGCTTGGAAAAGGTATCCTTCTCCGGGTCGGGAACATCCGAGTCCACGACGACAACGGTGACAAGACGCTCTCCCTTGTCAAAGACCTGCACGCGCAGCCTGGGGGCGTTTTCGCTGACAAGGCTGTCGACGATCTGTCCCGGGGGAATCTTGAGCTTGCGGAAGTAGAGCTGGACGTCGGCGGTTGGCTCGAGCTTGGGGAGGACGTCGGGGACGATGTTGAACTGCTTGATTCGCTGGGTGATGAGGCGGTGGTCGTAGGAGCGCCACTTCTTTTCGGCATAGTGGCGGTAGATGGGTTTGTTCATGTCGCCTGGAGTTGTTAGTGAGTGTAATAACCTCTCAATGGCTCAATTACATACCCAGACCGTCCTCGAATCGCTTCTTGACGATGGGATCATTGGCATCGGCGAGAATCTTGAGTTTGTCCACATGTCTCCGCAGACTAGCCAGCTTGACATCCTTCATCTTCTGTCCGCCCTGAACCTTGTCCGGGTCCTTTTTCTCGAGGAAAGCAATCTTTTCCACCTCTTTTGTAATCTTGGCCAGCTTCTCCTCCCGATCCGCGGCCAGAATCTTGCGTGCTTCCTGGAAAGCCTGGTAGGGCAGGTGTTCAAAGGGGAGGTCGCCGGTGGTTCGGATAGCGACACGACGACGACGGGATCCAATTGGCATCTTTCCAGCCTTGATGACCTGCGCCTCGAACTCGGGAAGAACGGTATTGGGATCCAGATCGAGCGGGTTCGTCTCTGCGGGTGTGGGAGTCGTCGTCTCGACTTCGGCGGGCCGAGGGATGGCGGTGGTGAAGGGTCGGACGACGCATTGCGGCCGCAGCTGCCGGGCGAGCGGCCTCACGACGGCCTGGCAACGCGACATATTGAAGCGTTGTGGAGGGGTAATTCGAGGTCGTCGATTCTCGGTTGAGTATCTCGAATATCGAGAAAAAGCTTGGGCATGGTTTGCAATGGCTCAGCCCCACAAAAAAGTCGGGGACCGGAGGCGGAAGATGCCGAACCACTTTTCGAGCATCACGGTTTTTGAGGAAACGGAACCAACAACGGCATCACTCTTTGGTCTGTGAAACGCCGACGCCAATCCACGACAAAGGGAACATACGTGGAATTGAAAACCATGACGGGCAAGGGAATTGGTTGTCTGGCCGAGGCTATGGGCGCTCTGCGGGTGTCTGCTAGGGTGAGTGGAAGAGTCTTTCATGGTATTCGCATCTAACGTTCTATAGCCGGCTGCTCTTAGCAAGACGTTTACAAGGTCAATGGCTACAGAGGTATCTTCTACCGATGCCCCTGCTGTCTCTAAATCTGCCGATACCCCTCAGGGCATTCTAGAGTCATGGAAGCCCGGTCAGTCTCCCACTTACTGTCCAACCAACCTCCACTGACACACCCAGTCTCGACCGTCCCCCTCACAATCCACAGCTTCCCCTCCCTCGAGCCAACAGCCCTCGAGCAATGGTCTATCAACCACCTCTACCTCCCCCTGCGCCGCGACATCCTCCACCTCGCCGTCGTCTTCGAGGGCGACAACACCCGCCAGGGCACAGCCTCGACCAAGAACCGCTGGGAGATTAACGGATCGCACCGCAAGATGCGACCTCAGAAGGGAACCGGCCGCGCCCGTCTGGGAACCAAGCAGAGTCCCCTCCTCCGAGGTGGTGGAAAGGTGTTTGGACCTAAACCTCGCGACTTTGGAACCGGTCTTAACCGAAAGGTTTACGACAAGGCTTGGCGCACTGCGTTGAGTTATCGTTACCGCAAGGGAGATTTGATTGTGTGTGAGGATGGTATGGATCTTGCTCTGCCGACCGACTTTGAGCTGCTTGCTGGAAAGTACCTCAAGGACGGCATGAAGGAGACATATCTCAAGAAGTACATGACAGGCATGCTGGGTAACCTGGGTCTTGGCCGGGCTAGCGGCCGCACCCTCTTTGTGACGGGCAACCGCCGCGAGGCTCTCTTCGAGGCCATGGAGCAAGTCCCTTGGGAGGGTCGAGCACTGGACCTCGAGGACGTGGACGTCAAGGATCTCCTAGAGACGGGCAAGGTGGTGCTGGAGAGGAGTGTGCTCAAGGAGATGATTGAGCAGCACCAGAGCGACTTGGTGAGCCGGGTCGTGATGCAAGGTCTCGTCAAGGGAGGACCCGCGACGGGGACAAGGGTGATTGGGGCATAAGAGCCGTGTAGGAATAGCCTTGTATTATTGTGTATACAACCTGAACGTCAAAAGATATGATTCGAGCAAGGTTGAAAGTTGGGTATCATGCCATAGACCCGTCGACAACGCCTCCATCTACTGTCTATTCTACAAGACCAAGTGTTACAGTTATGGTACAATATGTTTACAACGCTCCACCAACTAGGGAGACGATCCACATGGCGACCCGGACCTTGAGTCCTACTCTTCGTTCGTTTTTGGCAAAGTCGTCTCTTGTCGCTTTTGTCGCGTGCTCCTGAAGCCAGAGCTGTTCGTCTGCGAGCCGAGCCTTTAAACCCTCGTCGCGAGTAACAATCAGGGCACCGGCTTCAAGGTCGTGAGAGTAGCTTCGCTTTGTGTAGTTTGAGCTTCCGATAATGCTCATGGCAGGATGCTTATCGCCAGGCATGGTTACCCAAAGACCCTTTGCGTGATATGTCCATCCGCCAGGTTGGCCAACCATGCCGTGACGCCACTCCTTGAGGGTGATGTCTTCATCTCGACCTTCGTGGTGTACACGGTGGACAAAGCGGCGAGCAAGAAGCGTGTAAGCATCTGGGAGAAGTCCAGAGACGCCCTTGGACTTGTAAAAGCCGTTTGCTTCTGGGGCAGCGGTGATGACTGTATTTGAAGTCGAAGCAGTGTTGAGGAGGAGCTTTGTCAGGGAGGGAGCCGGATTAAAGTAACCGGCTGTGAATGTCCACGAAGAGTCGCGGTATGCAGGTGAGGCGAGAGTTTTGAGGATGTGAGTGATGATGGGGAGCTCAGTCGATGTATCCGGCTTCATGACCTGGGACATCTGACTGAGCATGTAAACCCTCGTATCTGAAATGTCCTGAGTCGGCTTGGACGTGGGATGTATCAAGGCCTGTAGCGTTGATGTGGTGCGCTTGATGAAAGCTTGGGGCTTCTCGAGAGGCGAAGGAGCCGAGTTTGTTGTTGGCCATGAGAGAGTGAAGCCTGCTGGTTCCTCTGAGGGTTGAACGAGAAAACTGAAGGATGTGGCCCCTGAGTGAATCTTCCAGAAGTGGTCCGTCACTTCTTTGGATGAGAAGAGATGATAGCGATCTTGACGGTTTGTAAAGTAGTCGGTAGATAAGTTTGCCCTAGCAAGTTAGTCAAGTTCATGTGAATGCCTCTGGTGACTTACCCAGACATGATGATCTCATCATCGACTCCATACAACTTCATGTGCTGAAGTCCCCATCCCTCATTGATGCGCTTGGGAATGTACTCCTTTCTTAATCCTGTCAAGTTCGGCGTGTGATACATGCGAATCTCAACTCGGTCTGCTCCAAACTCTTCCACAAGGGGCGCCAGCAAGGATGCACATGATGGGTTAGGAGCTTCTCGAGTGCCGCGGAGGCAATCTGTCAAGATACTGAGCTTGACCTCGGGGTTCTCTCTCAGTGCCTCTTGTAACGTCTCAATAAGCTCTCGCTCCGACTTTCCAATGTATAGTGTCGACAGAAAGATGCGTCGTTGAGCTTTTCGTATCCGATCCTAATCCCATCAGCCATGTTGCTCTACACCAGTCGACAATCACACCTTTAGCGTCTCGTAGAACTCGGTCGGCGTCCTAATAATCTGTATCTGATCCCCTCGAACATCGAAACTCGGCGCAAGACGGTCCAACTCGTTGACAAACGGCGCGAGAGCTCCTACGCCGCCCGCAGGGCTCGATGCCGGTGCCGGAGCCGGGGCACCAGCCGACATTCCATACTGTCTCCTCTGAATCCTCGGTCGTGGGACGCTCGGCTTGGGACGTGCGGCTCGGAGCCTAGTCGTGCATCGCGCGCAGCTCCGTGCGAGCATTTCGGAGCTCAATTGGGTACCTGTCGAATCTTGACGTGGTGTTGAAGATTTGCTTGTTAATGGCCTGGATATTTCTGGTTCAGAAGCTGTGGGTACGTACCTGCATGCCGTCACGAAGAGGTTCTGCCGATGATTTTCCGTCCCGGTAATCACTTCATCGCCAGAGGCCGATCAAGACCCTCAATCCCCCGTTGCACGCCGAGGTCAATTGTCGCTGAACCGCAATCATGTCGACGATTACGCGAACGCTGTCCAACCTACGAAAGGTTGGAATCAAGGTGAGTCCTTACAGAAACCGCCATTGAGCGATAATGCTGACCCTGAGTAGGATTACTTCCGACAGATGCTGGTATGTTCCGACGACCGAACCACTCGAGCTTGACTAACGACGTCTGTTTGCTACGGATAGTACATTGGTACGTGTTAATTCGAACTCTTCTAGACTCTCTCTGACCAGTCTAGGTGACACCAAGTACGGTCGTCTCATCGGTACCGATCGCGCGGGCAACAAGTACTTTGAGAACAACGAGGAACTGCCCCTCCGAACGCGCTGGGTCGAGTACGCCAAGCACGACTACGACGCCGCCCAAATTGAGCCCGGATGGCACTCGTGGATCAGCTATGTCGTCGATAAGCCCCCGACCGAGGATGCTCTGTTGACCCCTGGTACCCGCCACTTTGAGCCCACCAAGGCCATCCCCAACTATACCCAGAGCCGAGGAGCCTTCAAGACCTACAACACGTGCGTTTGGTGGACGATTATGGGCGGCAACATGCTGACTTTTTCTAGGGCCAAGTCCAAGATTACGGCGTGGGAGCCTGTGGCCGCTCCCCGAGCATGAGCAAGTTGAAGAGTGTACATATGAATCTCGGTTAGACAATCAAACTGTCAAAAAGACAAACCCAAAAAAGGGTCTTGAATTCATTCAGATCAATCGAGCCGCTGCGTGGGCTGTCCCTTGCAGCCAGTGAATGATAATGGTATAGGATCTAGCAAAACATTTGCACTCTATGAGCTCCTCCACATGGTCTTTCCTGTAAAGAAATCGATCGACTATATATGAAATCACTCAAACTTCTACGACGACTTGGACTCGATGGCCGATTTGATGGCTGGGAATGTTAGCGATGGACTTGGAGATGGACGAGATACTGACCTTCGCAAGTGACTCTAGCATCTCCGAATAGCATCTTGGCGTTGGGCATGTAAAACATGGGGTTGGGGACATCGGCTGCTCTTGTTAGCGTTCAATCAGCTAAAATCACTGGAAGTACTCACCATAGCCGCTGGCCAGACTCCTCTTCATCACAACAACCTGCTTAGCCTTCCAGGCGTGAAGCACAGGCATGCCCTCGATGGAGCTACCCTTCTCCAGGGCAATGGGGTTAACAGTGTCGTTAGCGCCAATGACAACAGCAAGATCCGTGTCGGGGAAGTCGTCGTTGATCTCGTCCATTTCCAGGACGATGTCATACGGCACACTAGCTTCAGCGAGGAGCACGTTGCACTGACCAGGCATACGGCCAGCAACGGGATGAATGGCGAAGCGAACAGTGATACCCTTGGCCCTCAGAGACGAGACAATGCTGGACAAGGCGTACTGGGCCTTTGCCACAGCCATGCCGTAGCCGACGATGAGGATGACCTTTTCAGAGTTGAGGAGGGCATCTGCGAGGTCTTCTACAGATGTTGTTGTCACTTCACCTTGGGGTTTGTACTCTTGCATTGCTGTCGGTGTGCCTAGGCCTCCGAACAAGACGTTTGTGAGTGAGCGGTTCATGGCGACACACATGATGTATGAGAGAATGGAACCGGAGACGCCGATTAGGGCTCCGACGGTGGTGAGGAGGGGGTTATCCAGCATGAAGCCCTCGGCGACAAGGGCGAAGCCGCTGTAAGCGTTCAAGACGGTGATGACGACAGCTGGAACTGGTTAGCATTTGATGTGCAGGAGTCTTTGACTTCTTACGCATGTCAGCACCTCCAATGGCAGAGGTAGTTGTGTATCCCTTGATGAAGCTCATTGCAGCGTTGGCAGCGAGTGCTCCAGCTGCAATCATGGGACTTCCAGGTGCCATTGTAACAAAGGCTCCCATAGTAGCAACGTTGGTAGCCAGCAGACCCGAGTTGATGACATGACGTCCAGGGAGAATCTTGGGCTTGGAGCTCATCCTACCGCCGAGCTTAAGGAAGGCAACGATGGAACCAGTAAAGGTGATACCACCTAAAAGGTTAGTATTAATGAGATACAGGATCAGTCGACTTACCAATGAGAACACCGAGGTAGGCTGTTACGAGGTGAAGTGTTGAGGGATCCATGACATCAGCCATGACACTGCCGATGCTGGTCAGGACAGCAGCAAGACCAACGACGGAGTGAAGGGCAGCGACGGTCTGAGGGAGATCGGTAGGAGTAATACGCTTGCCAATGAGGAAACCTATACAGTCAGAAACTGTACTCCTTACTTTGGGCAACACTTACCAGCGATAGTACCAAGAGCGGCGAGACCACCAAACTGAGTGAGAACCTCAGGGGTAAAGCCAGCAGCAAGAAGACTAGCCAGAACACCAGTACCGACACCGAGTATACCGATCATGTTTCCCATACGGGCAGTAGCCTGAGAAGCAAGACTGGAGATTGAACCAATGCAGAGGACTGAGCTGATGAGATATCCGGCTTGGACGAGACCAGCAGCTCCAGTAGAGGCAGCGGCAACGAAGCCTCCACCGCAGAGAGCAGCGGGGATAGCATACAGCCAGGGGTACTCAGGGGGGTCAGTTGGTCCTATACTTTGTTAGCCAGGTTACGAAGAGTCTCGAGTAACTTACGCTTGAACATATCCAGCATGCGCTTGGTAATGACGAAACCACCACCAACGTTGACAAAAGCGAGGAGAACACTCAGAGCACCAAAAGTCTGGGGAACAGTCTCTGGCAAGAATCCACCTCCAAGAATAAACAGACCGCCAATACCGACCATACCAGAGATGGCGTTGGTGACACTCATGAGAGGAGAGTGCAGCGCAGGCGCAACACCCCAGACAGCACGGTAACCGATGAGACTAGCCAGAGCAAAAGTAAAGGCATTAGACATGAGAAGAGGGCTAGTCCACTTGCCAAGGGCTATGATACTACCCATACCGGCTGTGACGCCAGCGACTTCACGAGTCTTCTTTTGCCAGGGGGTTAGAGCTACGGGTTCAGGGGCTGCTTCGACGGGTTCGGTCTTGACGGGTGCAGGAGGAGGTGCAGGTCGAGGAGCCGGTGGGAGAATGTCTCCGTCTTGAGTGACGATGGCGCCTCGGACAACTTCATCCGAGAGATCGATACCGAAAGCCTTGGGTTCAGGGGTCATGGAGAGCAGGAACTTGGTGATGTTGTTGGAGTACAGCGTAGAAGACTGAGTTGGCAAGCGAGAAGGAAGATCAGTGTATCCTGTCCGAGTTAGCAAAAGACTTTACCCTCTGCAAGTCACATACCAATAATCTTGACGTCGTTGTAAACAGCCAGTTCACCCGGCTTGGTAGCCTCACAGTTTCCTCCAGCCTCAGCAGCCAGATCGACAATCACACTACCGGGCTTCATGACATCGAGAATATCGTTCTTGAGGAGCTTCGGGGCAGGCTTTCCGGGGATCAATGCAGTGGTGATGATGATATCGACTTCCTTGGCTTGTTCCTTGAAGAGCTTCATCTCGGCCTCGATAAATTCCTTGCTCATTTCCTTTGCGTAGCCACCGGCGCCAGATCCGTCTTCTTCAAGCTCGACCTCGATGAACTCGGCTCCAAGAGACTGAACCTGCTCACGAGCAGCTGATCGGGTATCGAAACCACGGACAATGGCTCCCATGCGACGAGCAGTAGCGATAGCACTCAAGCCAGCAACACCAGCACCAATAACCAGAACCTTGCAGGGGGGAATCTTTCCAGCGGCTGTAACCTGACCAGTCAGGAATCTACCAAAAACGTTTGAAGCTTCGAGGACAGCCTTGTAACCAGCAATGTTGGCCATGCTGCTGAGGGCGTCAAAAACCTGGGCGCGAGAGATACGAGGGATCATGTCCATGGCAAAGCTAGTGGCTTTCCTGGCTGCAATCTTTTCGACGAGTTCTTTGTTCTGGGCGGGTTGAAGCAGAGAGATGATGGTTTGGCCTTCTTTCATGCAGTCGACTTCACCAAGACCGGGACCGCGAACCTTGAGGATAATGTCGGCATTGGACCAGACATCCTTGGGACCAGTTACCAGAGTTGCGCCAGCCGCTTCATAAGCAGCGTCGAGAAAGTCTGCCGATGTACCAGCGCCGCGTTCAACGAGGACCTGCTTAAAACCCTTCTTCTTTAGTAGGGCTACATTTGCAGGTGTCAGAGAAACTCGGCGCTCTCCAGGAAAGATTTCGGTAGGGACGCCAACGGTGAGGTTATCGTAGGGAGTCGTCTTGGGGAGGACCACGGTGGAATAAGTCCGAGGAGGAGTCACAGGAACCGAGACATGACGAATCAATGCTAGAGGCTTCGAGATAGCAGGAACAATTGCTTGCTGGCGAGACGAGGCAAACGTGCTCTGCCATTGCTTGCGACGGGAGAGGATAGCATCTGGAGCAAGCTGTGGTTAGCTCGGGTCAACGGAGCTTCCAGCAGCTTCAATAAGCTCACCTCGGACTTTGTAACGCTTCAATTGCTTTGATACAAAGCAGGAGGAAGCACACAGCTCAGATGCCGAGGCTGGAACCGCGGTCGTGGCCAGCGGGCGAAGCATGTTGGCTACCATGATGGAGAAAGCCCATGGAGGCCAGCAGCGAGATCGGAGAAGAGCTGCTTCTAGCGGGTACAGTACTTCTCTGAGACTTGCGTCTCCAAACACATAAAGAACAACAACTAGAAAAAATCTAGAAAAAAAAGAAAAGGAGTGAAAAAGAAGACACACATCAAGGGTTATCCGAAGAGGGGCTGACCTCGTCTCCGTGTCATGTGTTTTCCCTCCTTGTCTGGGACGTCACTCGGCATTCCTCGTTCGAGTCACCTCCCACCGCCCGCCCGCTGGAGCTCGGGCCTAGAAGCCCTGGCCCGGGGTTCTATTAGCCGCCCCGAGCAGTGGGCCACGGGGCGCTGTTAGTGGGACCCGAGGACGCTAATGCCGCTAAAACCTGGGGGCGGGGCAAGCTGTTCTTGGGCGCGGGGGGTTTTAACTGTTCCATGGAAACAAGGTGTGGTTTCTAACAGGATCATCATGGATAGACGGCGGATGGCTCGGGGGAATTGCAATAGCGAGATCTTGAAGGGTCGCTCATCCCGCGGACTTGCCCTTTGGGTGCCCTCCCTAGGACTTGGCAACCGGGTTCCCCTCACTCGGAGCTGCAAGTCCGGCCTCATTGTCCGGCCATGGGCGGTTCAAGATGAGCCGAGATCATGATGCATGATGCATTCGCAACATGAGCGGGTGGGCTGTGGGCGTTTTCCGATGTTTCTAGCGCTCCAGTCATTGGGATGGTTGGCTGGAGCCCCGATTAGTGTCGTTCCAAGTCTGCTTCAGTTTGAATCACGACAAAGGATGATCATGAGTTTGATGTTTGCTACAATTAAGGATCGACAATACAATCAAATGAGTGACTTCCAACAACCTCATTCATCTCATCCACCATTATTCTCATCCACTAACCGCTGCAATCTGCCTGTTCAACAACATCCAGCCACAATCATCCTACATATGGAATCTCCCCAGCCGACCACTCCCTCGCATCGGGCTCTCCCCCTTGTCTCCCTCCTTGATGTTTGGATCACCCGCCCCGCTTCCTCCGCCGTGACCAGGCAGGCAGGGCGTCTTGCATCGACCTCTAAAGTCCGGCCCGACATTGAGGCACGTATCACAGCCGCAGAGGAGCTCAAGGTGGTCTCCGACCTTTTGGTCGATCTGGTCGCAGAGGCAGATGTACAGGGCCGAGTCGACGCTGGTGGCTGGAGAGCCCTGCGGGCAGTTGGCGTTTGGCGTCTTGCAGTATGCCTCGGAGAGTTGGGCTTCATTCCAAGGTTTGGCTGCTGAGGCGTTAGCGTTTCCACAGTGACTTGGAGATTAGTGTTTATACCCATTGCCATGAGGACTTCTGCGCAGTAAGTATACCCGCATTCGCAGATTGGTCCTTCAATTGGTGGTGGTGGTGCACCCGTAGGGTTCGGAGCTGGTGGGGCCGGGGCCGGATCCGTTGGCGCCGGAGGCTGCGGGACAGGGGCCGGAGAAGAAGGCGGAGGTGCGGGAGCCGGTTCTTCAGGGGGAGGAACCGGAGCAGGAGGTGGAGATGGCGGGACTGGAGGCTCAGCTGGTGGTTCAGCTGGCGGTTCAGCTGGGGGAACTGGGGGATCGGCTGGAGGAGCTGGGTCGATTGGGGGAGCTGGTGGTTGAGATGGAGGAGGGACAGGCGCAGGCTGAGGGGATGAAGGTGGAGGGACCTGGGGCTTTGCCATGACCAAGGCGAGCAACCCGAGGAGGATAAAGTATATCTTCATGTTGGTAACGAGTGCGATAGTTTGGCTTGAAGGATTAATCTGTCCAGGTATGGACTTGTCGGTAGGGATGCTGAGCTGAACTGAGATGATGGCTATCCATCCTTATATCTGGCAGACATCCAAGGCCAGGCCGTCCAAGAAGCAAACGTTTGCTCGTTAACAAAGGCTCCCGTCAATAGCATTGCGAACACGTCGCGCGTCCTACATCGTGGAGCCATCGGCAGTCCGGACTAGTGATGGTCAAACGTAGAAGTCAAGTCCATGGTGTTGTTCCTGGTCTAGTATCACGACGAGTTGGAAGTGGCATGAGCGAGTTCCGAGGGCGAGAAGCTTCGATCAAGTTTTTGGAAGGTGACAGAGGTATCATGATGACAGACACATGTTCACTTTATACATCTCGTACTTGTCTGTTGCCATGATTAAGGCTGTTCCTGGGGTTTCTAGATTGATGGTTTCGTTGTAAGTGGGACATGCAACTCAGAGTACGACAACTGTGTGATCTACACCTGCAGATGTTTGCTTCAACTGATATTTCAGTGCAAGTCTGTACCCAATACAAACCTGGCAATTGTAAAGACAGCAAACTTTCAGCAAGAAAACAAGTTCCATACCAACTTAGGTACAGGTAGTATCATTCAGGCCGGCCGGCATCGGCATTTGTACCGTGCTAATCCCCCGCACTGTGCCATTGAAACTGTATCAACCCCACCATCCGTTGTGCTCCGAAAAGCTGATAACTTTGCCCCTCCAAGCGCATCTCAGCCGCTCAGCCATCCTCGAATCCGCAAACTCGTCCTCCGAAAACCTTTTACAATGTCCGAGTCCGCCCCCAAGAACGTCATCAATGTCGGCACGCGAAAGTCGCCCCTCGCATTGGCCCAGACAAACATCGTCGTCGACGCCCTCAAGGCTCAGTTCCCCGATCATGAATTCCCCATCCACGGCATGACCACGACCGGCGATCGAGACCAGAACACGGCTCTGTACAACTTTGGAGGAAAGGGTCTGTGGACGTCGCAGCTTGAGGAGAGGCTCGTCAACAAGGAGCTTGACCTTGTGGTTCACTCGCTCAAGGACATGCCGACGAGCCTCCCCGAGGGCTGTGTTCTCGGATGTGTGACGTCCCGCGAGGACCCGAGGGACACACTGGTGATCAAGAAGAGTCTGCAGGAGAAGCACGGATGGAAGACTCTGGCTGATCTGCCGGCTGGCAGCATCATCGGCACCAGCAGCGTGCGTCGCATTGCTCAGCTGGTCCGACGCTACCCCACGCTCAAGTTCAAGGACCACCGAGGCAACATCCAGACTCGGTTGCAGAAGCTCGAGGACGACCCGGAGTTGACTGGCATCATTTTGGCTGCCGCGGGTCTCCAGCGCATGGATCTCGGCCACCACATCTCTCAATTCCTCGAGTCTGACACGGGAGGCATCCTGCACGCCGTCGGCCAAGGTGCTCTGGGAGTCGAGTGCCGGGCGGACGACGAAAAGGTGCTCAAGTTCCTCAAGACGATCGAGAATGAGCAAACGATGCTGGCGTGCGAGGCGGAGCGCGCCGTCATGAGGGCGCTCGAGGGCGGGTGCAGCGTTCCCATTGGAGTCGAGACCAAGTGGGTGGACGGCAAGCTACGGCTCAGAGCTACCGTCGTCTCTCTGCGGGGCGACGAGGGCGTCGACGCTGAGATGACGGAGGAGATCAAGACACAAGAGGAGGCTGACACCTTTGGCAAGAAGGTGGCCAAGCATCTCGTGGACCAAGGAGCTGGCAAGATTCTGGATGCCATCAACGAGAAGAGGCAAGTACCCGAGACGGTCAAGTAGACACAAAAATGGACGAGGACATGGCAAATGCATAGCCGATTTATAAATCGGCATATGAAAATAAAACCCAATATACCCCCGGGATGCGAATCACCATATGGTACACCTGACGTATGTCTATGCTTGCAGGTTGAACTGTCTTTCATTCCTTTCTCTTGTATCCGATCGTAACCCATATCTGGTCAATGACTCTTTAGTGCTCTTCGCTGCCAGCAAAGGCCCTATAGGCCTTGATATCCATCAGGTCGTCAAACTGCTTGGCACCCTTCTCGTCAACCTCGACCTTGACGATCCAGCCGCCGCCGGCGCTGTCGTCCTCGGGGACCTTGTTGATGGTGGAGGGCTTCTCCTCGAGGTTCTCGTTGACCTGGACTACGAGCAGTTTGACCGGGGCGTTGATGTCGCTGGCTGACTTGACCGACTCGACAGCGCCTACCTGGTCGCCCTGCTCGACCAGGGTGCCAACGTCGGGAAGTTCGACGTAGACGACGTCGCCGAGCTGCTCGGCTGCGTACTCGGAGATGCCGACGAAGCCGTGCTTCCTGTCGGCGGAGAGATCGATCCACTCGTGGTCCTTGGTGTATCTACGGGCGAGGCCTTGTCCTCAATTAGTTCCGTCGCAATTGTAGAGAGATGGGCGCAACTCACTCAGCTTGGTGGTGGAGAATGCTCGCATGGAGGAACGGGCCATGGGAGCAGCGCGAGGGGCAAAAGCCTTGGCCAGAGGCGCAGCGACGCGCAGGGACCGGGCAATTGAGGCCATTGTGAGAGTGAGAGAGTGGATGGGTTGGTGAGGGAGGTTGGACGAGATCTGCCGAGTTGGTGATATCAGTCAAGTTCTCACAAGCTCTGCCCGCAAGCAACCGAATGGCACGGCACTACGGAGGACATGGGCCGAGCGGCAGGTTTTCGGAGGTTGACCCGGAAGCTTAGTCAGCCGGGGTTCCGTTGTGTTTTGTTCATGATGCACATGTTTGTTTGACTGAGAACCAATCAGGGATCGGACAATGAACAAGTTTCACAAGTCAACATGGTCAAGTTGTTTACTTGCAACATGTATAAACAGATGCAGGGTCAAGGGTCTTTCTGAGTCAAGATTAGATCTGATGAGCATCAAAGAGTGACAGCTGTGATGAGTTGGCTCTGCATGACGATGATCCCGAGATCAAGACTCGTGGAGAAGGTAGGCAGCTATATGTACGTGCGGGCATGGGACCCAATTGACCAAGCGATGATGTCGCACAGGTGGATGCAAACAAACAAGATGAAAACATTGGTTGCTTGTTTATTGACGATGCATGATGAGTTGGGCTGATGGTAAAATGATACCCAAGGATAGACAGTATCTGTGCTTAAAGACTCTTCCTTTAGAAATGTCGTTTAATACTACGAGACAATGCAAGTCAAGCCCCTCAGATAAAAACCGAGTCATTGTGATCCAAACTGTTTGGCTCCAATTGCATCATTGTTTGCTCGTCAGCCAGCCATCTCCCCCGTGTCTCAACCAACCATTCGTCGCAGACGCGCCCTGAGCGTTTAGCTCTGTAACGCGTCGTCTCCCGAAACTAAACAGCAAAAACTCGACTCCACATGGTCTAGAGGTCAAAGGCCATCTTAACAACACGGGCTGAATCCAAGGTCTAGCCAACTCTAATCGACCGACTCGGGCGGGGTGGATCAGAAGAGGAGGCCGTGTCTTGATTTCCATTCTCTTCTCTTTTCTCTTTTCGTTTCTTTCTTTCCTACCGCAGCGACTCCATCACAGCGCAGTACAAGTCAAATCTCCAGCCCGTGTGGCTTAACCCGGTGTCTTGAAATTCCGTCCCGGGACTCGCAACCGCCCAGGCCCAAGTGAGAGGCTCACCACCATCACCTCTTCCAAAAGCCCAGCGACGAATAGCCATCCCCCTCGCCCCTTGTCAGTCCCTTTCGGTCCCTTTACTTTGAATTCTTGTCGCCAGAGACTGACTGTCAGTCTAGGCGTCTCCCTCTTTCTCTCCCTACCGCCATCTAGTCCAGGCCTAGATCCATCCTCTCCTCATAACCCCCTCCGAGACCTTGTCTCACTAGGTCCACCACCACGTCGGCTCCCTACAGCCTGTCCTGTCTTCTTTCTCCCTCTTGAGCCTGTCGGGTGGCTTTTCGTTTCGAGTCCCTAGGCCCCAGACACGATCCCGTGGAGTCTCTTTGCTTCCGCCACCTACAGCCTTCTCGGAGCACACACGACCACTTACCGACGAGTGCCTGGCCTGGGCCTCAGCTCAGCTCCCACTACCGCCGCTACTACTCCCCACTGCTACGCTACGCTACTCTACCGACTCCATCTCAGCTTCATGCCTCGCACAAGCTCTTGACCAGTCTGTCCTTGTCTTCTTCCGACCGCTATAGGCGCCTCGTCCGCTCCAACCACGTTCTCTACCGACCTTGACTCTCGCTCATTTCGTCCCCCACACGCTCCTTCGCTTCGCCTCCATCCAACCGCACCGCACCGCTGCTTCACCCAGCCTTGACCACATATTCCCATCGCGACATCGACAGCTATTCACCCTGGACGACTCAACGATCACCGCGGCCACGGCCACCATCCCCGACCTCACCCCTCCCCCTCCCGACGCTCCCGTCATCGCCGTCGACACCATGGAGACCGAGGTTCCTCCCCCACACGAAGTCCCCGACGACACTCTAGGCGGTATCGAGGGCTCTCCGCATGTCGCCTCCAGCAGTAACGGCTTCCGTCATCAACAGAGCACATCCCTTGACCAGGGCCTCGCCAATAGTCCCAAACCAGAGGAGGATCCTTCGGCCAGATACACCCCTCCTGTTCAACCGGCGCCTCCAATCTCCCGACCAGCTAGCGGCCTATCCAACCCCGCACACCAGGCCTACAATGACTATCGGCAAGGCGCAGGCGAACCTTCATCCAACGGCCGTAACCATGTCGTGATCAAGGTTGGCATGGTGGGCGATGCCCAGATCGGCAAGACGTCGCTCATGGTCAAGTACGTCGAGGGCAGCTGGGACGAGGATTACATTCAGACTCTGGGCGTCAACTTTATGGAAAAGACGATTTCCATCCGCAATACAGAAATCACCTTTTCCATCTGGGACTTGGGCGGTCAAAGAGAATTCGTCAACATGCTGCCGCTAGTGTGCAACGACGCCGTCGCCATACTCTTCATGTTTGACCTCACACGCAAGAGCACCTTGAATAGCATCAAGGAGTGGTATCGCCAGGGACGGGGTTTCAACAAGACGGCCATTCCTATCCTTGTGGGTACCAAGTACGATCATTTCGTCAACTTTCCCCCTCAAGATCAAGAAGAGATCTCAAATCAGGTGTGTAAGGTGGTCCATCATGTTGACTCGACTAACAGTAATAGGCGAGACGGTTTGCCAAGGCCATGAGGGCAGCCTTGATCTTTTCAAGTACAAGTCATAGCATCAACGTGCAAAAGGTTAGTTCACCGTTTCTCTTTTCATACCCACACTGACCATTTCAGATCTTCAAGATCGTACTATCCAAGGCATTCGACCTCAAGTGCACAATCCCCGAAATCGAAAACGTCGGCGAGCCCCTATTGTTATATCAGTCTGTGTGATGATACACATCCTTCAAGACTACGTCTAGACCATGTCACATACAAGGCACAAGGCATGTCTCAGGCAAGCCTTTCATGTTATCACGTCGAGATACCCGACAATGACGAACCATACACCGCGAGCTGGAAGAACAGCATCGCAGGCGCCAAACGATGCGCCTACGCCTACTGGCCGGCTTATCTACAGTCAGCTAGGAAGAATGAAATAGTAAAACTGTCCTTGTAACTTGCCTTTGATGCGCGACTTTCCCTTCCCTTTGTCTTACACACTACTGGATCGACTCCCTTCCCTTCGTTATTACTCTGCTTCTGCACTAAACTCAATTGTCTTATTACACTTTACGGATAATGGAGAGGTCGGGATAACCTCTCAAGGATAGATAAATCACATGGGTATCTTTTGGCGCGGGTGCGCATCTACATTACCAGCTGGGTGTGCTCAGCGGCCTTTATTGCTGTCCTGGAGGAGCTACAGGGGATATCAGAAGGATATCATGAAACAGCTGCAACGTTAATCGTATTGTTGGCTCAGGGGGATGATGTATGCTAGGATGAGAGACGAGGTAGCATTAGATGAGGAATGAGCGGTTCCTGTACGAGATGAGACAAGGTGTTGAAGAGTTGATTGCTAATCTACGGGCCATCAGATTATAGGCTATGTCGATGCAAGTTTAAGCCAATTTCTTGGTGTTGGTCGATTTGTTACTCGCGTTGTCATCACTGGACTTGTGATTAGCTCCCTGTCCCTTGACCGGCTGCTTAACCCATTTTCTCTCCTTGTCCTCCACATCATCCTTGTAGTTTGTATTTTCGTCATACGCCTCATCTTTCTTCCAAGGAGTTGCCAAATCAACATCATCAAAGTCAGCCAGGTCCATCGAGTCTCGAGTGTTTGCCGCCTGCTTGGGAGAACGCTGCTTTCCGCGCGAAGACTCCCACAGCTTTCGGATCTGTTCCTCCAAACGGGGGCGTGGGGGGCTTACTGGATGGGTGTCAACCACAAGAGGCCAGTCTTGATCGGCGTCCTCTTGCAGTTCGTGTTCTTCCTCTTGGTCAACCCTTCCATACTGTGCTCTCTTGATCTTGCGCCAAGGGGCAAAACCCATGATGCAGATGAAGAGAAAGACAAGAACTACGACGACAAAGATGACTACTAGGATAACGGTGTGAGATTCTGCTGGGGACTCTTCCTCGCGAGTTGTTAGGTAGTGGTACGAAGGGATCTTGCGGAAAGGGGGTGTAAAGGGGGTGCTTTGTGTGTTGCAGGGGGCCATGGGAGTTACCTTGATCTCTCGTGCGGAGAGAGTTGTGGGAGGTGACGATGATTAGTTCTGGATGTGTCGTTGAAGAGTTATATAGCAAGAGCAGTGGGTTAGGTGGGCTGAAGAACAATGAAGGATGTTTGTTGGGGAGAACAAGCGTCATTGAGGGCAGAACATTACCCACAAACATGTATTCAAAAGTATTTTCAGTGAACATAAGTTCTTAGTATTAGAGGAGAACAAGAGAAATAGCCAAGTTGGTTATGAGCTTGTTGTCTTTGTTGTCTATCTGTCCACAACCCAGGTAGGTATCCTAAAAGCCTAAGCCAAGCACGACAACACCGTCCCCGTAGACCTCTTTCAGTTTTACATAACCTTTCAAGTACATGCCTCATTCTCCAGTTTACACTACCACGTAGAACTAGAGGAGGACACCCAGCAAACCCTAGCATACTGGGGATCTGCCCACCAAGTTGAGGTTGTGAGCAACCAATGCCTATACTATGAGAATCCCCGGCCTTTGTCAATGATGTCGACTGTCCAGAATACCTGAAATGGCGTATCTCACCCATTGGTGGTTTCCACTTCGATGCGCTTGAGTCAATGTCCTATGGCAGAAGCTTGGGTGTCATAGGATGAAGGGCAAGCATCAGATTTCATGTTGGCTACCACTTTGGCTGTCACTTTAGGTGTCACTTTAGGTGTAACTTTAGCTGTCACATTAGCTGTCACTTTTTTCACTGCATATTTAACCCGCACCAAGGGAATCTGCTATAAACTTTTGTTGGCCGAGATTGGTTCGGTCCCAAGTCTGCACTGCGATTTTAACACACATGGAAGGGGACTCAATATCAGTAAGCTGACTAGTTGGAATGTTTTTTGTTGTGTTTGGTCCCCAATTTTGCGTTTTTCGCCGCAAATTTAACTCACCCGAGCCTTGTTGGTCGACCAGTTGCAGCATTTAGACGTAGACAGCAACTTGCGCCGTTGAAGGCCAGGCATGGGATGGTATCCTCCTCGTCTCTACTTACTTATGATAAGCACACTGTAGCTCGGGAAGCTCCGTTCTAAGTGTGGGCATTGAACCCTATTTACTCAATGCTGAGTAGGCAACACACACATCTCCTATCAGACGGTAGACTTACACAGGACGTCTAGTGATGGCAAGGGCCTACCTGGCGTACAGGAGCAAATGAGGACAAAGAATAATCCTAAGAAGCGTACGAGGGAAATGATGGCTTATTGGATCACAAATAAGCGGCTAAGCTAGGTAGTGGTTGGGCTCGCATATTCCGATAGCTGCACGTTCATGGACACCCGACCTTCACTGCAAATTTAACGCACACAGTGGGGACGTTGACCGGTCAGTTGGATATAGGAGCTCTCAAGGGCGCAATAGAGTACTGTGACTCCCATAATTGACTCTTCGCAGCGAACAGAGAGCGCTTAAAGGCTGTTTCCTTTTTAGGTTGAAGTGCAGCCTTAACCCATATGCTCTCTAGTAGATCAGTACACTCCTTTCTTATCAGCCGGTATACAGTACAAAGCCCAGTAAGCTCCAGGTGACAGAACAAGGTTTCGCAGAGTCACAAGAAGGCCACGACGCATCCCTCGACGAGCGCAGGGAAGAGAAAGTAACCTATGGTGTCTAGGCATAGCGGTGCAAGCGACCATGATGCAAGCGGTGTGATATCAGGTCTCTTCACTGCAACTCTAACTCAAGCAGAGGGAGACTTTATACCAATACACCGGCCAATCGGAAACATTTAACGCAGTTGCATGAGTCCTGCAACTCGCGTGACGCCATGCTTGACGAGCTTCACTGCAAGTTTAACCCATGCGGAGGGAGACTTGATATCAATCCAGCTAATTGGAACAGCTTGACGTAGCTAAATGGCATTTCTAGTAATCCTCAAAGCGAGGCAACACTGACGGGCCTAGCGAACACACGGCCAAGTTACGCGATCACGAAGATAACATCCAATTGAGCAGAGACCAAAGCTGGCTAAAGCAAGGCCTAATACGGTACAATCCTTATCTATATTTCTCATAGAGAACATGCTGTGCTTTCAGCAAGCTCCATATCAAACGGAAGCATATTGCCCTTGTACTCACTACTAACTGGCACAAAGATATCAAGCCCTTGTGACAGAAGATGCTTACCCAGAGAAGAGAGTGACAATCTGGGAAGAACAGGGAGGTCCCAATCCGAGCTGCATGGCATGTGCAAGGAAGAAGTTGGGTGGTCAGGAAAGAAAAGTGAGGTGAGGATGCGAAAGGGAGGGGAAGTAAATCAGGCTGTTGCACTGCAAACTTAACCCGCCCTGAGGCTTTGTTAGCCAACCAATTAGAACCGTCCAACGTGCATGGCAACTTGACGTTCACAAAGATGAGGCAGGGTGAAGACGGACATTCATCTCTAGGTACCTTCCGGAGCGAACAAAGAGCGCTTGTAGCTTGTTTGGCTTTCATGCAAAAGTTCAAACTATGTGCCTACTCCCTGTTAGATAGATGACTTTATCCATCATCTGAGCAGACGGTACACTGAACGAGGACCGCCAAGACTTGGCAACAGAAGCTAAGAGAGTGGGTGGTCAAGACTAGTCCTTTGAATTGGGTACGGGAGATCCAGATCGTAAATAGCGCGCTTGATGTGCATTTCACTGCAAATTTAGCCCACGCAGAGATCCCCCAACAGAACTTGTCGCCCAGCCCATCCATAGTAAACTCATGGTGGCGTACAACATTGTATGGATATCCATCACATGGACGGGCCATGATGGAGTATAATTCTAGCTTCGGCTCTTTGTCAAACCTGGCGTGCTTTCATCGCCTATTTCGTGCTGGACAAGCCAACATTGTCAACTCGTAGGGCCGAGATGGATCTCTCACCGAGGAGTGGGAGGGAAAGACGGCCAATGACGCCAACAGCCTCACTCAAGATAGGCCATGCTGCTGACTGCATGATGCTGGTGTCTGAAGTTGGAGGGGGGACTGCAGAACTATAGGCTAAGTTAGCTGTAAAACAAGTCCTCGCCGACTCACAAGCTATGCACTGCAAAATTAGCCCACGTCGAGGTCCATTGAACAGTGTTTTTCGCCTACGCCCTCCACTCATGATACACTCACAGCACTGCACTACATCACAATATCTAACATGGCCAATGACAAGACATGATGAATCAGAAGTCTTGTTTCGGCTCTTGACCCAGCTGAGCGCGGATTTACAGTTAGGCGATGTTGCGCTCTTGAATGCAGAATTATAAACAGATTTGCCCACTGATGGATATATCGATGCAGTCAACATGGAAGACTGACGCAGATCCCTTGGAAAGGACAGGAAGTCTATGTTGCGCCGTTGTGAAAAGTGCGCTGGCAGATGTGAGAACCGCACTAGCGTACGTGAGAAGTACACATCCACTGCAAGTTTAACTCACACAGAGACTCGACATACTGGCATTAAGCCGGCCAGTTTGGACTATTTGACACATACAGGGCGCTTCTAGTAGCTTTCGAGGACAAGGCAGCATCGCCTGGTTTGTCAAATATGCAGCTTCTAAAAAGTGAGGCGACGACCAGCAGCAACATTGCACTGCAAATTTAACCCACGCCGAGGTCCCTCGAACAGGGCATTTCACGGTCCGGCAATGGGAACACGTAGCGCTTTACACTCTACACTACCTTGGGTATCTATTATGGCCGTGCTGCGTCGTTAGTCAAAGTGAGGCTGCCTTGAGCTGGATTTCTTCACTGCAAACTTAACCCACGCCGAGGCCTATTAGCTCGGCTAATTAGGACTCTTCAGTGCGCAGCAACTTTGGCGGCTCTTCGTGGAGGTGAGGCATTGTACAATCTACTTATTCCTGCTCTACGTAGCTCTTTATGGTGAAGTTCGTTCACTTGTATAGCTCTCTTTGTCTAGTATGAGGCAGGCATCGAAAATCCTGCGTATCAACTATGACAAAGTAAACACTCGCGTCATCTTAGGCAAAACGTTGTACATCGGTGGTATCAAGAATTCTCAATTACTCTACTTCTTCTATGCACTGGTCGTGCCCTGCTCAATATCCGCCGCCTTGCGAGCCCTCTTCTTCTTTACATGCTGGTAAAGCTTCATGATTCCACCCCCAAGGAGAGGGAGTACAACAATCAGGGCGATAGCGACAATAGCCCAGACTGTAGAGCTATTATTGGACTCTTCGCTGACTGCAGTGCTGTTCACGTCTCTGGTTGATGGCCAGAGGAGATGGGGGAATGAGGGAGTGTGAGTGAAGCGTGTCATTTTGTATAGACCTGAGGGTGATGGGTTTCTGGGGAATAGTATTCAAACCTGCATTTTGCTGAATATTTATAGTGAAGCAATGGCTGGGCCTTTCATGCTCTACCCAGATCGTTCTTTTGTTGTGTCTTTGTAGCCAGGTGCTTTATGTCCGCTTCGAGACTCAACGGAACAAAGGCTACAAACTACGCCAAGCCAAGTCAATGAATCACTACAAGTGGAATATCCCGTTATTCAGAAATGAGTATACCGCATCTAGAACAGTTGATGGTATGCGGGCTTCTCCGTAGCCATGTTGCCGTGGGCGCGGTCTTGTCTCAGACTACTACACCACGAGGGCATATATGCGAAGCGGGGGTCTGACTCTACCCTCATGTAGATCACGATGCTTCCTGGCCGTGAATCACCGACGAAGAGCCCATTCACAGAGGAAGCGAGCCGTGGAAAACGGCCTACATCGACAATGACGAGCTACACCTGCCGAGAGCCTCCGTGTATAAAACCCAGCACCATGAGGTTCAAGACTCAAAACACCTACCTCCATCCTCATCGCTTCAACACGCTCGCACACTCATCACCATACAAAATGGATCCTCGACCATATAACCACTGGGTCGTGGCCGGCTTCATCATCATCCACGTGGTCCTCCTCTGCTGGATCCTCTCCATCTCCATCGCTCTCCAAAGAGATCGCCACGCACGACTAGTCGGACGCAAGCTTACACAACGACCTTTCCGAACCAAGAGAGCAGAGTTTCCGTGGAAGGACGCGCTTCGGGAGACGGAGGTGGTTGCAGATGATGGCGCTGAGCCTTTGCTGCCGACGTCGCCTCGCGGAACGGGATGGGGATCGGGGAACAGACGGACAAGCTGGAAGCACAACGACGAGTGGGGAGAAGGCGCGTTTGCGTGAAGGGCTTGTGTGAATGACAGCCAAGGCGTGTTAGCATCACAATAACCAAGTTTGCTCAAACCATGTGATGCCGCAGTTCCAGTGTCACGAGCGTCGAGTTTCCAGCGGTGTAGTCGAGAACAGCCACACGGCAGACATAGCAGCACAAACTGCGGTGAACAACACAAACATCCAAAGAAACAACCAGTCGAGTAAAAGCTGTACAACGGTAACCATCGGACTCACCGCTACACGCTGTAAGCCCGGCCTCTTGCTCCTCTTATACCGTCCCACCTCCGGAACCCGCGGATGCTTGTGGATCCCCTCCATCAGAACTCGACAGGCCACTTGACGACGTTTCCAGCCTTTCTATTCCTCTTCTGCATACGAAAATGCAGGAAAGAATCTAGGGTCCTTTTGATTTCCCCGCAATCTTGATTGATTAGCTTGATCTCGTTCCTGACGATCTGGTGCATGTTGACTTGATGTGGTGGAGCCTTACATGGGCCGTGGCTGCATGAGATGCATAATCTGACTTACACCATAAGCACTCTGATCTTGTTGTAAGAGGCGATCAACTCATGGCAGAATGTAAAGGGACTTCAAGTGTTCTCGCTGAAACTGGACATATGTCCTCCTGCCACTTGACCAAGTGAGCAGATATTTCATTTTGACTCTATGGTCTACCTCTATACCAGCTCGAGATGATGACGAGCAGACCTGAAGCGAGAGAAAGTGACAATCAAGAACAAAAAAGACCCCAATGTTCTGTACTCCTTCAATCCGTTCCATATAAGAATGCCCGCCGGTTCCAACAGGGGGGAAAAAAGAAACACCAGAACGCCGTTCATGATGAAAAGAGTGAAAAAGCCCCAGCGCGCTAAAGAATATAGTAGAAGGTGGAAAAAAAAAGTCCCGGTGATTACATGTACAGAGTTCTGATCTCGAGGGGCCGCAGTGGACGAATCCCTGGCGGGTGTAGCTGCTGCTTTTGCCGATGGGGGTATCTAAAGATGCATCGAAAATCCGAAAACCAAAAAGAGGAACGCTTTAGTGCTTGTTGTCCCTGTCTCCCCAGATGGGGGCGTTCAAGGGCTTGCTGACGCCAAAGCCGACACCGACGGCGATGCCCACGACGAGAAACACCAGGAGGACCTTGACGATGATGCGGTTTCGGCGGCTAAGGTTGGCCATGCAGGTGCAGCGGTTCTTTGCCTTGTTTGCCTTGGCCTTTTGCTTCCAGTGGTCCTTGCCGGGCCAGACCTGGCAGTCGCTCTTCCTAGCGAGAGGACTGGCAGATGTCTTGTGCTGGATGCAAGAGGAATCGGTCGTGTGGGTAGGGACCATGGCCTCGATGTCGGTGTCGAAGGGGTTGGTGCTCCGATCGGAGCGCGGTGTCGAGGTTGTACTCATGCGAGGAGTCTCGGGACAGACGGTGGTATTTGTTGAGAAGGCAGCCTTTTCGGGGAGGGCGAGGGTGTCGATGCTGGGGCCACTAGGGCGGGAGAGTTTCTCGTAGTTTGAAGGCATCGTGATGGATGTGAATGTGAATGTGTTTTAGAGGGTGAAGTAGAGTCGCTAGGACTAGGAATTGGCGATGAATTAAATCAAGACGAATTCAGCTGATTCAACGGCAGCTATTTTCAGTCAGTCTTGTTGCAGGTGACGCGAATGTGGCGATCGAGGCTGATGTTGAGCGTGTCCCAGGAGATGGAACCATCAACATGCGCGTGCGACAAAAGTAGTCGCACAAAAACGGGCAAAGACTAGAACATACCTTTTTGTATCGCCCGTCAAGAGACACGAGGACGTTGAATAGCAAAGTTTGGGAGAAAGTTTGCGCCGAGAATGATTGGGGAAGAGGTTGGTTGGAGGCCGCGTACGCCAAGGGCGAGAATGCAGTCGCTGAATTGAATCGTATTCGCAAAGGAGCTGCGAGTAGACGTGGAACAGAGGAGATGATGGATCAAGGAGTGTATCCGTAAAAAAGGAAAGGCCAAGAGAATGATGCCTTTCGTTATTTCGTTGGGAGGTGGCAAAAGAGAATGAATCCTTAGAAAGGAAGCAAAGGAAGGCAGATGATGATGGGCTGGTTCGTCCTTGGGAGGTCTCAGGTCTCAGAGCATGGGTCGTTTTGGCGATTCGGTTCGCTCAAGTCCGGCCGGTTAGTGGAACGGTTCCGAGAAGGAGTCAGGAGAGCCAAAAGGAAAAGGAATCAGCTGCCGAATAAAGGAGAGGAGATGGTGTATTGTTGAATATTGCACTCTCTCGTTTTTCCTTTCTCCCAACAATGGAGATGCGAGGGTTGAAGAAAGAAGTTCAAGTCGTTCTCAAGGGGCAAAGATGAGAGATTGCGAGTACAACCAGACGCCAGAATCACCCCGGACAGGGCAGGGACCTGGTGGTTTTGAATAGAAACAGGAGCACCCTCTCTACCTCTCAAGCCACAGACCAGACAAGAACGAGCCCACGAGGACGGGACCGAGAGTTTAGGGGCATTCGTTCAGGCCTTGTTCTAGGCCTCCTTGTCCTGTCCCTTAGAGATGGACCCGTACTGTACCCCAGCAGAAACAGGTGCTGCAGCCCCCGCTGGGAGATTTGAGCCTATCTCCAAGACCTCGCCTGGACGCTTGGGCCTAAAGCGGGTGCGCTAGGGGCGGTCTTGCCGCTTTTGGGCCTGGCGGGAACGCGCAGCCAGCGGGGGGCCTCTACCTTGCGCTACCTCTACGCTAACTTACCCCTAACCTTGACTCCCATGCGATGGGACGCTGCGACTGCTGAGTTCCATGGATCCATCGCCACTGGACACAGGATGGCATCATTTGGGTGTCTATGTTCTTGCTCCTGTCCTCCTGTGCCTCAATATTGACCTTGATTCCAGTTGCGAAGATCAGATCCAGTCCCAAACGCTGTCAACTTCAGTCACGCACGTCACCACCCGTTCATCCCCAAGATTCTCGACCATGTGGCATGGCCGCATGCCTACAGACCGAACCAGTTCCACGAATCCCCTCTCAACAAGGAATATAGCTCACTCGACTTCTCCTCAGTCTAGCGGCGGCCTAGGCTATTCACCCGATATCCGCCATGGTTCTTGGCCGGTGCGAGCGCCACCGAGATGGGTCCATCCATCTGGAGAAGAAGCCGAGAACGAACTGACTCGCCCACCATCTTTACTCTACTCTCTTGGCCAGGGGCCGACCAGCCGGGAGGGGGGACGAGTCGTGTGCTGCATCTCGATATATCGTTGGAAAAGCACGCACAATCAATCAATCACACATGATGCTCTGCCGTGTCTCTCCCTTGACTCCATCCATGGCATGGCTGCGACATTCGACTTGACCACAAGACTTGGGTCATTATGCTTGTCCTATGACTTCTCAACAGCCGAAACCACAGGATGCAAGGTACAGACAGCCTCAGGAGTAAATCCAGATCCAGGCACAGGACAAGGTTCACCAACGGGAGTGAACCGCCACTGGATTCCATTGCCCATTGCCGTCATTGTTAGACTGTCACCTCTATCCGACTATCGTGCCCGTAGCCGTCGTCTACTCCAAGCTAGCAAGCTCAAGCTTCGAATCAAGGAAACTCTGCTCGACGTTTGACAGGGCCAACGCAGCCACCGATGCAACAGGATGCTTCCTTGGCATGGTGCAAATGGATTCAACTCGTGGACCCCGCTCAGTTGGTCCGTAGGAACCTATCCTCGCAAAGAACGAACTCGAGCGGCCAACATCCGCGCGTCCTCTGAATGCTTGGACCTCCCTGCGCACTTTCACAATGCCGCGTTTCAACTCTGGGGCGCAGCATCCACTGAGAGTCGTCTTCGGTAAAGAGAGTGCTCGCTACGAGACCGAAAGATAGACTCTTGTCTCAGTGGGTGCCCAATCCAACTGAACTGATGTGATGCGCCGTGTACGGGCGTCTACATGACGTCCGCGTATGGCGTAGCATCGCCCGCGTATCAGAGAGGTGCTATTTGAGGCATTACGTCGGTTCCCATGTGTGTTGCAGCGTTATGCAAATCCCATTCTACCACTGAGATGGAGAGATTGCGGTTAATTTCCCACCTCCCTCTGCCGACGATCCATTATTCAAACCAGATAACGACCGACACGACGCGACAGAGTTTGACACAGTTTGCTCCATGGCATCTCCCGTCGATGCTTCTTCCCCTCCTTTGAAGGTCACTGGTGTGCCTGAGCCAACAGCTTCCTCTCTTGGTCGAGAGGGAGAGTTCATCCGGTGGGCAACGACGAGTGTGACGAGGGTCTAGAACGCGGGTGAGCTAATGCAGGGTCCCCCAGCACTCGCAGCATCGGGAGCAGTCGAGACTGGTATGGCTCAGCGGGCGCTTGGTGGCGCAGCCAACGGGAGGAGCTGTCAATCGACGGCGACGGATGTCAATATTTGGGACTCGTCAAACATCCAAACCTTCCATGGCGTTCGGCCACAATTCCAGTCGTCCACAGTTCCAGTCATCGCGTCAGGAACACGTCTTTTAGCATGTTTCGGCTGCTCCGCGACCGATGATGCACAAGGTTTGAGGCTGCTTTGGTTTCCTTTTGTCCTCTGTCGGTCAAAATCTGAATCTGTGATACGTGATCTGGACGTGAGGCTCTGCTTGCCATGATCGATCCTGTATTCAATGCCTTGGTTGTTCATGCCGTTGTCGCAGATAGATGAGGCATTGACCCAAAGTGCGCTTTCATGTTTGAGGTATTTTGAGCTCGAGAAGGAACATGGACCTTTTGCGAGTGAGTTGACGCGTCTGCCATGATCACTCATTCTTGCTCGATTGATTCCACGTTTGCTTGATGATAGCACTGAATACTGGATGGTCGATTTGATGAGATTTCCTATGTTCGAATGCTCACATCACGAGAAGAGACACCTACATGGCTCTTGAATGGTTATGCTGTAAGCAATTGAACCCTTTCATCGTGCCATTTGCCTGCTCAACCTACCTACCCAGCTACTGGCTCTTCCCATTGCTCTGATCCGTGATTTCCTGGTGTCTTCATCTGGTGCCGTGCTTCTTCCCTCCTGCTCGATTCTTTCCCCATTGGTTGGTCGCGGAAGGAATGAGGTCTCTGCTCTGCTCTGCAATTCTGTGGAGGAGAGACGAGGCATTCGAGCTGATCTTGAAATGAATGAACTGCATTTGACTAGAACAATATCATCGTCAAGTCGAACAACCTTGCCTACCTAATCTGTATGCCCAATGACCATCCTTGGTGACTCCTGGTGATGTCTTGATACGATGCACTGACTCTTTCCTTGAGAGCTTGAAATCACGTGAAGTTCCTTCCACAGCCAAACTCTTACCTAGCTACTGCCCTCTTCTCCCATCGAGATGCCTTCACCCTTCACCCGATACACTTGCTCCTTCCTCCACAGCCGTCAACCACTACAAATTCTTCCGCAACTTGCGGCGTACACTCGTACTCACTTCCTCCATCATCTCCCCATCATTTCTTCATCTTCTCTCCATCTTCTCTTCTGCATCATCATCGTCACCCATCATCATCACTCATCACTCATCATCACTCATCACTCATCGTCACTCATCACTCATCGTCACTCATCATGGTGGATTACCATCGCGAATGGCAATACGGCGAGGATCCCGCCTGTGGCGAGTACTAGGAATCCATCTGCTGCCCTTGTATCGTCTATGGCCGCACCACCATTCGCCTCGAACGCGCCCAGTATGAGCGCGAGTGGGATGAACGCGATGGCCAGGACAAAACAGAACGTCCAATCGGCCTCCTGTCGCCCACCTGCTGCATGTTTGCATCATGCTTGCCTTGTGAGTACCAAAATCTTCTCTGGTGATCAGCCTAACACGGTCAGTTTATGGATGCTTCATCGCTGCCATTCGAGGCGAAGTTCGAAAGTTTTTCGACATCCAGGGCCGCGATGAGCTGGACGCGTATGCTGGATGCTACTGGCCCGTCGAGACTCTCATCCAAACCGAGAACGAGATCATTCTTCGACAATCCAGGTGGCGAAAAGAAAGCCGACCCTTGCCTTCCACCGGGTACACACCACACTCTCCTATGACTTATCCTTCGAGTTCAAGCTCGACAAGTCAAGCAACCACTCCCAACACGGAATGCGATGAGCCGCTCCCACGCATCCCCGAAGAGTGTTCGACTGGAGCTCCATCTTCGATGAGCAGTCGCCGTACCAGCGTAAGACGACAACGGGAGAGATCGATTGCCCGTGATCCAGTCGCACCCACAGATGCGACCCTCGTCAACGCCCACAGACTCAGCCAGGACCCAACTACGCCGGCCATGCAGAAGGGCCACTCAGCCCCCCATAGACTCAGCAAAGATCCAACTACGCCGCGTGATCCCCTCGTCAACGCTCACGAACTCAGCCAGGACCCAACTTCGCCGCGTGAACCAGTCGCGCCCACAGATGCGACCCTCGTCAACGCCCACAGACTCAGCCAGGACCCAACTGCGCCGGCCATGCAGAAGGGTCACTCAGCCCCCCATAGACTCAGCAAAGATCCAACTACGCCGCGTGATCCCCTCGTCAACGCTCACGAACTCAGTCAGGACCCAACTACGCCGGCCATGCAGAAGGGTCACTCAGCCCCCCATAGACTCAACGAGGACCCAGCTTCCCTGTCGCATTCGCCTCCTACCCATCACATCTAGGATGACACTGGGGCGCAGGTTGCCTCTACCGGGACTGATACCCATCCAAGTCCCTGCCGACACACACCGGCTCAGGATTGTGACTGCGAATACAGGCATCGCTCGAGGCGTTTGCGTGAGTTGAGGCGTGAGCTTGACTCAGAGCGTGGGCATGAATCGAGACGTGAGCGTGAATCGAGGCAAAATCAAGACATTCCCTATACCTACCGTTATCATGCATATCCTGGTATCGCTGGTTATCGTGGTTCTCGTCGTTATCGTCGTTTTGGTGTTCATGATTCTTCTGGTCCTTATGGTATCTCAAACTCCCAAACCGCGGGGGAAGCGTGCACTATTCTGTAGCACATTCCTTTTGCTTGTTTTGCGGACGAGTCATCTCCAGCACGACAAGTGAGGGACTTTGGACACGGATGACAGGACGGGCTGAAGATGCGGACGAACATGGTCGAGAACGGGCCACTGGCCACGGATGGCCTCGGTGGACCAACATGATTAGACTACATGGCGATTAGTACCTGAAGACACGCCAGTATTGTTATCACTCCATAGGCAAGGCAGTTGTTCAATGATATTCATTTATGAACGCCGTGTTCGAGGCTGGGCCAATGTCTCGGTGAGAAGTCGATCCAATTCCGAGCCAGAGGGCAGGTCGATCACTTGATGTAGAGACGATGACGGATGATTGCTTTGCGTTGGGCCAATGGATCCAGAAGCAGGCCTCGGACCTGTAACGGTGGCTAAGGGCCAGGAGCATGAGAGACAGAAAGCATAAGAAATTGTGCCAGGCTGATTAAATAATCCAGCTGCAAACCGTGGCGATGCCTTGCCCTTATGCAGCCAGGTGGCCGGGCGAGGTGTTGATGACGGCCAACACGACAATTGGCGTCTCGACGGCGCAGCATCAGAAACAGCAAGATTTTCTGATCAGATGGTCATTAATGAGAAACTTGGCTGAGGGACGAATGTTGCGGTCCCATCCCCAGCCTCCAGGCTGCATGTAAAGGAGTGCATTAGGCAAATTTGGTGTTGCACCTCAGGCGCGGATGCGACACGGACACGGTCGCGACGACACAAAATGGACGCGATGAGGAAGTTTATTAGGGGACGCGGGTGGCCGGACCTTTTAATGGAAACAAGATGCATCGGGGAGAAGACTTGTTATGTAGGCAAGCTGAAGGGGTTGTTGTGCATGTCTCGACCGGGACCAGGTCTGGTGTTCTATGGGCCAAGGTGCGGCGGTGTGTCCGTGGATCAGCTGGATAGAGGATGAGCCAATTGCAAGAGGTTTGGTGTATATTAAGTGATGGGTTTGTGATGAGGCCGCATCGACACGACCAGTCGTGTTATTGGACTATAGCTAGATGATGGCATCGAGATGAGATGGGTGCACAATGAATTGAACAATGGATTATGTCTGTGTCTATCTTCAACGGGAAAACTTGACGGTTAGGTACTGCAAGCATCACCAGTTCAACGGCACGGCAGGCGGCTGATGATGATGTGGTGCAACGGTATGGGAATCGTGTGGACGCATCGTGAACGCATCAAAGTGTTGTTACGCGATGCGCGTCGACTCTACGTCGTAGGCCCAGGCTATTTCGGGGCCGGGCCGTCTGATGTATTATGCAAGTACCTCTGGGCTGACTGGCGTGAGAGATACATTGGACTGTCTCCCTTGCTTTTGCAACATCAACAGATGGACGCGACGATTGGCCGTCATGGCGGTGGAGACATGCCGGCCGCGTCCCGCAAGGCCATGCCGTGTGGCGAATCAAGCAGCGCCAGGTGAGATGCGCCCGTACTTGGCAGTGGAGCGGTGACACGGGGAGAGGCGAGCTGGGGGTCTACAGGGGATGGACGCGTTGAGTGGGAGTGGCATGAGAGGGGGAGTTGGGCTGTCGATGCCTGAGGTTTTGGAGGTTGATGATGGAAGAGAGACGGGCTTCTTCTGGGTTTGGGGCGAATATCTCGATTGATTATCATGTTCAAGACATTCCACGACTAGAGCAACACGACACGACACGATTTGAACAGCCTCCAGAGAAACTGATCATTCCATTCCGTCTCATTTGGTGGGGATTGACCGACCATTGGATCATCTGCAGCCGCAGCCTGAGCCGGGCACAGTGGATAACGTTAGTGGGTACGAGCTGTGCTGCGGGTAGTGGACGTGCCCGCCCACGCCCGCGTCCTCCCTTATTACCGACTCTCCTCCCTCCCACACGCGCCCTCACGCACCAAAATCCACTCTCTTTTCTACCCGAGCACTCCCTCCGACTCCTGCTCTTATATATCTTTTCTACTCACTCATTTACACGTCGACCTCTTTGAGACGGGCTTCTCATAAACATCGACGCGGCCATCAATCAATAAACAACACACAAACACTCGACAAACTCCTCCGACCTGCATCGTCCACCTCCTGCATTGCCTCACTTCGACGTAGACTCACCCCCGCCCACTGGACCTTGCTCACTCAGTCACCTATCCCACACGACAACAAGACTCCAGTCACCATGGCTGCCGTCACTCGTCAACCCTTTGCTCCCCTTGATGGGGCTCGTCTTCAGAACCTCACAAGTCTCAAGAACAGGCAGAATGGTATGTGGTGGGTCCATGGACGTCATACCAGTATCACTCTCTAACAACCTCAGCTCTTCCTCCTACTGCTGGAAAACGCAAGGCCGAACTGATCGACACCGACGACTTTGAGAACATTGACCCATCCGCCTTTGCTAAGCGTTCCAAGGCTTCCTCCAAGGACATGCTCAAGCCCTCTGCCTTCGTACTCAAGGCTGCTCCCATCCCTGCTCCCTCTGCTCTTCCCGATCGCCTCACCAGCCCTACCAAGACTCGCCGCACCCTCCAGCCCAAGTCTCACGCCTCCAGGCTCAGCACCGGAAGCATCACCAAATCGTCTCCCCTCTACGCTCCCGCTGGTCGCTCTCCCACCCGAACCAAGCGTTCCGGTCTGGCCTCGAGCCGCCGACGTGCCCTTGGACCCTACACCCGCGTGGACCCCCCTTCCTTCAGCCTTGGCTCTGCTGCTCCTTTCTCTCTCGATGCCGCTCTCAAGGGCACCATTCCCGGTTATGGATCTTCTAAGCCTGCTCCCAAGGAGCTGTTGAACCCTCTCGATGAAGGAGATATGAAGGCTAGCTGGTTCTTTGAGATTCATGAAGATACCCCCGAGCAGGAGATGACCAACCTTCTCCAGCACAGCACCTGCGTTCTCGATATTTCGTCTGATGAGGAGAGTGAGCGCAAGCGCAGCAGGGACCGTGCCGAGGGCCGCGACAAGGAAAATATTCCCCCCGCCGATGACGTATCTCAGACCTCATCCCGCCGGTCTGCGCGAGTCAGCGCTGACGACATGGTTGTCGAGAAGGAACGTGTTGCACTGGGTGAAATGAACACTGCCGACTTTTACGCCGAGGGTTGCGATGAGACTTCTGTCATTATTGTGCCTGCGGATGAGGACGAGATGCCGGAGCCAGTATCCAATCTGACCAAGGACTTTGTATATGCGCCAGAGGACAAGACCGAGGAGCCCACAGAAGAAATTGAGACCCTCATGGCCAAGCCAACAGAGGGATCATCCAAGGCTGCTGTGCTAGAACCCATCGAGGGGACAGGCGAGAGCTTTGAGCTGTGGGAAAGCGGAAGCTCCAAGGACGAGGCAGAACCAGCGACAAGCTCATAGCACAACACAACAAGTGTATGAGTTTTATGCTTTAATGCCGGGGTCTGGAGTATAATGGTGTATGGCGCAGGAATTGGGATTCTCTTCTTGCAGGCTACCAAGAGCTGGGATACTGTTATCGGTTTTGTGATTTGCATTTTGCATTGTTTGATTTGAATTAATTTCACATTTATTTGAAATGGCTTGGTCTTTTGAAGTGATGTAATGTGCAATTAATTATTCTGTCGCCTGGAGGGCTACCATGAATGAACTCTCAGCCTCACTCAGGCAGACTGACATTTGAGATGCTCATCTCACAACCCTCACTGTCCTTCCAACCTCCCCCCTCTCAACCTGCTCAACCCTCCCCTTGACCTTTCTCCATACCTCCTCCGCCACCTCCTCAACGCTCCCACCAGCGTCCACAACCACAAGATCCTCCTCCTCCTGCTTCCACCCCTCCCCCTCATCCAGCCCCAGACCTTGCGCCGTGACATCTCTCCCGCCCATGCTCAGACCCCAGAAGAGCTCACGTACTCGCCGCTGCATCTCGGACCTCTCATACACCTCGCCCCCCCAGCCGCCGCGAGACCGGGCCTGCTCCTCGGTCAGGTCGAGGAAGAGGACAAGGTCGGGCCGCGGGAGGCCACGCTCTGGGGCACGTGCCCAGGGGAGAGTCAGAGAGGGGTTCTGCTTTGCTGCTGAATAGACGATTCCCGAGTGGTAGTAGCGATCGCAAACTATGGTTGTTCCAGCTGCGAGGAGGGATTGGATTTGTTTGCTGGGTTTGTTAGTGGATGTTTAAGAGTAGGAGTGAGGGTATCTACACTGCTTCCCAGCGGTTTGCGCTGAAGAGGAGGTGGATGACATGGTCGTCCATCTCGACATCACTCTTGAGATAGCTATCAATCATTTGCCCAATGGGCGTGGACCTGTCTATCTAGAATCAGCTCGGTTCTGATGATCTTGTCCAGGGTACTCACCCGGGAATCTCATGACCTTGACCTTGTTCCCCTCCTCGACGAATCTCTGCTCCAGAAGCTTGACCTGCGTGGTCTTGCCGCTTCGGTCCAACCCCTCGAGGACGATGAATGCGCCCCTCGCTGCCGTGGAGGCGGGGGCGGGGGATGTCCCGGCTGTGGGTTCGGGCCCCGAGGAGCTCGCTATAGCGGCTGTCGCGAGGTCGTTGATGGAAGCCATTGAGTCTCTCTCTCTTGTGTGTTACTCTCGCGGAGGACAATGAGGTTCTGTGATCTGACCCGGAAGCTGAGGGGAAAGGTGGATTTGAGGGTGGGTGGGCGAGCGAATTCACACTGTGGGTGGCTCCCCGAGGTTCCAGTTGGTTTTGGTTTGGTGTGGGCGGATGTCACAGTGCGGCGCGCGCCAAGTTTGCATCAGCTGATGGTGAAACTTTGACAGCTTCGTGGTGTTTGAGCAATATTATGGGTGATTATAAGCGCAAGGCAATTATGACAATGGGTATGACAAGTCTGGAATGTGATTCTATGGGGCTTGTTGGCCTAGATTGAGTGCTGAGGCCCAGCCGCCAACTCTAAAGCGGCGTGAGATTGAGGGAGATACTGCGTCTTACAAGAAAGGGATTGCTTCCCGATTGTCCAAGGACAATAAGAGGATCAAAAAGTATGAGATACGAGCAGCGTGCACCAGTTGTCTGTTTGCAATTCTGCCCATGCTATGAAAGAGGTCAAACAATCCGACAAAAAGCAAAATGTAAATCCCCGAGACCTGGCTCGAACAGGTGGCCTTTCGGTAACGATGTATCCATTACAGCCGAACGCTCTTCCAGCTGAGCTACTCGGGGCTTCAGTAGAAGAGTGGGATTGTTGAGATGGTGTCTCAGAATTGGTCCCATATGATATCTTGGAAAAAGTGGACGATGCTTTAGAAATAGGGTAAGTTGAGAGGACCCGATGGCAGTGACAAGTAGGGAGAAAGCCTTTGGCTTATGCTGTTTTTGTGGGCAATTGACTGATTGCGATCGCTCTAGTGGTTTTTGCTATTGTTTTCAAGTCATTTTTGGCGCAAGAAGAGAGTAACTCCTGAAGAGTCAGGTTGAACACCGTCTCGTTTTCCCTACTTGGCTCACTATCTATTACCCGCCCACCTACGAAGGCAGCATGGGATGAAAAGGTAGGTATGTATTTGGTCACTACCCATCAGGCTGTCACAGAAGGAAATCATATATATGGGGCAGTCATCGTGTCATTGAGTCTTGGGTATAGGATTTTAGTTGTGTTACGGCTGTGTTATTTCCGTTGGGATGCTCAGAAGTCTACACCCTACCCCCCGTTCTTCAGAGCCCTTGGCCAAGCACATATGGGGCGCCGAGAATATCAGTACTTTATTAAGTCTTTTTTCCTATTTGTTTCAATTGCTCTCTCAAACGACCGACGGGTTTACATCGCCAATCTAGACGTTGTGTGTTTGTGTCAAAGAAGCCAGGCTCACCCTCATAAAGAGACCTAAGCACATGCCAATGAAGGCGCAACAGTTTCACCAATGGAAGACTCCTCAGGACGAATAACTGAAAATTGGGCATGTCCAGTGCTTCTTTATGTCGTTGGAGCCTAGAAGATCACCAATTTCCCTCCCTCGACTACACTACCTCGTCTACATATTCTGTATTAGCGACCGCTTTGTCATCAAACACCCTATCTTCCGATAGCTGCTCCTCCCCGAGTAGCTCAGCTGGAAGAGCGTTCGGCTGTAATTGATCTCGCATCTTACCGAAAGGCCACCTGTTCGAGCCAGGTCTCGGGGATTCCTTTTTGACTCTAGAAGTTCTGCTTTCTTTTTGTACCCACTGTCTCTATTTCATTCGTCATCCTCCTTGGCACCTTGTCATTCCATTGACACATCCCCCTCCAAAAAAACTAGACCCTGCCGCACAAACTGGCGGGGTGAGGGGCAAAATTATCAACCTTTCCCAACGGAATGCAAAAGGAATCAACTCCCCGAGACCTGGCTCGAACAGGTGGCCTTTCGGTGACATTTCTATCAGTTACAGCCGAACGCTCTTCCAGCTGAGCTACTCGGGGGATTGGTGGTTGGTTGGCGACGGGCGAGATACTGGCCCCTATGCAGCCGGGGGTTTGTGGGGATGGGCATGGAGATGCGCTCGCTTGTCGGTCAAGATTAGGCCGAGAGATTGTAAATGTCTCATCATGACGAGGATTGGTGGACCTGAGTTCTAGGCACTGGCAATGGCTTGTCGCTTACACTCACGGTGATACATCACTCGGCCAAATGTCACTTACACCAAACACACAAGATACAAGCAGGAACATGACTTTTTAACGCCTAGTTAAAGACAACAGTCTTGGTTTTGTTGAGGAACAGTCTCCTCTCGGCATACCACCGCACAGCAGCAGCAAGAACCTGGCTCTCTACGTTGGATCCCTCCTCAGACAGCTCTTTGGGGTTCATGCTGTGGTCAACACGAGCCACACGCTGCTCAATAATGGGGCCCTCATCAAGATCCGCAGTGACAAAGTGCGCCGTAGCACCAATAATCTTGACTCCGCGGTCGTAGGCCTGGTGGTAAGGCTTGGCTCCCTTGAAGGATGGCAGGAAACTGTGGTGGATGTTGATGATGCGGCCAGACATGGCTTCGCAGAGAGTCGGCGACAGAACCTGCATGTATCGCGCAAGAACCACGAGCTCAATGTTGTGCTGCTTGACGAGATCAAGAACCTGAGACTCCTGCTCGGCCTTGGTGTCCTTTGTAACAGGCAGGTGGTGGAACTCGATGCCGTAGCTCTGGGCGAGGGGTGCGTAGTCGGGGTGGTTGGACACGATGACGGGGACCTCGATTCGCAGCTGGCCAGTCTTCATGCGGAAGAGCAGGTCGTTGAGGCAGTGACCAATCTTGGACACCATGATGAGGACGCGCATCTTGCGGGCGACGGGGCGAATGTCGTAGTCCATCTTGTACTCGGCAGCGAGCTTATCGAAAGGCTCGACGAGGTGCTCGGTCGACTCGGTCTCTGTAGGGCCGAAGTGGACGCGCATGAAGAATCGATCCGAGACGGGGTCCGAGAACTGCTGGAGGTCGAGGATGTTGTGCTTGTGCGAGGCAAAGATGCCCGTCACGGCGTGCACGATGCCCGACTTGTCGGGGCACGAGAGGGTGAGGATGTGATCATTGGCCATGTTGAAGGCAATGGGAGGCGTTGAGAAGGTACTTGGTCAAAAACTGGGTAAATGTTGAAGGAGGAGAGTACAATGGCATGGCTGAAAGTATCGTATAGGTATGACTCCGAGCTGAGGGGATTCATCCATCGACCCCACTGGGGCTAGCCCTTCCGGACCCTTCGGGGGAGACTCGGCAAGTTACTGGAGTCATTGAGGGTAAAGTCAGAACAATTGAGCCGGGTAAGGACAGATGTTATTTATATAGACATTTTATGGAGGACTACAATGCAAGTCATGACTTGTTGATGTCATTTCTGACCACTTATTGCCGCCTTATACCCAGTCCCGCAGGTCAAGTGGCTCGATCTACCCGGGTAGTCTCGGTAGAGTCAAGGTGCATACTTAGGTTCAGTGGTGATGGCTTCATGCGTGTACTTGGGAGGGCCGATTAAGGCCAACTCAGCAGACTCAATTTGGGAGGCATAAACACGCTGTGCGCAATTGATCCTTTTTAGTTGCGGGCCGAGTTACAAGATGAATGTATCTCCCCTTATAAAATAGCTGGCCCTCTGCTCGCGCACGCAGGCTGCCTCCCGAGAATCACCACCAAACACCATGAAGCTCACTTTCGTGGCAGCGACGGCCGTCTTTTCGACGGCCAATGCGCTGTATATCCCCAACAGCCATGCGCAGCGATATCCACCACACATTGATGACGGCGGCTACCACGTCAAGGACCCTTACTACAACCCCGGTAACAGGCCTGACCTAACCCAGATGCTCAGGCCGTCGAGGCCAATCTGGCCATTTGCTAGAGTCATTCCAACTAAGCGCCCTGATGAGTTTCAACATGGAATACCCCTCGAGTCCAAGCCGCTTCCAGATCACATCACCCCTCCTCAAGACAAGAAGAAGGAACCCCTTTCGTATGTCAAAGGATGTGGGAGCACTCAATATGAGAACGAGGAATCTGAGCATCGTGTGCACTACTCTCATATCCAGGTTCACAAGGCTGTTCCTCGCTCTCTCGAGAAGCGCCAAAAAGGACCTGACCCAAGCAAGGTTGACGTTGAGTCGAAGGATGCGGTTGCGTCCCTCCTTGACAAAGTCGCGCAACAAAACAAGCCTCTAATTCCCAAGAACCTCGGAGCCAAGACGAATGGAACTAGCGCGGATGAAGTCAAGAAGAACGAAAGGGTCATCATTTACCCCAAGAGCAAGCCCAAGCAGCACCATCATGAGTTCCTCGAGCGTCTCATTGGCAAAGTTGAGCAGCAAACCAAGGCATCTGACGTATCGGGGACCGAAAAGCATGGCAAAGAGACGACAAACCAGAAGGATTGTGACAAGGAGAAGAATGACGAGCTGCTGGAGAGTGTCATTGACAAAGTTGAGAAACGAGTCAAGCCTCAGACACCGAAATTCTCGGGAGACACATACAAAGGAAAAGCGACCGAGGGCGCCGACGAGAAGCTCATCGAGGATGTCATCGAAAAAGTCGAGGATCGAGCCCAACCCCAGATACCCAAAGAGAAAGGCAAAGTGGCTGACGATGATGAGGTCTTGGAGGATCTCCTGGAGCAAGCCAAGCTACAACACAAGACTCGCGTACCTCGATGGGTCAGCGTATATACACCTAGCCCAATTGAAAAGAGACGCAAGAAGATGAAGAAGGAGAGGACAAAGCAAGTAAAGAAGCAGCAAGATAAAAAGAGGATCACAAAAATGACCGACAGAGGACTGAGGGGTTACTCGCCCGAGTATCTATCAGGCCTACTACGACTCGAATACGACGAGCTGTGTGATCACCACCCCCAGAACTGCATCAAAGCAAAGGGCACTCAGAGAGAATTCACACGTGAAACTCTGGAGGCCAAGGCGCGACTCGAGGACATGAAGAAACACGCCATGATGTACACCACACCCGAAGACTTCAAAGCCCAACGGTTCCGCATGGGCGAAAAGGATGAGGCGCTCTCAGAGACCGAGTTCTGGAAAGACAAGAGGGTGGGACTATGGTATCCTGGAAAATATCTCTTCCACTCAAAGATGGAAGGAGAGGAGCTTGAAAGGTTCAACAAGGGGTTGGACGAGTTGGGCTTGAGGAAGCTTGGATACCAAGGGGGTAAATTCTGGGTGCCGGCCGTTAACTGGGATTTTATAACTACTGTTGATACGCTAGGTTCTAGAGATTCTTTTAACTACTAAGGGCATGGGCTTTGTTATTGGTTTAGGTCAGGTAAGGTAGGGCTCTTTATTCTCCTCTTTTATAGGCTTAAGATAGTATAAAATAGCTATTTGTAGTAGCTCCTTAAAGCAGCCTTCTTGTGAGTTGCGGATTGCTATGCATGTGTCAGATGTTTTATGGCTTTTATATAGACAGTCGGATCCAGCCTTGCGTCTTCTTACCTCGAGAGTATTAATATAAGGTGTAAGCGAGTATGACTGGATAGCTCTATGCGAGATATGTCTAGATGGACACAGTCAAATGACAGCCAATGAAGAGTTAATGGAACTGCAGTCATTCAGTCTTCTGGCTCAGGTATCCCATCAAGGGCTGGGCTTCAACTTCAATAAAGAACACGTCGTCAAAACATCAAAACATCATAATATCATACTATGATATTCCAATGCTAACACAGTGGCCTCTACAGCCATTCTGTTGGTGATACGCATATCCAGCGCTTAGCGATATCGCAGTTGTCGCGTCACGTGGGCACATCAAGTGACAGTCCACTCCACCTTGCATCCCCACTCCTCCACCCTCCAACTCCTCTCACGACTAACACTTGACAAGACCTGACAACTCTCCAACCTTGATCACGCAACTATGCACCATGCCGGGGAACGGCTCTCGCAGCCGGGATGGCTGTTTCAACTGTCGCAGGCGCAAGCGGCGATGCGATGAGGAGAAGCCAGTCTGTCGTCGCTGTCGCAAGATGGGTGACAACTGCGTGTTTCCGGAACCTGCTTCTGCGTCGAACCCTCTCAAGTTTGTTGTTGCGGCTTCACCGGATCACTACATTGTGCCTATTGGAGGCTCAGAAAAGGGCGCCAGCTTCTTGAATCTATCGCCCAGGGAACTTGCAACCATTTGGAACAAGATCCAGGGGGATCAAGAGCAGGAATCTCGGGAGGTCCTGGACACACGAAACATTCAGTCTCTTGTTCCAATCCCCCAAGTCATCTCACCATATACCGTTGGTCGACAGTATGATGGCCAGTCCATCGAATCGGCCCTTGTGCAGTATTGTAAGCATCATCTATCGATTACTGACGTTACTGACTCTTGCAGATGTCGAAGTCATTAGCAGAAGCAGAGTCTACGTGCAGACAGGACGTAATGGCTTCCGCACTTCTGTCATCCCCCGGGTTTTATACAACCAGGGACCTCTCCTCTCAGCTGTCCTAGCCATGAGCGCTGCAGAGTGGGCTCACGATATTGTTGTGGATGGTAGAGACTACCGTGCGCTGTCGACGCAGTACAAGGTTCGCGCCCTTCAAGAGCTCCAGCATACTCTACCAGATCCTCAGAGTTGCGAGGGAAATCTCTTGACTTGCGTCCTCCTCGCTTCTCTAGAGATAGCTCAAGGATCCCGCCCAGCTTGGCTGCGCCATCTTCAGGGCGCACTGGCTCTCATCGACAGCTTCGGAACAACCATTGACCCCAGCGTGGCCCAGTTTGCGCTGCAATATTTCCGCTTCCGCTACGTCCTGATGGAAACGACAAAACCTACTGGACGGTCACAGGAAGCCACTGACTCAGTTGACCAGGCGATGGCTGGTCTAGCTAGAGCCGAGGTTACCCTTCCACTCCATGAGACCCGAGGTATTATCGATGAGCAGATGGGCTGTTCTATGGACCTCGTCGACATCATCAATGAAATCTCTGCTCTGTCACTTGCCTCGGATGGCCACGATGACACCGTGTCCAAGGATCATCTCTATATGAAGGGTCAGGAGCTGGAACACCGTATCGATCAGCTCTCGACCCAGGATATCAGCACGGACGAATATCTGCTCAAGAGTGCAGAGTCATTCAGGATTGCAGCTCAGATCTACCTCAGGCTGGTCTGTTACAATACCCCAATCACCCACCCATCGATTCTGGAGCCCCATGAGGCTCTCCTCTCGTGTCTGTCAGATATCATCTCAGAGAGACAAGCGAGGCGGTCGTTTCCGATGTGGCCCCTTTTCCTGACCGGCTGTGCATGCTCATCAGATGAGCAGCGCAAGCCGGTTCTGGACTATTTCACGTTGCTGGACAGCAAGTGGCCGATCAGCAACATCTCGGCCGTCTTTCAGGCTGTCCGAACTGTATGGCATACAAGGGATTTGATTTCGTCTTCGAATTCATGTACAAACCAGGACTGGAGGGATGTTATTCACAAGTTTGGCTGGAAACTGTCTCTATCGTAACGTTTAATGAAGTGACTTTATTACAGACGGGCTTTGAGTATTCTCTTGCTCTCCTCCTCGAGTTCGTGCAACTCCTTAGCCGTGCCCACTCTCCAGCTCACCTCGTTGCCCCAGCCGGTTTGCTCACCGTCCTTCCACTGCCAACGCTGTAGCTTCTGTTTGCCGTTGTTGACAAGATCCAGCACCCACTTTCCAAAGATGGGCATCATCTTGAAGCCGTGGCCGCTGTCTCCGGAGAGAACCACGAGACTCTTGTCAGTGCCAGGCACAAAGTCGATGAGATACTCGCTATCCTTGCTATCGTTGAACCAGCACAACTTGCGGTCGACAAAAGGACGATCAGCCATCCACGGAATCGTCTCCCGTAAGAGTTGGCGTAGCTTCTGCTCATCCTCGTAGGGGATGAAATCTTGCAGAGGACCAGATGAGGGGGTTTCAGGAGGGAGAGAGATTCCGTTCTGGGTGTTGGTGAAGCCAGCGCCGAGGGGGCACAGCTTGAAGAGTTTTGTGGCTGGATCAGGCTCGAAAAAGAAGCCGAGATCTCTTACGTTGGTGACGGGGATACCTCGGAGAAGGTCGCATTCTTCCTGGGTGAGCTGGACGTGGGCGACGGACCAAGACCTGGCGACGGTGAACTTGCCCAGCGAGGGGACGAGAGATGCTCCATTAGCCCCGAGAGCGCAAATTGTCAGAGCAGCCGAGTGCTTGCGGCCATCGGCAGTCTCAAGACCAGTGCAGCGGGAGCCGTCATAGGACAGCGAGGTGACCTTGCCAGCTTGCTCACCCAGGATGAATCTGACACCCTTGGTGGCGCAGTGGTTATAAACGGCCTTTAGAGCATTTCCCGAGTGTCCGTACCCGGCCGTCTTGTTGAAGTAGCCCTTGAAGCCCTCGAGGGGACCGATGAGCTGCCAGGCATACTTTCGGAACTCGTCTGGGGAGCTCAGGGACTTGACGCCGTCTCTGAGGCCGGGATGGGCTTCGACTGAGGATCGGTTCTTGTCGAGGGTTGCAACGGCTTTCTCGGGGGCTTTGCCGGATACGCAGTTGATGTAGCCCGTCTCGTGGTAGTAGGGGCCGAAGAGGGGGGTCTTCCAGCCTTTGATGGCGTCCTAGATGTCTTAGTATTTCGTGTGATGGTGTTGAGTTGAATCACTTACAAATGTGAGCTCGGTGTAGAATGAGTCCTCGTACTCTGCGCGGATGATCTTGTTTAGATCATACGCAGCAGAATACTGCGACGGTATCCTCTCATCGCGCTCAAAGACTGTGATGTTGGTGTGGCCAGATTCGACGAGGTGCAGAGCCGTCGAGAGGCCCCAGGCGCCGCCGCCTACGATAGCAATGGGAGAGGTTTTGTCCATGTTGGGGAGAGGCATTGCGATGGGTTATTGGAATTAATGAGGTTAGAGGTTTAACTAATTTACGCTACTTTATATACATGCTGATCCTTTGCTCTTCGGTGCATCCCGTGGACTTGTGATGCCATCGTGGTGCGACTGACACGGATCGCACAGATAAGAAGTTGCTAATGGCTAGCGTAAGCGGTTGACGCCAAAGCTAACCTGGGGAAGATGATTCTACGGCACGTGGGCAAGGTTACCGAACCCGGCATCCGAGATGACCGGACCTTGATAACCCGGGGCAAACCTTTGGTTGGAGGAGGTGCGGAACCCATGCGGGGACGGATTGTGTCGGCATTTGGAGTTGGGGGCTGCATGATATAGATATGGTTCTTTGGATGATTGGTCAATGGCTTGGATTGTTGGAGATTTGAACTTTGGTTCGTGGGGGGAGTGGTCATGCATGCTTTGGGTCATGTACGGGGATGTTGGGGATGTAGTGTTAGTCAGGAGTAGGGTTATTGATGGGTCAAGGAGACCCCTGAGAGTCGGACGATTCATAGGAAAGGATGGATGATTCACAAGTTGGAGGTTGTACACCCAGCATGAGGTTATTCGAAAGTTATATCAAAAGGGCTTCTCCTGCTATCAAGGCAGATTCAGACATTGAAGCACACAGTCAAGCAGGAGAAGCATAAGATTCACAACTTTTGTTGACTTTAGGTACTCTACATGTTGCTAGGATACAAGACACTCTTCAACGGTCCAAACTCCTCCTTCAACGTCCTCGGCGAAGTGAACCGCATCAACAGGTTCGGACTGCCCGCCTTGTCGTTTGTACCGCTTGATCGAGATCCTCCAAATGACTGCTGTCCAATAACGGCTCCTGTAGTCTTGCAGTTGACGTAAAAGTTGCCAGCGGCGTACCGAAGCTTGTCCTCGGCCTTTTGCACAATAGTTCTATCGGCTGCAAAGATTGAGCCTGTAAGGGCGAATCCGCCACCTTGTTGGTCAATCTTTGTTAGGAGGTTGTCAAAGTCGGCATCTTCATAGACGTGGACAGCCAAGATTGGACCAAAGAACTCTTGCTCAAAGATCTTGTGGTTGAGAGACTTGGCAACGTAGACTGACGGCTGGATAAAGTAGCCCGTCTTGTCACTGTATGTACCACCAAAGACTTTTTCGAGAGAGGGATCATTGTTGGCCTCGTCAATGGCCTTGGTGACCTTGTCGAACGACCCCTTGTGGATGACGGGACCGTAAAAGTTTTCAAACTTTTCAGGGGCCCCGACCTTGACGTTGCTCAGCTCCGTCTTGAGCTCGTCGAGGAACTGCTTGGACTTGCTGGCGGGGATGTACAGACGAGAGCAGGCAGAACACTTTTGGCCGGCGTATTCAAACGAGGCGCGGATCGTGTGCTTGACTGCGCTGCTGATGTCGGCAGAGTTGTGGACAAGATGAAAGTTCTTGCCGGATGTTTCTCCCACCATTCGGGGATAGTCGCGGTAGACCTTCTTGCCGATGCCGTCGGCGGCCTTTTGGTATAGCGATCGGAAGACGTCGGAGGATCCGGTAAAGTGGAGGGCTGCGAATCGGGGGTCGTTGAAGATGACGTCGGTGATCATCTCGGCGTCGCCGTTGACGAACTGGATCACGTTGGGAGGGAGGCCGGCCTCGAGGAGGATTTTGTAGACTAGGTAGCTGGCGTAGATGTTGTGGGGAGACGGCTTCCAGACGACGACGTTGCCCATGATTGCAGGTGCTGAGATGAGGTTGCCGCCGATTGCGGTAAAGTTGAAGGGCGAGACGGCGTAGACGAAGCCCTCGAGGGGTCGCCAGTCGGTTCGACTAATTGATCAGTATGGTTTGAGTACAAAGGTTGATTAAACTTACCCGTGCTGTCCAGGGGAATGAATGGTGGGCTGCGTCTCGTAGATCTTTTGCGCAAACGATACATTAAATCGGTAAAAGTCGGCCAATTCAGCCGCAGCGTCAATCTCGGCCTGCCAGGCATTCTTGCCCTGTCCCAGCATTGTCGCAGCTAGAAGAGCATCACGATACTTGCCAGTGACGAGATCTGCGGCGCGGAGAAAGATGGCTGCTCGGTTGGAAAAGGACATGTCCTGCCATTGCTGCTTGGCCTCGAGGGCGGCGCTGATGGCGTCTGAGACATCTTGACGTGTTGAGGGTGAATATTGGGCGAATGTTGTGTCTTTTTCTGAGGGCATGTGTGTTGGGAGACGTTCACTTGATGTGCGCTTCTCGCCAGAGATGACGTTGGGGACAGAGACTGGGAGCTTTCCCCGGAGGTCCTTCAGAGCTAGGAGGAGGTCATCTCTTTCGGGAGAGCCTCGAACAAAGTCGCGCTGACATGTTAGTTGGGTCTATACAATTGAGAGAGTGGACTCACGTTTGCCTCATTGTAAGGGCCGGGTAGTCTGTAAGCCCCAGCTGTGGCAATTGTCCTGACAGTCTTTGCCGACTGCAACAGTCGAGACCGGGATAACCGAGCAGTAGAAGTGAGAGCAGACATGTCTTACACTCTTGCAAAGATGGAATAAACTAAAGGTCAACGCTGGTCAGGTGGCTCCCGTCGTGGCTTTCAATAAAAAGATGCGGAAGCTCGTCTGTGGATCACATCAGCGGCTACGCTAACTACATCCCACGGGACTCGAGATCTGGCGGTTACGCTAACCGGGTTCTCTATGCGAGATCTGTAGTTCCCCGCACTCGTTATCTCTCCCGAGATCCATTCCCCCCTCCTCCACCTCATGCGTGGCGTGTCGTTGTATTTCCCAAGTTGACGATAGGAGCCGATACTCTATCGGTGATTGTGTCCTTGTGACCTACCAGAGCCGATAGAAACCAGATACCGATGATGCCGAGAGGGTGCCGTTGTCGGAGATGGGAGATTAGCTTTTGGTCTAGACTGGTGGAAGGCGCTATCAGAGGCTGTAAAGATAAAGTCAATGGCCTTTCTCACGATTTTTCAACTCTACATAGCAATTTTATCCTTTACAATGGCTTCTAGAGTCGGTCTTGTTCGTCCTTGTCGTTATGTTTCCCTCCTCGGGACTCGCCAGGGCTATACAAGTCTCGTGTCATGCCGATCCCGTAGTCTCGGGTTCCAAAGCCGAGGGCTGTCTCAGTCGTCACACATCCCCGCTCAGGCCCCTCAGAAGGCTCTGAGGGTTCTTAGAGATGTTCCTCTTCCTATACTCTTTCGATCTCTTCTTGTTCTTTCGGTAGCTGCTCTACCGTCGAGCATTCTCTCGGTTATCATCAGAATCACAAAGAGGCATAGCGAGCTTCTTTCCAACTCTCGGCTTCTGCGATGGCCTGTGCACAAGACATTTTACAACACGTTTTGTATTGGGTCTGAGAATGCGGAGATTAGGGAGAATATCAAGTCCCTGAGGGGGATGGGTATCGATGGTATTGTCCTCGCTTTTGCGAGAGAGACAAAGATTGGAGACCATGAGCAGACCAATGTTCTTACAGAGACCAACGCCAATCTGCGGGAGTGGGTTTCTATGAACATGGAGACACTCCGGAACCTGACGGACGAAGATTATCTTGCGCTTCGATGCACGGGAGCTGGCCCTGCTGCTGTGGCTGCTCTTGATGCTTTTTCAGCTTCTACACCCGGTACAAAGGAGTACGAGGCTAATCTCGAGACTTTGCAAGTCTTTGAGGATGCTCTTACTCGGATTTGTGCTGAGGCTGAGAAGAAGGGTGTGAGGATTCTTATTGATGCTGAGTCTTCTCTGCACCAAGCTGCTATCGACCATGTTGCCCTGGTATGTTTGTGATCTGCAAGCGTTGAGCTCTCAGCTAACCTGCCCAGTCTGTCATGTCCAAGTTTAACCAAAACGGACGAGCCGTCATCTACAACACTTATCAGATGTAAGTCAGCATTTCCATGTCACTTACATCAACTAACTGGTTAGGTATCTACAAGCTGGAACTTCCAAGATGATCAAGCACATCCGCCTTTCCCAGGACCGGAACTTTACAATTGGAATCAAGATGGTCCGTGGCGCATACCTCCACGTTGAGGCCCGACCTGAGGCTCTTCATAAATGCAAGCAAGATACAGACGACTGCTACGACAACTCGGTCAGGTTCTTGTTTGGAGGCAAGGTTGACAACAAAGAGAGCGGTTCTACCATTGGAAAGGCACGGCCTTGGAATGCAGAGATTATGCTTGCTACTCACAACGATGCGAGTGTGCAAAAGGCTCTATCGCTCTGGAGGAGTGGTGGTGCACTGACTGATACACCCAACGCCAACGGAGGAACAGTCCAGAGTCTTTCATTTGCTCAGCTAATGGGTATGGCAGATGAGGTCTCTCTTGGACTTGTGGCTGACAAGAAGGACCACACCTGGACATCTGACAGTGTCTCCAAGGAGTCTCTTCCCACTGTTGGAGTGTACAAGTATACTATCTGGGGATCTTTTGAGGAGTGTCTTCTGTATATGCTTCGAAGGGCCGAGGAGAACCAGGATGCTGTGGCGAGGACGAAGGGGACTGCTTTGGAGGCTTTGAGGGAAGTAGGGAGGCGATTTGTACCGTTTATGAGCTAAAGGAGCAAGAATAAAAGACAATATCAAAGAAGACTGAACCTATGCATGGATAGACTATATGAGGTAAACGAGTGACGTTGAATTAAAAGATGTAAAGTCAAACACATGAATGTTGTACCCAGACATTCAAAACATTCATAAGGAACACAGACGGCGACCCCTTTACCCACTCAAGGCAACTCGGCCCTTACTGGCTTGCAGTGTAGCTCCACAGGTACGGTCGGTAGTAGGTGCTTTTCATCATCATCGTATGACATGAATGATTGCTGTGAAGAGTTCTTGGATGACATTCCCTCCAACTTGGTTGCTCGTTTCAGGATGAAAAAGAAGAGACCAGTCCCCAGGGTAAAAAGGGCGATTGCAGTACCGATCCCTACACCAAGGCCAACCGGTAAATCTAAATTGCTGTTGTCTTCAGGGGGCTCGGGAATAGGGGCGTCGGTAGTAGAGGTGCATGGGGTAAGTGATGTGTCGGCGGGGGAGAAGACTTCGTAGCTGATGGTCGTGATGGCGATGGCGATTGATGGTGCTGTTTCAAGAGGGATACTCGTAAAGATACGGACGGGCTCCATGTCAAAGATTTCATCTTCTTTGCAGTTGCAGCCTTTGGAACCGAAGCAGCAAAACTGGCCCTTTCCACACGCTATGACGCCGTTCCCGCTGGCTGTAGATGCTTAGTACTCGGGAGATGACATGTGAAATATATTCCTACCGTTGAAGCATTGTGTTGGACAAGATGGGTCATCCCAATCCTCTACCAGGCATCCTTTGATAAAGTAGTGAGCAACACCGTACTCATCACTCGTCACACAGAGGCCGTTGCTCGCACAGGAGTCTCCTCTTAAACAGCATGATTTGAACCGGCCGGTGGGATCGCAGGGGACTAGGTCGACGTTTTCGTTGCTGCTGCTGTCGAGACAGGCCGACATTGTGCCTTGTCGATATGAGGCAGATGTCGGTAGGATAACTGTGGGAAGGGTAGCATGTGGTAAAGACAGATATGAAAGGCTCACATTGAAGGTCAGGAAGGAGAATTATCGGCGGTAAAGGCGGCAAAAGGAAGAGAGAGAAAGGGTGTATATACCAACACTGGACTTTTCAGAAAAGCAACGCAAGCGGCTGCAAGTCAAACATGCATCGGGGCCGCATGAATGTCCCGAAAAGTCGGAGCGGTTATGAAATCTGTCGATTGGGTTAGGGGTGGACTTTTGACGCGCCTGTTTGGACTGAACAAACGAATATTATCCCTCAGCTAAATAAAGAATTAAGAGACATCAATATCTGAAACATTTAAGCGCTCAGCTGTGCATGTTGTCCGACTTGTGTGTGCAGGACTGTAATCAGGCTGGCGGTTCTTGCTGCAACCCAATTATGTGTACTCAGCCATTGGCTGTCTCGGTTCAGGAAAAACAACAGTAGCTGAACTGAAATGCATGTTTCTCGGCTAAACTGACTTTTCAGTGGCAGCTTGATCTGACGTGGCGGGATACGGCTCGGGAATTGAAATAGATCCATAGCCAAGCTTTGAGTGTCATGAGGTGGACGGCAGCAGGACACCTCTAGCTCTCAAAGGGTGTGAATGTTCCAAGTGATTTGTATATTTTATTACAAATATTATGTACGGACTCGCTACACTCTTTGTGTCAGGCTGCAGTTATCCTTTAACCCGGTTATCCGCCATGTTTTGCGACCTTGATTTCATGTTATTGTGGTAGGGACCGTGGCATTAACTGCCATTTTATTATCAATGACAAAAGGTGCTTTGTATTGATTGGCAAGCCCTAGGCAGACAGTCGGTTATTAATTCCCTCCGAGAGGTCTATCCAGCCATAAAAGACTCAGTCTGGGAGGCTTTCCTGACGATTAAAAGAATTAGGTATAGATGCTGCATTACTCCATCATCATGCAAGTCTATGTCATCTTGGCTATGGTGTTTACAGCATCGGGTTCTGATGCTGTCATGTATTTTATCAGTGTGCTTGGTGATCCTGTGTACGACGCACACGTCATTGAAAGATAACAAGAACAACAGGAGGTAGTTATTATGGCATCCTGCCTCCTTTGATCCTCCATTGCCCCTATCAACTTGGTCACGTCTTTTTATAGGTACCTAGGGGGCTCCACCCTTTGGGGTAGCAGCAGGGGTTTGGCCAGTAACCCAGGTTCATTGAATTTAAATGCCCTCGCCATCTGTGATAGCAACTCTCAACTCAGTACTCAGGTTTGGGTCTCCAATGACAACTCCAAACGTAGCATGTGATTCATGACTTCCCTCAGGAAAACCTACTCCTTCAATCTCATCTCCTAGGATTCTGTGGATGTCAAGATGAGATTTGTATCTTGTAACCTTGTTCTTACGTCAAAGGGGTCCCCGAAAGTTTATCGATATAAAAGATCAACCCAAGCTACCTAGTCTAGACTTGCTCCCGAAGCTCCCTGACCTCCTCCAAGTAACGGCTCCCACAAGGAGAGTTTACCGCCATGGTTCTCAAGCCTGCGAGAAAACACAAGCTTCGAAGCATACGAAAACCCCACCCCTATTCCAGCCCCCGCCAGGGGAGCAAGGCCTGTCACAGCACCAGCAATAGCAAGCCCTGTACCGCCAAGTAACCCCAAAAACGGAAGGAGGTTTCATTTCAGGACATCTCGCTTCTTCAGTCTCTGCACGGTCTGCGCGACCTCGAGTAATTCTTCCTCATTGTCCTGATTGAGCTCGTCAAACGCTGATTCTTCCTCGTTGATGCGTTGACGCTCAGCCTTTAGACTATCTCTGCTGCGGCGACCCATCCTTTCTTCTTGGTCAAGTTTCAGTCGTCTCAACTGCCATCCTCGACGTCCTTGCTCTAGCAGAGTGTGGTTGCTGACCATGTCTGCTTCTAGACATTGATGAGCACGTCTGCTCCCCTCAAGCTCCACAGAGACCAGTTGCTGCTCAGCGCGTACCTTGGTGAGTACTTGGCCATAAGCTTTCTCACGTTCAGAAAAAACACTCCTGGTTGACACTCGAAACTCTGCCTGAGCACACCTCAAGTTCTCGAGCTCATTCCTGGACGCAGCGGTAAGGAAGCTGACAAAGATCAAGCTGGACGGATAGTACAAGCTGGTTCCTGTAACACCAGCTCGATCTTGGAAAAGAGCTTGGGGCAGATAGATGAATATCTCCTTCCAGAAGGTGGTCAATATGAACATGGTGGTGCGATGGTAGTTGTGGTGAGAAGGTGACTTACTATTGTGTGCACGTATGCTCGAATGATAGTTGCGAATCGATAGTGTCTGTAACAGTCACTTTAGCAGGGTTATAGGCATATATGAGGTTTGGCCTGGAGGGCGTATATCTCATGATTTAAAGAACTAGTTGTAGATGCTCCTTGATTACTCCATCATGCAAGTCTATGTCTATGCAATGCTATCCTCGACTGGGTATACTGCGCTGCCAACTTCTTCCACTAGCCAATGGGTCTCTTGGACCATCCCAGACTGGACACCAAGACTCTTTTGACCCCTCATCTGCCCGTATCCTCGAACTCTCAACCATTTTCATAATGAACTCGGCATCTCGATCATCGCTGTCCTTGTGATTTCGTGATAACCATCCCTCTCTTTGTCCATCCCCAAAGCTGAGTCTGTGATCAAGGGGTCGACAGTGTAGAGAATCTGCACTCACGCCTCCCACTGATCTCATCCGTACTGGCTGCCCAGTGAGCATGGCTAACTCAACATCGAAATCAATCATTCGATCGGAATTGCGCTTCTTTATGCAGGCCCTGGAAGGACGCTGGAGTGATGGGTCTGTTGATGAACTGACCCAGCGGAAATGTCTCTTTATTGAGGAGAGTGCATTTCTTTGGCGTGGCCACTTGGGGTTTTGCTTCTCACGACGGCGTTTGCGGATATTGTGTTCGATTAGGAGGTTAAGGGATGGGAGACAAGCGCAGACGAAGCCGATGGTGATTTCGAGGGCACTGGCAATAGTTAGTGACTGATGTTTAAGAGAAATTCTTCAACATACGTTAAAATATCAATGGGAGTGTAATCGACTGTTATGTCGTCTGAGTCGACAAACTGAACCGCCTTATACGTTCGAAACATGGTCAAAGCAGTAGCCACTCCTCCAGCTCCCAGCAACAAAACAATCTTGATTTTTTTGCGCAACGGCATGCGTAGCTTCCAAGTCAACGGTATCGGAACGATCAAGATGATCAAGTCGGTGACGATGGACACGGACAAGCTCGAGAAAAAGATCTTGCGCTGGTTGAGGCAATGAGCATTCCTAACTGAAGGATCCCAATATGTACGAATCGGGAAGCAGGTGAATATTCGTAGGAACTCTATGGGTATGTAGGCCAAGAGAAGACCCCATATGAATATCTTGATGCCTTTGGAGACTCTTCGTTCGATCGCAAAGACTCGTGCCATGAGGAGGAGGATGGTGGTTTTTGTGAAGAAGGCGGCGGGACAGTAGACGACGGTACTTGCGTAGAACCACTAGAGATGTTAGCCAAGTCTCAACTGGGGCGGGTAACTCACCTTTAGCCAGTTGTAATACTCTGGCTTGCGGATCTCCCATGCGTGGTATCCTGCTCCATATCGTGCCACTGTCTGTGTTAGCACTTGACAGCAATTGAGGTCAAATCCGTACTCATAAAGACGGTTAAACAATACAACATGACCAAGATCTACCAAGGTCAGCAAAGAACAACTACCTATCGACGCACGTACGAATGCGACACTACATGTCCCTGCAATGATTAGCTACATCAATATCGTGATGACAGCACTTACAGTCCTCTGTCAATAGCTTGTGGGTAATGGTGCGCTTGACATATAACCGAATACCGTAGAATACAATGACAAAGGAGACACATATAGAAACCATGGCCACATTGAGCGTGTAGAAGACATCTTCGGGATGGTCAAAGTCGGGCACGGCACCTGGAGGCGCATTTCGATTCGAGTCGGGGCCTGTTGCATTGAACATGGCTTCAACCGCACGGCAAAGACGGTGGTGATCTCGAAAGAGGTATTATAGTCATGGCAATCGACTGTAGGGAAGCTCTAGAGATTGTCCATGGCGGTTGTGAAGTCAAGGACGAAGGAAAGAATCTGCCGGTGGCGGGATCGTCAATGTGCAGTCGAGCAGCTTATCAGAGACGAGAAGCCGTCCAGCCGAAGACAAGCTTCCACTAGCAGGCCCCGGATCATCCTTGTACCCCGTGGGCTTGGATCTGGGGACATCTACAAGCCTCCGATCCGCCGTTGATCGACTCTGCGGCTAACGGTTGGCGTTGAACTCTGCTGAGCTCTCGGGCGGCGCCTAGAACTCAAACCTACGCCTTTAACGGGCTGATGGGCAAGCAGATGATCCGACGCCTTGCATCCTCCGGGGATTTGTTCCGCTGCAGCAGCCCCTCACATTGTGCTTTGATGGTGGCGTTCTGTAGGGATCGAGGCGTTGGCCGGTTATCGTCCGGCGGTGACATTTGACCCCTCACGGCGTGTCCGGACGGGCACTAGGATGGCGACGATCCTCACGTGGAAGTGATCGGTTGAGAGATGTTCCGGGGAGTATTTGATGGGTTTTCTTGGGGATCTTGAGCATGGATTATTTCTAGAAGCTTTGGAAAAGTGAGTTGACGTTGTTATGTGGTGTGCTGGAAGCATGGCTTTGAATGGGTGTCAATGGTGTCTCAGTGCTTTCTATCTATGTGTAGGTGGCTTGTCTTGACAAGAAACGACATCTGATCACCTGGAATTCTTTACCCGGTCGGTCTCTGACTCTCTCCTCCATTTGCTGCCATATCTGAATTGTATACCCAAGCTCAGTAGTCCAACGATTTGCACAGCAACACACACTGTGAATGCTGGTCCAACTCCAATGCCATTGATCATTGGCATGACGAAACTTGTGCCACCGGCGGCAAACAGGCACCTCGCAAGGTTGAGACTTGCACTGGCAGCCGCGCTGCGATCGTGAAAGACGTCGACGAGGTAGGTCATGACCACGGACTGTGTTGAGACAGCTGTCCAGCCTGTGATGAAGGTAGATATAATCGGCACGGCGATATGGACTTTGTGAGGGTAGTGAATGGTCCAACCAAAGAGGATGATGGATAGACATTGGAGGAGGGAGAAGAGAGGTACGAGGCGAAGACGTGCTTTTTCGAGAGGAAACTCGGATTGATTGGCCTCGGGGTCGGCAACCGAAGAGTCATGTTGGGCTTTTACACGACGGTAATCGATATCGAGGATCTTTCCAGTGATAAGAGTACCAATGATGGAGCCTACCCCGTTGGCGATAAAGGTCAAGCCAACTTCAGTCTCTCCAAGGCCGTATTTCGTCTCGAATAGAGTAGACATGGCGGTGATGCTCATCTGCCAGACGGCATAGTAGATGGCGAGGAAGAGAATGATGGGAGCAGCATGCTTGCTGATGAGAATCCGGATAGGACCAGTGATGTCGATGTGTTTTCTCGGTGTTGGTTCTTGGGGTACCTGGTCCCAATGTGTCTTGGTCGTCCTCTGATAGACAGTCAAAGGAAACTTGTTCATTGGGCTTGAAGGCGTTTGACTGCCATTGCCAATGATTGCTCTCAATGTCTCGGGGAGCAAAAGCGCCAAAAAGACCAGAAAGGCACCGCTATAGATGGCCAGGAACCAAAAGATGGACCTCCAACCAAGGGATCCAGCCAGTAAGCCGCCAATAACGGGACCGACGGCAACTGGCATGAGTAGCCCAGCTTGGAAGATGCCCATGAGACCTCCTCGCTCAGAACGCGTGGTTATGTCTCCAATAACCCCAGATCCGATGGCGATGGTGCTGGCGCTGCCTGTGCTCTGAAGACATCGCAGAACGAGCAAGGTTGCATAGTTCTTTGCCTCTGCCAGCCCAATGCAGGCACCCAAGAAGACGATGAAAGTGCAGCAGTATGCGACTCGACGTCCTTTGACATCCGAGATTGGACCCCAGAAGCTTGGCGCAATGCCTTGGAAGATGAGGTACGAGGTGACGGTGAGGTTGATGAGCTCTATCGAGGTGTCGAGATCATGCGCGATGGTAGGGAGGGCGGGGAAGTAGATGTTGGAAGCGAATCCAGAGACTGTAATGTCAGTATATGGACGGATGATAGTTTAGGAACGTACATGTGGCGGCGACAGAAACGATCAGAACGATCAACGCTTTCTGCCGCTTGTCAAAGATGCTATAAGGTTGCTCGGCAGTCCCAGAGCTGGGAGAGTTCTGTGTGTTTGAATCGGTGGCCATGATGTATTTTGCTGTGTTTGTCTGAACAGTTTGTGACCAAGAGACGTTCTGTTTATATAGGGATGTTTAATTTTGGGTTCCGGAGTTGAGGCTATGCTATCGGAGCTGAGACCCTGCCTCCGGAGTTGAGCTCTCAGCTCCGGGGCGACCTCAACGCCGAACGAGAAATTTATATTGATCTACCACTAAACAATGGACTTAGCATGATATCATGGTCTTGAATATCAAGTACCATGCGTACAACTAGTCACTGCGTAAAGCATCGTCCCAAACTCGTCGACGCCTTCTAACCAGCGATCGACCCTGTCTCGTCTTTCGGCCAAGGTCTCCGAGTTTTCCGAAAGAGGCCACAGCTCATCGATCCGGAAGTTTCCTTCTGCCCATTCAGCTAGATGAATATTATATGCTGTTTCCCAATCATGTCTTCGTGATTGCCATAAAACCTTGCTTGAGGGTGCTGGTAATCCTCGTAGTTCGCTGCCTAGATACGTCGAAAGCCCATCTTGAGCTGAGAGAACGTTGTCCAAAAAGTACATTGTGTAGAGGGTTCTTCGCTTTGCCTCTGCTACGACCCAGGCTTCCCATTTCGGTCGGATGCCGTCTTGCTCAGCCACGCAGACAAGGCCTCGTTGGGAACTTGTGCATGCGATTTCTTGGAGATTGATGATGGCTTGCCGTAGAAAGGGAGCAGGCCCTTGACTGGGGGTGAGGTGAAAGTACAGAACCAGTGCATAGATCAAATATGCTTGAAATGCGGCAAGAAGATTAACACCATCATATGTTGCGTGTTGCTCGTAGAGGTTGGCCATTTCCCGCTGCAGGATATCCGTGGCAGCCCCCTCACTGCCAGGAAGAGAGTTTTCGCAGATCCTCACCAAGCTGAGGTAAGTTGAAAGAGGACGAGTAACCGCTGCTGGAGTGATTTGCGAGAAGTGGATGAAAGGAGGAATTCCGCGACCTCGCACCACGACTGATGCATATGACTTGAGGATTCTGTAGACGAAGCCCATTACACTGGGAGAATAGTCTTTCAAGGTCTGCCCAGGGAACGGCACATAGGTGTTGAGCCAGCGGTTCTTGATGTCGTCACTGTTGATGGGACAGAAAAGCTCGAGTCTTGAGAAGTCGAGATCTGGTTGCCTGGGAGGATTAGTTTCGATGGCGTTGAGTGACAGGGCGTGTGCAGCTGAGCTGCCAGGGGTGTTGCCAGGGATGGATTCTATCGAATGGACTGTTGAACTTGGCGTATCTGTCCTGGCAGTTGGGGGTAGGCTCTCTAATGGAACCTCTGGAAGTGAGTAGGTTGTATCATTCCCATCGAAAAGACTCGTGTCTCGGCTTTCCGAGTTGGGTGCCCTTGATTGAGTATAGTGACAATCTAGACCTCGCAGGGCACACCGACCACAGGTGTCAGGTCTGCGGTCACATTTTGCCTTGGCGGTTGAGCATGCTTGGCAGGCTTTTTGGCGAGAAGTCGAGTATCTTGAAGATTTTGTTGGAGACATTTGTGGAAGCGTGAAGGTTCTTGTATGGGGGGTTGTGGATGGGGAAAAGTTTCTTGGTTCAACTCGCTGTAAGACCTGGTTCGGTTTGCCGTTATTCCGATCCGTTCCAACTTGGACATTGTCTCTGAGCTCGAACCATTCGAGTTTGAAAGGACCTTTTCTATTTTCTATTTGCAGTCGTGCCTGAGGACCTGTCGGCAATGAAGTTGGAAGCGCCCCCTGCTGCGTTCTAGAATACTCTATGAGTAAGAATCTATCCTCCAAAGTCTCCTGATCTATCCCGGTTCAACACTCCGGGCCATAGTGCATGAGAGTTTAGTTGTCTTAGAAGTACTTTTGCGTCTGGGCAAAGTGCATGCCAGCAGCAAAGTGAAACAGCTTTGCAGCAACCACGGTTCGCTCCTGTTTCGAGTACTCGACCAGGCGATCGTACAGCTCAGCAAGAGGCACAACCACTCGCTGGATATGCTCTCCATCATCTAATCGCTGCTCTGGCTCCTCTTCGTCCTCGTTGAGTTGAACCTCGACCATGACCAGCTGCATGTTGGCGTTGCTCATTCCGGGATCCGCAGATTGAACAGGGCTGACGCTGAGAACCTTGCAGTTATAGCCTGTTTCTTCCTTGAACTCGCGCACCGCAGCTTGCTCGGGTGTCTCCTCGGCGTCGATGAGGCCAGCTGGCCATTCAATGGTGTATGCATCCAGAGGAGGGCGGTACTGGATGACGAGCATGGTGGAGGCGGGCTTTGAGGGGTGCAGGAGAATGTTTCCCATTGCGACAGCGTCCACACCAGCTTTGCCTCTGGTCTTTCTCGTAGCAACCTCCCAGGTTCGCGCCTTTCCGACTTGGTCGACATATTCGATCTTCTTGAGGGCTATCCACTTGGCCTCATCGACTGGGAGGTCGGAGGTTTTGGTGATGACGGGCTCTTGGGTTTTGTGAGACATGGCTGAAGTGGAGTTGCTGGAGAGAAATAGCTCAAGGGTGATTGTGAATGGCGTTCCGTGTGACAATCTTCGAGATTGGGATGACTGTTGCCAGCTGAACTTGATGGAACACTTGTATGCTTTGATTGAGATGTCGGGTTGTGACTATGATGGGGAAGGGAGAAGTGTTGGCGAGTGATTTGAGTCAGTGACGATGCGGGCACCTGCATGAGAACATGATTGGCTGTTGAAATGGCGCGATAAGGCCATGTGCGACGCACCCGCAGGCACTGTAGCCGATTAGATTTCTCAAGGGAGTATTCTCTCAACTCTATTGATGCCATTCGTCCGATGTTCTTAGATGAAGCTTGATGAAATAATGAAGAATAGCCCGCAAAATTTACCCAGATTCTTTATCTAATACCGCCTCTGAATGATGCTGTGGTGTGCCCACCCAGTTACTAACTGGATGCTGCCACTGCTGCCTTCCAACCCAAGCCTGGAATATGGAAACGACTAATGCTAACGCCCCTAGAGGTATTGCGATAGCTACACCTCCCAGAGTCGCTATCATCACATACCTCGCTCCACTCTTGCGTTCAAGCCACTTCTCCAGAACTCCCCGTGGTGCTGAATTGCCACCTCTCCATAAAGTTTCAAGATGCACCGAAGACGTGGACATCAAAAGAAGGCTCTGCGCTGTCTCGAGGCTGGTATATTTCCTTGACAAAAGATTGGCGCAGGAAGTCTCTGATCTGATCATGAGCTCCGTGGCTGTCAGTACAGAAGATAACCAGGCAAGTCTTGGCATCCTCTTCTGTTGTCCCAAGCACTATGGGCCGTATTGACATGGAAGGAGGGTTACGCTTGGGCCTCGACAGGTATTTGTAGCGTTTGGACTTCACCATGTACTCTTGCAACAGTGGGCTCATTTGCTCGATGACATCGTTGGCCCGTCTCGCAGTGGCTACATCGATTTGTTTCTTAATCGGCTGTATCCGTATTGGCTGTGGCTGCGGCTGCGGCTGAATCGTCCCGGCGTCGGAGGGCGGTTGAGGGCGAGAGCAACTGCTAGACGCCGTGGAGCTGGCTTCTGGGTCGAGGTGGTCATCGTGTGTCTGGAGGCCCGCATTACTCAAGCCTCCATAGCCAGAATTGGTGTCGGTCTGGGTCATGGCACAATCTGCCGTGCTTTCCTCTGGCGGAAACTCTTGTTGCGTATCCTGCATGGCGGGACGGAAGTGATTGAAGACGGAGCGTTGGAGCTATGAAAGAACCAAGATCTCCATTCTCTGGCGATCTCAGCCGCAGGACGGGTAAGTTTCAGCATGTACTTAGCCGCCGAGGCGTCGCTGAGGCATATTCGCCATTGGTTGTAATTTGTCAATGGTTGTCAACCAGGGAGGCAACCCCCAGGTCGCTGCCCTCTTCACGCTGATGAGTTCAAAACTTCATCTTGTCGTAACAAATAAACCTGCCAGATCCACAGACTCAAGCAATGTTCGATATTCCCTCACCTTAACCCCTTCGAAATGTCTCCGAGGAGGATCTTTTGTGCCTAGTTAAGACCTTGTGGAATTGGAAGCTCTGTGAACCCTGCCGCCTCAACCCTGGTCAATCACAGTGCTCATCGCAGCCTTGTTCGGGAATGCGACGGATTCGAATGAAGCCCTTCCCAGAACTGCCTACGTCCCCAATATCATTGCAGGAAACCCTCCGGCTTTATCGAATCGCATCGAAATATTTGCCATTATAAAGGTTCTCAAGGATAGCCCGGATACGAATTGATCAGAGCCAACGTCTACTTACTTTGCAAATCGCGGTGGTCAAGCCCCTTCGCCCGGGGTGCATGGCTACATAGAGAGGATATTGGTAAAGGTACAAATTGGGCGCAGATAATGCTAAGCAACGGAGTAGGCCTATTGACATAGTCCTTTAAGCTACAAACTGCATGGGAAGCTTTCAAACCCACCAAATCGATAGTCTGAAAGAATAACATAATTGCACAAGCATTCATTTGAGATTTAGAGAGCTTGTAATGGGTTGCACTTAAAGGTCATTTTCTATTTGGGTAGGTAGACGGGAAGACACGTGGATATGTACTAGGCTTATGATGATGAAACAAGCTTAATTCAACAACCACATGGTTATGTTTAGACGATGCCCAACTGGGCTTCTATGGATTCAGTCGTAGGACCTGTCTCCTGAGACCTGAAAAGTCTCTCACGTCTTGAACCTGCTTATCGGCAGCGAATCTCCTTGTGGTTGTGGCCCAGGACAACCGCGCAGTCTACAACCAATGTTAGTAAACGCTTCACGTAAGAATGAAACGAGTTGTTAATACTTACGTCCTCGGAAAATGTCACCACGGTCGTTGGTGAAGTATGCGCAAGGTCCGACGTGCGTCTGCTCCGTGTTCATTCTGGTGCATCCTTCGTGGACATAGTCTATACCACAAGTCAGTGTCTGAAGGCGTATTATTTCGTTCAAAAGGAATCAACTTGCCGCCTCGAATCCAGTACCAGTTGTTGTTGGCGGTCCAGACTCCGTTAAGATCCTGAGTCCAGGCAGATGAAACGTTGGTCAGGGCAAAGAGGGCGGTAGCAACGGAAATGAAGCGCATCTTGAAATCTTGAAGTGATGATTGAGAGAGAACTAATCTATTGGTTCTGGTAAAGCTACAAGAATGAAGAGCATCGAAGCATCCTTATATATCTCCCTTGGATCCACAGAAATCGTCTCATCACCAGTGACAATGATTATATTCGGAAATTAGGACTTTCATCCAAATGCAAGCTTGGATCAGAATCGTGACACAAAGTTTATTGACTGATTAATTGCCAAGATCGAAACTAACTTTATCAAGCCAAGTTGTTCTCGGTTTGTGGGACTATGCGTTCTGCCATTGGCTTGATCGGACTTGTCCATGCAGTAATACATCCTCGGACTGTATTTTAACTCATTCCGAGGTGCTGTTCCTGCATTTCGCATTCATGAAACAGGGCGACTCCTAGGCTCAGCTGTTGCCAGCAAGTCGGTGTGGAAAATACAGCTATCCTCGCCCTCGTCCTTGGGATCTTTGGTTTCTTTGGACTTTATTTGCTCAGCCATCCCAATGCAGTCTGCTATTGGCTTGGTCGGACTTGTGCATTGTATTTTAACCAGTCCGAGGTCTTATTCCTGCATTTCCCATTTTTCAAACAAGCCATTGTTAGGGGAGTTGCCAACGGCAGCATCGTTGTCAAAGGTCAGTAAGGCTAATTCTAATCCCTGAGGTTTACATCTGGCTTGCAACAGCAGCTTGCGAGGGCGTACGACGGCGCGAGGGCCTTTAATGTCGGGGCCTAATTAGCCGCGGCCAAGATGGTGATATAAATGTAAATTTAATTAGCCCAAGACCCTCTTTCGCGACCTTGGCGAAGGTTTTGCAAAATTCAAGGGAGAATATAACCGGCCACTTTGTTTGAGTTGCCATCTTAGAAAGATTCGTACTTATGTACAAACTCCTCCAATGCTACCAAAGCCTCCCGCAGTCGTCCAGGTGAACCAATCTCAATTCTAAGATATCCCTTCAAGTCGTTTGCTCCCTCTTCAGCAAAGGAATATGAGCCAGGTAAAACAACTATGCCAGCCTCTTCAACTAGCTTCTTGCTAAAGTCCAAGTCATCCGAGGGTGACTTGTCCTTGTTCAGAATCTGAACGAACGCTACTCCCGATCCTTTTGGCTTGGTCCAGCGGCACCTCTGAGAATTACGTTTGACGAATTCATCAATCAAAGTAATACTCTCGGCGCAGAGTTTCAAGTTGCGCTCCATCAGTCGGGGTAGCACCTCCTCGCTCAATGCAAAAGAGGCAACAGAGTCATCCAGCAGTGAGACACTGATGGTAGTGTAGTCTCTGAGAACGCTAACTCGGTGTATGATGTCCTTATCTTGTGATATGACCCAGCCAATTCTGATGCCAGGTAAGGCGTAAGCTTTCGAGAGAGAGCCAGTCGATACAGTACCAGGAGAGCCTATCGAGACTAAAGGAGGGGCCCGGTCGTTTGTATGAAAGAGAGGGCTAAAAACCTCGTCGGAGAAGACCACAATGTTGTGCTTTTGGGCAAGAGCTATGACCTGATCCAGTGTATCTCTAGGAAGGACTGTACCAGTCGGGTTGTTTGGATTGCTAGTGATGGTCAGTTTCCGGTCTTGTAGTCTAATAACCTTGGGGACGGGGGAAATTTACCAAATGATAATGACCTTTGTATTGGGCTGAATCATACCAGCCAATTCCCCCATATCCAGAGACCACCCGTCAGCCTCTTTCAAGCCCCAGAAGCTAACGTCAACGCCATTGTGTTTGGGCAAGAGATACAGAGGTCCGTACGTCGGATATTGACAGATTATATGGTCACTTGGGCCGCAGAGTGTGGCTAACACGAGGTGGTTGGCCATGCTGGAACCTGGAGTGATGACAACATTGGCTGCGGTCAGTCTCACGTTGGGGGAGGAGTGAAGCTTAGCAATTCGTTCTCTAAGACGCACGGAACCCAAGGCTGTGCCATAAGTGAGCGCCAGGCCTGGGTCCAGGAGAGTGGTGTTCGGAGCGAGTTGCTGCAGCTCATTTAAAGAGAGTGCCGATGCATACGAGTCTAGGGCACATCAAGATATTAGAGTCCTGTGATGACGCGTCTCCAAGGTCCCTCACCATACAGGCTAATCCTAGCTCTCGGCTGTTGCAGTAGGATTATGTCAGTCTCCGCAAACCTTCTGGGGAGGGCCGACAAACCCCGTATTCCTCAACTAGAAGGATAAGTTAGCAGTCGTTATCCATCGTGTCGATTATACTCGAGCACCCGCTTGGGTCAAATACGTACTCCATTTGTCAATATTTAACTCAGGAATCTCCGGCATTGTTTCAATTTGTACTTGGGGAACGAATAACAGACGACAATAGATGGTATTATCAACGGAAGGTCCTGGGGCATTTAAACGTTTCTTATCGACGGATTTGTGACTCGACTCTTGTCAACTTGCGCCCTTGGTCAAGTCTTTACGCCCTATGCACTGAGCGTGGTTGGTTTTCAGCCAATTAGAGACAATACCGCGACAAAAGCTCAACTACGGAGTAACTTGAGCGGAATTGTACTTTACTGGCGCGGCCTGATTTGGCTTCACTCTGGGTGGGGGAAGTGGGACGTCTAAGGGGAGCCATGTATGATTTCAATTGCCGAGATATTTGCCAAACATCTGTAACGCGCCGAAGCGGACAGTCAACACATCAGTCGAGGCCTTGGAGCCCCAATGAGGAACCAGATCTCGGACATGCGGTCATTCTCTGCAGCCCACGTAGACGGTATAGGAAAACTTTACCCAGCCTTAGGAATATAGCTACCCTCATGGCGACATGATTTTGATCATGTTCTCATATAGTATCTCAAAACTGGACATTATTCTGCTCTCTAGTTATGACCTCGTGCGATTGGCTCTGCTTGCATTCTGTTAATATACCGAGTTGACCAATGGGTCTATAGGGTGAGATCAGTTTGGACCTGACAGTTGGACTCCTATTTGGGATAAATCGTCCAAACTACCACCGGCATCCGACTCAAGGACCGACATCCGAGATTCAGGTCAATGAGCTTCGGGACCTCGGTAGAGTCCGTTTCAGGGGTTCTGCTGGCTAGCGCGGCCGTCAGCTTACATCCCAACTTGGCGACATTATGCAGACCGTGCTGCTGATCCAAAATTAACGGGCCGCCCTAAATAACGGCTCGGATAACCAGCTCGGACCCCTAGCCAATGACCATGGAGAAGGTTTATTAAACCTTGGCCCCTCGAATCTGAGTAAGATTCCACTTTCAACTTCGAATTCATCAGTTCAATATGGAGGAGACCAAGAAGCCTAGCCCTGATCCCGCAGCTGGAGTCGCTCCTGAGGGAGCTGAGCAAAACGAAAAGACTCCCAAGTCGACTTCATCGCCACCAATCCTATGTCTGGGAGCACCTCGCACGGGGACGGCCTCCCTGATGAAGGCCCTGCAGATCCTGGGATACCCCAACGTGCATCACGGATGGGACGCCTGTGAAGAATACGATCTCCAATGGCAATGGCCCATCTTCGACAAGGCCAACGACGCGACCTTTCCAAACCTTCCGACATACCGTGGCACGCCCTTTTCAAGAGAAGAATGGGATCAGGTCTTTGGCAAATACGACGCCGTGTCCGACATTGCCTCTCACTACGCCGAATCTTTGATCCCTGCCTACCCAGACGCCAAGGTCATTCTAGTGGAGCGCGACATTGAAAAGTGGTACAACAGCATGGTCCCCATTGTCAAGGACTCGACAAACCCCAGGCACCGAGCCTTTGTGACCAAGGTCTCTTACTTCACCGGCTACACCAGCGGTCCCGTGTGCTTCCGGATGCAGCGTGGTTGGACGAGGTCAGAGTCAAATAACGATGTTGTCAAGAACCTCAAGACGGCATATGTCAGGCACTACAAGTATGTGCGAGAGGCGGTCCCTAGCGAGCAGCTTCTGGACTTTAAGCTCACTGATGGATGGGAACCGCTATGTCGTTTCTTGGGAAAAGAAGTTCCCGACGTGCCTTTTCCTCATGTTAACGACGCTGCAGAGTACAAGGCGAGGGGTAAGAGGGTGCGCAATAAGATCCTCAAGGCGGCGGCACGCAAGTTTTTCTGCCCATGTCTTGGTTGATGCTAAGGGAGTGGTGTTCTAGAATTATAGATTCTAGGTGTGGTTATACCTAGTCTGTCATTATTTTTACGAGTTTAATCTTTGTATATATCTTCTTAGTTCTGCAAAATCTCCCACGTCTTGTCCCGTCAAACTCCAGTCTGGATCATTAAGTAGGGACTGATATTGGTCGAATGAGTCTCCCAGAGGCAAATCTTTGAGCTCCCCATTTAAATCGACAGAGTGAAGCCATTGATCTGACACGTCCCATACAGGGGGATACCAAGGAGGATCTTCATGTGGGGGGTGAGCACTGTGAACAGCGCTTGTGCCAGATCCTTGGTGCTCTGAATTTGATACCGTCGTTGTTTGATTGGTTGATGTGGGTGTGTTGGCCTCAAGAGAGTTCAACGCAGCCGAGAGATGATCTCGCACGCTTTGGACTTCTTGAAACCTCTGTCTCGCAAAGGTGTTGCCATGTTCAGCCATGTAATGCAATATGTCCATTGCGTCTTTTAGGCCCGGAGTAGGGTTAAGTCTCTGGCTTGGCTCACAAGCTGAATCAAAGATCATGGTGAGAAGCATGATGAAAGCTGCCGAGAAGACGGCGTCGCAGTCAAAGAAGCCGAATATTGCTGGGCCCAATTAGTTACGGTTCTCTATAATATATGCCACTTACGAAGTATCCCCTTTCTCTTTAGAGCAATTATAACCTCCAGAAGTCGCCTCGCAGCCTCTGAGCAGGTCTTGGAAAGTGTGTCGAGTGAACCACCCTCGAGTTCGTTGCAGGGTTGGCCGCTCAAGATCAGTTGTGCGGTGTGAAGCATAAGAGGTCGAATAGTTAACAGCGTTGCCTATATCGTCAGCATAATTCAAGTACATAACGAGTATCTTACCTGGTAGAGCATGAGATGCAATGATGCAGATGTCCTGAGTGCCAGTTCCGAGTTTCCGCAAAGACTCAGGGATTGCTCTGATGGGATCTCTTTTGCGATATCGGCCAAGCTCTTGATGATCGGCTGAGCATGGGAGACGAAATCTTGCTCTATCTTGAACTTGGTACCATACAATACTATTCAGGTCAGACTTGACTTCAAGCTGGGCATCAACTTACTTGTTATCACCTGCCCAGTCACCTGTGCAATCTTGATGTTTGTGCGAATAGCAGCGCCAGTTGGAAATCCAGGGGCTTCAAAAGGTAGAGGCATGCTTATGGCGCTGTCGATGATGCCTGACGGCTTTCCATTTGCTGCGGCTAGGCGTCTGACTTGTTAGTGATGTCTTTTTGGGATGATCTAGCTTACCTCTCTTGCATGTATATTGTCCACCATAGCCGGTTGATCTGTGCTTTCTCTGACCTCAAAAGGTTCCGTTCAGAGTCCTTCTGATGATAGCCATGTAAAATAGCTAGTCGGAGAGCAGTGTTTATCTAGTAAAGTTAGCGGAAGTCGATAGGCCAAGTGGTGCACGCACATAAAGATAGGCCTCCTCCTTACGGTTTGCCATTTGAAGGTACATGGCCATGAGGGCATTGACCTCAACTGCCAACCTCCCAAGTCTGTACTGGGCACTTGCTGTAGGCAAGTTTCGCTCGACGAACTCGAAAAATGTCGTTCCCGGCAAGTTCTCCTCTTCTCGGCTATCGGCCTTGAAGATTTGCCCAACGGCCAGAACAAGAAGAACCTGCATATACCATAGTTCATGAGTCTGAGGATCATCCATGTTCTCGTACAGCCACCCAATACGATCAGTGAGGCCTCGAAGGTCATAATGACACTGCGTTTGTCCAATATAGAAACCAACGGTCTCGAGGAGTTGAAAAGCTTCTTCTTCACTGGGTAGTTGTGGAATAGCTTGAGTAGAAGCTCTGAAAGGTGATGGATGATTCATCGTAGGCTGTACAGGATTTGGGGATATGGGGATTGTTCTGGCACTTGATGGACCGGAGTTGGTCAGTACTTCATGAACCTTTCTGCCGAATTCATTACTAGAACTTAAGGACGACTCGGCAGCGATGGTTGGGGCGTGATATTGGGATCTGGGCTCAAGGTTTGGCCTTGGTGTCTGTGTCTCTGGAATACTGTGTTGTTCATTTGAAGTACTGGGCATTTGTGACGTCGTGCTCCTTGGAGTGGTTGATTGACCATGGGCCATTGGCACGTCTGCGTCTAATACAGGGCTTCCTAGGCTCAGTCCAGGTGTTGGTGATCCAGGATTGAGCAGACCCGAAGACTCTGACCTAGGTCTCGTTCCTTGACTCGTGTAAGCAGGATTCGATGTAGCTGAATCGTCAAATCACCATCAGCAGGGAGCGGCTCTGTGCCCTCGCTTTCATATCTCGCAAGCCGGCTTTCGAGTTCAGCAATCTTGCTAATGAAAAGGTTAAAGAGATCAATAACGGCAAGGTAACCCATACGTCACCGAGTATATCCGCCGCGGACCAAGTGGACTAATCGAACATGACAGTCCTCGCTTCGAACAGTACTGACAAGGCGCGGTGCCAGAGCATTTAACCTTTTTGGAGCGGCATGTTTGACAACTGAGATGTTAAGTATGTATAATTGTGGGTGTATAACAGAACAACACTGACGCAATTACAACTGTGCTCTTCTGGGCCGAGTTCCTTGACCGCTTTGAAGGGTTTGCGGCACGTCTTGGCGAAGCCGACATTGTGTGGAGTAGCCGAAGAATTCGATAAAGCCTACTGGGGTGTAATGTCTGCTATCAAGTCTGAAGGGTCAGGTTCCACGTTTTCTGGGTTCCGAGGCGAGCAATGCAAGAAATGTGGTCAAGATTGAGTTCGGAGAGGGCCCCCGAGGCTTTTATCTCGAGGTGGGGCTGACAAATGACTCGGCGAATGGCTTGATTACAAAATTGGGACTTGTAGATAAGATCGCCCCTGTTACGCTATCATAGACGCACTGCGGGTATGGCTCTAACAGCTCTCTGTCCTCCACCAGCTATCAAAGACAGATCTTGCTGAACGAGCATGAACCGAGCACCCAGAGTGTTGATGAACCACTCGTGAAGTGTAGGATTATCGTAAACACCTGCAACTCCAAAGATCTTGTTGTGCTTTCGGCAAACTTGGCTGACCTTTTCCACTGAAGTTCTGTATTCCTTGCTCTCCCAGTTGCCACCAACTCCCAGGTCAATACTCAGGTCAAATGATCCAATCAGAAGGACATCGACGCCTTCAACGGCTGCGATTTCTTCCGAATTGTTGACGGCGTTTTTGCTCTCAATCATTGCAAAGACTGTTGATCCTGAGTTGTTGCCAAACTCGATAGCTTCGTTTAAAGGTGTTGGTCGCATATTGAATAGAGGCATGGCTCCTGTCATTGAGCGACATCCATGAGGAGGGTACTTGGAGATTTTCACGGCTGCCTTTGCTTCGTCTGCCGGAGGTCAATTGTTGTTCAGCTGGATACTGACAGTGCTCTTACCTGCGCTTTCAATGTGAGGAAATATCACACCCATGGCACCCCCGTCAAGCACCCGTTGAACAAAGCCATTGCCACACTGATGAGGGACTCTGACGAATGGAGTAATGCCTGCGAGATGGCCAACATTGCAGAGGTTGCTTGCCTCAGCGAGGGTCAACCAGGCATGTTCAAGGTCAATAAAAAGAGAGTCAAAACCAGCATGTCGAGCTGTTTGAACGATCTGAGGGCTTGTCGATAGTTTTATACCGAATGACTTGCAGACTTCTTTGCGAGTGACGCATCTGAGGAGGTTGTTGGTGTACTGAGTCGAAGCCATGGTTGAGCACTTTGGGGAGGTGAGATGACAAATTGGGGATACGGCCAGTTATTGAGCTGCCGTTGTCTTAGAAGTTTATATCACTTTATCGGGCGCCATCTCCGATCTAAAAAGCAAGCTGTTCTTGTTTCTGAAGATCGAAATGTTGAGATCCATGCGGGGTTGTTGTGGCTTCGGAGACGGCGGCCGAGGCTTGGTGGAACCATGTGCAGGATATTTGAGGTAGTTGAATCGTCATATAGCCTTCTCCCACTTAAACACCAACAGGAGAGCAAAAAGGTGTTGCTGGTTCATGGCGTTTTCACTGCTCAAGGCACCACTAATTCTTTGTGTGCTTCACGCTCGCAACAGCACTCGCCACTATAGGAAAATCGATTGTTCTGAATATTATCCTCTCGCGCTCTAAATGAAATTGCCTGGCTTGTCCTCAGCCCCATGGATCTTTCTTCTTTTGCTATTACTGTGATTAGTTCCGCATGTTGCTCTCCGCATCTAGCTACCCTGAGCATCCTTTCCCAGTAATACCTTCTGTATCCAACGTTTGGCTGGTGTTAGCACCAAGACCTTGCAAGAATAGTCAAGGACCCCAACTAATCAGGTGTCAATTGGCTGTGTTTTTAGAAATAGTTGTTCATATGATCCTGCCTCCTTGACGGCGGACACCCTCCATACTGCGGCATCCCGATGAAACTTGACCGATCAAGATGACAAGAGATGCGAGCACCCTGGCCGAGATTCTCAAACTCTCCAAACCTGCTGCAAAACTGAGCCTGGAACGGTGAATTTGGGTTCCGGTTTGGCACCACGGGCACCTTCGGACACTGGCTGACAAAATGAACCACTCCCGCGCCATCCTGGTAGGACATCTGAACCAGCCCCTCAAACGATGCCTTAGACATGTTAGCTTCCCTGCTGGAGCAGTAGTCGAAGATGGAATGGAAGGTCCCCGTCTCGAGAGTTATCGGCCCCAGGGATAGTTCCCGGGGTTTAGTTCTTTTGATGATACTGAGGAGGTCGGGCGAGTTGGCGGTGAAGCCGTTGATGCTCAGGCGGTTCAGGACAGGTAGTTTCTGCAACCCTGCCACGCGCTGTAGAACCAATACGTCGTTGTACAGGGCCCGGGTGATGATTTTACGGTATCTCAGATCCAGGTCCTCAAGTCGGGGACATGCCGCCAAGACCTTTGGAAGGCCGTCAAAGTTGCGCTCCTCCAGGGCTGGCGCGATTCCGCCAGGGATGTTTCCTACTAGGCCGTCGCCCGACGGGTCTCTGAGGCTTTTGAAGACAAAGATGCGGGTGGAGATGTTGACTGATAGGGATGTAAGAGTGGACAGTGATTCGGCCAGACCTGGGTCGCTCCAGTTGATCATGCTAAGCTGTTCGGAGGGCAGGCTGCAGTTTTCCATGTTTGGCCCGTTGAAGATATTGAGATGTTTGAGTTTCAAGTTACTGGCGGCTAGTGCTCGCAACGACTGGTCGAATACGTCAATTGCGCATTGCCACACAGCCTTTGATTTTGCAAGGTGTGTTGCATTGCGCAGAGCGCTGTTAGGCAGGTCATTCTTGACGATCCTTAGTTCTAGTGAGAGCGATAGGAGACTGTCGACGCTGTGGGGTTTGGTAAGCCCGTTGTATGCTTGTGTGAGCAGGCTAGTCATCGCCCCTTGGCGTGGATCAAAATGAAATGCCTGGGTTCTCTCGGCCTCCTTGTCGGGTACGCCAACGAGACATAGCTTTCGTACGCAAGAGCGGAAGCCTCCCGCCTGGACATTAACTGTGAATTCTCGCAAGGCATCGGCTGTCATTACGACATGTTGAGTGTGGAAGAATGTCTTGAAGTGAGACTCGGAGCTTTTGCCTGACAGAGCCTTGCAGGCGAGGCGAAGGCTGCGGATATCTTTGAGTGGTAGCAGTCTAACAATCAACTCGATGACCTCGGTTGGGAAGGTTTCTAGATGGGATGGCATGGTGACGGTGGAGATGGAATGGCTAGAGTTGATGGCGAAGGATAAACTGAGAAGGATGAGGTTGAAACGGTCGAGGAGAAGCGCCTCATGATGTGACTCTCACGTGACATGCGATGATGCCTGCAGGAGGCGTCAGTCCCCGAAAGGGTGCAAGGCAAATTGTCTGTGTTGAGGTAGCTGAGAAAGTGAGAATTGTGATTCTTTGCATTCCAGAAGTCGATAACAAGAATTCATAAATAAAAAAAAAGAAATTTGACTCCCTCGCGACAAGCAGACTTCCCATGCTATTATCACTTTTTATTAAAAATGGCAAAAAAAGTGTTCGAGGATAGCGAATCGACACCTATAAGGTCGCCAGACGGTGTCTTAGTGTAAAGCTGAAGCACCCGGCCAGGGAATTAAGCCGTTACGCCATTTGGCCCTCGAACGGGCCCTGAAGGGTGAAAGCATGCGACCGTAGTTGAGTTGATATACCTATGCCCGGGCAGCTGTCGTGACGCTTTGCGGGTGGTTGGCAGTGCCAGGGCCGTCGCGGGCTGTCACCTCCCAGAGAGCCAATCAGGTCGCGCCTCAGGGCTCATCAGCGTACCAGGGCTCGGGAAACACTCAGAAAAGACATTTTCGAGCCATTGACTATGCGTTGGGAGCGGTGGTTTGCTTTTCAAGGAGGAGTGAGTATTCTTTCAAGGAGAGGAAGTGGACGTGGTCAGACTGGCCAAGGGGATTCCCCTGGCTGCCGTGGAACGGACTTTTATTGATCCAGCCGATCTGAGATCTAGACCCTAACCTGGAGACGGCGTTCGGGTTCGATTCCAGTACTTGTATAATTTTGCTTCTTATGAGGGCGGACTTCCTGGCCAAGCCATCTTTTCCGTAGAGTACAAGTCCATAAGCCATATGACATCAGAGCAAGGCCCATGAGGTATCAGACTTATCCTTAACAATCAAGGATACTAGAGCACTAGAGCTGCATCTCATAGCACTAAGCTGCCCCGTCTCGCATTCGGCTACCTGCAGAAGGAAGCGGGCGCCCCGAGTAGTTGACGGCCTTCTAGCTCAGTTATGTTATCAAGGGCCCGGCTTCGATTGCAAAAAAGAACGCACTACCAGCTCACCATAGCATCATACCCCAACGCTAACACAGTAGCCTAGTGGTTGGTAATGTAGCTAGAGAGAAGCTAAACTGGAACAATGGAAGGGAACGGGCGGCAGGTGGGCTTGCGTGATTTACAACGCGTGACTTTTGGTCTCTCGTTGATGTTGGTTCAGATTCGGGGACGGCATATGTTGCCAGGCCCCCTTGTTAAAACCAGGATCACTACCCTCGTGTCGGAATCCTCGGTGTCGCCCGTTGTAACCCTTGTACGGTGACTTGAGCCTGACAAACAACAAGGGGGGCAGGTGTATCGTAGCATCGAGAAACCCGGGCATTCCAGCTCCTCCACTTTTAACCGAGATCCTACGGTAAAACAAAACGTGGGAAACATGCACGAAACAAGGTAAAGCTCCGCATTGGTGCAGAGTGGACATTTGTTTTCTCTTTCCCCAGTCTTGGTGCCTCTTTTCCCCTGACTAACCTCCAAACGCCTTGAAGATGGGTCTCCTAGCTCAGTGGACTCCGCCCGGGCTTCAACTTGATCAAAAACTCGATATCAACACATCATGGTATCATATCCCAATTAACACAATGACCTTGCCTTGAAGATGAAGAGTAAAAGCTAAATAAAAAGAAGAATAAAGAAGAGAAGAATCAATGAAGAAGAAAAGGAGAAGAAAAAGAGAAAGGAAGAAGAAGAAAAGAAAAAGAGAAGAAAAGAAAGGACTGAAACTACATAGACTACAAGATTGATGCTTCATGCAAATACATTACTGCGTTGGTATTTCACGGTGGCTAGTTCCTCCAATCGCTCCCTGTTTCCTTCGCCTCGTGGGTGTTCGTCTGAGCTTTTCTTGCTCAATAATCATGACTGCATCAGGAACGAACTCAACGCCTCGGTTGCGGCTGTTGTGCCGCGTGTGAAGCCTACGGTGGTTGTTGAGGTTGTCTCTCCGGTTGAATTGGCCTCTACCGCAGAACTCGCATGAGAAACGGTTGGGGCCTTCGCCGTGATAGCTGCACGATATTAGTGACAATGGGGGTTATAGCACGTCTAAAAACTTACGATTGCTTGTGTCTCTTGAGGTGTTCTTTACGCCTGAACCCCTTGTTGCAACCTGGATAGTCACAGCTGCTCCAGACGGGATCCGCCGCAGGGGCCGACTCAGCCTTGACGGATCGTTTCCTGGGCCTTCGGGTTTGAACATCCTGAAGCTCGACCGTCTTGCGCTGAATCTCGTCCACCACCATTTGTCGAGGTCGAATTTGCCTTGGCGAAGCCGACTCGTGGACATGAGAGGAGTTGTGGGCATAATAAGGAGACTCTGAACGGTGGTCGATGTTGAAAACCTCGCCGTTGCTCTGTGGGTAGGAGATTGAGCTGTCGCTTGCGCAGGACCAGGGTGAATAGATCTCAGTTGCCTCAAAACCCGAAGACATCTGCGTGGGCGTCATCATGAAGGAGGTAGTGCCAATGGCAGCCCCAGGAGAAATTGGAAAATCAGGGCTCGATGGCGTTATACAACTCATAGAGCGGCTGTGTTCCATGTCTACCTCTCTGTAGTGCAACCCCACGAGTTCCTGCTTCATAGGTGTGTTTGGGGGAACCTCGGGGAAATCAACGAAAGGGTCAAGCATAAAATCGCCCACAGTCGAGCGAGGAGCTGCATCAACGCCGTGAGAGATGGTGTGGGATCCGTCAGGTTCCAAAGCTGACAACTCATAGGGAGATGAAAACCGAGATGTCGAAGTGAAAGGGTCGTAAGAAGAGGATGCAGATGAAAAACTTGAAGTGTAAGGGTATGATATGGACTGAGTGTAACTGAAGCAGTTGTCCATATCAAATTGAAAGTCTGACTTGAAGTGATGAGCCATTGTGAAGGGAGATGTTTGGATGTGATGAAAGAAGTAAAGTATCGTCGTCGGGTATGAATTTTTCAAGACAAACAAGCGCATGAGAAGCAAGAATGTTTAGGATACGTCCCAAGAGGGTGAAAGGAATCTCATAAAACCAATGCACACATGACACTTGTCGAGAATGCACGAAGGATTTACCTTAAGATATACCATCGGATGGAATGAGAGGCCGAGACACCAACTCGTAAATCCACTTCTGGCAATTGAAAAATGACAGTATCATTCAAAGGGAGCGAGATAGAGACATATGATCTGCCTGTGGGTTGATGGCCTGCAGACGTTGAACTCTCGCCTGTCACCGGAGAGGTGGTGTCAAACCCGTAACTTGGTCCAACGGTGGGTCTAGAATCACGATTTGAAAAAGAAATGGGTAGCGTTATCCGGTATGTCTGCCATTCTAGACAACTCCCGCTTAGTGGACAGTGGCTAAGCGTGCGGGTTTTGATACCACCTCTCCGGTGAGCAGAGTGAGAGTTTAACAGACCACCGGGTAGTCTTGGAGTGGAATACGGTCGATTAAGCAGGGAGGTTTTAGTTCTCCACTGTGGGCTAGTTGGTGCTCGAATAGCCTGATGTTTTGGATGGATTGACGTCGAGATACGTCAGGCTAGACCAGACCAAGAAGCTTGATCTTGGCCCTGCATGAACTGGGGTCTAGATCTGACGCGAACCTCTTCCATCTCCTCCCCGGGCTCATTAACACGCTAGGGCAACGGGAGAACCTATCAAGATGTATCTCCGCGGCGTCTGTAAGGGGGAAGTGAGAACGGGTGTTGTGCAAGTGGATGCCACATGGTTCCGTGCCCGGCCCGCCCTCGGCTGCACCCGAAGGAATGTGACATGAACTCGAAACAGATGTCGAAACGAAATTGCAGAGTAAAACATGTGGCCATATGACGAGGCCATCTCGCTAACGGTATCCGAGAGTCGTTAGTTCGGCGTCGGGACCACAACAGGGTTGGCTCGGGTGGAGGGTTATTCCTCGCTTTAAAAGGGGGCTGGGAAGAGGCATAACCAACTCTATATAGGCAAGGGTTTCTCCCGTTCGAATCAGAAAGTCTCGTGTCTCTAGATGCCTAGCCTGTAAGCCACAGTAACGTCAAGGTATAGAGTTCGTCTAGAACCCTGTCTCCCCACCAGCCAGCCACGAGGCGAAGGGAAGAATATTGAACTAACGCAGGGGAAGATCAAAAGAGTTATAACCGCTGCTTCTTTATAGTCAAGGACCTGGCAAACCTTTATACCTCTGATTCGTCCTTCAAGGTTACCTCCCTGCCTGTTGCTACCCTCCAGGCCCGACCGGCTGGATCCGGGTGAGCCGGGTTGGCGATGGCATGTCAGAGAGATTGGTTCCCCCTCGAGGTTCGGTGGTTGGGCAGAGCTCGTTTTCATCTCAACTCGGACGTACATCCAGTTGCCACGTGGATTATCAAACTACTGCACGGTCCCCTTTCCAGGTTGGCGACAGTCAGGGGTCAGACCCTTTTGGATGCCAAAGCCAACCAATTCTGGTATGGCTTTGAGACTGTCATTTACTTGTTACGAATTGGGTTGACAGGTCTGATGGACTACCTTCTACACTTACTACGGCAGTTGAGAGAGTTCTTCCCCAGCCTATCACCTTACTCGGAAAGGTGCTTACTGTCTTCCACCCCGACGGAGGCCTGAGGGGACTTCCCGAGTTATCTCATTCGGCTAGAGATGAAGCTTGGCACACTGCCCCTTGTACAAATGTCGCCACGTTTGCCTGACAACGACGGGCCGAGGGCCGCTAAATCTACCCTCGCACCAATGAACAGCATCTGTGAGAAACCTCTGGGGCCATGTCATCAAGAGAAGTTCTAATCGCCGTTTAACTTATAGCCTGTGTCTTTCAAAACGGCGAGCAGAGCCATCGTTAAGCCGCTTCGGCCAAAGCGAAAGATACCTTTCAACAGTCACTACATGCAAGCCAGGTTATATTCTTTGCCACACGAGCGCATAACACAGAAGCTTGTTCAAAGCTGGAAGCTTTCCCTTAGCTGAGGAGGACAGGTTGTTAAGGCCTCAGGGGATTAGCAGGTATATTGACGAAACCCAATTAATACGAAGAATTAGTTAAAATTAAGAAACATTTTGGGTTGCAGGTCATAATAAGACTTGTCCATGGAATGATTTTTCTAGGCAGGACTTCTTAACTGTAGTTCATTTCAAAGATAGAAGTGAGTGCCTCTATCGAGAATCATTCCTCCACACCCAAAAACTTACAAGCCATGTCTTGAAGGCCTACCATGCCCGTCTGTATGTGGTACGTTGAGCTGTTGCAGTTTACTACCTAATAGCTGTCATCATGTACGATGATCCCTGCCTGGAAGTGACTGAGTGAGGGTATACAGAAGGGTAAAGTCGCAGGTTTAAGTTCGGCAATTCCAGTAGCGCCTAACGCACAGATCATCCGAATTGCTTATTTCTTTATCTTGAAGGCCGTGCCCGCAACATGTATTTTGTGACGGCTGGTGGCGTAGTCTGTCCGTTCTTGGTACTCCGTATATGGGTGGTACATCGCTCTCGGGGGTAACATACCACGAGACCACCTCATCAACTTCAAGATAGCTATAATACCTTCGATACTGGCTTAATTCATTCGGTGGTGAGCTAGACATCACTCTACTATTCGCTCTGTATAGATACATGTGTTTTAAATTTACTCGCTTTTACAAAGGTCGTTGAATCGGCGATGAAAGTCAACAAAATGGATGACTTGGTGGCGTTATTCTCTTGTCTTTTGATAAGAACCCCGTGGATCGACGAGGGCCGCCCCCCTCAAGTGCCGGGGTGAGCTTGGATAGATGCGGTAATTCCCTCGCGTTCGTATCGATCGTGAGGGGATCGCATATCTCCTCAGATCGGATCGTAATGGCCCATCTCGCACGCCGGGCTCGAAGAAGCGGGGGTTAGCTTCTAAGCAACCCAACGGGAATAACACAGCCGTGACACAACTAAAACTCACCACCCAAGCTTCAATGAACCCCCTTCCCCTAGTATCCGGCGCAGCCAGGGGTGATCCGGAGCCTGGCCGAGTCTTGCTTCTTGTAGACCCTTTAGGCCTCAGGAGTGAGGTTCATGGACATTTCCGCAAGGTCTACGAACGCCTCGTAATTTGAGAAGATGCCGGTGTTGACGGCTGCCCAGGCCCGTCCCGTGAACTTTGACGCAAGGCATCCACTGGTGCCCATGTTCAGGTCAAAGCGCAGGTTAATCCGCATTCTGAAGTACCTTGGTGAACTAGTCATGTCAACCAGGGCGTAGCAGCGTCATTCCCCGGGATGGCGTGAGAGTGAGTGGCGTCGGTTCCCCTGACCATGTCACATCTCTTCTTATTTCTCAATGGCATATTCATCATGCACTAGGTCAAAGCGCACATGGTGCAGCTGTCTCAGTCGCTGGATCCAGGCAGCCGGGGTCTTCCGAACGTTCCGTAGATCCCAATCTCGAGCCGGGACTTCTCTTTGCCGACGGTTGGGTCGAACTCCGACCATGCGCGGATGGAGGCAAGAGACTAAGCCGAGGAAGAGAAGACACGAGAAGATCGAGGAGGGTCATAAGAGGGCGTTCATTTACTCAGTTGAGATTGAACTCAAAGAATGGATAAGTTTAAACTATCAAGCTTTGATATTATTATTTATCTTTTACCGCTATAGTTGACAGCTTCTTACCATCAGCGTAAATAACAGGGGAAACATCATGAAGTTCTTAGACATGAATCGATTGAGGCTGCTAGTGCAGCTTTCAACCGAACGACAAGGATGAAAGGGGAAGGGGGTGGCGTGACATTTGCTTTCATCCGAAGAACTCTCGTTTAGCTAATAATGTCTCTCTCACAGACTTCCCTTCCGATCAAAGTTTCCCGGGAACCTGCGTAGCGTAGACCAATCTTGTCTCTCCATTCGGCAACTGCCCTGTATCCCTCAAAGCGAGGGAAGCGGTTATTCACAGCAGTACTACTGCAAGTACTCTATATGTCTGCATGGCGACCAGATCCCATTCAAGACTTGGGGTTTGGGACCTCTGTTTTTACACTGACGGTTCGGAAATAAGAGTTGAGACTTTCGGGACGGGGAAGCGAATGACAATCCTGGTTAGGCAACGGGTCAAGCTGGCAACGATTGATGGATGTTCTCTTTATGCTCTACTAATGCAATGCACTAAGCGAGCATGCTGGGATAAGTGGGTTGGATTTAATTCATAAATCATACATCAAGGCAACGAGGTATTTCAGCCCAAGATGATCTCCTTCCACTCATTCTTCGAGTGGGTGAATGCTGCCTTGAATACCTTGCCCAACGCAACTCGACGATAAATACCCTCTTCCGGAATCGACTCGACCAACAAGACATAGTATAGATCCCACTCAGACTCAATCCTTTCCTTAGGAATGTAGTATGTCCAATCAGGAAACTCCTTCTCGGTAAACTGTTTGGCATCAGAAATGGCAATGAACTCGAACAGCGTCTCGTGGACTTTTTCTTTTCCTCTAAGCCACTTGGTATCGACAACCACTGAACCGCACTTGTCCCCGCGGCGGTCAATGATGTCACAACGGCAGAGCGGTCCCTCCCCTTCAGCCTCTCGTCCTTCTTTCAGAGGTTGCTCAGGTGCGTACTGGCTTTCGGCAAGGCTCGTGACGTGGAACTTTGCTCTCCAAGTGAAGAATTGTAAGAAGGGTTGGTCTGGAAATTCCTCAACTGAGCGAGAAGAAATGGATCCTTGGCTTGTTTCTCTGGTGAGAACATTGAACGGGTCCTCCGGAAGTGTCAATGTGAACTCTTTCATTACAAAGGATCTTGTCGATCTCCCGATGTATGGCCGACCAAATGCGTCGGCCTCTGATGGAAAAAGAGGGGGTGTAGAGATAAGCCCTGCTGCTCCTTCCCTACACGTTGGTGTGTGTAAAGTATTTGCTGTTTGGCGATTCGCTGACGTCAATGACGAAACTATGTCCTGCAAATCCATGCAGATTCGTTTTGGAGCCCGCGGTAGATATCTGTTTGTCATCTTCTCATCCCTATCCTTGGTTGTTGTAGTCTCGCCGTTGTGCTTGTCATCGGAGGCTTTGTGTTCTTGATTTGATGCTTCCGTAATCTTGTAGCCTCTCCACCGGCCATCGTCGCTTTCGTCTTCCTTCGCGTAGCGACGATCCCAGACACGGCGTAGGGTGCCGTAGCCGTCTCGAATATACCAATCAATCCAAGTGTGGTTCAAAATCCAAGTGCGGACATCGGCGAAGCATCCACCAACCATCTCCCAGTCATATGTGGCACCCTGGTGATTCCAACCGCACCAAGACCAGCTAGGAAATCTCATGTCCTTGTATTTAGGGTCATCTGAGACTGTTGCCCTGTTGAGTCGCTCTGACTTGGCTACCGGTTGCCAAAGAATGGCGAGATCGAAATGAGACGTGGGAAGGCCGAAGACGAATGGAGCTTGCATGGTATTCTCCATGAGCCTACACATACCACCAAACGCAGCCAGAATATCGAAAGGTTCATATAGTTCCCGTGCTGTATAAAGAGTGACACAGTGGGCGTAGAACCAAAATGCTCGGACCTTGAGCTGGGACAGCAGCTGGAGGGGTGCCCGGACGAGATCAAGTGACCAACCCTTGCCATCCTTGTCCGAAAACACGTCCTCAGACATACCAGTGGACCGGCACTGAAAGAAAATCCTTCCCTCTGTGAAAATCAGGCATCTCTTTGAGAGCAGTCGTTCCTGGAATGTCCATGCGCGCTGATTCCACCGAGTAGTTTTGATGCTGGTCTCGGATGGCCAATGTAGGATGAGGCAAACCCCTTCATCGTAGTTTACAATCATCTGGGGCGGTCTGTGATTGTTGTCAAGGGCCAAGAGACCAGTGCTTGCATCCTCTCCATCTGCTGCACATATAGTGATGGTTGAATTGCCGTAGATCAAGTGCATTGCTCGAGCGTTCAGGTTCCAAGAGTGGCTGCTGTCCTGCACAATACACAGAGCATCAATCCACATGTATCTGATGCCTAGCCCACGAACCAAATCGATGCTTTCCCGGAGAGCCTTGGGAAGCTCCCTGATAACAGCAGAGAGGCCACCCGATTTGCGTCGGCTCTGGATGGTGCTGATCCGGGTGGCATGCTGGCGGCTGTGCTTGGTTCCCCAGACGTAACTAACTGTGGCGTATGGTTCAAAACAAAGAAGGCGACCTGATTGACTGAAAGGTAAGGGTACTAGATTCTCATTCTCAATGTCTATGACACCAAAGTATGGCTCATTCAATGTCTCCTGAAAGGGGTCCTCAATGCCCAGCTTCCTTGTACACCGGTCGTCATGGAACCTCTCGCAGAGGCGAAGGAACTCTCGGATGAGGTTTCTTTTGTTGTGATTGGACCCGATGCGCCTTCCGAGGAATTGCGTCTCATCATTCAAGAGACCAGGGTAGTCAACATCTGATTTGTCGTACTTGGAGGGTGCTGCCAATATTATATAGGCCTCGCATGACTTGAGCCTGGAATCACTTTAGCAGATGCGTAGCCTTCGGATTCTGTTTGCCTCGTGCCCAATGTGTGGCCTTGCTGGGGCCCGGCCATCGATCTCCCATACAAGACGACAAGTCGCATCATCCATGTATAGGGCCGCCTTTGATCCGCGAACGGTGTCAATGATGAGAGTACAGAGGTTGCACTCGTCGGCGGAATACCTGATCTGAGCCATTGTTCCAAGAACATAATGACTAGGGGCGAATTCGATCAAAGGAGGAAAACAGTTCTCTTCTCCAGCTCTGGTGTTCTCGATGCGGAATTTTGCAACGGAGAGATCGAGAGACTGACATCGAGGGCAGAGTGGGTCAGTCATGGTGATATTTCGGTGGGGGTTGTTTCGAATATCAAAAACTGCTGGGTACCCGGGGTGGTGTGGTTGATAAGTGGGAAACCAACGTGTGGATTGTGCTGCTGAGCCTGATTCTTTCCCCATAAATCTAATCAAGAAAAGCGAGAAACGCCTATGTCGACGTGAGAATGAACTGCATCTACCCGTGAGGGAGGAATCAGTAATGACAGGGAATGGTATAGTGAAGTAGAAATTCCCGTGCCAAAGTTTAGAGCGGCGCTGTGAAGGTTTTAAAGTGAAGTACTGTACCGCAGTGCCAAACCCAAGGATACAAACGACTGCAAAGAGTGGGTGGTATTCGGTTGACAATGGGGCTTGAAGCAGGCTGCGGCCCCCAGGGTTGGTCCCGTAACAAAACTCCCGTGCATGATAAAGCCTAGTCCAATGGAGAGAGTGCCAAGAGAAGTGTCGACAAAATCCCCGTGCATGAATATGCTTCTGCTCTGCTGAGATTGGATGGATCTGTAGACGCTGACTGGCACAGCCAGCCTCACCGTCTCCACTGCATGTGCCATGCATGGGAGTTTTGCACACTCACCGAACTTTCAACCTCATCTGGCATTTCCGGTGGTGGCGGTCAATTTGTAAATTACAATTCCATGACTCCTTTTCCCCCCTTAATGATTGGGCAGCCACACATTGGTCAAAGTGAATGCAACCTGGTGCACGCGTGGCATTGTTTAACACCTTCTCCTTGGGGAGACCACTTCACTCTTGTTTTGTGATACCCCTCCCACTTCTGCAGGAACTTACCTGCCTACACATAACCATGCCTGGGCTAGCAGCATATCCGACCTCACGGGGAGATTGGGAGAATCACAGAGCTACCATCATCCGCCTCTACCTTACTGAAGACACGCCCCTTGACAAGGTACTTAAAACCATGCAGAGCGAGTTCGGGTTCAAGGCAACGTGAGTACTTTTTAGCTCTATCATTCGATCGCTTATTTTAACGAGCCGTGGCCTGACTGTGGGATCTGTTATGTAGTAAACGCATGTACTCCTCCAAGCTAAAAGAATGGGGTGTCATGAAGAACTACAAGGCCAAGGAAAAGGATATGCTAGTTGGACAGATACGTGAGGCGTTAGCCAATGGCCAAGATCCGAACCAGGTGACCTTCCGAGGCCAAAGTGTGAAGCACCATCGCATCCTAAGACATAGTCGAGCGAAAGCTCGAGAGGCTAGCTCTGCTACGGGGAGCTTGTCACACGGCGATCCTGTCACCAACCGCCAGCTTGATGCTCTACTAGTCCATGCCGTGGATCAACCGTCAAGAAATTTTAGTGGGACAAGCCCTGCAGAGCTCATTCTCCTGTCCACTAAGACTACATCCAGAGTTTCGTCGCAGGATGTCATGTGGACGATCAAGCTACTGCACGGTCTTTTCCCTCGCAGGCTGGCTGCAGTCAGAGTCCAGGCCCGCCCCCAAATGTCCAAACCAACCAATTCTGGCATGACTTTGAGACGGCAGTATATCTATTGCGAATTGGGTCTACTGCTCTCGGATGGAGCACTTTCCACACTTGTTGGGGAACAGCAACTGATAATCTTCTACCTCAACCTATCACCCTACTCCGAAAGGTTATGACGACACTTCACCCCCAAGGGGGTCTAACGAGATACCCTGAGGTGTCTCATTCGACCCTTGCATTTATTGCTGATCTCCTGGAGATGAAGCTTGGCGTATCACACCCCCTTGCCCAGATCTGTCGCCACGTCTGGCGTGACAGCGAAGGTCCCAGAACCGCAGAAGCTACCCTGGCGCTGATGAGCAGCTTGTTCGAGGAGAATCTAGGGCTGTGCCATCACGAGACATTCCTGACCGACACTGCACTGATAGCCCGTCATCTACAAAACGGCAACGTCGCAGCAGCGGAGCGTTCAGCACGGAGACTTGTTCAAAAGTCAGAGCTTTCACCTAATCGAGCGGCGCAACTACCTAAGGCTCTCAGACAGCTAGCGCACGTCCTTACGACGCTTGGTCAGTACAAAGAGGCAATTGAAGTCCAAGAAGGCATCTTGAACTGTCCAGGGGCTGTGATTTCGGGAGAATTGAGAATCTACACCATGGAGGATATTGCCGAGCTGCACAGGTTACAAGGTGACTTTTTCATGGAAAGTGAGTCTCTGAGAGAGGCATTATTGGCTGCACGAGAATTCTTTGGTCGGGATCAGGCGCCTACGCTTCATATATGGGATAAGTTTGCAACCTCCATGTCTGAGCAAGGAAGGGGCTTTGAGGGCCTGTGAACAGAGAGAATTGGGCAATCTATTTCACCAGACATTGCTCGTTGTTGAGCAGCGTTGTATGACCTAATTGCCTCTCCAAATAGCAGAAGGTATCTTTTACTCTTTCCTTTGGCATGGTGGTCTACTATGTTCATCAATCTTCCTTCTCCCCTTCCCGTTCAACCGAGCCATTAATTACAGAGCTGGATATAAGCGCGAGGACTACTCTTCCACACCCAAGAACCTTGTAATGTTTCTGACGGCCTGATTATCACCATCCACGCTATCAGCAAGCTCCTCGTCTACCCATCTTTCGGTCCACCCACCGGCAAAGTCGATGAGCCAGATGTTGTCCTCTTGATCGACGACGACATTAGACGCCTTGCCGTCACCCCAACCACACCAATCTCATGTAACTTATCTACCGTCTCGCGTATCTGATCTAGCCACTTCTTCTTCATCTCCCTTGGTACAGCTGAAATATCCATATCTCGTAGAGTGCTGCCGTAAGAACTAGGTAAAACCCAATCGCGTAATAGACCGATGATATCTCTTGAATCCGCAAATGTGACATATCCTTGAAGGTGAAGGACGCGGATATTCACAGCAGGGCCACTGCAAACATTCCATATTTTCTGCATGGCGACCAGCTCTCGTTCAAGACTTGGGTTTTCGAGCCCTTGGCTGTGAGCCTTACAGAGCATGGTCTGGAACCCAACACGAGCTTTGCATACGGTGCCGTAACCGCTGACAAGAACCTCCTGGACCTGTACGTCCCTAGAGGAGTATCGTGGTATCGCTTTCGTGGCCTGGAATTCTGTCACAATTGCAGGGTTCGGTCCAGTATTGGGGACGGAAACCGACTCCTCTAGATCAATAGGAATGATGGTCGCCTTTCCGTCGATGGTCCGGAGACGATAGTCGAGAGTCTCAGGGTATAGAAGTGAATGTAGATCCTTGCTGGGCGCGGTGGTGCTCAAGGGTGCAATTTGTGAAAAGGGGATTCGTCCAACATCAAGGATAACGTCGTAGATTTGATCGGTGATGGTATCGTACTCTTGCTCGTCAGCAAGTATGGCATCATTCACGATACGAATCATTCGATCCTCTAGGTTCTCTTCGGTTCGATTAGGGCTTGCAAAGAGGGACAAAGTGATGCGCCTGTGATTGTACTCAAAGGTGACGTCGGCGGACTCGTTGTCACCACCATTCATGCCAACGATGTTAACCTGGACATGTTCTGTGGAGTTGACCATGGTTGAGTCGAAGGTGAATAAGTAAGGAGTTGAGTTGGCAACGATTGATGGATATTCTCTTTATGTTCGACCATTGTAATGTACTAAACGACCATGCCGGGATAACGGGGTTGAGGTTGTCTCATAAATCAGGCACCGAAGCAACGAGATAGTCTTCACAAATAGTTGAGCAGACGCTTTATTCTTCTAGTCAACCCAATCAACTCATTTCCATTAGTTGCTCTCCCTCGCAATGAGTTCCTTTCGCAGCTGAGCTAGGGCCTCCAAAATGGTCGCCTGTCGGACCTGGTCCCGATCACCCGGGAAATGGAACGGACCCAGTCCTCGGGCCTGTTCGGGGCTGGCGATACCGATAAATACCATGCCCACCGGCTTTCCGTCCTGAGAATCCGGCCCCGCAACGCCTGTCGTGCCAATACCCCATGTCGTTGGTGTGTCTGTGCTGGTTGCGGTTCGCGCACCAGCCGCCATTTGCTGAGCCACATCTTCGTGGATGACTCCGTGCTGAGCGATGAGGTCTCCGTCCACCTTGAGGAGATGTTGCTTGAGAGGAGTCGCATAAGAGACGATGCCGCCTCGGAAAACGGAGCTTGCTCCAGATACAGAGGTGATTGTTGCCATGATTCCTCCGCCGGTCAACGACTCAGCCACACCGACTGTCTCTCCGGCTTTCTTAAGGAGACGGATCACGTCCGCAGCGACATCGCGGACGGTTTCAGAGGTTCGCTCGACGTACTTGGGCTCGACCGACATGGTTGAAAAGAGATGAAATGGAGGGTGGTGACGAAGGATTGTGCTGACGGTGGAGATGCGATATTTGAGCATTTTTGGCACAATCAGGCAGCAGGCTGTCGGTTGCCTTGCTGTCCGCCTTGTGCTTTAGTGCAGCTGATGGGCCAGCGTGGTACCAGCTGACTCACTTGCAGTGAAGATCCTTGTTCACTGGCAAGCCACGATAAGAAGAGGCTGAATTCGAGGCCTGGCTGTTTGGCGTGCGATTGGCAAATATATACGGTCTGCATTTGTTTCTTGAGGCAACCTATTGCCTGACATCTCACTGCATGTGGCTGTCGCCCGGTTTGTTGTGTTATAATGTAGATATATTCTGTAGCAATGCCCAATTTTGACAATTTCTGGAGCACGACATCTTGACTGTTTGATCGCCATGTCCGACGTCTGCTTGCAATGTGGCTATTACGCCAAAGACCCGGCACATACCTTTTGTGACAAACATTGCGCTAGAGACGCTGCCAACAATGCTCCCAGCCTGATCAAGATCCCAAGGGACCATGTCATGTACAACAACGGTATGTCCCTATCTCTGGGCCTGTACCTTAAGCTCATTATCTATAGCCGCTTCCGCCTTTTATGGAGGTTGGAACGGAACACCACCACCTATTCGGACCATCTACCTAGTCACTTGGACCCAAGAGTCTCGTAATGAGTTTGAGGCGTACCGGTATGAGTCTTTCAAGTAAACGTCTGGCAAATCTGATTTGAGTATAGGGACAAAATCGAGAGCGATGAGGACTTTATCGCCATGGGCAAGTACGCAGGCAACGAGCGGAAACGATTCCGTGGTGCCGAGAGAGCTTGCACCATTGGCGAGAACGGCAACGTCACAATGTGCTACAACGGGGATTGTAAGCTTTGCGAGACGCTTCGTGAAGGATTCAGGTCATATCTGGACCTGAAAAGAAGCACTGGATAGTAAGTGATGTTGATATCATTCCTTCAGTGACTGACCTGAATAGCCACGGAACCAGACTGGGCCCTGGTCTCTATTCAACCTGCGACACGTCCAAGTAAGCGCATCAACCAGCTATCCATATTGTCACTGACATAGACAGGGCTGCAAAATACGCCATCAACAAAGTTCCCTCCAACGTCCATGCGTTGATGCTCTGTCGCGTCGTGATAGGACATCCATACGTCACGGAACGCGAGATGCCTCATCTTCAACAACCGCCACCTGGATTTAACTCGGTCAGTATGTTGCAGTTGAAGAGGTCGTGGCTAATTGATGCAGGTTTATGCTAGGCCAGGGCCGTCTAGTCATTTCAACACGGATGAAACTGTTGTTTATACCTCACGAGCCATGCGGCCGGCGTATTTGATCATCTACTAGGTCTGGCTTAGGCTGGGAACATCGTTGTACGAATGCAAATCGGGTGTTTTTTGATACGCATATGATGATGCTTTTAAGCAGGAGTTTGAATATTTTGAAATGGAGCTCAAGATCTGAGTTATCTGTCTTTCCTTGACCTTTCGATGGCGGCACTGGGTACGGGCTCTTCCAGCATAACTGTTGAGTTTTAATGACGAAAACAACGAATAGCAGTTCTAGTCTTCTGGCTGATAGTATCTCTTGGAGATGTTATTGATAACCGAAAAGGAAGGGGAGGAAATACATTATGCCCATTATACTGGAGCAAAACCACGTCCTCGTCCCTGACGCCCTTCTTTGTGAATTCCAAGACACTTTCAGCAGCCTCTTTGACTGCTGCTCTCTGAACAGGCTACTGTAAGCGCTGTGTACTGCCACATCGTTTTCCGTCGGCATTGTTGCCGTACCATTGCCCCTTAAACCGTCTTCTTGGTCCGATCCACACTGCCAACCTTTCCAAAGACTCCCAACACAGTCAGCCATCGATTCACATTGAGAAACGCGCTCACGCCGACATTTCCCCAGGTCATATCATTCCAAGCACCAACATCCCAGAAATACTCGGGGCCAGCTCTATAGATGGCGTAGATGTGGCCAAAGTCGGCGAATCCAACTGCAATCAGGTATCCAATGGCAATCTCGCGATGTTGAGTCCAGCAGCAGATGAGGGCTATCGATGCTAGCAACAGCAACACATTCGCCATCTGCCAGGACAAGGCTACTGCTTGTGGTGTAAAGTGGTCGTCTGTTGCAGCGAAAAAGGGGGCCTGGTCGGCAAAGTACTTGAATGGATCCGTGATAAAGTTGACATATGCCCATATGCTATTTAGTCAGTAAAGAAGACCATTATCTGGCACAGACTTACAGCATTGCGGGCTCGATGACGCCGAACAGCGCCAATGGCCAAGTAGGAAGACAGGACGCCATGGTGGAGCTGTAGCAGGTATTGGAGCTTCAGATGATGCAAAGAATAAGTCCAAGGAGGACGACGGAGGGAATTTAGCGAGTCGTACTGCCTGATAATTGCAATTGAATAAAAAGCAAACCTACTAGAACCGGGTCTGTGGCTGAAAGTAAGCGCTAGTGAGGTTGGTCAACGGCATGCACACCCAGGACTCCAAGCGGCTTACTCTTTGCCCAGTCTCATGAAAATGTTGGAGTTGTACAAATTTTGACTGCAAGTCGGATGTTCTCAAAGGAATAGCCCACAGGGATGATACCAAAGAGAGAAGCTGCAGCGTTAGATTAGACCATAGTCCCGTGCTTGAGCCACCGGCTGTGTCGGTGCTCATGAATCCTTCGCACTGCTTACCATAATCGAGATGAATTCCGAGATGAATTCCACTTATCAGTACCGAATCTCGCTCGCAAAAGCTTGCTGTTTTGAGGGATGATATCTTGCTCCATATTTACCCCTATTTACAAAAGTAATAGCAGAAATAACAGACAAAAGAAAGGTTATGTCTTGGATGTCATCCTATCACAGGCTCTATCCTGCGCAAGGGATCGATATCGCGAGAGAATATCCGTCTTTTCCAGGTCAGGTTGATCCATGTACTGGAAATGGGATGCCAATGCAGACCCCAATATCACAACAGCTGCAACCGTCAGTACAAGCCGCAATACTAGCAGATTACTTACGTCGTCTCAATGCATTGGGAAGGTCCAGAACAATCATATCCTCGTCGCCTCGATTCCCGGGCCAGCTTCCGACACCATTATCCAGAATATCGTTGGCATAGACACACATAAAGTTGATCCGTATGCGATCTCCATGCATCGTCCAAGGCTTTTCGAACTTGTATAGATCCAGAGTATCCTTCTCGATGTTCTCAAACAGAGAATAGTGCATCTGGGAAGCGATAGCCCAACTCTTGTAACTATCACCCCACACATCATATGTAAGCTGGTGAGCCGGAGTCTGCCACATCATCTTTTCATCTTCAACTCTCAGCCACCTGACGTTCTCATGCTCGGGCGGGGGACGCATCGGATTCCAGACAGTATCGTTGGGGCCGTTCCAAAAGGGGTGTTTTGAGGGCTTCCAGAAGTCGCTGGCGTTTGTGATTTGGTCTGGCTTCTCGAGTTCAGGTAGATACGGATGCAGTGCTCCCATGCGATAGTGCATGAAGCCGAGTGGAGGGTTGTTGATGATGTTTCCCGAGACGACAAAAGTGTCTGGGTTTTCGATCTTGTGGGAGACAAGTTTAGGGATGGCGCCATCTTCGATCCAGAGCTAGACTTGTCAGCAGTCGCATACGAAGAAAGTGCTGCACATACAATATCATCGTCGATCTTGACGTAGTACTTGTCACGCTCCAGATGCTGCCAAGCCTTCCAATATGTGTACGTCCCAAGGTGTTCTTCGGGTATCAACAGCTTATGTCGTATCGGGTTACTCGCGACGATTTCGTCGAGATAAAATAGATCATCCTGGTTCTCTGTATTGACAACCCAGAGGACTTCGTCCAGCCAGCCTCCATTGTCTACCAAGTTTCGCTGCAGGAGTTAATAAAGCCCATGGCGTTTTTGAGAGACTCACCTCTATGTAACACCTCATGCTTTCCACCCTGCTCTTGCGGCCATAAAAGACTAACCCACTCACGGTGACATTCGGTTTCACGGGGACATTCGGCTGCTGCACGCTTTCTGGTCGTGCGACTTCCCATTCCCTGGGAAACGAAAGCAGACTTTGTATGAGGAACCCTGTAAATGAAAAGAGGCAGCACACAGAGAGCGCAAGCCTCAAAAGCCTGTGGCGATCTTGCAATCGTAAAAGCATTCCCATCTTGACGTGACGTGGAGAGAAGAAACAACCAGGGAGCCACGTTCTTTTATCAAACGACCGACAGGGGTAAAGTCAAGAGCACAAAGAAAGCAAAATCTGGACACTGTCTGTCGGTGGTCCAGTCTCAGCTATTCCGGAGCCACTGCTTCCGTACACGAGTTGGTATGTGCGGCGCTGCCACACGACAGGATTGGTACCATGTGGCACAGCTGATTGTGCGACTTTGGCCAGATTCTCTAGTCACGGAGACATCGCTTGACGGAGCGTAGTGATTGTTCGCAACCTGCATTCCCGTTTAAGCTATTTGGCGCGTTTGGGTGGGGTGAGTTGCCATCCCTTGATACGAGACGACGAGTGAAGGGTCGCTCTGGTGGCCATTTTGGTTCTAGACCTTTACGTGCCGGGATTGCGGATCGTATTCCTTTATGTCTCGTATAGAATAACCCAATTCTTGCATCGCAAATCCCCACGTGGCAGGGCCACATCCTGCGCTGTGAGCTGAGATCCGGTGTCACGGATATTGACGTCGATCCTCCAGGAGTCAGGATGATGCTCCACCAACAGGTACAGCCGTTGCTTGGCATCCGGATCCGGAGCGTATCACTGAGTTTGCTAACGATTATACTTTGTTCTTCCGCCGTTGGCTGAACGGATTAGGGGCCGGGCTGAATGCCAAGATGGGCGTTTCACAAAGCTATTAAACCATGGCGTTGAACAAAGCCTAGAACCCTTGACCAAGAACAAAGCCGGAGTGGCACAGCTGCGCCATGACTGATATTCAAACAGCCACTGCTTGTGTTTCGGGAGGGCGTGGAACTGTGGCTTTTGGCTCCCTCAATTACGAGATGCCTGGGTAATTAAAGCAAGCCTCTTTCTTTGTTTGTCTTATTCATCGGCTACAAAGTTTGCCTCCATCTCCTCATTGTCTGAGTTTCCGCATTCCTCTTTGGGAAGTGGGGTGCCTGACCGTGCCTCCTATCCAGTCACAAGAGGGCGTTATCATCACCCTCTGAAAACATTGATGAAGCACCTTCCAACGACAATTACTTGAATAAAATGGCTGATTGATGAATTAAACTTGAATCTGTAGACACAGTCTATCAAGAGTCAACGCCGTCTCATCATCTGCCCAACATGGCCACCCGTGTCTCCCTGCGACAGGTTCAATGCAGAACCCGGACCTCCTTCGTGAGGCATCCTCTCACTTTAATGCCCTACCAACGGAGGAATATTGCAACCAGGGACATGACGGCCAAGGACTTTGAAAAGCTCAAGGTTGACAAATCTCGAATGATGGATACTCTTCACCATACATGTTCATGGGGGACTGGGCTTAGATGGGGGAGGTACGTGTGATCTGAGACAAGTGAATGGCTCTAACAGGATATAGCAACCCCACAGACACAGGCATGTCCCGTCTATCTCTCTCAGACGATGACAAAAAGGCCCGTGACTGGTTCATCGAGACAACAAAGTCCCTGGGCTGCAAGATTACAGTCGACGCCATTGGAAACATCTTTGCTGTTCGTCCTGGTCGTCAAGATGGGCCTCCTACTTTGGCGGGTTCCCATCTGGATACTCAACCAACAGGCGGCCGATATGATGGTATCTTGGGTGTAACAGCTGGCATTGAAATGCTTAAGCTGCTCCAGCAGCACAACGTCGAGACTGAGTTTCCCATGGGTGTTGTCAACTGGACAAAGTAAGTCCCCAAGCCCAAGAAGTCCACATCTAACATATGCAGTGAGGAGGGTGCTCGCTTTCCTATCAGTATGATGGCTTCTGGTGTTTGGGCTGGGGCAACTCCCCTTGAAAAGGCTCACAACACCAAAGAGGTCGGAGGAGATGCGACAGTCAAGTCTGAACTGGAGAGGATCGGATACTTAGGGCAGACTCCCGCCAGCTACAAGGCCACTCCTATTGGTGCGCATTTTGAGCTTCATATCGAGCAGGGCCCTATTCTTGAGCGATCAAAGAAGAATATCGGCGTTGTTCAAGGTGTTCAGGCTTACAGGTGGTTCACGATCAACGTCCAGGGAAGAGGTGAGTAGTCCATTCTAATCCCAACAAAGCTAACAGGTTAGATGCACACACTGGCTCGACGCCCTTTACCGATCGAGCTGATGCTCTTCTTCTGGTTTCTCGACTCATCACACACTCCCATCGCCTTGCTACAAAGCACAACGCCCTTGCTTCGACGGGTATCCTCAACCTTACCCCTGGCAGTACCAACACGATCCCCGGACATGTCAGCTTCACTATGGACATTCGGGCACCCGCAGATGAGACTGTTGAGTTGGTCGAGAAGGAAATGAAGAGAGACTTTGGGCTCCTGGCCCAGGGCACCGATGTTGATGGACTCCTCACCGGTTCAACTCCAAGCCTGCCTCTGTCCTTGACCTGGCAGACTGACACCATCTCTACGGCAACCAAGTTCCACCCGGACTGTATCCAAGCGGTCCGAGAGTCTACCGAGTCTGTCCTCGGAACCAAGGATGGCATGATTGACATCTCTAGCGGTGCTGGTCATGACAGCGTTCACACAAGCAAGCACTGCCCCACTACCATGATCTTTATCCCCTGCAAAGGAGGTGTCAGTCATAACCCAGAAGAGTACTCGACTCCAGAGGAATGTGCTATTGGGGCCGAGGTTTTGTGTCAGGCGGTTTTGCGGTATGATCAAAAGAGGCGCTAAAACGCGCAGCAGATGGAAATTCCGGCAATATGGTGAAATATCTACATAAAGAGCCTCAATAATTAGAAACCCGAGTTTTAGGGGCTACAAATACTCCGTGACCCATTGTTTGACAGCGATAATCCTCACTGGAGGAAGTGAAGGACCAACTTTTTGTAACCGGATATGCTCTCAATCAACTCTGGCACACGAATAAACTCATCCGGTCCATGCGCCACCAAAATTGAACCTGGCCCATACAAGACTCTCTTGCCACAGAACTCGTCCCTGAGTCTAGGCACGTCAGTTCCGAAAGACACCGGGGCAGCCTCGAAGCCGTCAATCTCCCAGTCCAGGAGAGCCTCGGGGTACTCAAAGACCCATTTTAGCTCAATGTCTGGATGCCTGGACACAATTTCTGCAACCTTGACCTTGATCCCGGGCAAGTCCTTGACCATGCGGACTTCGCAGAGAGCTTTGGCTGATGGAGCGACAATGTTGTGCTTCTCACCTCCTTCCAGTGTTCCGATATTAAACGTAGAAGGGCCAAGGAGGTCAGATTCAGGCCAAGTTGCTGCAGAGAGGTCGTTCAACACAGCTAGAAGAGCAGAGGTTGCGCTCTTTCCAAGATGAGGGTATCCCGAGTGACTGTTCATTAGTCGATGTTCAACAAAGCTTCAGATGACTTACCAGGCAAACCCCTTGGCAATGACTTCGAATGCCACTTGTCCCTTGTGTCCCTTGGCAAGTTTACTCTCTGTTGGTTCAGCAAAGATGCCAGATTCCCAGGTTAGACCCATGTCATTGGCAGCAATCATTCCATGACCGCCATTCTCCTCGCCAACCACAAACAATAGGCCGACGTCTCCCTCTTTAAGCTTTCCTTCCTTTCTCAGATCTTCCACAGCCACAATTTGAGCTGCCAGTGGTCCCAGATCATCGGAAGAACCCCTTCCGCGGATAATATCGCCGTCAATGGTCAGCGGAATATGAGGTGGAACCGTGTCCATATGTGCTGTGACGAGAACGCGTGTCTTGCGTGAGGAACCGAGATAAGCGTAGACATTATGACGATCAGGTCCAGGCGCAATAGGAATTCGCTCAACAGTGTATCCAAGGGCTTGAAGATGCTGTTCCAAAAAGACGCCAATATCGAGTTCCAGCTCACTAGTGCTGACAATCGACATAAGCGACTTGAGAAGGTCGACAACCGGATGATCCATTTGAGAAGCCATTTTAAAGTATGATGAGGTGAATGTCTGCATCATGCAGACTATAAAAGGGCCCGAAATCTCGGGTCAAATGTCCGAAATCTCACGGATGAGCTCCGATCTTATGAGTCACGCTCCGCACGTCGCGTCATTTGCGGAGTTTCACCCAGTAGCAGCTCGATACGTGGTTTTCATTATTAATGCCTAGATTCCTTCTGGAAGGTCAAATTTGAACTCGCTACCCCAGTTAGTCGGTGAAATCTGGGGAGATGCGTCAATGAATACTATCGTCCATTGGCTGCCCCTATTTTATCATTTTTCATTATCCCTCAACACACCACCTAACAATGTTCCTCTAGGAAATACAATGGCATAAAAAGTCTCAAGGCCATTGACTTTGGTGAGAAATCGAGGATGAATCCTCTGTAAAGGAGAATGTCAGAACACCGTGTCCAACGCTCAGGCATTCCCATCCTTCACCTGCGTGCTCATGATCTCCGTCATTCTCAAGCTCGACACGCACACCGATTGCTTTTGGTGCTCTCCAAGAGGCCAGGTTTGGAGCGGGCTGAAAACAGAGTACAGATGGCTTGACTGCAAGCACGCTCCCATCAAGACGTTTGCGGCACTCCCCAACTGCGCGGAGTCCCCCGTTTTGATACTGGAAAATAAGACCTCGGCATAGGCCTATGTCCTTATCGTAGAAGCCGTGGATAGATTGAATACCTTCCAGGGAAGCCCATGAAAAGTAGGCATCGTCCACGTCAGGTTTGAAGTCTTGCATTGGGAAGGGGGCTGGGAACTTGTCTCTTCCTGAGATTCCATGGCGAGCCCCAATGACAGGAACGTGCTGCTGTCCTGCAGGTTCGCTGTATATCAAAGTGAGAGGTTTCCCATACCCTAGTAGGCGATCTTGTGTAATTCGCACTCCAAGTTGCCCTAGTATGACGTCGCCAGCCAGATCCATACGGGCCTTCACAATCAGCCAGCCGCTTCGACTAGTGAGACCATCACTTACGAGTATGTTGAAGCCACGGTTAGTTAAACGGCAACCCAGGAGTCGAGCAACAAATTTGTTTACTGTCAACGCCGACAACCCTTCTGTCGATGAAGAAGGGGAACTGATTTCGGGTGCATACATACAGGCCGTCGTCGATATGTGCTAGTAAAGTTTCTTCTCTGCCTGAGGCTGCTGCTCGGTATCCCTGCCACTTATGGCCTTGCAGCGCCTATTGGAGCAACTCCTTATGCAGTTGGGCGATGCGTGCAGAGCAACCGCTCTAGAGCTTCAAAGTATTGTAGTACTATATAGGCTTATAGATTCACACATTGCCATTAAACCGAGCCTGGAGAACCTATATAAGATGGTTCCCACCTGTTGTGCAAGTCAACATCATTCACACCTGGGGACCTGAGACGCGTTGATCTGGTTGTTGAGCAAGTAGACCCTTCACAGGGTAACACGGTGACACGGCTCTTTATTGAGGCAAAAAGAGCTTCCGCAGCGCCGAGTGACATCGTCACGGTCGAGGTGCAGGCATACACGGCTGCCTGTGCTTCTGCGCTCCAGTCGAACCCAAATGAACCCATATGGGTCATGACATGTGTGGGAAGTGCGGCCAGGTTGTGGATATTTGACTGGGATCAGGACTTTTTAGTCCCTTACTTCCCCGCGACACACGCCGAGACCAAGTCGGAATATATTGAGATATCCAAGAGAGGTGCCGAACTACTCAAGCACCTTGGCTTCATCAAGAAACACCCGATACCACCGAAACACCTTGTCGGGAAAGCATCTCCAAGGCCCAACGCAGAACTGCCAGCTGATTGACCTGATGACGAGGTTATGCTGCGAGATGCCCAACATCAACAAGTGGGCTATGATCCAGTCGATCCAATGATCGGTGGCGCTGGTGAGGTTGAAATGACGGATGATTCCTACCACGATGGAGGATATGGATCTACTCTTCCTAGCACCTACCCCGCTCCAACTTCATTCACAGGCGACCATGATTATGAAGAGGGTCGTTCTACGGCTCTTTGGGACACACCTCAAATGACTTTGGCTGATAATACTTTGTTTCCGGAGGGGATGCCGGGTTCAGAAGGGAATTTGCCCGAAACCGGCTCAACAAGTGCCCCATTCCCCGAGGGGCCAACAGCGACTGGAAACCCAGGTGCTACAGCTACACGTGCCGAGAAGTGGTCGAGGGTTGAGCTACGCAAGAAGCGTCACCTGTCAAGGCCCACTGAATACCTATTCACAACCGACAAGGGCCACGAGAAGTCAACGGATGCTGATGAATGGAGGGAGGCTAGGCACAAAGGAAAGAAAGCTTGGTATTACCTTCACAAGGGTGTAAAGTACTACACTCGTGAGAAGCCTGGAGTCTGCTACTTGGTCCATTAGTTCGCCATTGTCTCGCTCTTTTGGCAATTGTCATTCGTTTACATTCTTCTTCGCTTACTTTTCTTTCTCCCCTGTTCATGGATGACGGGGTAAAGATTGATGGCTTTTATTTGCCGAGGGACCGGATTTTAATGATGAGTCGGGCTATGCATTGCACATCTGCACCAGTGTAAATTCTATTTCGTATAGTGAATATAAGGAAGAATACAAGATAACCTCACCCCTAAATCGATAGCAGGCCGGCCAAGACCGCAAAAAGCCCCCAGTAAGGTGCCAAAACTCCAGCTCCAGATGTAGGTGTGCTCGCCGGAGAGCTAGTCTCCGTAGCATTGCTAGTAGATTTCTTCAGAGTTCCCACTCCAAGCTCCAGGTTCTGGCCATCCCAGACAGTGTAGTAGCCCTTCAGCACAGGACTTCCAATCACCCACACAGTCGCGAGCTCACTGATAGGCTCAGGAGAGTGAAGAATAACGCCCTGGCATTTTCCGGGGTGATCAGGGTGTTCTCCCAAGTTAAATGCACCAACAGGCATAGTAAGATTAACCAACTTGTCGCCAGATCCAACAGTAAACGTCAATTCCGGCTTAAGCTTCTCCATCACGTCACAGGGGGCTCCCCAGACACCAAGCTTGTCGAGGAGCTTAATCTCAGGGCTGATTGCGGCGTACGTGTCCTTGGCAGTCTGGTGATCAGGGGCCATGATGAAAGCAGTACCGGTATCGAGAAGAGACACAGCCTGGGTGAATGGCTTGCCTGTGGCCGAGTTCTTGACGGATTTCTTGTCGATGTAAAAAGTAGGATTGTCGATGAACCACTCTCCGACCAGTGCTGTAACAGTAGCGTTGAATGGGACCTTGGTCAACTCTCCTTCATATTTAGAATGATCGATGCCGCCAAGTGTAGCTTCACCAGGAGCAGAATCACGGCCAGAGTTGAGAAACAGCGAGAATACTGGCGGAAGCCGTCCCGATTTGACAAGGTTCCAAAACGTGGTCATAAAGGTCTTGTTGAACTCGTGGTTAAACACAGATGCACCTGGAGGACCGAGACCAAAGATGCCATCGATGTTGGGCCCCAGAGGGTTCTCGCCAAGCTCTTTGGGATACTCGTCGCTGAGAAAAAAGGTTTGGTTCTCAGCTGTGGCGCCACCAATGGTGACCACGTCTGTGACGATTCGACCTTGCATGGTGGCAGGCTTGGCCAGGGGCTCGGCGTTGCCACCAGTACCATAGCTAGCCTCGTACTGGTAATTGGGCTCCTTGTAGTACGTGGACGACTTGGACGGGTCATAGGTGGTGTAGTTGCTGCAGGATGTGCATCCTTTCTTGGGTAGGACGAGGTCTGTAGAGCCGGTATCGAAGAGAAGGTTGCTAACTTGTTAGCGAAGAAGCAGATGCTCAGCGGGAAACTTACAATTCTTGCGCAGGAGTGCCAACAGAGATCTTGCCGTACCATTGGTAGTCAGTACCGTCCCACCAATTGTTGAGCTTCACTTTGATGGGTTTTGCAGATCGAGGAAGCTTGGTCAGAGGTTCAGCTGAAGCCGTAGCCAGGCCAGCAACGAGGGCAGAGGAAAGCTTCATGCTGAAGAACAAGACAAAGACAAAGACAAAGACAAAGATGAAGACAGAGACAAAAGACAAACAAGAGATGATTGATGAGTTGATTGAGACATGAACCAGACAAAACTTGCTTTATATACACACATGGCCTACAGTCCATCCATTGCTACATCGATTGCTGTAAGCACTGCTTCACTCCAAGTGGGTAGCATGGCCATCCAGGAAGCAAGGCAGGGGTTGTGATTGGGCTGCTCGCCAATCAACAAAATATGGAGACGGCTGACAGGGCTGAGATGAAGATTACTTGCTTCAAGACGTGAACGACCGTGTATTCGCGGTATCTAAGCCACGCCGGCATCTCCCCAACGCCAGTCCATGCAGTAAACGCCGTCGATCATGATTGTATTCATCGCCTACCACGGCCTCCTCCTCCGGGCATACCAGGCATACCGCCTCCCATACCCATCTGTCGCATCATAGCCTGCATGTCCATGCCTCCAGGCATCCCTCCTCCACCTGCTCCGCCTCCCAGCATCCTCATCAAACTACCCATGTCGGGCATACCTCCAGCACCTCCAGCGCCACCCATGCTCTGCAGTCGCTTCTGCATCGCGGCTAGCTGTTGTGCCTTGTTACCACCTCCCATAGCCTGCTGTGCTCTCTGCATGTTCTTCATGTTTCCACCCATCTTCTTGGCCATGCCAGCCATCATGCGCTGTTGAGTGAGGAGATCCTCAACCTCGCGTACTGATGTTCCTGAACCTCGCGCAATTCGTGTCATTCGGCTCGGTTGGTCGATGAGAATCTTGCCGTCAGAGTCGAGTTCCTTGTCTGTCATCGAGTCGCAAATGTAGATCATGCGCTTGAGCTTGGCGCCTCCCTCTTCGTCATCCATGCCCTGCATCATGTTGCTCATGCCAGGAATCATGCCAGCCATCTTGGATAGAGGTCCCATCTTCATTATGTTGGATAACTGGTCTCGAAGATCGCGTACTGTAAAGATACCCTCTTGGATATGCTTGATGGTGTCTTTTTGGTTGAGGTTCAGGCTTTGGACGTGTTCCATCAGACCAGCCATGTCGCCCATGCCCAGTAGCTTCTGCACAAACTGCTGAGGAGCGAATTTCTCAAGGTCCAGCATGTGTTCGCCGGTACCGATAAACACAATTGGGGTGTGTGTCGCTGCGACCGCAGAAATGGCACCACCACCGTGTGCGTGACCATCCGTCTTTGTGATGATGATGGCTCCGAAATCAGCAGCCTCCTTGAAAGCCTTGGCCTGCGACTCGGCCTGCTGACCGATAGAAGCATCAAGAACCATGATGGTCTCATCTGGCTGGATGGCATTCTGAATGTCAATCATCTCCTGGAACAGGGCAGACTCTTGACGGTGGCGACCCGAAGTATCAACAATGATAACCTCGAATCTGTCCTTCTTGAACTGCTCAACACCGGCACGCGCGACCACAGCAGGATCCGTCTCTGTGAGTGAACCATAATATGGAATCTTGGCCTTGGTAGCGTTCTGCTTCAGCTGATCAAAGGCACCGGCTCGGAAGGTATCAGCGCACACCAGACAAGACTTGAAGCCTCTAGACTGGTAATGCCTCGCCAACTTTGTACACGTCGTGGTTTTACCGGCACCCTGCAGACCAACAAACATGATGACACTGCTCTTGCCCTTCTTCGGTCGGAACGAGTCGGCGTGGGGATCGACGAGTTTAACGAGTTCATCAAAGACGGCCTTCTGGATGAGGCGCTTCTTGTTGACGGCGGGGGGGAGTTCTTTGAAGTTTACGGTGGTTCGAATCGATTTTCGGAGCTGTCCAACGAGTCGCACGTTGACGTCGGCTTCGAGGAGGGCGGCGCAAATCTCCTTGAGCATGGAATCAAAGGCCTGAGAGGTTAGCTGGGCCGAGACAAAGGATCACGGGACCTGCCTTTTCGTCGAGATTCTGCTCTCGCGTCAAATTATTGACCGCCGCATTGATGCGACGGCCGAGATCTTGAAGAACCATGGCGTCTGTTGCGACTGAGCTGTCGCGGGGTATCACGATGTTGAATGTTGGCTGTGGCCACGATGAGGACGTGGGGCATAAGAGTTCGGAGAGAGTTTTTCCGTGCCGGCAACGGTTTGTGGGGTCGTCCCAATTTAGACACACGGTATCAATTTGAACAATGCTTAATTACAAAGCCCTTCGCTCTCCTTGCGCCGCATCAAGAGACAGCTTCTTCTTATCGTCATTTGAGTCCTTTGTAAACTCGACAATGTACTCTGGCAGCTCGACCTTGTTGTACGGGCTTGGCACTGGCTCCCCAAACGTCTGAGTGATTGGCAACACACCCGTCCACGTCGAATTGACCAGCTCCTCATTACTCATATCGCTCTTATCGTCTGTCGCACCTCCAGCACTAATCTTGGCGCTAGCTGATGCAATTCGCACCTTGAGAATGTTGGTGCTCTGCATCTCGGCTGGCACTGGAGGGAGACGAGTGTGTCTCCAGCGATCAGGGACAACACTGTTGGTGATGAGTTCCATTGCGTACATTTTCTCTTCCTCATCCTTCACAATGCTTGCATAACCGAAGAGAACCGCCGAGCGATAGTTGTAGTTGTGAGAGTAGCTCGTGAGGGTTAAGACAAGGCCGTCGATGTGAGATGCCGCAATGCACACTGGCATGCCCTGATGCTCTTGTCCATCCACAACGGTAGTCTGAGACAGATTCATGATCCGTGAAGAGACATAGCCATGAAGGTAGAGGTCCAGAGGGTCGCTGAGATCGGCACTGGGACGTTCAAACGAGCCCATCTGCCCAATCATCGGCAGCACGACTGGGAAAGGCTGAGATGGCGAGTTGAACGAAATGTGAAGGATTGGACATGAATTAACAATACGGTGGACATTTTCAAGTTCATAGACTCCATGAACCTTGTACCGTTTAATGGTATTAGTGGAGTCTTTTGGGTATTCAAGGTTGTAGCGACCCATGGTGGTTATTGATCATTGAACAGGGAGAGGCTTGACAGTCTAATTATAACCGGAGACGAGTCAAGATAAGGGTATAATTACCTTATACGGACAGTATTTCAGTAGTGGCGCGGATAACATCCCCTTAGAGGTGGTGCTTGTGCGGGGATGACCACAGCTTTGATAAGTGTGTTGCTCTGGAAATGATTGGTTCATCGGCCGAGGTAGTCCGGTCTGGATATCAGTGGCTTTTCCTGCGGATAAGGATGTCTTTGGGCTGCTAAGAGCTGATGGAAACGTGCTAGAACAGCAGCCGTCGCTAGTACACATGAGAATTCTACTAAGAAGCCGCCGATAAGGCGTACGCTCTAAACGAACCGGTTCATTCATGCTACTAAGACTACGATGTTCTTGTACCTTATCGCAAGGCTCTATGAGAGAGTCCAAGTTCTACACGAAAGTCCAAGACCAAAAGCCGTAGCAGAAATCCCAATTCCAAATCCCAATTCCAAATCCCAATCCATCTCCATCATCAATCTCCTCGCCTACGCACCGGCAAATACCAAAAGACTCTGGATGTTGACCCCTTCAAAGCCTTCCTTCTGCAAGAACCCACGACCATCGTGATAGGGAAACTCGGCCACAACCATGACGTTGATGTTCTCAACACGAGCCCCAGCTTCACACAGGAGTCGGAGCACAGCACAAAGCGTCTTCCCTGTGGCAAGTACATCGTCCACCACCACAACTGACATGCCCTCGGAGACCAAATCCGGGTTCATCTCAATCCCCTGATCTGTATCATAGTGCTCTGCCAAAGATGAGATGTGCGATGATGACTTGGAGACCAAAACAACTGGCGGAGGCAGTTTACCAGCCTTGCGGATCGGTATCATGGGTTTATCGAGCTGTTGGGCCAAAGGCGATGCAAGGAGAAAGCCGCCAGCTTCGCAGGAAGCTATGGCATCGACTTTAGTCCAGTCCCCTGAAAAGTGAGTCTCGAACAAAGAGGTGCACAGAGTTAGTCCATTGGGGCTCGAAACGATGTTGAGCACATGGCGAAAGTCGACTGGGGTTGGATAGTCAGGGATCGTGGGCACCATGCCAGCCAAGCGTTCCAAGTCCTCATGAAAGAATGGAAGCAGATGACGCTTGGCAAAGCTCTTGACCTTTTCGTCCCCGTCCGTGTCGTTGTTGAAGGTGAAAGTAGCTGCCGCCTTTAGCTCACTGCTGTCACTGTCGTCTTGGCCCCCTCGGCGAATTCGTCGTATCCACTGGCTGGTTTGAACACGAACCTCAATCATCTTGATGTCTGGAAACAAAGGCGAAAAGGTTACCAGTGGCGCCTCGTCTCTCATCCCAGTAATCATCAACACGTCCACATCTGCAAGGTTCTTCATCGCCTTCAGGAAATGTTCCTTGAGGAGCTCAGATCGTTTCTTTAGCTGTTCCTGGAAGAACTCGGTCAACGCTGGTCGGTGCTCTTCCTTGTAATCCCGGTCCGAGAGCAGCCGCCTTAGGTCAGAACCGGTAGCAGCGGCGTACCCTTGCTTGGTCTCGTCGCTAATGCTGACAGTACGGGCTCTGATCGCACTCATGGTAAAGACAGAAGCCCAGATGTCGGCACAGTAGTCTTTACCAGAGCCGCTTTCGCCCGTGACGAGAATCACAAGCTTCTGCTTTGGGGCCTTCAGGAGAGGACAGGCGTATGCCAAAACATTGTCCGGATCCAGGCGCTGTTTGAGCTCGGCAAGACGGGTACGGTTCGGTCCAAAAGCCCAGGCTGCCAGTGCTTTGTCTCTCGGGTCGGGTCCGAGATCAGCCCCGTACGCTCCGGCACTCAGGGGCAGCAACTTCTCGGCAACGTCGTAAACCCATTGCACGGCTCCTCGAGATGTTGCAGTGCCATCTTGATCACAGGGCCAAACAGCAGTGATAACACAAACAAACATCCAGTCTCGACATCCAAAGGCAGTGGCAGTTTCAGCCACGTCGGAAACCGCCTCACCGCCATGAAGGAGATGAAGGTAGCAAAGAGGTGAAGGCCGATTCTTGACCACATCCACCAAAATGTCAGCCGTCTTCACATCTCCGACGCCCTTCAAGAAGATGCATCTCTTAAACGAAGATGTCTTGCCGCCGCCGTGTCCCCCGTGCATCTTGGACATGTACATCTCGTTGTCGAACAATTCAACGCCATTCACGAGCTTGGAGTCGATTTCTGGCCCGAAGAGTGCACCGAAAACCGGGGTCCTAGGCACTTGCTCGGTATCAAATGTAGTCACTCCAAGACGAAGCTCGTTGTCCTGGTAGAAGAGGTATCCGTCAACAGAGCATTCCCGGGGGAGCCCCTTGGCGGCCACGTTGAGACTGTCGAGGTGGAACTGTGTTTCGAGTCCGGGCGTCAAGGAAGGGATCCAATTTTTGACCAAATACGTTGAAGCCGCGTGCGCCATGAACGTAACCTTGACGACAATACCAAGGTTGGTTCCAGCGCCTTTCAATGCCCACAACAGATCCTCTTCTTCGTCGGGGCGCACAGCATCGGTGGGTTGATGTTGACTTGGGACATTGCCGATACAGAGAACCTTTCCGGTGCCGACGCTGACCACCACAGCACCGACAATGGCATCACACGCAAGGCCGTGAAGTCTAGACAGGTGTCCGATGCCGCCTTGTAGCCAAAGTCCTGCTCCAACAGTTGGCCGGGAACCCAGGGGCACAGTTAGGCCCTTCTCCATGGTCTTCTGGATGATATCTCCTGTCTTGCAGCCAGCTTCAGCAACGATCAATGATCCAAGATCAAAACCCTCCCCTTTGAGGATGTGTAGTTTGTCAAAGGCACTCATGTCGACCGAGACGGCATTGGGTTGGAGACAATGACCACTATGACCTCCGCCGACGATAGCCAGGCCGATTTTGTGCTCCCGAGCCCATTCAACGCACTGTTGAACGTGTTGGACATTTTTTGGTCTCATAATCGCGGCCGGCTGGTGGACGTTGGCCTCCCGGTTCTTGACTGTCTTATCTTTGATCGACGGGACCAAAGCCATCAGCTTTGGCAGCGCTGTGGCATGCTTGTTGAAGGTTATCATGATCTCGGGTGAACTGAACAGGAGATGTTCTCCCTCTTGACGGCCCAATGCACGGCATATCTTGTGCCATTTGAGTCGAAGACTGGGGGCTTGCCGCATGTCGAATCCGGCGATTAACGGAGCAAAATAGTCAAGCGCCACAACTTCATTGAGCACTCGAGTGACTCCGTTAGGGAATGAAGCTGTCTTGTGGCACACCAGGTCGGCAAAATGTAGGTTTTCGCGATGGAAGATGGCGATAATCCCCCTCCCTGTGAGCATCTCCAGCGCCTGTTTGATATAGTCGCGCTTGAGTTTTATGCCGTACATGCTGTGACAGAATAGAATGAGATCGAACTTTCCCATATCGCGAATGTCGTTGTTCAGATGGAAGTCAATTGGATGAATGTCAGGGGGGCTCTCCAATCGAGGCAGAGGGGATCCGGTAAACCAGTCTTCCAGCTGAGCAAGGAACAACTCGCTGGGCTCAAATGCTTCGTATCTCTCAACCTTCTTGCGCAGATAGTCAGGTAGGTGTCCAAGAACGCTCTTGGGGCCGGGGCCGATTTCGAGGACCGAGATGGGGGAATCTGAGTTGAGAGGAGCTAGCAGAAGGGCCAGCTGAGGGGCGATAAAGTCTTGATAGACGCTCGAGCCTTGAGCCAAGAGGTTGAGGCCATGGAAATACTGCAAGTCGGATAGTTCTTGTGTATCGGAAGATGCTGGTGTTGCTTTTGCTTTCTTCCGAAGGGCGCGCTTCAGGGTGTCGAGGGTCGCCATGTTGTCTCAGGATCACCAGAGCTCTGTATGAACATGCATGAGCAAGAGGAAGAATACGGGTGACCTCTCACCGTCAGGCTCCTTTTATAGACGGCCATATGCCTCGTGTAACCAACAGCAACACTGATCCAGGAAGCCCGACATGTTGAGATTGTTCAGTATTGTATTTGTGGTTGAATAGACAGTTTGCGTTTAGATGTTTGTCATTTTGTCTTTCCCCTTTCAAACAGGATGGCCTCTGCTACCATCCGATCACGCTCACCATCTATTACTGGGCATAGGCAGATGTGTCATCACCAACAAGTGAACGTGTTGTCTTGAACCCCATGTCGTTGTTTGGCAGCAATCTTCAGTACGCGTAATCAACGGCACGCAAGACCACGTTTTACAGCCGGTTTGACTCATATCGTCGACTAGTTGCTCACGAAGTATGATGAACGTTTGATAAGCGCTTGATCAACGCTTGAAACGTATTTGCTGAGCTCTGGTAAACCCAATTCCTTCGTTCAGTTGACATGTGTTTGGGAGGCCCCCTATTGGCTCTCAAAGCAAACTTCATACGGCAGCAATCGTCAGTTTACTTACACTGTCACGGATGGCCTAGACCAAAGCTTGTCAATCTTTGTTCATGGCCTGTGATGAACTCAAACGGCGAGACACCCCCTCACTTGGCTTAAGCCACCACCAGCTCCCAGTCTCACTGCGTCGGTTCCAGCCGTCCTTCAAGGCTTTTTACAGCCATTCTCTTTAAATGGGCTGAGCATGTGAAATAAACTGGCGGCGGCACAAAATCTTATTGTTGTTGCAAGGTTTCTCCCAGCCCATCTTCTGGTGCCTATTGGCTACCCCAGCGGGTAACCCGGATCTCCCGGATAACTCGGATACGGAGTGGAGATACGTCACAACCTTGTTTGCCATATCAACTTCTAGACCCCTGTTTCCATCGTTTCTCCATCTTTGTTCGTCATTGTCGCAATTGATCAGCAAACATGGCGGGTATCTCGGGAGATGGACTCGTTTTCAAGAGAAGACGCGTGGCACAGGCTTGCCAAACGTGCCGGGCGATGAAATCCAAGGTGAGTCTAACACAAGCAGTCCAAACAATAGCTGACCTGTTAGTGCGACGGAAAGCGACCCGAATGTGGCCGGTGTTTGGGTTATGGATTCACATGTTCCTATGCCAAGGGCAGGTCCTGGAATCCAAGTTTCGGCACAGAAAAACGCGATGCCCCCAACGTCGATGTTGAAGAGCTTCGAGATACCATCGATCACTACGAGGAACTTGTTGGTAGGCTTCTCTCTGACTCTTCTCAGAAGGATTGCCATGTCAAAGAGTTCCAAGAAGTAAAAGAACGAGCAAGGCGGGCTCTGGATGGATTCACACAAGACACCGATGCCGGCCCCTCCACACAGCCAGACCCCAACCAGCATCGGTATCTTGGAGAAGTGAGCGACGTTCATTTCTTTAATCTGGTCAAGCGTTTCTTGCAGACGAGCCCAGGGGTCGAGCAAGACTTTGACAGTTACGAGCAGGAGGGTGAAGTATCAGTTGGTAAGAGTAGACCGACTGCTCTACCAGAGCCAGATGAGGCGAGAAGACTATGTGAGGTTTACTTTGAGACGATTCATCTGGCGTATCCCTTTATTCCCAAGTCTGTGTTTATGGAGACATGGGGTGGATTTCAGGGGCCCTTGAGTGAAACGCATCACAATTCCACAGACTTGGCCATTCTATGTGAGTATCCTTCTCATATCCTGGCTCTACTGACCTTTTAGATGTAATTTGTGCCATTGGGTCATATTACAACTCGTTCCCCGGCCGAGACTCAAGCACAAGCCACGAGCACTACTTTCGATACGCCGTCATTCACTCAGGGAAGCATCATTCGATCAACCAAGTCACATTGCTGCTTGTGCAGTGCTTCTATTTCCTTGCAATTTGCAAGACTGACAGGTAAGCTCATTTCCAATAATCAGACATGTCTAATGGCTACAGTTGCTGGATTGCATTGGGTCAGGCAGTTCGCATAGCCCAGAGTATTGGACTACATGTTGAATCAAAGACTTCCAAACCTCGTGGACCTGTCGAACTTGAAAGACGGCGAAGAATATGGCACTCCATCTACGTTCTAGATCGTCTGCTATCCCTCCAGCTTGGACGTCCACCGGCTATACATGATGGAGACTGCAGCGTGCCCATGCCGTCCCGACGAGGGGACAACGACATTGACTGGACTTCGAATACTATCGACCCTATTGAAGGACCGTCGACTGGTGACTACTTTGTCGCAGTTATCGAGTTTTCTCGCATTGTTGGCCGTGTCCTGAGCGACATCTACGGACCAGCACACGAGAGGCCAACAACTGAGATGATGATATGTACGCAGGTTCTGGACCGACAACTCGTCGAGTGGAAGATGAATCTCCCTCGGAAGCTTCGATTTGATCTTGGACATGCATTTGATCCCAGTGTTGCTTTCAGAAGACAGGTAAGTTGAGACCATTGTTCCCCGTACTCACTAACACGCCAAGCGAAACATGCTCGCCATTAAATATCACCATCTTCGCGCACTCATCCACCGACCATACCTCTGCTATCCTCTTCTCCGACAACTTGACGACTCATCTGTGGCATTGGACTGGCCGCTTCTGACTCTTTTCGAAAAGACATGCGCCAGTGAAGCACGAGAGACTGCCCGTCTTTTGCATCACGTATCTGACGAGAAGGACTTGGTCCACGAGTTTCCCTGGTGGCAGATGATTTCATGTCTGATATGCGCTGGCTCTATTCTGCTTGTTTCGAGCATCTTTGTTCAGCCCCCTATTGACGACCACAGCGTTTTCGACAGCGAAGGTCTTCGAGATGATGCCGAAACGTGCCTCAAGATGTTTGAAGCGCTCAGTGCCAACTCAAAGAGTGCAAGAGTAGCAAGGGATATGATCAAGGGGTTGAAGCAATGCGGCTTTGAATGGAAGAGTGAGTACTCCCGACCAGTCAGTTCTTCGCTAACACATTCAAGAACACACCAAGCAACTCCAACCAGAGATCACACAGGCATTGCAGTCTAATGCGATCCAATTGCCCACTCATATGCCGGCCCTTGAATACGTTGGGTTAGAGGGAGATTTGGCACTGGAACAAACTCCAACGCCACAAAATTGGCCAGCTGAGATTATCGATTCCATGGCTTGGTCGTCGCAGTTTTTTGGGGCGACACAGGGAGAGGGGCCCTAAGATGTGATTGTATGATAGCCTGTCAAATATTCAGTGACTTTAATCATGTCTTCATCCACCAGATGATTTACACACTTGATGCATTGTCGACCCTGAATCAGGGCCGAATGACACTGACTTGGAGACCCTGTCAAGTGTTGCTGACCATCATAGGATTGGTCCTTGAGAAGTCATGGGTAAGAAGTCGTTCTCATCTCTGAGCTCCGCCTAAATCGAACATTCAGCTGGGGGCCGGTATAATAATTCCGAATACCAAATAACCAGTCATCCGTCCATGAAAAGCCGTGAGAATTCAATCACGGCTTAGCCATCTCCCGTCCGATATTGGTGACTCTTTATACCCTCTCAAAAGAGGGCTCATCTTTTCCATCAAGGTGGATTCCAGGCTGACGATAATCACTGCTCTACCAATAGCCGAGACTCCGGAGACAGGATTTTGAGAAGAGTTAAACCAGTGAAAGAGATTCGGCTCTATCGCAGCTCCAATCGCAGGACCAGCCTTTGATCCCACTCGTAAGACGCCAAATTCGGAAACCAATCTCTGTCAGAGGCCCAAAAAGCGGTGGGCCCAATAGCACGGAAACTAATATGCGTGGTCGGTGCGAAAAAAGTGTAACCCAAAGGATCACGAACCCCTGTCGCGTTACAAAACCCCCCTTTAGTAATCACATCTTACTTTCGCTTCTTCCTAAGCTTACGGTCTGTGATCTTTCAAAATCCCTCATCACAATCATCAAGATGTTTAAACGGCTTCTTCTGGGCTCGTTGCTGGTCGCAGCGTTGGCCTTGTTCTTTGCTCAGGACTCCCCGCAGCGTCCCACTCCCATTCAAGGCCGGAACAAGACGGCTCTGTTTCTGGTTAACGAGGAACATGGCCTATCCAACGTGCACATCGCTACGGCGTCAGCATTGCTCGAAAAGCACCCGGATATCGAGGTTCATTTTGCTTCCTTCTCCAAGATTGAGAGCAAGTTAGAGAGGATCTCGCATTTTGCACGAAAGCACAATCCCGGGACCCGAGGTGTCGTGTTTCACAAGCTTAGTGGACCCTCGTACGCCGATTCGATACAGCAGGTTGGAAAGTCACTTGACAACATTCCTCACCCGCCGGGTATGGCTGGCATTGATCATCTGTGTGAGGATATGCAGCTATGGATCTCTCCGTGGTCGGCAGAGGACCATTTCGCACTGTATCAAGAGATGCAAGCCCTCATCGAAGACATCGACCCTGCGGTTGTCGTACTGGATACACTGTTTCGACCTGGCATAGATGCAGCTCGTGACATGAACCGTCTGCATGCCATCATCAGTCCCAACTCAGTGGTCGATAACTTTCTGGGTGATCAGCCTTATGGCAGCATGTTTTGGAAATATCCAGCGTGAGTGGTTCACGTTATCACAGTACGCTTCTAACAGTTGCAGCATGTCGTCGGGCTTTGATTTCCCTGTCCCTTGGAGGAACCTCCCCGAGAACATCTACCTCAACATGAGATTCATCTACAGTGTCGTCATGACTCCTGGCCTCAGCGCCAAGCGAAAGATTCTCCGAGAAAAGGGCCTACAGGATCCAATCAACTTCTTTTCCATTTATCGACAAGATGCACCTTGGATCAGCATGACGACAGAGGGAGCTACTATCCCGGTCGATTATATCCCGCCCAATGTCACTCTTGCTGGACCAATAGTAGTCTCAGCCGCCTCAGCCGAGGAGCAAGACCCCAAGTTGGTCGAGTGGCTGAAGAAGGCACCAACCCTATTGGTCAACCTAGGAAGCTCAGTTTCTGTAAGTAGATCCCCCACGGGCAGACTATTCTAACAAAGTAGTGGTCAGAGAGACAAGCTTCCATAATGGGAGAAGCCCTTGCGACTCTTCTTGACAAGACAAACGTGCAGGTGTTGTGGAAGTTTAACAAGCACGGAGACTACTCGGACGACATCTTTGCGCAACTGAAGCCTCATCTTGACAGCGGTCGCCTCAAGATGGAAAAGTGGCTCACCGTTGATCCAACCTCTCTCCTTTCCTCAGGATACATTGCAGCCTCGGTCCACCACGGAGGAGCCAACTGTTACAACGAAGCCATCTAGTATGTCTAAGCCCCCAGAGAAGTCACCCGCTAACCCCCGCAGTGCTGGAGTTCCCCATATCATCATTCCCCTGTGGGCTGACCTATACGGATACGCTGCTCTAGCTGAAAACATCGGGGTCGGAGTCTGGGCATGCCGAGGTACCAACCCCGACTGGACTGTCGATCATCTAAGCCAGTCCCTCCTGAAGGTTCTTGACAGCGGAGAAGCAAGCTTATCAATGCGGGAAAAGGCCAAGAAACTAGCTAAAAAGATCCATGCCGGTGGGGAGGGACGGGAAATTGCTGCCAAGAAAATAGCTGAGCTGGCCTACGTTGCGAGTCATGAGGCTTGATGCGGAGTTCATTCGTATTATGTATAGTCATTATAGATGCCTAATGGCCGGGTAACCTTATCTAACTCGTTCCGCGACTACATCTGCCAAGCCATTCCCCGGTTCGTCGATCCTCCATACACCTTTGGTTTGTTCGGCTAGTAGTTGCCAATTTGTGCCTTCTGCGAGACGATGAAAGACTTGATGCTCGTCTCCGGGGATGCTGCTGAATAGCAATGGCTTCCACGTCTTTCCATGTCTCTCCTCTTCTCTTCTCTTTTGTCGTTGTGCTTCCTCAATGTCATTCTTTGCTGCAGACGCTGCTCGGTAGTTTCCTTTTTCAAGAGCCGAAATAACGTCCTTCCAAGCGTTCCGGGACTCCCGGTGGTCCTGTTCGTCAAGCGGATCGATACTTATCGGGACTGGGACGGCTGAGGCGTCGTAGGTTTCCAAAAGTTTCCCATCACCATCGGTTATCTTCCAACCCTCACTCCAGATTCCTGACAACTTGAAACATGACTTTTTGGGCGTGTCCTTGTGGTAAACTCGTGCCTCGAAATAGTTTCTCTTTCCTCGAAAGAAGCCTGTGCCGGAAAAGTTGATTTCTGATACGTATCCAGAACTCGAAACGATGCTGTATGTGCCGATGATTTCAGGATAAAGACAGGCCGACAGGAAGCCACGGACAAGTACATTTGGCAATGGCACCAAGTAGTCCTCGTCAAACTTGTCAACATGGATTATCGCGTGTCCGATTTGCTTGATATTGATGTTGCCGTTGAACGTCATTTCCACCCTCCCGTAACCATCTGCTCTTATGCCATGTTCCTTGCTGGCAATGTGCATTGCCGTGATCGGTGGGTGATGGCTGACTTGCTCGACAACCAGTCTAACCGTGCTATCCGAATCGGTCCATGATGCAAGAAACAACTCTCCAAGGAATGCATTCAGGGGCTTCTTGATGCTAACGTTTGGGGCACCTCCGACATAGAGTTGATTCCGTAGACCAGCTAGGAACATTTGCAGTATTGATAGACTGCGCCTAGCTGGATCCGGCTCGACTGCAGCAGCTGTAAATATTGATGGGCGTTGAGCCCAGCTGCCGGGGTTCTCAACAACTGAAGAGGGGGCCAAGAAGAAAGGCGGAGCAGTGACATTGGCAAGATCTAGATCTGATTTGAGGGTTGATAAGAACTAATTTGTTAGTTGGGTCGTGCAACGACATGGATCTGGATCTCACCTTGACGAGGTCAATAAACCTAGAGGATATCGACTTGTCTGCCTCGTGAACGGTTCTCTTGGTCTTGAGTAACTCCATCTTTGCGTTTACGTTTGCGTTTATCTACAGAATTTTCTTTTCCATCCCCATCTCACGCTTTTATCTGATTCTCCAACACGGAGGCTTCAACGTTTCGACTACACAGCCACAAACCCTGGTCAAACCGCCGGTGCAACGTTCTGCCGCCAGCCTATGAATGAAGCAGCCGGGATGTCTATTGGCCCGGACGGATGAATGGACCCTCGGGGAGTTGAGAAGCCGACAGCTAAAACCGGATGAGAACTAGCCGGGTAGACGCGTCAGCCTGAGTGGTGGATTTGGTTTCAGCACATGTCAGCTTGATGCATGGATTTCACATGTCAATTGTTTTCTCTTTTCGCTGTGATAAGTTTGGCTGGCCTCGATTTTGGTATTTGATAAATAGATGGCCTTATCTCGATGATTTTTGTAATTTTTTCTTGATCGATTTTGCCCTTGGGCCTCAAAGGCCTCAGACCCATTGTTGGGCATTAAATATTTTAGAGACCATTCCAGGCCTGTGAAATCCAAGTTGATAAGTGACAGAACCTGACAGATGACAAGTGGCCAGAAACTTTCAGCTTGATTATCTAGACAACGTTTCTAGTCAGCTGACAAAAAGACGGTCAACATGTCAATGGATAAGAGCAGCGAACCACGATGCATGCATTTACCACCTGCTTCTTGATAATGACGGTTCGATCTGTCTCACGCCACTGACTGCATGTAGGGTAAGAGAGCATGCAGCCAACAATGAGACCGTCGTCCAGTGAGTCGCAGTGACATTCTCAACTAACCTAGACTAGATGAACTGAAGTGGAATGAAATTTCAATAGAAGTGGGCACCTTGTTGGTTCGGCAGTTGACTTGACTCCACGTCCTCCGGATCCTCCGTCCTCCGTCTCCATATTCGCCTCCATCTCCATCTCCGCATCCTCCACATCCTCCACCCTCGATCCCCTCGATCCCCTCGATCCCGATTCATCCCCAGACCAGATTCGGCAATGAACAGATACTCAACTCGCAACCGAGACTCTATCCGTCTGTGGAACCCGAATTGCGCGTCATACGGATACCAGCAGATCCTTCAAACTCCAAATGACGTTATCACGCCCGCAGCCGTACTACCAGTGATAGACAAACGCACATGGCGATCGACCCTCGGTGATTGGATCTCCTGGCGGTCAAGATAAGCTTAATCATTGCTCTTGTCAACTGTCTCAGACGACGCGTGTGATTCAATCTCATCAACACAGCCACCTCAACCAATTTCGACCAATACTGACGCTATCTGGGTCTATCCGCCGATCGACAACTCTACAGACTATTACGAGCCTTGGCTGGGGAATTCCCCATGAAATAATGGATCTGGCGACGATCACGATAAGACTGGGTTTCTTGACGACTATCCGCAGAATGACGTAGAGCTTGCGAATTTGCAACAATTTGACCGAACACTCCGTGAAGCCGTCGGTGAAACAGCCATTAAGGTTGTAAATAGGCTTAAGTCAAAGTCCACCGTCCAACCGTGAACCGTCCCTTGGCGGATGCAGCTAGCCTGGAGCTTCCGTTTGTATCTGTGATCCTTCTCAACCAATGACGCGTCAGGTTGTACATTCCTGTGTAGACCTTGGCGATAAGAGTTGAGATTCAACATTCAAAGCCAAGACGTGGTGAAACAGACGCGGTGAGTCGTAATCGAGGGGCTTAGCAGTAGGATCGAGTCAGTGACCAGTAAAAGACGGCGTGTATAAGGCTGCAGATCACTCAGCTTGTAGGCGGCCAAGTACCGAGATCCACACGGGTGAGGCTTGAGTCTTGGCTGATCGTCCAGATACTGTACTGGATGCATTTTACTCTGCATGTTTGTGCACTGTCTCACTGAAGAGCAAACAGTCACAATCCGTCTCTTGGCGGCCTCCGAATAGGAATCCCTGTCCTACCACATGCCGCATGCAGGGAAGCCGACAGGTCGGGAGTCACAATTGTGCCCAACGGCCCGTGTAGCCATCCCATGGTTCGATTTGCAGTGTTTTATTCAGGGTACAGAATTTTCTGTCGTTTTTTCAAGCCTACGAAACGTCCATGCACTTGACCCATGGGCATGGTTTAATTACTGGGCTTAACCGAACGCCTGGGACGACTCCTTAACGGATCTGACCAGAGCCCCCGGCCGAGATTCGACAAGGGTTAAACTGTTCCCCGGCTTGGCACGGCACGTATCTAGTCTCCCGTGCGTCTCACCCTCTCTCACTGCCTCAATAGGTACGACTGGCAATATCGCCTCTTATCTTGGCGCAAGGGACCCCGGCAGTCTTCCTTGGCTCATCCTTGGCGCAAACAAAGCTTAGCGGCGCTGCGAGATTGACTGGTGCCCGATCTCTCGTGCAACCACATAATCTCAGATCTCAGACCTCCTTAACCCAGAAACATCCAATCACAACCTTGCTGCCCCCTCGTGGTCGAAGCCTGATAACCTCTGCCCAACTCACCCTAGCACAAAAAGCACAGAGCCTCATTTACCGACGGGAACCTCTTCCGGCTGCGGTGAGCTGCCGGGGCCGAACCGGGATGCGAGAGTTCACCGTGACAAGTCTGAACAATCAAGACACACAATCAGCGCCAAGTTCCACTTCTCCCTGAGCCCAAGACGAAACCGCAAGGGTGATCGTCGCCTTGGGCTCTTGGCGACGACATATGCTCCCGGCATTGCGTGTCGTCTGGCGGGGGTCTGTACGCCATGGCACAATAGATTCACTGTAGGTCCTTTGCACTGCCCCATGTCTTTCATCTCGCCAACTATTTAGATCTGGGGATGCGCCCTATGCGGTCCAGACCGTCTAGCCAGATCATCCAACTCATCATCGACAACATGACTTCCCTATTCACAAGAGAGCTGTTCACACGAGAGGCTCCTAACCAGGAGTTGTGCGAAAAGTATGCTCAGTTCGCCTCGCACATGGTGAGATGGCAGTTCAAGATTATCTATTGGGTCTTGTTTGTGTCCAATCTTTTGGTCTTGTTTGTGGCATCATGGACCTACATCAGGTATGTCTTGTGTTTGATTGTTTGTATTTTTCTAACTGGTAGCAGAGGTCAAGCAGCACTCGAAAAACTTGCCCACAACCCCGGACTTCGATCGAAACGTCTGCGACAATCCATGTTCATGTGTCTTGGCTGTGTCTCGGTCTCGACCGTCATTGTCGTCATGGAAGCCTACTCCATCCTTGCTCTTCAGTTCTGTGATGGAGAAGATCTCATCTCCCTCTACTGGTCCACCTGGACAATGATACAAATTGGATCTCTTATCGCCATGATGGGCATCATCCTTGCCCTTGCTCACTCGCTCAGAGGCCGACGCCATCCGTAAGTTTTCGAAGCATCCCCAAGCGACCCAGCTAATCATCCATCCAGACCATGGGCTCTTGCTCTCGGTACTCCGGTGCTTGTCATCGCCGGTGTCCTCCACCTGTTTCACGATTGCACCAAGAAGCGTGTTAAGAAGAAGCTTCAGCGCAACAAGATGGACTTTGACATTGGTCCTCCCATGAGTCAAGCGTAAGTACTATGATCTCTACACGAGGCTCAACTAACACAGACAGTAACACCATCTCGGTCAACCCCGATGAAGAGTCTGACTCTGACAACGACTGCAGAGGAGAAGTGGTTGGCCTCACGTTTGACGGAGGCCCAATCATCCGCTTCATCAACTCTGTTCCCGAGACTCTCCCAGAGCATGCACAGCTTCTTGGTTACTGTGCTGAGAAGCGACCCATCATTATTTGCAAGCGAGAGTCTGTGCAATTCTTGATGGACTCTCCTGCAACAGTTGCACCTTCGGTTCCCCCGAGCTGCCGCAAGGGAACCCCCTAGAAACCCAGCGTCAGACAACAGATTGACAGAACACAACTACCGACTCGTGGCGTTACCACAACACAGCCAGACTGAGAGAGGATCCGAGTTTACTCGTTGCACCTCGTGCTCGTCAGGCCTACTACAGAGTCACGATGAGCACCGTGGCGACGTGACGCCGAGCCCAGCAAAGCGTACAGCCAAGGCTGGAGAGGCACAGGTGGCACTCTATTTCTTTTACTGTTCACATGTATTTTGTATCGCCTACGGGCACTCGTCAGATGGATATTTCTTGGTCAGCGTTTCTTCTCTTCTCATTTTGTATTCTTTATCTCTTTGGCATCACTGGCATGGCGGTGGATGGGAATGGCAGCGGTTGGGCATGGGCCCTGGAGCGGCACTCCGGTCGGGCAGGCTTGGGACTGGTCGGTACGGAAAAGTGTTTAGATAGATACCCATAGTATACGTTATCCTAGTAAATAATTGTGATTTGCGACAGGCTGAGCTTTGAGGCTGATGTGAAGTATGAGATAACGGTGATACCGAAAGCTATGACCTTGGGTGAGCTATGCAGGGAGATGAGATGAGCCTGCGGATAAGCAAGTGTAACTCTAGACCCCAGTCAAGGAGATCCAGCATCCATGTAAGAGTTCGGCTAGCATAATACATAAAGTGACCTGATAATGCAGATGCATTGAAGCCGTTTTATGCGTACTGTATGCACACACTGTGCATGTACCTGCATCCACTATGACATCGTCAGTTACCCCTCCCCCTCACTCCGAATTCGCACCGTACTCCGATCGGCCAATCCATCCCGAGGCTTAGTAAAGAGCAGCTTTCTAATCAACACCATCAAATCTCGACTCAGCATCGCGACTCGCCGTTTGTCTGCCTCAAACATCATCATGAGCCTCGACAAGGTCAAGAACATCGTCCTGGTGCGTATTTACCCTACACCTGCTGTATTCCACTGACTGTTTAGGTCCTTTCGGGCAAGGGCGGAGTCGGCAAGTCCTCTGTCACTACCCAGCTCGCTCTATCTCTCGCTTCTTCAGGTCACTCTGTCGGCATCCTCGATGTTGATCTCACAGGGCCGTCCATTCCCCGCATGCTCTCCATTGAAGCATCCAAGGTCACACAGGTCCCGGGTGGATGGGCTCCAGTGCTCGTGCACGAAGCCGACGAGTCTAAAGGTCTAGGCAGTCTCCATGCCATGAGTCTAGGGTTTCTGCTCCCAAAGAGAGGCGATGCCGTTGTATGGAGAGGCCCAAAGAAGACAGCCATGATCCGACAATTCCTCAAGGACGTGCTATGGGACGAGACAGATTACCTACTGATTGACACACCGCCTGGAACAAGCGACGAACACATTTCCCTAGCCGAGACACTGCAGAGAGATGCCAGACCAGGACAGGTCGCGGGCGCAGTCGTCGTGACAACTCCCCAGGCCGTTGCTACAGCGGACGTCCGCAAGGAACTCAACTTTTGCACCAAGACAGGCATCCGTGTCCTTGGAGTCGTCGAGAACATGAGCGGTTACGTCTGCCCACACTGCTCAGAATGCACCGACATCTTTGGATCGGGAGGCGGAAAATCCATGGCCGAAGAGTTCAACGTTCCATTCCTAGGATCAGTACCCATGGACGCTCAATTCATCACACTCGTCGAGGAGGGAAGGAGGCCAACATATCCCTCAGGGACTACGGTCAACGGAAAAGACTTGTCCACTCCCCAGGGGGAAGGGGAGAGCTTGGTTGATAAATACCGGGCTTGCTCACTGTTCCATGTTTTCGAAGCAATCACTGACAAGGTGATGGCCAATGCCAGCAACGCGCAGACCTGAGCTGGATCCAATGTGTCATGCCCTAGCAGCCAAGCAAAGGATGGTCTGGTCCACAACTACGCCCCTTTCTCGGGCCGTCGCCAGTTTTGCACCACGCTCTGCATGTTGTCACGCCAGGTCAGCAATATTACGGGTCGGCAAGCGAGTCTGGGACACATCATCAAGGGGTCATCATGGTTCCGACCTGCATGCGCGACATTTGGTTCCGAGACGACACGAGTTCACGGTACCTCTCTACTAGAACCCGGCGTCAGGTACAAGGCGGCAGGCGGCAGCAAAACCGAGACGGAGAAGAGTCTTCAGGCCAATAGAGATGGAACCTGAAATAGAGATGACGAAATAAATTGTGGCCAAATGCAAGGATTTGGCCCTGCCCCGCAGAATTTTCACAGAAGCCAGTCAAACAAGTCCAGCCCTGAACGAAAAGAGAAGTGTGGGTGGCCAAGGTTGAAAACCTGAACCTGGCTGGTTGGGCATCACCAGACGACAGCCAGTAATGGTCAGGCCGGGAGCATTCACTGCAGCAGCCACTGCAGAGCCAATGCGACAGCCAGCAGCAGCAGCAGCATCCACTGAAAATATCCAACCACAGCCACCAAGTGAAGCCCCGGAACCCGGGGACTCCCCCCGGGGAACCCTCCCGCAGTTGCTTCCAGCGCCAACTTACCGAGCCTTGACCCTGGCACCTACGCACCGCCTCCCGGAGACCTTAGCACACCTTGAAATTTTGCTTCCTCACAAAACAACCCACCAGCCCCTCGATCAAGACCCAAAATTCTCTCACCGACTTGGTACATCAAAACTCTGTCTTCCATCGAGATTTTGAGTCTGCCTCTGTCAACTTTAACTCGTGCTCCCGTGGCAACCTCACGTCAAGCACTTTAAGACCTCACGCGACCGTCTGCCATCAACCATCAACATCAACCATCAACACATCAATGTCGAATAAACGCATATAATCTCTAGTCCAAAAGACACTCGACGGCCGTAATCGACCGTCACAACACTTCTCGGTACTCTTCTCTGGGCTTCTATGCGGCCGACGGATCTTCTGCGCTTCCTCTTCTCGCGACCTTCCAAGTATGTTCTCTGTTCACGACTCTCGTTCAAATGACTGACTTGCGCAGGCCCCGATAGCACCCCCTACAAAGACATAGCAGTCGACAAACGTCGACATCCTCCCGATTCGATCCGACCGAGTCGCATCCCACCATTCCGTCACAAAACTTCCACCACACCGTTTTCCACCCTCCTTAACGTCCCCTCGAGAGACGTTAGCCTATCCATAACTCGACCGATTGCTGCTGGCTCCGCCAGCATCTGACAAGTCCCCGTACCTGTGGGCCTACTCTCTCAAACAGACGCCGCATAGTCTGTTTGAGCGGCAGCTAGTGCTCCGCGGACTCTGCCATCTGGGCAAAGAACAATCGAACCTCGAGTTCATCCAGTCCACAGGATGTTTCCCTCTTCGGTTCCCAACAACTGTACCTTCTCGCCGGCCTCGGCCACTCCCCATCTGACCATCAACCATGATGTGGCCGCCGACCTCGACTCGACCAATGCTTTCGAGGGCCCCGAGAAGCTTCTTGAAGTCTGGTTCGCCCCGAGCCCGACTTCTCTGCCTCCAACTGCCCCCGTCAATGGTCTAAAGGCTGTTCCTGCTGATACCTGGGTCCCAATGCTCGACATGGTCAACTGCAAGGTTCTCTCTGTGCTTGACTCTGACAATATGGATGCCTATCTCTTGTCCGAGTCTAGCATGTTTGTCTTTCCTCACAAGATCATTCTCAAGACATGCGGCACCACGACCCTTCTTCTAGGACTCCAGCGTATGCTTCACATTGCGGCCAAGTACGGATTCCCATTCCACAATGCCAACTCTGTCAACGATATCCATGCTGCTGCCACTCCCTACCGCGTCTTTTACAGTCGCAAGAACTTTTTGTTCCCCGAGAAGCAGCAGGGACCCCATCGCAGCTGGAAGCAGGAGGTCAAGTACCTCGACGACATGTTTGACGGTGGAAGTGCCTATATGGTGGGCAAGATGAACGGTGACCACTGGTACTTGTACCTCACGTCTCCGAACCAGCAGGCCTTGACTCCTCCAAGGACCCCCGAGTCCGAAGTCAACGTTCCTGTGGCCAGGATCCCCGTCGGGACATCGTTTGGTACTGGCCCCAGCGGTCATCACGACGAGACGCTCGAAATCCTCATGACGGACCTCGATCCTGAGAATGCCAAGCAGTTTTACTTGTCGCATGCGAGTGCGGTCGCTAGCGATAAGTTGGCTGTAGAGGCCCAGGATGCCCGCAAACAGGCCATTCACAGCCTGGGCGGGCTTGATGCAGTTGACGAAGTGGACGTCTTCTGCAACGGGGATGAGGAACCAATGCTCGATTCTACCGAGGCTCTGACTACCGAGGGCCACGCTCTGGGAACTGTCGTGTCGGAGAGCTGCGGCCTCTCCAGTGTCTACCCGACCGCCGACTATCCTGACGCGCGTGTCGATGCCTACCTCTTCAGCCCTTGTGGCTTTTCTGCCAATGGAGTTGTTCCTCCTAAGGCTGAGGGGGCCGGGTCTGAGCATTACTTTACCGTTCACGTCACCCCTGAGCCTCACTGCTCTTTTGCCTCGTTCGAGACCAACGTCCCTGGTGGTCAGAGCGGACGAACCACGACCGAGATTATTGAGCAGGTTGTCAACATTTTCAAGCCTGGTCGCTTCAGCGTGACTCTGTTTGAGGCCAAGGCTCAGGCTCACAACCCTTATGGTATGGGTGACGATGACACCAAGGGATGGGCAGCCAACCGTCTGGTTGATCCTGTCCGGGGATACCGACGCATTGATCGCATTGTCCATGACTTTGAGGACTACGATCTCGTCTTTCGCTTCTATGAACGGGAGGGATGGGCCGGCACCAAGAATGCGCGAGTTGGTGAGCCTGCCAGCCCTACTCTCAAGTAATGTTTGTGTGTTTTGTATCGTATTGTTTACAACCAACTTTATACGTCCCTTTTCGGCTTGGATCGCTGGAATTGCTTGGATTCGCTTGGACGAGATAGTAAATGTATTGCTTTGACTGCTGCGCATGATATGACCCTTGCATACGTGAGCCAATTGTGAATGATGCCATGAAGCAATGGAACAGCAACATCATGTGACCCATTGAAGTCGAATTATACTGCATTTTAACCGTATTTTAACTGCATTTCTGATGCTATTTTGATGCTTTATGATGACCCTCCTCGCAAGTCCCAACGTCTGACCTGGTCCAAGCTCAGCCTTGCACGTGACCACAGATCCAAGCCAAAATTTTCTACAATTCTTCAGCCTGCACCAGCAAACAGCAACACCACAGCCAATTCACAACAACCGCCAAAATGCATCTCATGTACACCCTCGACGCCAACGGCAACCGCCTTTACACTCTCAAGAAGGTTGCCCACGGCCAGGTCACCAAGTCTGCGCACCCTGCGCGATTCTCCCCCGACGACAAGTGGTCGCGACAGCGCGTTACCCTCAAGAGGCGATTTGAGCTCCTCCTGACCCAGCAGAGTGAGTACCAGAAGTCTCGTAGGCTTTAACACAGCTAACAATCCGCAGAGGAGGAATAGACAACGGCATGGCGTTACGGTACGGCGTTTGGGACAAAAGTGCGAGTTGAGTGCGCCTCTACGACAATGGAGAGCGGCCGAGTCCTGCGATAGACGCGATCGAGTTATACTTGATTCATTCAATTCAATTCTAGTGCTTTCGCTTCGAGTTTACGCTGCGTCCTGCTCCCACGCGAATCTTGCCATTTCCTCCAGATCTGTGACCGCTCAGGAGGTCAGGGAGATAATCCTGGTCCATAATGTCCTTCTTTCTCTGGCGGCGCTGATCGTCCGACGCCCTTGTAAACTCCTTTTGATCCTCTGAAAGGATGAGACCGTTGCCCCAGTTGTTTTTTCCTCCTGCGTTCTTTGGTAGACGACCGTTTGCAGAGCCGTGGACAGGCTTGGGAACGCTGTAGACGTTGCCACGGTTGTTCCACTGAAAGTTCTTTTTGAGGTGGATTGTAAAGTTGCCGAACTGGTCTGTAGAGCAGCTAGCACGCATGAGTGTAGGTTGACCGCAAGAGGGACAGAACTGGCGGGTCATGTCCTTTGTGATCTTGAAGCAGCCGTGGCAGCGGAGGACCCAGTTCTTGAGGTGGGTGATGCGAGCGAGAGAGGGTGCGACGAGGTTGAGGCCCATGCGGAGGGCGACGTTTTGCATGGCGTAGTCGGAGGTGAGGACGGCGGCCTGGAGGGTCTTTTGGACGGGGGCAGAGGGGGTAGAGCCAGAGGTTGCGGCTTGTTTTTTCTTGAGGTTGGAGGGAGTGATCCAGCCGCCCTCATCATCGGAGGCGTCGGAATCGTCTTCGGAGGGTGTGTCTTGTTGCTCGAACTGTTGCTCAGACTCTTGCTTGGCCTCTGTCTGCTTCTCGACCTCGGTCTGTTGCTCAGTCGCTTCTGGCTGCTTCTCAACCTCTGGTTCGGTCGCAGGCACAGTCTCTGACTTTTCCTCTGACTTCTCTTCGGTCCTTGGCTGTTCGAGAGTCAACTTTTCGACCTCGCTCTCCAGTGTCGCTTCGGGTTCCTTAGCCTCCTCTCCCTCGACCGGCTTGTTTGGTGGCCTTCCATTCATCCCCTTTTGTCCAGGCTCACTCCTCAACCTCCAGTCGCCTCCATTTCGTTCAATCTCCAGTTCATACCCTAGAGCCAACACCTCAATATCAGGCTTGCTCAGAACAGCCAAGTCTCCTGTTTTTCGCGCAAATTCACGAATGACCTTGACACTGTCTGGCTTGGGCGATCGTAGGGTAACGAAAGGAAGTAGAGTCGTCTCTACCCGAGACCGTGTGGCTGCATCCTTGATTTCGGAGATGATGCAGGGGAGGGTGTAGAGCTGCTCAGCCTTGGCGCGGAGGGTATTCGCAGGGGGATCGTTCTTGATCAGAGGACCGGTATCAAGTACCAGGCTGTGAATGGGCTTCAACTCTTCTGAGGAGGCCATGATGATTTGATGGTGTTGCTGTTCCTCAAGGCATAGTTTGGTGATATTTTTTGTGTTGACGCGGGGCAAATTTTTACGATAAGATAAGATTAGATAAGAAATTTCTTTCTTTTTTCTTCATTTTCTTCATAATTATGGCACCTTGATAGACTCATAAATCGTCATAAGCAACAGCATAAAAAACAGGGTCAACTCAACATTGCATGATCTGATCGCGATCCCTCCCTGTCGTCAACTGCCGTCAATTAATACGACAATAACAACACCCATCACGTCAAATATACTTGCATCTCACAATTGACATGCCCAAAAACATGTTATCAATCAAACTGGTGTGTGGGGCATGGACCAGCTGAGCAAAAGGGCGTTGACACTTGACCTCGAAAATTTGACAAGGGCGCCAACGACATGAAGGGCGCGCTCTCAGTGGATTAATAATGGTCATTTCCCCCACGAACTTCTCCAAGGGTTCATTTGAGTCAACTGTGGCTTGCTCTATCCAGGTTCTATTCCTGCCAGGTGACTCAGGTGTCAATGTCGCCCTTTAGGAGCCGAAGTCGGATCGTGTAAGCGATGTCTGACAAATGCGCTAGACGATAGTTTGAGGCTGATGAGAGATGAAGTCGGGGAAGTGAGAGTATCGTCTGAATGAGAGGTAATGTCAAGAGATCACAAGAGACAAGAGATCGAGGCATGTCAATGTCTTGTTGAGCCTCACCCGACTTTTACGTACAAATTAAGTAGCAGATCCACGATGACCCGCCGTATTTACATGTATATTTACAGTGGGACTGCGGAGGACTTGGAGAATTCGGGGTCAAAAGCATCGACTTTGATGCTATTTTCCCCAGACAAAAGCTACCAGTAAGCCGGGTTAACGGTGCTTACAGAGCTAGATCTCACCTGTAAGCCACGTCCATCAATTTGCTGCGATTCGCTCCCGATGATGACTCCCGGGGTCCGATGTCACCATGCGCCCTACAACTTGTCAACCCGTGGGTCAACCATTCGATGGGTCGTGATGGGTCGCGTCACAACAGGGCGCACAAGTTGACAAGTCAAAGAGTATAATAAGAGCAGCTGTTGTTCTGCCTGATTTTCTTATCAACTTTATTCATATCATCAGTATCACAGGCATCACAGAAACATATCACCATGATCGCTGAAAAGTCCCTCCCGACCTTTGTCGACTCTCAGACAAAGCTCCCCATGACGCCGCCAGAGTATGACCACATTGGCATCCGGCGAGGCGGAACTTCTCACCCTTGGGGATTGGCTTCGAATGCTTTGTCGATTTTGCGTGCTCGGGCCAAAAAGACCGAGGTCAACGTCTCTATCAATGGACACTTCAACTCCAAGGTCTACACCACCGACTCTGAGGTCTCTGGAAACGTCACCATCTCTCCCTCGAGGAACATGCAATTCGACAGAGTCGATATCTCTCTCATTGGATCAGGAGAGACTCGCCGCGATGGTCCCGATATCACACACTTGACGACTCATCGGTTCCTCCGGTTGGAGATGCCCATTGATGACGACGAGTACCCAGCAAACCACGTCTTTGAGGCTGGCAAGGGTTACACTTTTGCTTTCAACTTTAACATTCCCGCCCATTTGACCTCGCAGGCCTGCATCCACAGGATCGAGTCGGATCATGTCTGGGAGAAGCACATGTGTTTGCCCCCAACTGTTGGAGGCTGGGAAAAGGACGATCTGGCTCCGGAAATGGCGCGCATCAGCTACAGCATCAAGGCTTGTGTTCTGAAAAAGTCCAAGCAGGGTCCTGTGGTTATTTCCGAGAGCTCTCACCCCATCAATGTGATGCCTTCGACTTTTGAAGAGCCACCCCTGAGCATCACCAAGGGCGACGACTTGTACGCTCTCGAACGAACAAAGAATGTCCGCAAAAACATGTTTTCAGCTGTCCAAGGACGCATCTCTGCTGTGGCTGCCGAGCCTGCCGCCATCCACCTCAGCAAGGAAGGCCACGAAGCCAGCCCATCTACGATTCCTGTCAGCCTCACATTTGAGCCATCTGCAGCCGATGTCATTCCCCCGCAGTTTACTTCAGCCTCTATCAAGATTCAGGCGCATACCTGGTTCCGCGATCAACCGATGACTCGTCTACCAAACCTAGGCGGACAGACCGACAACTTTGCATATCCCGCATCTGTATCTCTGCGAAAGACAAAGGCCAGTGTGGAGTGGACGCAAAATGTCGACATGGAGCAGTCTGATAAGGGATCGCCAATCTTTCACACAGCAACCATTCAGGTTCCGTTCAAGCTGCCAACAGCAGACAAGATGTTTATCCCTACCTTTAACTCATGCATCATCGCCAGAGCTTACACGGCTCGACTGGTTCTGGAGGGCGATACCAAGATGGAACTGACGGTTCCGGTGCAGGTGGTCATGGACTGAGTCTATTCTGATTTGCATCATTTGGCGCTTGGGTTTGATACGGAACGAGTTAGGATGGATTCAAGATACCAGGGAGCATTCATTTATAGAAAAGTTGATTGGTTTGTTATTAATAGTAATGAGATTGTTTGTTACCCCGGATTCGTCGATCTCTGCATGAACCTAGAGGAGTCTTTAGTGACTGTGAATAATGCCAAGTGAAATGGGACAGTGGAGAGCTGCAGGTGTTGTCTATTTCGACGTCGAGGTGAGGAGTGGGGAGGTGAATTGTGATGGCACCTGTTGGGTGTCAGAAGCTGTCGTTTTGCCAGAATCAGGGGATTGAGTATGTGAATGGACGCGTTATCTACGGATAATCCATCTTCTTGAGCAGTGGGGGTTCTATGCACTACCCTGGAGGAGGGAGTCAACGAGGCTCATTTGCGCAATGGATGAAGCCTGACCAAGATGCAAGCCTGATGGGTACTTGAGGTTGGAGCACATGTTAAATGTACGGATAAAAGTAACTTTGGGCATCCAAGAAACGTTGTAACTCTGGGAGCGTAAACGTGGCTACCTATGTCAACACACGGGACGTTAAACGCGAGGTTCGGTCGCGATAACGGCATCGGAGAATTTTTATCGCAACCTGGCCACGCTAGACGATAAAAAATGGCAAAATAGACGAGCTGAGCTATTCAGAAAGACACTATCCAGGACTATCCTCTGTCTCCTTACACAGCCAATTGAGATCAACTCGTCGCCAAGATGAATACTCTCACCATGCCGGTACACGCATGCAGGTCATCTCCGACCGCCAAGAGATGCTCCAGATTAGGCAGCTCACATGAGAGGGGAACCTAGACAAGCATAGACTAGACAAGCACAGACTAGACAGACTAACAGAGCACATGTAAGAGATTTAGTAGTGAGAAATATAGATTGCAGGGACTATTGGGCACCTACAAACTCTGCACATGACGAGGATCCCTTGTGAAACACCCACCAAGTCGGGGTCAGCCGTGTCTCGACTCATACAATTCCATTAGAAATTACATGGTATCATAGATCGATGGTGAGTGGGTAAACTCTACTCCACAGGGTCGTCTGGCCAATACGAGAGTCTTGACCAACTGGAAGCATTTCGATGACGGATATCAAGGCCTGCGGCTCTCCATAGGCCTCCACCAGGTAAAGATACGCAGTAGGGCCGGTCGCAGCGGATGCCGAACCACCGACAGCCTCATACAGCCTGTATGCATGAGATGCTGCAGTGCGACGCCTTCTGGAAGCCTCGGTGCGCGACCGACGGCAGCTAGAGCAGCAATTGCGGAACCGTAAACCCGGCTATTACCTTATGTTTATTGCGCGGGTCGTGAGTAGCCAGCTGTAACCCCTGCAAAGCGCGCAGTTTACGCAAGTGGCTTAGCTAACTTGGTTCTGGGAGTTTGACTCTCGCAGCGACGAGTAATGCTGAAGCTCGTAAGGTGCAAGCTCTGCTCCGTAAGATGTAAGGTTTGCGTCTCTGACTGAGCAGATTGACTATGAATCGTACCATCTGCCAAGTTATCTGTCTCTCTCTGTTCTTGGCTGTCCAGTATTGTAGTCACAGGAACACAGCCAAGATACTCTCTCAGTCTCGCCTCTCTGTGTCTCGCCACCCAGTCCTTGCAAGATTCTCTACAGGCTCTGCTTACTGTCAATGCGCTAAGAGATAACCACCCCTTGTCCACTGCCCACTGCCACTGTCCACTGTCCCCGTACCCACACCCTAGCGCTGCTTCGAGAACAATTCGAGCCCTGCCGAAGAGATACCAAGAACATCGGGCTTTCCGGTAAAATTTTTCGGAGGACTACTCTAGAGAGCGGTCGTAGGCCCGTCTTGGCTCTCCAACAATCGGACGCACGTCGCCGGTTCTCCCGGTCTTGCTCCGTCTCCCCTCCGTCTTGGCCCCGAATTTTCTCTCAAAATGCCCGACATGGTCCGCTCCGCATTCCCTCAGTTGCTCGTACGTAAAAGATCCAGTCGTCTCCTCAACCCAATCTCTCATGTCTGCGGAGAATCTCAAGACAAGAGTATGGAGACCTGGGGACGAGGAACCCACCGTATGAGTCGTTCGTTTCCCCTATTTTGCCGCACAGCCGGACTTCCCCAGGCGTGCCCGTGGAGAGTGGTGAAGCCCCGTCCTCGGTGGTTTCGGTGACACATCGCAACCCGCCCGCAGCCAAGCAGAAGTCGAGTTGAGGCTCTGTGCTGGGAATGCCGGTCCCGCATAACGTAACGCGAATCCAGGCTCTAAATGGTGATCCACCTCGATGTGCTTCGACTTCGGACAACCACACAGATACGTCGGGATCCGGCACCTCGAGAGCATCATTATGTCGGACGAGGTCTGTGGGGACCGTTGGGGTCTGGGGTATGTAAGCTTGAGGGGATTCAGGGATCTAGTCTGGTCCTGAGGATGCCTCCGTCGTCACCTTCTAGACTGTAGCTTGGTGGACCATATTGACCCACTGATGCTTTGCTTGTCGGCGTCACTCTCGGGTCCTCCTCTCATTCTCTCTGCCAAACTCTCGCCTACATAACGCCTCTCTTCCCC